TGACGGAAATATGCCCCTCACTGGCGATCCATCGCGTCCCATCCGGTTCCCCTCCACCAACCCAGCAGCAACCCCCCCAACGCACCTCTCGCGGACGGTCCTCGCCGGCATTAGAGCGCAGGCCTTTCCCTCCAAGCACCCGCGCGGCCTGCCACCCTTGCCAAAGAAGCAGATTTAGAACAATCCGACACAACCCTTGCCAGAGAAGCCATGGCGGACGACCTCTCCCTACCGCGCATCCTCTGCCTCCACGGCGGCGGGACGAGCGCCGAAGTCTTCGAGATCCAGTGCCGAATTATCATCCGTCAGCTGCAGAACCGGTGCCGGCTCGTCTTCGTCAACGGGCCCTGGACGTCCAGCGCCCACCCAGCCATCCTGCCGTACTTTGCGGACCTCGGCCCCTTCTACCGCTGGCTGCGCTGGAACGACGACGACCCCTTCGACGCCCAGGGCGAGGAGAAGATCTTCGCGGCCATCGAGAGGGCCATGAGGGAGGACCCGGGCAAGGGCGACTTCGTGGGCGTGCTCGGCTTCTCCCAGGGCGCCAAGATCGCGGGCAGCCTGCTCTGGGCGCAGGAGAAGTCGCCCAAGCCGCGGACCAGCTTCAAGTTCGGCGTCATCCTGGCGGGGCGCGCACCCTACGTCGTCCTGGACCCGGAGAAGCAGCTGCCGGCCGTCGCTCACGTTGCAGACATTGGCCAGCAGAGCATCGACTTCAAGGACTGGGCGCCCACCAACGAGGGCGGGCATGTGCTGAGCCTGCCTACCCTACACGTGCACGGGCTGAAGGACCCGGGCCTGGAGGAGCACCGGGTCCTGCTTAAGAACTACTGCAAGACGGGGACTACGCGGTTGATAGAGTGGGATGGCGACCACCGGGTGCCCATCCAGGCTGATATTGTCACCAAGTTGGTTGGTTACATTACGGAAATGGCGCATGAGGCTGGGCTTGATATTTGAAGAGCGGTAGACGAAATGCGATACCCTAGACTTAGACCCCGATTCAACATCCAATTGGGGGTTAGATAGAATTGATGCTTTGGTTTACAGAGTCATTCTCTTCTTAAATTTGGTAATACGTTTCTCTTGATTTTCTCCGGCAAGCGAGTCACATATTCTCCGTCGTGGACCAGCGATATGTGGGGTTGTTGATGCAAATTAAGCTTGCCATGTCCTGGAAATACGCCATACGACGGGAGGATGATGGCGGGTTTGGGATTCACAACGGCGGTGTACATGTCAATCAAGAGGCAAAAATAGACGGATGATACATGCACAAGGCACACACACGAGCGTCTCCTATCAACCGGCCATGTGACGGGGCACGAGATGTCGGCAGCACCAACACCAACTGCAGCCTTCAAGATTGTCCAGCAACTGACACTGTACGATGATGATCGCCTCATCCGCCCCACACACCAAAATAACCCGCGACGGGCCAATTCATTAGCGTTCACGCCGGCCTGCCATCCGCAGCCACGGCCGTGCTGGTCGCGGGGGTGTGGTGGAGCGATGTTCTGACAAGCCCAGGGAAACCACCAATCCAGCGGCGGAGAGATGGTGGTACAGTCATCGCTCCAGGGACATTTGTCTCGTCTTTCCATGCTGGGCTGGATGTACCTGACAGTAGGGGACAGCTGCTGGCGAGCGCCAAGACACGACCTGAGCGTCGGGTGTCTGAGGTGTCCTCTCCCATCGCCTGGCTCGTATCCTCATCCCTTCCACTGCCCTGCACCGCAAACAACCTCAATTGAAGTCCAATTGAGTGACCTGCAGTGGAGAGGGCCAGAAGGTTCCGGTCCCTGATTCCTGGCAGTTATTTTGAGTTCAGCAGCCGCCTCCCGCTATCCCCTTCGCACTATAGCGAGCGACAGGGCCCGTCCCCCCTCTGGCCACCACCCTCCACCCGCTGTGAGGTCGAGCCTCCACGCAATCTTATCCGCCATGGCTGCTGTCCGGCGGCGCGCGTCCAGACTCGTCATCCTCACCGGCGTCGCCTTATTGGTTGTGCTGTTCCACCACCTTGTTCGCACCTCGTCGTCGTCGTCGTCGTCGTCCTTCTCCCGGGTGCCCCCTGCCGACTTCATCCCTAGCAGCTTCAACTGGTCCGCTGCTAAACAGTTCTACCCGCCCGACGTCATCAAGAGTCTCCCTAAGGGCAAGCCTCGCAAGCTCCCCGCTGTCCAGGCCCCGCGCTCCGCCTTCACCAACCCCGACCACCCCGACCCGCGCCGCGACGACGTCCTCCGCGTCTTCAAGCGAAGCTACAATGCCTACCGGGACCACGCCTGGCTGCGGGACGAGCTCAAGCCTGTCTCGGGCGGTGGGAGGACCAGCTTCGGCGGCTGGGCGGCCACCCTGATCGACTCCCTCGACACCCTCCTCATCATGGGCCTTGACGCCGAGTTCCGCGAGGCCAGCGACGCCGTGGCCGCCATCGACTTCTCCAAGACCCGTGACACCGCCGTCAACCTCTTCGAGATGACCATCCGGCACCTCGGCGGCCTCATCAGCGCGTACGAGCTCAGCGGCGAGGAGAGGATGCTGCACAAGGCCCTCGAGGTCGGCGAGATGCTCTACGTCGCCTTCGACACCCCCAACCGCCTCCCGGGCTTCTGGCTCAACTTCGACAACGCCCGCCAGGGCAGGCAGGTCGCCGGTGTCCACGACCCCGTCGCGTCGCCGGCCTCGCTCTGCCTCGAGTTCACCAGGCTGTCCCAGCTGACGGGCGATCCAAAGTTCTACGACGCCACGGACCGTGTGACAAGGGTCCTCGAGCGCATGCAGGAGGACACCGGCATCCCCGGCCTGTGGCCCATCTTCGTCGACTTCCAGAACGAGGTCGCGAGGAGCTCCCTCTTCTCCATCGGCGGCCAGGCCGACTCCCTGTACGAGTACCTGCCCAAGATGCACGTCCTCCTGGGCGGCGTGGACGAGACTTATAAGAAGATGTACCTCCGATCAATGGACGTGGTGAAGGAGCATCTCCTATTCCGGCCGATGCTCCCCGACGGCGAGGACATCCTCTTCGTCGGCGACGCCAGGCTCGGCAAGGACAAGATCAGGCTCATCCCGGACGGCCAGCACCTCTCCTGCTTCGCCGGCGGCATGTTCGGCCTGGGAGGCAAGGTTTTCGGCGCCAAGGACCACGTCTCGATAGGCGATCGCCTGACGAGGGGCTGCGGCTGGGCGTACAGCCAGTTCCCCACGGGGCTCATGCCCGAGCTCTTCACCATGTTCCCCTGCGAGACCCTGGACGAGTGCGAGTGGGACGAGCACGCGTGGCGCACGCAGGGCGACCAACAGATCGGCAAGGGCTGGAAGAGCGTCCGCGATCCGCGCTACATCCTGCGCCCCGAGGCCATCGAGAGCATTTTCCTCCTATACCGTATGACGGGCGAGGATGACTTGCGTGAGATGGCCTGGGAGATGTTCCAGAGCATTGTGCGGTCGACGGAGACCAAGCTGGCGTATTCGGCGATCAAGAACGTTCGAGCCAAAGGCGAAACCGCCAAGGAAGACTCCATGGAGGTACGTGTGGGAAGAATCCAACAAGTATGGACATTGCTAACTGGTTTTACGATAGAGCTTTTGGATGGCGGAAACTCTCAAGTACTTTTACTTGATCTTCTCGCCTCCAGACTTGATCAGCCTGGATGACTTTGTATTCAGCACCGAGGCACACCCATTTAAACGACCAGGCTGAGCTATGATGGGAGAGTGAAAACTGCCTATGGCTCAATCATGAACACCGATGGTTATCTACGTGATCCATCTTCCGTTATTACGCCCATCGGCCAGCGTAGCAGCAGCTTGGGACTCTGGAAATGCGTCTCGGCACCTTGATATGGCAAGTTTTACGAGGTGAAATCTAAGCCTTGCCATCTTCCTTGCTAGTGAGCTACGCTCGCTATCAGTTGGATTGAAAAATATCTAGATATAAACATACTCAGCTGTTCGGGTTGACCCGGATTCTTTCTTTTCTTTAACTCACAGATTCACACAGATGGATCTACTGTCTTGCAGATCGCTGGATCGATGCCAAGAATAAGTTGAGCTGCCTGCTTTGTTCAAAGACGAGTACATTGTCTTGTTGACACATTTTAGAGGAGAGACAAGCTCGCACAAATTGCTGTGGTTTGCTGTGGGCGTTGTATAATAACCCAGGCACGAAGCCGGGTTCCAGCATGTTAGAATTAGACATACATGGCGTATTCAGCTGATATGAAACCCTGGCATATGCATTAGAATAAACTGGCAAAATAGATGCTCACTTGATCGGCTCAACTCGTGTGCTGTGGTTTAATAAGTATGTGTGTGTGTGTGTGTGTGTGTGTGTGTGTGTGTATCAATCGAGAAGACGTTGCATGAATGTACCCTCTTCTCACACATTATCCGTTGCGCCTTAGTGCTGAACTACCTACCATGTGTGATCAACTATTTCCTCATAATTTACACAATATTGAAGCTCATATTGCTCTATTTCTGTAAAAGCTAGAAGTTTTGCATTTGATTCAGCTGCAATTTCAATCACTATCACGAATCAGGTCATCTCAACTACATTTCAGTATAAAACCTGCCTTGGAACTTGATAGCAACCACTAGATGCTAATTTAGGAGAATGCCACATTCACATACATATCAGAGTTAACAGATCTGTGAATCTGAAGGCCCAAAAGATCCACGAGAGCTCCGGGGGTAGATAGGCAAAATGAGACGAGGCGTTGTCGTCCGTTGCTATATCCCGCCCAACCATCATGCTAGCTTAGAATCACTGAGATGTTGGTAAGATGACAGGCTCTCATCCGCCTCTGGATATGTTTGAAGCACCAGGCGACCTAAAATCACTCAATGATCATGAAAGTGCGTATCTGATTTGAATCGATTACACGTGTATAAATATCTTGCCTTCCAGCCACTCAACATCACTTGGATCACACTCAACGACTTCCAAGTCATCAACTTCAAGACAACGCAGCAATTTCAAACCACCGACCGCAATGGCCAGCCTACTCAAGTCCATCCTCCTCCTGGTCCAGCTCTCAGGCCAAGCCCTCGCGCTTCCCTACTATGACGACCCTCCCGCGCTCACGACGACCTCCGTCAGCACTCAAACCCAAACTTCCTTTGAGCTGCCCTACGAAACACTCGCCGTCCGTCAGGGGACAAACTCGACAGACAAAGACACTTCCTTTAAGCAAACTTGCAAGGACATTTCCATCGACATGCCCGATGGCGACCTGAACAAGAATGACGGCCCCGATGGGAATTCATACAAGAACTCGCCCCGGCTGTCCGCAAACTGCCAAGAGTCAAACGGTAACTACCGATGCGCCAGCATCAACTTGAGCAACTGCGTCGCCAACCTAGAGGGCTGGCTAGCCTGGGCAAAGGAGTAAGTGATCTCATTACAGGAAGGGCTGAGGAGAACTGCGTCCTTTCTCAGCCAGTTTTTTCCCTTCGCTTGGCCCTGGCACATGCTGACCTTGAACCCCAGCGGCAACTTCCACACCTCATGCAAGGACTGCGGACTCGATAGGAATAAACGTGAGCTGGTCTGCAGGTGCAAAAAGTACAAAGGTTCAACTGACTTCTCGTTCATCTATCTTGGTGAGTGGAAGGCCGCGCTCTCCCCCAAGTCGTATTGAGCTGACAATCGGGACCTCTAGCTGAGCACATGAAGAACGAAGACGGACGACTGGCTTGCGAAGGGTACAAAAGTGAGGACAGCCACTGCCCGGGTTCAAAGTAATTGCCCGAGTGACATGTTAGGTGAGGAGGAAGTGCCCTTCTGGAGGCGGATATGCACCCATGGCAAGCTTTGCTCATCCATGTATAACTTCATGTATTCAGCTTATTATATAGATTATTTGCTAGAATATCGATTGGACTGACCCCCAGTTGACTCATAGATAGATAATCTTTAATCCTCTTCTCCCAAGTTACTTACTCACTTTAACCCGTGAACGATGCATCAAGCGGGGCGTCACGTCCGGCTACATGCATTCACTCACGCCCTTGTTTTGTCATCACCCTCAGCCTCAACACCAAGAAACACCACCTCAATATCAGCATATAGTATTCATCATTACTCATAAAACCAATCTATATCTCCTCATGTCTGACCCAGAGCTAGTCGCAGCCTTCCGCCACGCCGTCTACACCGCCGTCCAGGAGATCCCTCACGGCCGAGTCACCAACTACGCCCAGATCGCCTTTCTCATCGGCGAGCGTGAGTTTCATCCTTTCCCTCTTATTGATCATATACTAATACGCGGACCAGCCCAACGCCCTCGCCAGGTCGGCGCCTGTCTCAAAGGTCTCCCCGGCGCCGACTCCGACGCCCGCTTCCACAGCGCAAACGTCCCCTGGCACCGCGTCATCAACGCCAAGGGCCTCATCTCCCACAGGTAGATACCAACCCTTCCAACTCCCCTGAATCCCATGCTGATCGGTGACAAGAGGCCCCGGGTCAGCAGCGCGACAGGCCGCCGCGCTGCGGGCCGAGGATGTCGAGGTGACAGAGGACGCCATGGGCGAGTTCATGATCGACTTTGGCGAGTATGGCTGGTTCCCCGAGGTGCTGCCCTCGGAGCAGGAGCAGGAGGAGCACGTTGAGGAGTCGCCGCCTCCGCCTCCAAGACGGCGGGATCAGGAGCAGTCGAGGCGGCGGCGCAAGGAAAGATCCCGCAGACGGCGGACGGAAGAGACCTCTGAAGCATGATTCACACACACAAGCGGACATCACGGTATACAGAGGGAGGCACAAGTCAGGCGTTCAAGAAATTTGATGAAATTGTTTTAAAAATATCTGAAAAAAGGAAAACCAGAAAAAAGGCTCGTCGATCGTATTGGTCTCGGTAGCAATAATAAGTGATACAAGACTATCTATCTGTCACAACAATGCCCACAGGGTGGCGGGATATAATCGTAAGATTCATCGCTCTCTCTCTCGTCCCTCTTTTAGCGCTCTTCTTCTTCTGCCTCCCCTTTTCTCTCCCCCTCTTTCACTCTTCCCCCGATAGAAATTACACGTTACAGGAAACAACAAGATTTTAATATATTCTTGTTGCGAAGGTATGAGGCAAACAAAATATAGTGTAAAAGGAGAATATCCATGAGACGACGTAATAAACGCATAGAAATAAAATGTCGAGAAAAATAAAGCTTATCAAGGAAACGGGAATCAGCGTAGATGCATGGTCTCATCATGCAATAACAGAATATAGGTGTAGGTATGGGTGGAAAGGGTGGCTGAGTGGATGACTGGTGATTAATGCCACGCAGCCTTTTGGATATATCGACAAGTTGCGTATTGACGGAAAATGAACTGCTTTACCCGCTCAAAAACTCCTGGCCAACGAGGAAATGACACCGCAATCAGAACAAGGAAATGGAAGGAAAGGCAAGTAGGTATGCAGATGCTGATGAAACAAAAGGCACACAGGCGGTCCAGAACATGCTTGCGAGGCCGCTGAGACGTCTGTCCGTCCACGTCGAGTAGGGTTCTCCCAATCGACGACCGACTAGATGCAGCGTAGCCCCTCCTAGAAGCAGTTCAGGCTGCCCTTCTTCTTCTTCGTCTTGTTGATGGCGTTCATTCGGTCCTCGAGCTGCTTGCGAGCTGCCTCGGCTGCCTGGCGCTTCTTGCGCTCCTCCTCGACTGCCTGCAAGCTCCAGCGGTTGTCCTGGGCTTCCTGGGCTGGCTTCTCCTTGAGCTCCTTGACCTCGAGCTCGAGCTCGCTGGCACGCTTCTTCCAGGCCTCGCAGTCGGCCTTGACCTTGTTGGACTGCTTCTCCAAGTCGGTGAGGGCCTCCTCGAGCGTCTGCGTCAGTTGACGCTCGGCATCCAGATGCTTCTTGATGGTGCGGATGCGAGCCTCCTGGTCCTCCGCAAGCTGGCTGACTTGGCTGGCGCTGAGAGCACCAAAGTTGTCCTTGCTTGGTGGACGGGTGGATGTCGGTGAGCTCGGCGGGTGGCCGTTGACGTTGGGAGTACCCGGTGCGCTTGCTCCGTTGGGCAGAGGCGGCAGCGGGATGACTGGAGGTGGAGAAGGAAGCGAAGTGTGGGATGCACTCTTCCTAACAGCAGACTGGACACTAGATCGGTTGATGTCGCTAGTGGTCTCGTCATACTTGGACTGGAGCGGATACATGTTAGTGTTGTGCCAATAGATCTGTTGCGTTTTCATAAAACTTACCTGCAGAGCGGCGTACTCCTCTCTAACAGCTTCGAGCTCAGCCTGCAGCCTTAACCGCGAGTTGTTGATCTCCTCGAGCTGTGAGTCACGCTCGGTCTGGAGAGTGCTGATGCGGTTGTTGGTGATCTGCGCCTCGTCAAAGTTGCTCTGGAGTTGTTCCTCGAGCTCCTCAATCATCCGCGTGTTCTTCTCGTTGCGGCTCTCCATCTCAGCCAGCTTGCCCTTCAGAGCCTCGACCGTCGCTGTCATGGAGCCCGAGTTGGTGGGCGCAATGTCTGCCAGTGACTTCTTGGCGTTCTCCAGGTCCTTCAGGATACCATCATTGATGGTTGAGAGTTCGGCCACATGCTTCTCCATCTCGCCAGCCCTCTTGCGCTCGCTACCAAGCGCCGCGCGATCAGCGACCAAGCTATCGATCCAAGTACGGAGGTTGTCTGGCTCAGGTTCCATCCCCAGAGCCGTACCGACCTGGCGAGCCAGTGTGACAAGCTCCTCACGGGTTCCAGAGACCTCCGCCTCGAGGTATCGAACGGTATCAGCTTGCTCGCTCATAAGGACAGCAACCTGTTCCTCGTAACCCTTCTGCTCCTGCAACTTCACATCCGCCAGCTCCTGCTGGTGAGCAGCTTGCAGAGACTCGAGTGTCTGGTGAGTTCTACTGGCAGCCTCCTCGTGGGCGGTGAGTTGCTCCTCAAGTGTCAAGACAAGCTGCTCCAGGCGGTTAGCCTCTGCAGCTTCGGCTTCCCGATCCCTGACAGAGGCCTCCAGGTCAGCAGCAACGGAGGAGTGCACCTTGTTCAGCCTATCAAGATCAGCGACCGCAGTAGCGTGCGCGCTCTCGAGCTCAGCAACCTTGGTAGCATTGCTGTTGATGATGGCCTTGTACTCGTCAATCTCGCTTCGGAGGAAGCTGATCAGGCTCTCCTGCTTCCTCTCTGCCTCCTTGGCTGCCTCGTCTTGGCCGGCTGGAACAGAGCGAGCCTGTTGCAACTCAGCATGCACAGACACAGCCTGGGCCTCCAGCTGCTTGATCGTGGACAGCAACTCCTGTTCCTTGGATGCAGCAGTCTCCAGAGCTGCCTTGTGCTGGAGCTCCCACTGGGAGACCTCGTGTTCGAGCTGTGCGATCTTGGTAGCATTGGCGATGGTGTCATCAGCCCCGGGACCAGTCATGGCCTTGCGGAGAGCTTCCAACTCGTTCTCCAGATGCCCCTCGCGGGACGCATGAGCCTCCTTGAGCGACGCAATCTGGTTCTCGCTCTGCTCGAGCTGGTCTCGAAGGGTTGCCACCATCGACATGTCGACAGGGCTTGCCTTCAAACTGCTGCGCTCACGAGTAAGACCTGAGATGATCGTCATCTTAGCCTCCATCTCCTTCTTTGTAGACGCAATATCGGCCTCCAGCTCCTGAATGCGTTCGCTGCGCGAGTGGAGCTCATGCATAGCTGCATTGAGGTTGACCTCGAAGTTTTGCCACACCTCGGGGCTGTTCTTAAGGTGTTCGTTGGCAATATTGCGAAGGGAGGAGAATGACCGTTGAGCGCGGTCGACGAGAAGGTTCTGGCTTGATTTGCGGCGAATGATAGGAGTGGGTGTTCGGGGAGAAGTGGCCTCGATAGCACGAGCCTTGTGCACCTCAGTTTTAAGTTCCTCCACAATGTCCAGAGTGTCGTTGTGCTTAGACTCGAGCTCGGCGTACTTGCTAGCAAGCTCTTTCTCGGCAGCCTCTCTTTCGGCAACAAGAGTCTTGAAGCGGGTGATCTCAGCCTCGAATTCTTGGTTGCTCCGCTCAGTAAAGGCGGGAGAAAGAGGTCCCTCTGTCATATCATCCGACGAAGCACCACCTGGCTTGGTTGTGGCAGTCTCGTCCTCCGAAGACACGTCTCCGTTAGATGTATCCGCAGTAGCAGGCGAGTCCATAGCAGATGATAATTCCGAGGAGAGCGATCGCGAAGCTGATGACCGAAGCCCATGCTTGGAATCGTTCGTCTTCGTCTCCGACAAGAATGAATCAGGACGACCCGCAGCCTCAGAAATAATTGAATCGCGAGGACGTGATGGCTTACTGTGGCGCGCCTCATCAACTGCATCCTGAAGCTCGGCAACTTTGCGCATAGCTTCCTCGTACTTGAGATGAAGGTCATCGAACGAGTTCACAGTGGTTTCGTGTTCCACACGGAGATCAAAGAGCTCCTGGGTCACAGTCTCGAGCTTATCGGCCACAAACTTGCTCTGGGCAGAGTTTGGAACATCTTCATACTCACCGTTGGTGGGGCTTGTCTCAACCCGAGGGGTTTCCTCGGCCTCCTCCTTAACAGTAGGAATCTGAGCTGCCTGGTCACCCTCGACGCCCTCATCACCCTCGGGGATGGGATCCTGAGTTTGGCTGTGACGGCTCACATGCGATTGAACTCTGGAATGACCTGCAGTGCTACTTCGTCGGCGGGCAGGTCCGTTGGCTGCGGGTTCCTTTGGCTCGGGTCCAGGCTGCTTAGCCTCCTCGACATTGTCCAGGTCGTAGAGAAGAGAATCGAGTTTTCCTAAGCTGCGTTGACGCTCAATGACCTGCTCCAGACGATCAATTTCCCGTTGCATGAGCTCAGAATCTTGGTCAGTCTCCGCAAGGCGCTCTTCCAGAGTCGAGATATAGTCTTCGCAAGAAGCCTCATTCTCACGAACCCGGGCAATCTCCTTGCGGAGCTGCATGATGATTGTTGCATTCTTCTCCTCGCCATTGGTATGCCCATCGAGCTTGGTCTCAAGATCATGCAGGTAGTTCTCCGTGCTGGCCTCACGGTCCATGAGCTTCTGAAGTCGGGCCTGGAGCTGAGTGTTAATGGTCTCGGCGTACGCACACTTGCTCTCCTTCTCCAGCAGACTAGCTTCGGTAGTAGAGAGTGTTCCTCTTGTGCTCGACAGGGAGTGTTCCAGGGACTGGATGGTTTTCTCGTATTCCATCACAACCTGCTCAACAGCCTGGGCGAAAGAGTTGGATCGATTCAGACGGTCCGTTGCGGTGTCACCCAATTCGTGTGCCTCGTTAGACTCATTCTCCCGAGCCTTTGCCATCTCAGAAATCAACTTGGCATGTCGCTGGCTGAGCGCAGTGTAATTTTCCTGAGTGTCGAGCAGCTGGTTCTGGAGCTCGGCCTCCCGCTCACTCTGGCGATCAAAACGTTCGTTGGTGCTCAAATTCAGACGGCGAGGACTGGGCTCGCCACGGCTTGCATTGCTGCTGATTTGCTCGCGAAGGAAGGCGATCTCGACCTTCAATCGGTCGATAATGGCCTGCTTATCTCCTTCCTCAACCTGCTGGATGCGGGGCTTCGACTGAATAGCGCGAGCACGCTGAGCGTATTGAACAGTGTTGAGAGTCTCACTAAGATGGAATTCAGCAGGCGTCACACAGGCAATCATGTAAGTGATTGCATTTCCGCCCAGCGAATCCTGGAGCAAGCGTGTGAGCTTCGAGTCACGGTAGGAGACGTGGGACCCAGCCTGTCTCGACGACAGCTGGCTGATGACCTTGCCAAGCGAGGCCAAACCGGCGTTGATCGAGATACCTTCCTTGGCCCTCTCGCCATGAGCGCCAGTGTTCTTCAGCCTTTCGCTACCGGCCAAATCCACAAAATGCAACTTGCTGTCAGTTGTGACGGTGACCTCTTGGCCCGTCATGGACTCAATGGGTACCGAGAAACGCTTTTCGTTGGTCGAGGTGGGGGCAGACTTGTTCTTCCGCTGCACAAGGTTCAGGGAAAAGACGGCGTGCGAACGGGAAGACTTGGCGTTGATGGCGGTAGCATCAGTCTGTCGAATCGAAGAACCGAAATTCAGCGCATTGATGAGATCATCGACGCAGGTAATGTCCACCTGGCGGAGGCCAGTGAGGATAATGTTGCCCTTTACATCTTCTCGAATCGCGACGTTGCCACGATCGGCCACCGGTGTTGATTCGGGAACGAGAAGATCGCGCAGCTGCTCATTATAGATTTCTACGTATGTTGCCTTCAGAGACCAATCGGCGTCGCCAAGTGTGTTTTGTTGGCCATATCCTCGCGGTGTTCGGAGGTGGGACATGGAACTGCGGTTTGAAGGCTTGACCGGGACGGCAGCCTTGCTGACGTCGAGCGTCTCGAACAATGCCTTGGCGGCGCGGGGAATGACACCTAGAAAGTTAGAAGGAAGGTAGACATATTGGCGGGTTGGTTTAAAGACTCACCCATGATCTCTTCGTCATGCTGCTCCAAGGGACCTGAGGTACCCATGGTATAGGATTTACCCGCACCGGACTGTCCGTATGCAAGTAGTGAGACATTGTAGCCCTGGGTAAAGGCGCTGATGGATTCGCTGAGGTACTCCCAAACGCCGTCTTGCATCACATCGGAGCTGAAAACGCGATCAAAGACAAACAGCTTCTTGCCCTGGGGAGAGTCGATGGCCAGACTCGTATTCGAAGTGGTCTGGACCATGGATCGTTGGAATCGTTGCGGAATAAGCTCGTAGCCGGGGTCCGTTGGCTTCAACGCCGGTCGAACGCGGACAGCTAGAAAGAAAACCCGGGTTAGCAAGGACAGAGATCTTTGATGATGTCTGAAGCGCAGGCGCCCGCGCGATGCGAAGCGATGCGATGCGACGGAAAGCACAACACGTACCAACTTTCACTGCAGTCCGGCTGTCCTCATCAGAGGCTCTACTTCCTGTGGCGACAGTCTTGCCGCCAGTCATACTCAAACGGCTGCTGCTTCTATTCGCGGGTCGCGCAATGGCACTGGCAGGTCGTTGTCCGCCGCCCTGCTGAGGGGAGGTCGGAGGCGAATTCGTCGTCGTCATGTTGGCAACCGAACTGATGTTCGCCGGGGAATCAGAAACAGTTGTGGAGGGCGTTCATTCAATGGCAGCGGCGAGGCGCGAAACCAAGTACGTTCGCGATTGTTTCGATCCCTGCCCGAGGGTGGTTGGAGTATCGTCAGGCAGTCATAAAGTGCGCTGCCGGGGGATGGGCGACGGCGCGGGACGATAGTCGGACAGGATTCCCTTGCTTGTCGGTGCCAGACTGCAGAGGCGGTTTTGGTACCTTACGCGTCGAGATCTTGAAGTGCGCGATCTCAGAGCAGCGACGACTGTCAGTCAGGGTGTTTGGAGGACTGGACTGGACTAGAGGAAGGGGCGGATCAAGGAGGGTGTCGACGCAAAAGGTGTGTGGCCCGCTCAGGGTCGTCTCTGGCCCGTGGGAATGAGATAGAACGTGTGGGGTGATTTTTAATTAAATTCGCGTCGAGCCAGCGGCGTGAGACTTGCTGCAACCTAATCAATAAGAGGGACCGCGTGTTTGAAGGAATACTTCCTGCGACTCCTCCCGGCTGCTCGAAAAGGCGATAGGTAGGTACAGACGAAACCTGGGCCTGGAAAGGGACTGAGCCAGGAGGGAAAGGGAGTACCCGGTCGGTCGTATGTATGTAATCTAATGTAGCGACCCGAATATGGACTTTTGGACAAGGTTGGGGGGGAAGCAAAAAAAGGGGAGCCAGCCAGGATGCGATGGGATTTGACAGTGCTAGAGCGAGAAAAATCCAGGGGCAGCCATCTGGCAAGGTCCCCACCAACTGGGCCGACAGGGAGCTGCTAATGGCCGCTAGTGGCAGAGTGAACAGCGAGCTGGGTGCCATCTTAGTGGCTGGGCCTGTGGCAGCAAATTGATGGCATCTGGACTGAGCTGATAATCACACATACAAGGAACATAGTCGGTACCTGCTTGCTGTGTCGGGGGCCCTCACATGCACGAGGGACCGCCAGATGACAGCAAAAGCAGAGAGATGGCCATTGTAACGCTGGACCAGCTCCGGACCAGCAGACTGTCACGCTCACTGAGAGGAACTCCTGCTGCTGTAACCCTAGGTGGTCACTTCACCGAAAGGAGAGCTCTCCAGCCAATCACAAGCTGTCTCAATCCCCTCACGCTCCAGCACTCGCTAAACGGGTTGGTGCACGGACATCGATGGCCCCCACTGTGCCACTAAACTGCGGGTGCATAAGGTACCAGAAAGCCACACAGAGCACGACTCTCACTCTGTCTGATGCTTGTCTGATGCTAGTCCTCTCCCAGATCCAGGGTCGCATCCCCCGAGGAGCTGTGAAAGAAGAAAAGAATCCAGCACCGTGCCGTTCTAGGGGGTGCTCTAGCCTCCCAGTCAGTGGCTGGCGCGAGCATGCAGCCCTTTATTCCAGACCATGCCAGCCCTGGTTGCTGCTCAAGTTACCTCACCTTGCCCATGTTCGCCTTACCTATCAATAGACACGGACACGGCTTACCAAGCTCCATTATCGTCGTCTCGTCCCTTGCTGGGCTGGACAGCACCAGCATGATGACCATCCATGATCCAAGACACGTCCATCCGCTCTGCATTGGGCGCCTCCCATGGGCCATCCCTACTCGCTTGCCCTTTAGCGCGCGCTGGGCCAGCCTCAGGGCCATTCATCATCAAGCCGTATCCAGCATCGGGTCCCGACGATCAGAGCTCATCTTGATGGCGGATAGCATCACCCAGTTATGCCGGTGGCCTACAAGGACTGGCCATGTTTTCTCTGCACCTGGCCTCGATCCTCAATCCAGGAACCGCTGGCGCACAAACCTGCTTCGGCTTAGCCTGCATCCAGGATGGTGTGGATTCGTGGACCAGCCCGGGTCCCGCGTCATTTGGCCCTGCGAAAGGCTCCCGGTCATTGGACCTGTCCTGTGATTATTGTGGAGGGCCTCACGGACACTCTCGTGCGCTCTGAGTCGGTGCCGGGCACTAACCCATCACTTCGCCGTGTTGGGTATTCACGCCCAGCCACCCACGACCCGCGTCGGGCAATTGGCGACGAGCTACTGCTTAATAGTAGATTCAAGAGTGCTATCTCAGTGCCAACGGCTCCGGGAAGCTCGCACAATAGTCCTCATTTACTTGGCCGGCTGACAAACGACACCCACGTTTATCTCCCCTGTCGACCAACGGTTTGATTCCTCCCCCTAGGTTAGCATGGCAAGGTTCCATCCCTTTTTTCTCTTCCTGTCCAATACCGAGCGTCACAGTGTACGGATGGATGTGCGGCGCACAGTGTGTCTACCCTCACAACGCTTGTTCCATACCCTCATTTTCTTTTTGGGTGTGGGGAACTCACTGGTAAGGTGCTGACTAGAAGAAAAAGCAATTATTCCACGCCACCGTCGGCCCTGAGGTTAAAGCCATCAGAAAGCAAAAGCTGGCAATCCATCGTCGTTTCAAGTCGTCCCGGCCTTCCGGCACCCTGGATACCCGCCACCTTAGCGCTGGTGGCTGGAGCTTTGTTGCTTTGTGACCACACAGACCATCCATCAAAACACCTAGAGTAGTGTGTAGAAGCTTGTAGAGGCCATCACGATGCCATCAGTGACGGGCGTACCACAAGAGCAAACCCCAAAATGGTTCCAATACGTCACAGTCTCAGGTCCAAGGGTAGTTGATTACGACATCTGTCTCTTCGGTTTCGAAGTATTTGCTTTTTCTAGAACATGCAGTTCTTCACCGCCGAGCCAGTGTGGAATTCTAGGGCAAGTACATGATGTGTAGATGTGAGACCTATGCCGTGTGCCTGCAACGGTCTGCATAGCTGGTCTGAGACTTGCGTACCACCTTGATCAAGCATGTCATCTGAGACTCCTCCCCACCATTTTCAAATATTCATTAGGTAGAGTTCACATAGCATGTAGAATTCCATTCGTCGAAGGGAGCGTGCCCTATTGATGGCTGCCGATATAGGGTAGGTCCGTAGCTACGAGGATGGATGCTACTGCTACGTTGAGAGTGTATCACGTGACTACGTGTAAGTGTCCCGCTCTGGATTGCAAACGAAGAACGCGAAGTGGTGGTTGATATCCGATAAGCGTCAACCTGCACAATGGACCAACCCCCCCCATGAGTTCTGGCGCCCACGACCCACGATGGCACGGGAAGTCATTGACTTGATCTCATCAAGTCCGCCACCACCCCGGAAGTCATCATCGCCGCCTTTGTTTGTCGATGACACCGTCCCGAGCGGTCAACCGACACAGTCCTGCACGAGCCATCCGCATGAGGTGGACCTGGAATATTTGTCGGACGACTTCGACACTACAATTGACATTGACGAGTTGATATCACTTCCGTCATTTGATAAATGCTCCTACGCAAATCCGACAGACAACCTCACGTCCAAACAACAATTGACCCCTGTCTCGATCGAAACGGCGGACACAACGAGGCAGCAGATCATCCAAGAAACAATAACCGATATTCACAGTGATGATTTCGACAATGCGAGCGAAAATGACGAACCAAGAATCTACGAGCCAACGAGAAACGGTAATAAACGAAGACGAGTTTCAGATTGGGTGAACCCGAAAGATCTCCCGACACTAGAACCTAGCGACCCGTTCTACTCGTCTCAGAAAGAAGAACCATTAGGTGGTAACCAGGATGAAAGTTCTCACTCTGCCAACCGCCCTGTCGAGATCTTGAGCTCCCCGGAGCGGCCACCCACCGCACGGAGCAAGCCGGGACTGCCCTCAACGACTATCGAAAACCGACCCACGACATCATTTAGGACGAGTTTCCATAGCAGCCCAGACCCATTCAAGAGCCCGATACCACAGCACATACCCTGCTCCAACCCGCCACAGTCACATGCACCTGAGCATGTAGAGTCGTCGAACCCCTTTGCCAGTTCTCCCCGCGAGACACGTGCCAAGGAAACTGCACCCAAGGCTGCTCGCTTTCCAGATATTGAAATTGTCAGCAGTGCGCCGAGCCCAGGTTTTACATCGAATACTGCATCGAGACGGGAGTGGGACCCCATTTCAAGCTCAGCACCCGAGATAGGATCACATACATTACCAGACGTACGGAGGCAGAAGGCTACGGCAGAAGTTACAATTTCAGTAGATTCTGATTCGTCATCCCAAGGATTTGGAAGCGAGTCGGACGAAGAAGATGAACTACCTGATATCACACAGCTGATAGCAGCTCCCCGGAAACGGTCGTCCCTCCACCGATCATATAGCGACAATTTCGCGTCGAAGAGCCGGTCGAAAGCCTCGAAACCCACAAAGTCTACCGCCGGGAGGGCCCGGGAGCGTGAAGCAAAGGCAGCGGCTATGGCTGCCGAGAAGGCCAGGAAGCAGCGCGAGAGGGAGCGCGACAAAGAGGCCAAAGCTCGCGACAAGGAACGAGCGGCTGCCCTGGCTGAGGTTAACAAGATACGCACGGATAAGAAAATCTCAACTCCTGAAATGCTTGTCGACCTGTCGGCGAGCCTGAACCCAACGACGAGAACGCAGGTGGAGCCTCTCCTGAAGGCACTGGATGTGGAATTCTCAACATGGGAAAGCCCGGTGGACAATGTCATCAAGTGGAGGAGGAAAGTCACCAGCCGGTTCAATGAAGATCTGGGCCATTGGGAACCTGTCCCACGACGCATTCAGAACGAGAAGCATGTTGCTGTAATCATACTGGCCGATGAATTCGTCCAGCTCGCCCTCAGCGGCGGGTTGGACGACCATGTCTCCAAGATGACGGAACACTTCCCAAACCACCAACTCATCTATCTCATCGAAGGCCTTCACGTGTGGATGCGCAAGAACCGCAATACTCGGAACAGGCAGTTCGTTTCTGGCGTGCGAGTGCAGGAAGGTGCCGCTCCGTCCACTAGCAGACGGAGAAACGCGCCGGCTGCGGAATATGTGTCGGAGGAGACGATCGAGGACGCGCTCTTGCAGCTGCAGGTGATGCACGATGCTCTCATCCACCACACCACAATACCACTGGAGACATCGCAGTGGATCACAGTGCTCACGCAGCACATTTCTACGATACCGTACCGGAAGCAAAAGGACTTGGCGACAATGAACGCGGCGTTCTGCATGGAGTCTGGCCAGGTCCGCTCGGGAGACAACCCCAAGGACACGTATATTCGCATGCTTCAGGAGATTTCTCGCGTAACAGCACCAGTAGCATACGGGATCGCGGCCGAATTTGGCACCGTCTCTGAGCTCGTCAATGGCTTGGAAAGTGGAGGAGCAAATCGGTTGGAAGCAGTGAGGAAGAGCGCCAACAAGGACGGGGTAATGTCTGATCGAACCGTCGGCCAAGCTCTGAGCAAGAGGTTGCATAAAGTCTTCACGGGACGGGATGAGTCAAGTACAGATGTTTAGAATATTTAAATTTCTTCTATATTTAACAAAACGCTATGAGTAGTATATCAATTCAATACGACGCCGTCTCCGTTTCTTGTATGGAGGGATGAATGCACTAAATCTTTTCAAACTGTTAGCCACTGCAACATGAACAATTGTTGAAGAGGAAAAAGTGTAAGGGTAGCATGTCAGACAGCGGTTGGACAAAGTTGTTTCCACATTGTTGTTTTCAGAACAGGTCTGTGAATAAATTGCTTTTTCATCATAATGCTTGGGGGAAGATGGTGATCGAGAAATAGAAAAGATGTAACATACCATTGGGAATCTATCGGGGCATCGGAAACGTCTGTCTTCTTCGGAGCGAGAAATGAGTCAATCGTCTTCTGCTTCTCGTCAAAGGCAGCGCTTCCAATGCCGCCGCGGGTCTTGTGCAGACCTGTAAGGTGATCGGTCGAGTTGATACGCTCGACTTGAAGCTTCACCGACGACCAATCTGCTGTAGCAGTGGGGGTCACCTCAGCTTCAATGTAGCCAGTGTTGCTCCATACAACGAGCGCGGGTACGTCGTTGATGTATGCGAAGGGTGGGTGGCCGCCTTCAGCCTCCTTGGTCACGGCGACGGCACCACGGGGGAGGTGCTCGCCGAGACGACGGAACAGGACACTAAGAAGGATGCCGTGAGCGACAATGACGACGGGGATATCGTTCTGGGGAGTCAAGAGTGGGAGCAATTGATCCTTGAGGAACCTGTCCACCCTCGCCCGCATGTCCTCTTGCGTCTCGACACCCACCAAGGGCTGACCTAGGGTGTACTTGGTGCCCTCACCACTGCCAAAGTGCTGCTCGCGGAGCTCAGGCAGCTGCAGGACCACTTCGTCCTTCCCCCTCGCGTCGCAGATGGACTGGGCCGTCTTGGCAGCGCGCTGCAGGTCGGACGAGAATATGTGGATTCCGCTGCTGGCTGGCAGGCGCTCGGCGAGGTGCGAGGCGAGGCGCTGGCATTGGGACACGCCGTGCGAGGTCAGGACGCAGTCGCGCGAGCCCGAGTAGAGCTGAGCAACATTGTCCACGGTCTCGCCGTGACGGATCAGGTAGAGCCGCATGGTTAATGTCTTTGACCCTGGCGAGGTCGCAGAGATCTTCCTGTTGGCATCACCTGCCGCTCACGGGAGAGGACAAGCAGCTTGCACAGCAGAAGAAGCTGTGTTGATGAACGAGGCTAAGAGGTGTGCAAAGCTAGAGAATTTTTCTGGTGCTCTTTATGGTGGGGAGAATACTGATAAAGTGGTATGTGCGATTGACGCATATGACCCACATTATGTATTTACTCAATTCTATGCAGTTGATGGTGGTCTTCACTGGCTGCTCTTGCCGCTTAACCTAGACACACTGGAGCAGAACTTTTAAGGAAAAGGATTCATTATAATTGCCTGCGAGATCCAAAGAAAGCAGATTAAAATACAAGGCCATAAATCATTAGAAGTTCATAATAACACGCAAACCAGTCATCCAATTTTTAAAAGAGAATTCCCTTCTTCTTACCACCATCCTTCTTCTTGTCCTTTCCGAGCAGCGCGTCATACGCACTTCCGAGTCCGAGACTGCCCAAGATTTTGTTCAGTCCAAGGCCGCCCAGAATGTTATCAACCAATGGAGCAAGGCCAAGACCGCTCAGCTGCACAATCTGTTAGAATGATTATTTCAATTGAAATGTTGATTGACTTACCAGTCTGCCAACGAGGCCGAGAACACCGTTGAGAAGCAAGCCAACGGCGGCGAGAATCTGTCCCAGAGGCTCCATCAAGAGTCCCCAAAGGGGGTTGAGCTCCTTCTTGGCATGGGGCATACCCTCAATCTTGCGCTTGGCATTGTCGATGGTCTGGGTGACGGTGCCGGTGAGCTGTGGCATGTGTTAGTATGGCTCTCAGTTCAGATGGATGTTCGATATATCTCGACATACCTCTTTCAGTTGCTCTGCCAGATGATGCTCCTCTGGGGTAGCATCTCTAGTTCCCGATCTCTGCTTGGCCTGACGCTGAATGCGGCCGTCAGGATCAAGACCACGAATCATGCCGTTAGTCTCACTCAGGATCTTGCCGCCTTCCTCAATCAGAGGCTTGACCTCCCGGACAAGAGCCTCTTCGTCAAGGTCCTCCTTGGGAGTACGCTCTGCGCTGTCAATCTTGTCTGTGATCAACTTGCACAAAGGTCGGATCTTGTCCAAGGACTGCTCAATGCATCCGCCGAGCTGCCCAGCAAGCTTTCTGTCCTTCTCATCTTCGGCCTTTTGCTTGGCCTCTTCTTCCTTCTGCTTAGCTTCTTCCTCACGAGCCTTTCTCTCCTCTTCAGTCTCCACATGCTCCGGCTCAGGCTCAGGAGGAATGTTCTCAAGAAGAGATACATGGCCAATGGTGTGGCCCTTGGCGTTGACAACATCGCCATCGTCGTCAACCTCCTTGCCTGAGCAGATTTGAAGATCGCCACTGACAAGCTTGCCAATGATGTTGCCATCGTCGTCGACAACGTTACCTTCTCGGTTCACCCGTCGGCCAGCGAGAGGATCCTTCTTCTTCTCAACCTCAGGCTCCTCCCATCGTTCAGCCTTGCCAAGGACGTTGCCGTTTCTGTCCACAACATCGCCGTCCTCATCAACTGATCGACCAGCGAGAACCTTGGGGTCTCCTGAGATGAGTCTGCCTACCACATCACCAGCTGCGGTCACGACCTTGCCGTCTTTGCTGACGGTAAGACCCGAGAGCTCTGCAAAGGGGCCATCCTTGGACCCTTCGCGCTCACCCTCAGAAACAATCTCAGCCTTGCCGATAATGTCACCAGACTCGCTGCGCACATTACCTTCCTTGTCGCACATGCGGCCGACAAGGTTGGCAACATTTCCTTCAATGACACGGCCATAGATGACGCCAGACGAGTCAACGACGTTGCCTCTCTTGTTGACACGCTTTCCAGCGAGGCAAGAGCGGTCAACTACTTTCTCAGCTTCAGCCTCTGGTTCATCCCAGGACTCAGCCTTGCCAACGACATTGCCGTTTCGGTCAAGGATGTCTCCATCCTCGTCGACCTTGCTTCCCTTGAGGCGTTTGGGATCGCCTTGAACTACGACACCAACTTGGACGCCATCAGAGGTCACACGACCGTCAGCCTCCACGATGGCATTGGGGAAGTTCTCGAATGGTGCAAAGTCCTTCTGCTCATCACGGTCGCCCGTAGTCAGAGGCTCGCCCTTGCCAATAATCTTGCCGCTGCTGTCCCAAATGTCGCCGTTCTCATCGCAAGTCCTGCCTTGGAGCTGCTTGATGTTGCCCTCGACAACCTTGCCGACGACTTCACCTCTGGAATCAACCAGATTGCCAACCTTGTTGACTTTGGCGTTCTTGAGAGAGCTGGTGTCAGTTTTTTCTGGCTCTTCCTCTACTGGGACGTCTTTCTCCTTTGGCTCAGCCTTGCCGACAACATTTCCGTTTCGGTCAAGAATATCGCCGTCCTCATCGACCTTGCTGCCCTTAAGACGCTTGGGGTCGCCTTCGACGACGATACCGACCTGCTCACCCTTGGAGGTGACACGGCCGTCAGATTCAACGATAGCATCAGGGAAGTTTTCAAAGGGAGCAAAGTCCTTGTGGTCATCGCGCTCAGCCTGAGAAATGGGCTCGCCCTTTCCGACAATCTTGCCGGAGTCGTTCCAGATGTTGCCCTCTTCATCTGCCCTCTTTCCAAGAAGTTGCTTGACATTGCCTTCGATAACGCGACCGACCATCTCGCCCTTGTCATTGACGAGATTGCCAACCTTGTTCACCTTGGCGCCCTTGAGGATGGTGTAGTCAAGTTTCTCAGCCTCCTCTCCCTCCTCTCCCTCCTTTGACTCGCCTGCTTGGGATTCTTCTCCCAGAGCTTGCTCCTCACCGATGGTCTCGGGGACGTCAGTGCCAGCTACCTGACTCTTGTCGGCGCTTGCATCAGTCTTGCCGCCCAGGGTCTTCTGATCATCCTCTTGCTCGTGATCTTCAAGAGCGACGGGACCGTCCTGCGATCCTTCAATTCGAGACTCGCCGGCTTCAGTGCGAAGCTCGTCTGGGACTTGCGAGGGAGCGTCGCCAGCCTCTGAGGGGAGGTTTGGGACTTCAGATTGGGCATCACGCTGGCTCTTGTCACCCAGTTCTAGTTGGGAGCCCTCAGGTACCTCTGAAGGAGCATCAGCGCCTTGCGAAGGAGCAATTTGGGAGACTCCAGACTTGGCACTCTTGAAAGATTCGCCAGCCTCGGTGCGCGCATCCTCTTCTGGGACTTCTGAAGGAGCGTCGCCAACCTGCGAGGGAGTGATGTCGGGAGCTCCAGGCTGGCCGCTCTTTAGAGATTCGCCAGCCTCGGTGCGCAGATCATCTGCGGGTGCTTCGGATGGAGCGTCACCGGCCTGCGAGGGAGTGACGTCGGGAGCTCCCGATTTGACGCTCTTTAGAGACTCGCCGGCTTCGGTGCGTAAATCATCTGCGGGTGCTTCTGATGGCGCGCCCTCGCCTTGAGAGGGAAGAACCTTAGAGGCTCCGGACTTCGCGCTCTTGAGGGACTCACCAGCCTCGGTGCGCACGTCCTCTTCAGGGGCTTCTGAAGGAGCGTCACCAGCCTGTGAGGCAGGGACGTCTGGGACTTCAGACTGGCCACCCTTTAGAGATTCGCCAGCTTCGGTGCGCAGATCATCTGCAGGTGCTTCGGAGGGAGCGCCGGCGCTCTGTGAAGGAGGAACCTTAGAAGCTCCAGACTTGGCGCTCTTGAGAGACTCTCCAGCCTCGGTACGAACATCTTCAGGAGCTTCGGAAGGAGCTCTGGCACCCTGTGAAGCAGGGACATCAGGGACCCCGGATTGGCCGCTCTTGAGCGATTCACCAGCTTCAGTGCGGGACTCATCTTCAGGAGCCTCCGAGGGTGCGAGGGCACTCTCTGGAGGAGGATATTTGAGGTTGGGATCGCCAGCTTCGGTGAAGGAGTCATCTTCAGGTTTAGGCGGCACATCATCTAGATCAGCCTTGGATCTTGAGACCAGATTTGGCTGACCGGCCTCCGATAGATTGGCCTCTGACCTGTTTGCTTGCGTTTCAGTTTCGGCCTTTTCGACCTCTGGAGCATCAGGAGCTGCCTCTTGTCCGGCGTCGCTCAGGTTTTTCTTGCTACGGCTGAATGATCCGAGGCCTTGCTTGACGAGGCTGGAAGCCGAACTGAAGAAGCCGCCGGTAGACTTTGCGTCCTCTTCCTGGACCTTGGGGCTTTCCGTGGCCTCTTGTTTTCCAGTAGTGTATTCCTTCTCCTTGTCATCTTCGAGAGATGCGCGTCCGACGGTTTCGCCAGCGTCGTCAACGACATCTCCGGCAGCTGTGACTGTGTTGCCGACCAATGATCGGGCGTCCTCGGACTCGGCAAGCTTGCCAATCGTCCTTCCCTCATGATCGATTATTAGCCCGGACTCGCTCACAAGGCCCGTAGCGGATCGTGGGATGGCTTCGGCTGAGCGATGTTAGTTTCTAAAGCTAAGATTGTATAGCGTGGCCACCTACTTGGATCGGACCTCTCTTGGGCCGGGGTGTCTCTAGGTGTCTCTCTTGGCGTGTCTTTTTTCCATCCCCCAGGGATGGACATTGGATTATGGCTTGACATGGTATTTGTTGTTTTTCAAGGTATTGTGTTCTACTTGGGTATAGTAGAACTGGGTGGTGTATAGGATCTTCGTGATTCACGGTATGAGCTACGGACACTGTTTTATACATGCTTTGGTCCTCAAATCAAGCTTCAACTACAAGCTGGAAACTGACACAACGAGTGTCTCAGCGCCTTCAGACGTCACAGCATAACCATATTACACGTCCAACAAGCATGTGCTTCACAATTTTCAGCTCTTTAAGCTTTCCTTAGACGTCATCTTGATGAGTTTCTGGGAAAAAACATCAAGGAGAAACAACCTTCGCCCTCGAATGACGCCGTCTTTGACGCCACCGCTCGCTCCCGTAACAAACTAATGCACAACATCACTCTAGATGGGCTCAAACAAGGACCTCAGAGTAGGGGTCTCCCGACTGATGATATCAGGAAGCTTCCAGGCTTCTCCGGTGCAGGCATACCCTTGGTTCGCGGAGTGTCGATCCCAGAATCCGGTGGGCGGGATCGAGATTTCCTACGCTACCTTGACATCAACGCTGGGAGGCCTGCTTCAAAACAGGTTTTCCATGCAAGGATTATGCAGCCATTGTGTGCAGACCACCCCACTGCCCCGTAGACTTGCGAGGCGCTATTACGAATCGTGGGATCTGCTTTGGCCTCGTTACATCCGCTCCAATGTCGTGCATGCGAACCAAACTCGCGTGGACTTTAATTATACTCGTATCTTAGGAACTCTTCTGAGCTTTTCTATGTATTCCCTGCCCGAACCCGTTTGAACGCCTTAACCCTTAACGCTGATGCTATTCTGCAGATTGGTTCACTGATGGCTGTTATCGCCATTTTCCCTCGGGCGATCCTCATACTTCACCCTCTCCTCCTCCGTCTTCTGATGGTCATGCTCTGCACAGTCGTGCTCCCTGTTAAATATGGTGGGTATCTTCATAATGATCTGGATGCCGTCAAACGTCGACTTGACATCTAGATATATCTCCGACGGGTTGGGAGCAGACGCCGGCTTGGGCGGCGGCGGGGGAGGCTCAGCCCTCTGCTTGGCCGGCCATGAGCTCTTGGCGTCCTTGTTGGGCGGCTCGTTGAGCTTCCCGATTACCGCGCCGTCCTGGTTGTAGATGTTGCCCTCCCCGTCCACCTGTAGTCCGTTGCCGAGCTCCTGGCGCTCCGGCAGGATGTAGTTGTCCGAGACGTAGCCCACGACGTCGCCGTCCGTGTCCAGAATCTCGCCGTTCTGAGACACGGGACGGCCGACCATGGACGGGAGATCGCCCTCGACGCGGCCGAGGACTGTGCCGTCCCAGTCTAGGACGTTGCCGAACTCGTCGACGTACCTGCCCTCGAGGCCCTGCGCGAGGGTCTCATGTCGTGACTTGGGCGGCGGCGGGTCTTCGCTTCCCGGCGGGTCATATCGTAGGGACCCCGTGGGGACGATTCTCGGTATGGGCGTGATCTTGGGCGGTGGTTTGTTGTTGCTGCTGGGTGACGACGAAGAGGCTGGTTGTTGTTGTGAGGGTGTAGGCGGGGAGGAAGGTCTAGATGTTTGTTTTGGGCGGTCTGCTTCGGCAGCCTTGCGGTATGGCACCTCGAAGATGTGCGTCGAGTGCGTCTGGCGATCGGGAGCCGGCGCCGAGGGCCCTGGCTCGCCTGCTGAGCCTCCCCGCGACGGAGAGGGCTGGGCTGAAGAGCTGTTGGACGTCATGTCAGCTCCCAGTAGGCAGTGGGGGGCGGGGGTGTGGTTTTGCTATCGGGCAGAGTGATTGTTTTGATTGTTGGATTTGTCGGGAGAAGAGGGGGAGGGGGAGAGAGGGCGAAGGAGAATCAGACCATGGTCTTGGGGATGGAGGTTTGGATTGAAAGCGCAAAGATCGACCTGGTCTGGGCGGGGGGTGAGAAGCAGGGCCAGGAAGGACATCCGGATTGTCGTATGGAGGATGAGGAGGGGGTTTGGGTGTGAGAAGCTCGTTGGTTTACGGGAGTGTATGCCGTCATCCTGCTTGAACGAGATTGAGGACTGACGCTACCTTGGACAGGGGTAGAGGCTGGGTAGTGATCGTGATCGGAGTTTTGGACTGGCGATCGAGGAAGATCCTCTTGCTGTTTTCCTGCCAGCCCACTCAGACGGGTTTAGAAGACTGCAAACCAAGGCACAGATGCAGGACAGGGGTCAGGGGTCTCCTAGCTTCCCTGCTTGATACACCGGCGCCGTTGGGACGGCTTGGAATCTAACATCTCCACAGCGGCAGCTCAACCCGCTGTGGGGAAGTCTGGAACTTGACCAGCAGAGCTTTTACTATGTAAGAGTTGGTTTCTGGTTGAGAGTTGGCCATGTCACAGGCTGGGCGTTGTGGTGATCTGCCAAGGCGACTCGAGCTGGACTCGACCTACGGGAACACGACGTTGCGGATCCTTTGTGTTACACGGGGGCTTCTGTCACTTTTGACGGGACACCCACTCAGGCCTCTGGTATCCAACCGCTGGGCTGGTCATCTGAGACACACGGCTGCTGTACGCACACACCTGATGACCTAACCGAAGCACGCGATGAACGAACAGTGCAGATGTGAATCCAATTTCATTCCGTCAGTTATCTCATCTCTAAACCATAGATTTTGCTCGTGGCGACAAAGAAAATAAAGTACACTTGGAGCAGTCCAAAATAAATAATAAAACCATGTCCTCTCGGGCTGAAGCGTCCCGCAAATTAACTCCGTTAAGCTTCCCTTGTAATTCGAATTAATCAGCATCTCAGTGCAAACAGCATGATTTGGGGTCTCAGTTTCTGCGTGTCGGCAAGGAAGCGGAAAAGTATTATTAGCCTTTGATGAAATGTCCGATGTTTCAAAACGAGGCTGCACGTTTTGTTGGTTGTTGATGTTGGGGTTGGATATGTATGTATTTATTGCTTCATCCAGTGCTGTGGAAAAGGGTTCACGTAAGAGAATGATTGGCCAAAGTGTGTCGTGAGGATGAGGGGAGAGTGATTTACTTTTACACGTCTCTTGATTTCGAAGAGATGAGCGCTCGAAATCAGGGGCCTGGATGAAGAGGAACAAAGGGAAGAGAGTCAAGGGAGATGTTACGTACAGGAGAGCGAGTTCGAGGTCACCGTGGATCCTCGCCTTGAGCTGGATCTCAATTTCCAGATTCAGGTCCAGACGCAGCTTCAGAGTGTCACTCTTGCCGCCGCCGCCTTGTTCTTGGGGCTGCTGCTGTTGTTGTTGCTGCATCTGCTGTTGTTGCTGCTGCTGTTGTTGCCGCTGGTAGTCGACGCCCTTGAGGGCACTGCTTGAGCCGCTGGACTTCTGGAGGGCCTTCTTGCCCTTGCGGGTCTTCTTCTTGCGAAGGGGAGTGGTCTCCTCTGCTGAAGCGCTGTTGTTGCTGGCGTCCTCCTCTGCCGACTCGTCTGCGGCATCGACGTGCTCCTTGGGCTTCTCCATGGTGGGGGGTGCCATTGTGAATTAATTCTTTTGATGCACTAGTTAAAGCGATGAATGGGATTTGCGAGTAGTGGATGGGATGTCGAAGTAGAGTAGAATGTAGGTCGATTGATATGGTCTAAGTATGTATGGTGTAAGACGGCTGAGCAGACGGTGGTTTTATTCTAAGCATAATATTCTGATGAGACGCAGTTTGTTCATACCCCCATCGTATCCTGTTTCATCCCTGCAGGACCCTTGATCCAGGAATGAAGTCATAGCCAGATCGATCGCTCTCTGCCCGCAGCGGATGAGGGCATAACCACACCATATGGCCACACCTCCTGGGCACGACGTTTCCTTGCCACACCACGGGGTTGTCAAAGAATGACCGGACTGACCTGGCTCCAGCTAGTGACTGGCCGGATCTCAAGCCCCTGTCGCTTGGCTGCCTGTTTGTTCCATCCATACTCCATCCCATCTCCGGCTGTGGATGATCGAGCTCCACCAGTATCGAAGCTATGACACCATAACTAAGTAAGCGCCGACTCATATGCAGGTGGACCAAGGCAGACCGAGAGAGACTGTCCTTCTCTGGGAATAGAGCAGAAATTCTGGCATTTCAGGGGAAGCCGTTGGTCTAGAATCTTGGTTGCAATTACGCGTCTTCCAGCCCACCGTATTTGACCCAAACGCCGTTCTCCCTGATTGCATATTGTGAACCGTTGACAAACGCTACTGGAGAAACTAATCATACACTTGACCTACTGGGGAATTACAGTAAATAACACTTGTTTTTTTAGTTTTTCACAAACCGGCTGTTCACCCCCTGCTGCACTCTCCTCCGCAGCCTCAACCGCAGGCAGTCCTCCATCTTGTGCTCCGGGTCCCAGTACACGCAGAACCTGCCCTGGCCCCCCTCCTCCCTCTTCGCCACAAACGGCTCGTAGTCCTCCTTGAGCGTCAACAGCTCCTCGTCGTCGCTCCAGTGCCACGGCCCAATGACGTGGTCCACCGTGTCTTTCCTGGCGCCGTGCCGCACCTGGCCCGTGTCCTTGTCGATGTATATCCAGTTGAGCGCCGGCGGGTCCACGGAGATGCTGCTCACCAGGCCCATGTGGCCCTCCTCGCTGGGATACTTGAAGTACCAGCCGTGGAAGCGGTGGCCGGGCGCGGGATAGTCTGGCAGGTCGATGAACATCTGGGTGGTTGGTGTGTAAGCTATTTCCTCACCCCCATCCGTGTAAGTCATTCTTACCTGGTTGTCGGCTAGGGTGCAAAACGCCCCCTCCTGATACTCGCCGCCGAGTTTTATCAGCGCTGTGAGATGGAATTTGACTTGGTCTTTGGCTGCTTCCTGCTGCCGCTGCTGGGCGCTGATGGCATTGCCCACTCCGGCCACGGTGGGAATGGCCGCGAGCATGAGGAGTCCGATCACCATGATGGCAGGCTAGGCAGAGAATTACTACTCAAAGCAGTAAATTGTGGGAAAGGATGTAAAAATCGATTAATTGAATAAATGAAACTGCTTTGAAAAGACTGAATTCGTCTTGACGATGGAGAGGCTAGCTGATGGGCATTGAGAAACCCCCGTTCTAGAAGGATTGAACACCCTTCTCTCCCAAGTCAGAGGCCACAGCAGCTCATGACGTTACTCGACCAAGTCTGGGGCGTAATCTGCCTGGCCAGAGGGTTGCAGATGCCTGCCTGCATGCTGCAGCTTTGATCATTCCGCAGAGGTTCAGCGCACAGGGCTGGACAGGGGGCAGGGATCTGTGCCCACACCGGCGTCATCTAAACAGCGGGGGTATGGGAACTCGCTCTCCAGAATCCCGGTCTGTCTGGCGTCATAGAAGACGTGAGGAAGCTGAGGATTTGGTTGTTTTGCGTGAGGTTGAGGACGGGATCGTGATGAGGCGGGCGCGGTTCGAACACGCCCTCCCCCCCTTTGTTTGGCGACCCTGGCGAAACCGGTTGCCGCAGGGTCTGATATCACTGATCGCGCGGGAGGAGGATCTGTTGCGTCACTGCTGGGCACCCTGTAAGAAGAGGAAATCAAGGCCACGGGTATAGGTCGACGAGATTCACAAAAGGGCGTTTGCGCCTGCGCGGTCCATACATGCAGTTGGCCTAATATTCATCAAGTATATTAATTTATTCACATTAATTTTATTAAAGGACGATTCGAACTCGGGCTTCCTAAGCACACACACTATCAAACAAAGGATAAGACGACTACAACATGGCATCTGTAGGTTTATAGCGGAATGGCATCTCACACCTGACCTCAAGCTAACACTGCCATTATAGCAAGCGAATAACACGGCTGATAAGCCAAAAGACCAGAGCAACCCCGGCTCAAGCATTGATAAACCCCAGCAAGACAACCAGGCCCTCGACAACAAGGGCCAGAATGTAGGGAACAACGACGACGAGTACGACTCGGGCGCCGACTTCCAAGACGCCGAGGGCGACCAGGAGGAGAATGCAGGAAAGGGCGGAGAGAACTTCCCTACACCTGAGCCAACGCCCAAGGGGAAGAAGTCTGACGGAAAGAAGCCCGATGAGAAGAAGGATGATGAAAAGAAACCTGAGGAGAAGCTTGGAGAGCAACCTGGGGATAAGCCCGAGGATAAGCCCAAGGACACCCTAGAAAAGCCTGAAGACAAGGCAGAGAAGTCCGAAGAGAAACCCAAGGACTCTCTGGAAAAGCCTGAGGAGAAGGTTGAGGAGAAGTCCGAAGAGAAGCCGGACGTGAAACCCGAAGAACAAGCCAAGCCGGAGCCTGCAGAAAAGACAAAGGACGAAGTCACATCGAAGCCTCAGCCTCAGCCTCAAGTTAAGGATGAAGAAGAGGAGGAAGACGACGATGACGAAGAGGACGACGATGAAGACAGCGACGAGTACGATGAAGATGACGACGAGGATGATGTAAGCGAAGAAGAAGACGATGACGAGGATGAAGATGAGGAGGAAGAAGACTCTGAGACGGAGAGTGATGACGAGGAGCCGTCCACCCCCAAGCATGAGCAGCAGATGCTCGCCCAGCGCAGACAGCAACAGCTCCTCCAACAGCAGCAGCAACAACAGCAACAGGTACAAAAGCAGGACAGCGGCGGCAAGGACGACGCCCTCAAGCTGCGCCTGGACCTGAACCTGGAGATTGAGATTGAGCTCAAGGCCCGCATCCACGGTGATCTGACCCTGGCATTGCTGTAAGTCATCCCCTTGCCCCGATCTTGAATACCGGCTTTCGAGCTGACCTAACAGTGACAAATCTTAGTCAGTAGATACGGGAGCAATTGTGCGAGGAAATGGTGGAGGGAACCTCAGCGAGGATTAGGACGCTGGACGACTCATTTTTGGCGTTCTTGGCTGGTTTTGTTGTTTCAAGTGTATAAGAAGAACGGTAATGGGCACTTTATGTATCATGAGCTCATAAATTTGGTATAATTTCATATGTTCAATAGCAAAAAGGATCATGTTCTTGCTCTCCGATGTTCACGGGCACAGGCCGTCGCAACTGTAACTACCTGTGAAAATAAATATATAGAAGGCCCTTTCATTTGAAGTGGGCGACATCACTTTTGCTGGAGAATATTTGCAATAGAATAATGCCCATTGCACACGCCATGTCCTGCTACAAGACACATCGATTCATAACATGCCCATTCATATCATGCACCAGATATTCGATGGCATGGTGGTAGAAGGTTCAGGTTGATGTTATAGCGGATGCAGTGGCCACTACACCCCTGGACTCAGATCTACAGGGGAACTGGCCGCTGTCTGGGGGCTTCATTAGCGGCATCACACTTGTGTAACCGCTAGAACTCCCACCAAGAACCAATTTCCTGCTACAGGTGCAGTCAATCAGCGTTATTTCTAAAGCATCGCCTTGTATGAAACTTCATTGTGAAACGGATAATGAAGCTGATATTTGGCGTGACCACTTGGCCGGACGTGGCTGATTGTAGTCCAACTGGGTGATGAGTGAGCCTAAAACGCTCATGCAAACGATCAGCCGATCAAACCTCAGCCAGAGGGCGAATTCGGCCTAGCCTTCGGAAGGAATGCGCAAACGAGTACCTCGCGAATGGCGTGCTTGATGCCGATGTACTCGGTAGAGGCTGCGAGGGCCTCGGTATCGAGCTTTAGATGCCAGACAAAGATAGATATGTATTTTATCTTGAAGCTTTCCGAGCTATGTGAATAGGTAGCTGACTTCGGTGGGTGGGTGTAGGCACAATACATCTCTCTTGGTGTGGGGTAACCGAGTTTGCGTATCTGCGATGTGTCTCGAGATGGGAATTAGGCTGGAATTTAATGCATCATATCAGAACATGTGAGGAGGCATCCATCCATTCAGAGGGACGGGTGGGTGGTAGCCGTCGGCAGCGCATCGAGATGCATCTGCTTTGCCCCGTTTGGGAATCTGATGCGACCAGAACAGCAACGGCCATTCCACGAAAGGGAGCAGAATCTGCAGTGGCGAGGTTTAATTCCCATGGCGCAAGGTGGTCTCGTTGTATGTATAAAAAAAATCTGGATGCCGCCCGACACTTGACGACATCGATGACTCGACGCCAGGCGATGGCCACTTGTATCTAGAGGGAGGTCCGTTATCGCGTGCTGTGGCTGCTTATCAGGTGCCGACATCGCCAGCGCTTAGTGACTCGCAGCGGGTGCAACGGCCGTGTGACAGATGGACGTTCCTCCGCATGAGCCACCCTTGCCTGTGCCCCAGCCATGCGCACGCCATCTCTCGCAATCTCCCATTATTGTGCGGCCATCTTGCCGACCAGTTACTTCTTCTCCTCTTCTCGCATCGTAGCTGGCAGGAAACTAGACATTGCCGCCTACCTCTAACCTTCCATACGCCCTTGTTGGCGCCGACCAGCTGACCCGTCTCCTCCCGTTATTGTATCGTCGTATTTGCCTCGCAGACCGACCGAATCGGAGACTTCGCCGTCCTCCTCGAAGCTGCCATCACCCCTCATACCCCGACGGCAAGGGCTCAACGATGCCCGACTCCGCGCCAGTCGACCGAGATGGCCAGCAGACATTCCGCGACGAGCCTCGAGAAGTCGCTTCCGACCAAGAGTCGACCCTAAGCGGCTACGTCGAAGACGATGACACCTACGATTCCGATGCCTCGTACTACCTCAACCGACGTCGCGACCGCCGCAAGAAGCATGCCGTTAGGTTAGTCGCCTTCATGACGGCCAACATGCTGGCCCTCTGCGCTGGCTCCAGTATGGTCTTCTCCATGTATGCGCCGCTCTTCCAGTCCCGACTACATTATAGCCAGCTCCAGGTGAATGGTGCTGCCAGTGCTTGCTCCATTGCACTGTACATGCCCATTTCCGTCCTGGGATATGTATGCGACCGCTACGGGGCACGACCTCTTGCCCTCGTCTCCGCCATCCTCTTCGCCTTCGGCTACGGTCTCGCCGCCGGCATCTATAGAAAGCTCGATCTCGAATACAACTCTGTGGGCAAGCCCCGAGGCGCAAGCGATGGGTCATACCCCTTCATGGTATTTGCCTTTGTGTGCATTGGCGCAGCTACATGTGCTGGGTACATCTCATCGGTCTCGACGGTGGCCAAGAACTTTGGCAAGGGCAAATACCGAGGTCTGGCGCTGGCGATGCCCATTACGTGCTTTGGCCTGAGTGGAATGTGGTTGAGCCAAGCAGGCACCAACGTCTTCTATGAGCGACGCCCTGACGGCTCGCACGGCGATGTGGACGTCTTCCGGTTCTTCATCTTCTTGGCCGTGCTGTTGTTCGTCATGGGCATCATCTGCAGCTTTACCTTGCGTGTGGTGGACGAGCAGGATCTCATCGAAGAGGCCATCGAAGAGCTTGAGAACAGCGGCCTGTTGAACGGCAGCTCTTTCTTGAGCCGGTCTCAGAGCTACGGTGGTGTGGCCTCCGCAGAACCTAATGAGGATGCAGATCCGTTTGATTCTGCAAAGGACGACGTAACGTGGAAGAAGAACTGGGTTCTCAATGCCGAGACTCGCGCCTTTCTATCGGACCACACCATGTATGTATTCGCCTTGGCTTTCCTCCTGGTGATTGGGCCTGGCGAGGCGTTCGTCAACACTCTGGGAAGTGTTTTGGGCACTCTCACCCCTCCGCATACAATCAGCGTGTCTAGCCCGACCTCGGCCGCGACACATGTGTCCATCTTTGGCGTTACGAGTACCATTGCTCGCCTTCTCATTGGTACCCTTACCGACCTCCTCGCCCCCCAGCCACACACCCAGCATGCTCAAGTTGGTGCTGTGCGTCCTTCCTCGCCCCTGGGACGCCTCTCCGTCTCCCGCGTTGCCTTTTACGTCTTCTTCGTTGGTCTCCTTGCTTCTGGTCTGCTGGTTCTCGCATCCGGCGTCGTTCAGAACCATGCCGAGCGGTTCTGGATCGTCTCTGGCCTTATCGGTGCCGGCTATGGAGCCGTCTTCAGCCTGACCCCCTTGATTGTGACGATTATATGGGGAGTGGAGAATTTTGCTACCAATTTCGGTATCATCGCCACTATGCCTGCCATCGGCTCGGTGTTCTGGGGCTTCATCTACTCGACAGTGTATCAAGCCGGGGCCCGAGAGACGCAGAATGCCCCTGGCAGCCAGGATGGCGGCGACGACGATGTTTTCTGTTACGGAAAGCAGTGCTATGCGCCGACATTCTGGGCAGAGGTCATCAGCTGCCTTGCAGCCTGCATCTTATTATTAGTGGCCTGGAAGGGCAAGGGTGGATGGCAGCAGCGTGGCATTGTCATCTGAAGTGGTATATATACCTACCATCATTTTATTCTTTCTAGCAGAGCGATTTGTTTCTTCTCTCATTAAACGGCGTTTTGGTGGCGGCATTTTTATCAATGATTGGATGTAGAACAATATTCCAACGTTTCCATTCTCTTTCTCATTATCTTTATGTCGAAATATTAAGATTGGATGCATTTTTATCTTGGAGAGCAGCATGATGGGTGAACAGGTACATATTCCTGTTCCTCTCTTTACCATAAGACAGCCGACAGCTGTTCTTATTTCAAATACAGATATGACCACAGTCGTCAACGATTCAGTAATCCCAGTTATCAATTATGTGATCCTACGTTTAAACATAGTATGAAAAGTGCACTCAAGCCGTCGATGACGACAATGCTGACCATGATAGAGAGACCACGTGATTCCGCGATTGCCTTTTCGCGTTGGCTGACTCCGCCCCGCGTCTTCTGCCTGGCACAAGCTCTGATCTCTGGCGCCTAAGCGAAGTGGTCGCACAAGCTTTCGTCTGCATTTCATGCCCTCGTTTTATTTGCCCAATTGAAGGGGAAGAGAGGAGAACGGTCCTAGGCCATCATGACAGACACCTCAGGTATTTCTACCAGCTCAAATCCGTGCTCCATTGCGATCTAACCTGCCTATAGAAGCGGACACCATCCGCATCCTGGTTGCGACAGATAACCATGTCGGCTACGAGGAACGAGATGCTATCAGAAAGGACGATAGTTGGCGGACCTTTGACGAGATCATGAACCTTGCTCGCACCGAGGATGTTAGACCCATTCCGCCTTCCCTCCATCGACCATCTCTAATCGATCCCCGTAATTAACATACCGCTGAATACAGGTCGACATGGTTCTTCTCGCCGGCGATCTCTTCCACGAAAACAAGCCGTCCCGCAAGTCCCTCTACCAAGTCATGCGAACGCTCCGACAGAACTGTATAGGCAACCGACCGTGCCCTCTCGAGTTCCTCTCCGATGCCTCCGAAGTCTTTGAAGGTGCCTTCACGCACGTCAACTACGAAGATCCCGACATCAACATTTCCATTCCCGTCTTTTCGATCCACGGTAACCACGACGATCCATCCGGCGACGGCAACTACTGCTCTCTCGACCTACTCCAGGCCAGCGGGCTTCTGAACTACTTTGGGCGAGTGGCCGAGGCCGATAATATCGAAGCGAAGCCGATTCTGCTACAAAAAGGTACTACGAAGCTCGCGCTTTTCGGACTGAGCAATGTGCGCGACGAGCGCATGTTCCGCACGTTTCGAGACAACAAGGTGAAGTGGTTCCACCCCAACGTCCAGGAGCGCGAATGGTTCAACCTCCTGGCCGTGCACCAGAACCATCATGCCCACACGGCGACGTCATACCTCCCCGAGACTGCGCTGCCCGACTGGCTTGATCTGGTCGTCTGGGGACACGAGCATGAGTGCTTGATTGATCCCTCCCAGAACGCAGAGACGGGGATCCATGTAATGCAGCCTGGGTCGTCGGTTGCCACCTCGTTGGTGCCCGGAGAGGCTGTACGGAAACACGTGGCTGTCGTGAGTGTGACGGGAAAGAACTTCAAGATGGAAAAAATCCCACTCAAGTCTGTACGCCCCTTTGTCACCAGAGAGCTGGTACTTTCTCAGGACAAGCGATTCAAGGGCCTCGACAAGAAGAAGGATAACAAACAAGAGGTCACACGGCGGTTGATGGAGGTGGTCGACGAAATGATCGAGGAGGCTAACCAGGACTGGGAGGCCATCCAAACGGATGATGAGGCCCTCGAGGATCGTCCTTTGCCACTTATCCGGCTTAAAGTAGAATTCTCAGCTTTGGAGGGTGGCCTGTTCGAGTGCGAGAACCCCCAGCGTTTCTCAAACCGGTTCGCGGGAAGAGTGGCCAACACCAACGACGTGATTTATTTCCACCGAAAGAAGAAGCAAGAGCGTATGCCAGCCCCAGTCTCGTTCCAACTCCCAACGTGAGCTAACCAAGGCGGACAGGCAAAACGAACGCGACAAACCCAACCCAGGCCCTCGAGGCGCTGAACGACAGTAGCGACGCCGTCAAGGTCGAATCTCTCGTGACGGAGTTCCTCCAAGCACAGTCTCTCAAGGTTCTCCCTCAAGGTCCGTTTGGTGATGCCGTCAACCGATTTGTGACCAAGGACGACAAGCATGCTATGGAACTTTTTGTCACAGATCATCTCACTGGCCAGGTCCAACAGATGCTTGGGCTGGAATCAGATGACGAGGATCTCGGCAGCGCCATGGAGATTTACAAGACTAGAATGGAACAGCAAATGGCAATGGGTGCGGTTACGGCGAACATCCCTGAGCGGAGACGTGTCTTGAAGCCGAAGCCGGATACGTGGGATAGTGATTTTGATGGTGAATGGGCGAACGAGCCGGATGCTTGGACATACGAGGATGCAGGTCAGAGTATGGCTCCGACAACCCAACAGTCTAGCCGACAGTCTCGGGCAAAGGCATCACGGCAAGTAGTCGATGATGAGATGGAAGTGGAGGAGAGCCAACCGCCAGCAAAGACTACAAAGCGCGCGGCAACTTCCAAGACCACGAGAGCAGCTCCAGCAGCTAAGAAGGCTCCGGCGAAGAAAGCGCCAGCTCGATCTACACGTGGTCGTAGGGGAACACAGCAGGTCGAGGATGAAGAAGAGGAGGAGGAGCCAGAACCAGACGTCATCATGGAGTCTGATGAAGATGTGGCACCACCTCTGCCGCCTAAAACTACAACGAGGCAGAAAACTACAAGAAAAGCGGCGCCTCCACCTGCACCCGCACCAACCCGCAGTACGCGGACTCGGCAGACTACGCTGAATTTCTCACAGAGCCAAGCTGGAGCAACGCAGAGCAAGAGGAAGGTTGGCGGTGCTGCTCCCTTTGAGATTAGCGATGATGAGATCTCAGACGATGAAGACGCCTTTGAGCCGGCGCCGGCGCCAGCTCGGGCGACACGCCGGAGGGGTTGATGGGATGTGGATAGATGTTCATTTATTCGGCGGGTTTCTTTTGCTGCATATGGCGAAGCGTTTGTCTATGGATGCATCGATGGTGTTTTGTGACGGTGACGGGGAGATATATACCCTAATAATCTTTCAGATCCAAATACCGTTTCCTCGTCTTGACCATAAATACTGTTATTATTAGCCCCAATAATCTGATCATCCCTGTTGCAAGCTTGAAGATAAAGCAAAGGTGATGTCTGGGAGCATTAACAACTCGCTTGGACAGCCACGGCAAGCCACACTTGTGCACCGCCACAGTAGCGGGGGATAAGATAAGATAAGTGCGGGGCATTTTGCTCGTCATCAGGCTTCTTTGAAGCATGAATCATCTTCAACTTGTTTGTTGGCTGCTGCACTTCGCGCATTTCGCTCGCGCATTTCGCTCTTTTGAACTACACCAAGGGCCAAACACAATTGTCGCAAACATGGGATCAGTAGTCCTTCCTCACCTCAACTCAGGATGGCACGTGGACCAAGCCATCCTGTCAGGTTCGTTGCACTCCCCCTCGTTGCCACGGCGCATCTGCCTTCATGAGCTAGGCTAACCCGTTGTTTTATGAGTATAGAAGAGGATCGTCTCGTCGTTATTCGATTTGGACGTGACCACGACCGGGTAAGATAAGAGCCAGCCCGCTTCCTTGCATTGAGCCCGGCTCTCTGTCCACTTGCTAACTCTTCCTTGCCAGGACTGTATGCTCCAGGATGAGGTCCTCTACAAGATCGCCGACCAGGTCAAGAACTTTGCTGTTGTCTACCTGTGCGATATTGATCAGGTATGCTCTCCCCGGCCGCGCCAAACTCCCGTATTGCTCTACTGACTCCTAACCGCGCGCCAGGTTCCCGACTTCAACGCCATGTACGAGCTGTACGACCCTTGCTCTATCCTCTTCTTCTTTCGCAACAAGCACATGATGTGCGATTTCGGCACCGGTAACAACAACAAGTTGAACTGGGTGCTGGAGGATAAGCAGGAGCTCATTGACATCATTGAGACGATCTACCGGGGCGCCAAGAAGGGCAGAGGTCTGGTGGTGAGCCCCAAGGATTACAGCACGAGGCACCGATATTGATCGGCTTCTCTCTCCGTTTTTTTTCAGAGAGGAGGGGAGGCTATGAAAATTCTACAACAGACTTTTGCGTTAGGCACCAGCTATTCTTTTTTTCGCGGGGCGCTCGTGTTAGGCAGCAATCAATATATCCAATCTTACTGGCTGTTTGATCATCGAATAATTGTTGCCTTGGTTCAAAATATTATCACTAGATTCAGCGTCTATATGTGCTGAAATGGCCTCATATGTAGGGGATCGTTCTACTCCGAGTGTTTGGTCTTAAAAAGCAACACACCGCTCACACTCAGCCACTGTGAGATTCTCACACCGCTTCTCCACTTCAGCGCTGACAACGTGATAGACACCGCAGCTTGGTCAATCGCAATGGGCCATCAAGCAGATGCAATCCCCTGGAAGAGCCTGGCGTCGACCCTTGAGTGGACGTTCGAGGCAGAGTGTTGTTTCGGCGCCACCAACTTCCACCCGCGATGGTTCGATAACCGGCAGGAGATCTTCATCCAATTCGTTGACTCTCTTACCGCGAGGATCCGGAAATGCGCAACGCAGGAACGTCTGAAATTCCCCGAGAGGATTCAGAGCACATCGCCAGAGAATATTGTGATTAGTGATGGAGTGGCTGAGAAGATCAACCCGACTATTGAGGCGTGGCGGAGGGACCGTGAGCTTCGTTGCAAGCTCTATTCGATGGATGAGCCGGAGTGGGAGGAGCTTCCGAACCCGGCAGACCGAGGAGAATTTGAAAAGATGCTCTATCAACGCGGCCATGACGGCATGGAGTATCGTCATGTACTTCCGATCGACCAGCGTAAGATGGAGGCTTTCTTGCACGAGCACACCACGAACGAGTGCCGAACCCTTTTTGAGACCAACGGCCCGGCATTGTTTAGTGCCGAAGTAGCCAAGACGCTCCTGATGCGTGGGGAGATGGAAACACTTCTCCGGATCTGCTCCCACCCAGAGGCAGTTATCCGGACATGGTGGGATGCGCCCCGATGTGGGTGCTCTAGGATAGGCTGTTGCAATCCCTCCGAGGAGATTAGCTGGAGGAGGATGCACACTAGTGCCCTGATGTCGTACATTGTGTTAAACGTCCTGTCTTACTTCCCTGACCAGTTGGGAAAGGGCTCTCAGTATCCAGCTCCCGAGAAGGACTACCGCCGCTCCAAGGCATACCAGAGCATGGTGATACACGCAACCGAGCATAGATGGACAGCTGATGTCAGTCAGATCCCTCACCGGCTGTTCTTTGGCCTTGAGAGAGGTCAGCTGAGCCCAGTACCCAAAAATACGGATGATGGGCCTGACGATGGGGATATCTCCCCCGAATATCCATTCATGTCGAAAGGGTTCATGCCCTACGACCAGTTCTTGAACTGCCAATCCGAAGCAAAGGGTCATCTGCCTACTGCGGTTGACATCGCCCAGGTCAGGGCGGGACTGGTCAACCAGACGCAGCTCCCGCCTGAGCTCGTCAACGACATTCTGGTGGAAGCGGACTATGACACCCCCCAGAGCCGGCTGCGCGTCCCGCACCATCCCTTCCACGCTGACAATGCGGAGGATCTGAAGACGTACATTGAGTACTGTTGGGCTATACTTGTGCGGTGTGAGATGGTTGCGAGGGAACTGGGGGAGGAGATTAGTTGGCAGAATGATATTACTCGGGTCGTGAATGCTTGCTTCAACTGCTATCGCGGGCCGAGGAGCTTGGGTGCGGTTCACTCAGGGCGGGGGATTGGTCCTGGTTCTGGGCGGGATCTTTTGATCCAGTATCAGATGATACGGAAGACTGATTAGTTTGATTTAGAATTTCAACTTGGCGGGCGACTTGAAGTGTAAATAAGAGCTTTCGCCTCCCTTTCCCCCCTCTCTGGAAACTACAACTTCACTTTTCATCACCTACCTCTAGTCGCCATCTCAATCTATTTTCTCCTTCGCTCTATGAATGAGATGGAAAAGACCTCTTATCCCTGGATTTGAATTGACGATTTCATGTTCAACGATCTTCACTATACGACAGCCTTTGAAGATAGCAGATATGTTTAGGATCAAATTTTAGACCTGGGACTTCGCTTAAACCTCGAAATTCAAACTATCCCTTTTATGATTAAGCTCTACCGAAGTCCTGGAGGCCATCCCCAAAGCAGCGTGACCATTTAAAATTCATAAAGGCCACCATATTTATCTCGGTCACTCGACAGAAGAGGAAAATCCCGTTCGTATCTGTGAAACACGCTAGCTATGTGATGAATATGCTCGCTTCTATGGCCGCCTCGAAAAAGGTGGTGAGGCACCCTTGGTGTACATAGCGAGATTTGTATACGAAAGCTTTGATTTGTTCCTGGATTCTGGCCCGTGGGTCTTTTTGATGTTGCGGTACAAGAGGATGGAAAGAAAGGGGGGTTACGCACCCCTATGCACTTGAGCTGAAGTTAAAAGTCGGGATTGGCTTCTACTAGGTGTGTATTTCAAGGGTGCTCATTAGACTTGGGCTTTCCGAGTGTGATTTGGGCGGAGCCTGTTGCCCCTGGAGTCACACCACTGCTTGTTTGTGTCATGGACGTGATGGAGGTAATACCAAGTACATCTACAGCGTACTTTGAGAAAACCCAGGAGCAGGTATTACTTAGATGAAAGAGTGAAATAACCAGTTTGGAGTGGTTCAGGGGTAGAGGATGATGTTCGCTTCGCTTCGGCAATTCATTGTGCCCTGTTGCTTTGAGTAACACAGTTAGAAAGAGTTCCTGAGGCACGATAAAATCTTTGGCTTGAAGGACAATGAACCTTTGGTGTGTTGAACCAGAGAGCATCGATAAGTGCGGATACATAATACCAGACATCACATAGTCTACTTTAAATGTGATGATTTGTTTCGTTGCATGATGTAAGGCCCCCTTTGGTAGCAAATGGAAAAAAAATGTATTGAGCATCTCTTGTCACGTTCGGCAAGAGGAGAATAGTATTAGTTGAACCAGTGAGTCTAACCTCGAACCTCGGAGCGCCCCTCTTTCAGCTCCCACTTCCGTGTTACTGTAATTCCACCTCCGCTGTGGTTTGTGAAGTTGGACGAAGAATCGACATGGATATCGGTGAGAGGAAACTCGTCCTCGAGCCGCTCAAAGTCTCGGTTTACCGGCTTCCTATTGCTTGAAAAGTTCCCGCGGGACTCGTGACTGGGTAAGGCGTCCTTTGACTTGCCACTCAATCCCTCGCTGTTGCCACTTCGAGAGAAACCGAAGGCACCAGGTCCGAACATGTAGGTCAGTGCTGGCATCATAGTCGGCAGACAAGCATTGACCACGCCCAACGCTGGCTCGAGGGCCGACCAGATGGCGATCGGAACGACGGTGTAGGTGAGGTCGGTCAGATCCCAGTTCCAGATCCATATCACTCGCAATAGCGACAGTACGCAGATGCTAAAACCGATTAGTGCCACTTCATATCAGAGGGAGGACAGGCTTGGCCTACACTATACCCAAGCCGAACATGGCTGCAATGCTCAAGCGCTTGGCCATCGACATATGGAGACCGAGAAGCAGTGGCATCGGCATTGTGACAATGATGACGTCGAGGATTAAATTGGTGATGCCCGAGACCAGATATGCAATGTTCTCGCCCTTGCAGTTCCCCCCTTCGATGGTCTTGTCCCATATGAACTGGACGGGCTTGCAAACTAGGAATGCCTCGAGCACGACACTGATGAAATATAATATAGAAAGAACCATGATCGAATAGCAGAGGCGATGGAACTTCTTGCTAGGAAATATCAGGAGATATAGTGACAGGATCGAAAACTTGACGGAGGTATTGGATGCGGCCCAAAAGAGCTGTCCCGGAACGAAGAGCTAGTCACAACCGTTAGCATTGATGCGCCTTGAATTAACTGATGAGAAACCACTACTCACCTTGAGAAATAGACTGAGCTTGGTAGGATCCGTCTTCATGATATCTTGGAGATGTTCTCCTAATCCCGCTTTGATGCAGGCTATGACTGATCAGCACTCGTGACATCGCGTGTTTCCCTCAGCCTAGAATGATATGAGGGATTGGACTTCTCTCCTACCTGCAAATGGCATGCCCATAGAGCCTGCACAGAATACTATGCCCAAGATTACTGCGTAGTCGTTGAAGGCGAGATCGGCTCTCTGGATGTGTCGAGACCATAGTCGAAAGCCCAGAGCGGCGAGGGCCAACGCATAAAAAACAACGGCCGTCACCATAAACTCCACAGCTCCGTGAGGGAGAGCCATGATGGCCACCGAATTAGACTGCCAGCAGCGATTTAGTGTTTATTTGACGCGGGCGGTTCATGAGAGTTGCAAGTGGCGCGAGTGTTCGCAAAAGGAATAACGCCCACCTTTACCGCACACCTACAAAATGGGAAAAAGAGCACAGCACTCGAGTACTTTAAGAGCGAGAATTCTCCTCACCCGACTTTCCTAAACCATGTCTCCGGGATATCTTCCGGGAAGGGGAACCAACTGCCAGGGGACGGGGGACGGCACTTGGGAACACCTTCCCCGTCAAGTCCTTGAAACTACGGCCTTTGCCTCATCTGTGCATATGCACCTCGAAATGGCAGCGTCCTTGATCATCCCTTACCCTTGCTGCATGGGGAGTAAGTTATGTCTAAGCGGGTTACCAAGCGGCGCGGGTTTGAAACGGGCGAACCTGTCTACTGGAAACGGTGGAGTACTTAGCAAGGCAAGGTCTGCTTTTCTGGGAAGTTTTACACGAATAAAACTCCCTGTTATGATAATTCTCCTGGCCCAAGAGCGACTTTGCAGACCGAATCAGGTCAAAAGTCATGCAACGCAACATCCAGGGTGGACTCTCCCCTGCATGGAGACCCTTGAAGTCTCCCAAACTGCGTAGTGCTTACATCTCCACCCGGAAAACGTACGTGAATCCACAAGATAATGTATGTAATGAATTGGGGCAGGCAAAGACCGGGTGAAAAGTGTGATATTACGTACGTATGGGCTGGCTGTTCCCAAATTCCTAACGGGACTTCGGTTTTCTTCAAACGAAGGCTAATTTTCACGGCAGTGGAGAAAGAAGGCTTCGACGACTGGAAACCTTGCTTCTTCTACACCTCTACAGACGCTTGTCCCTGAGCAGCTGCCTCCGCTATGTAGTTTGCTGCAGCGTGGCGGCCCCCGTAGCTGCGGGCCGTCTCTGCCAGAGAGCGGGCTTTGCTCTGCATGGATTTGCTCGACTCTCCTGTCAGTGCCTCGAGGAACCCCTTGGCCAGTGATTCTGCCTCCCAGTCTGGCGTTACTTCCTGCCCTGGCCAGATGCCGATCCCAAGGTACTCTACTGTGCGGCCTGCATTGTACAGATCAAACCATAGGGGGAGAATGACTTGAGGAACGCCAGCACTGAAGACACAATCAGTAAATAAAGCCTTGAAAATGTGTGGGTATGAGGAATGAAGAGTGCAACCAACTTACAAGATAGCTTCGTGGAAACAACCAGCGCCGCCGTGATGAACCGAGACGGCAATGTCGCCCGTTTGCAGCAATGAGATGGGGTCAACATTCAACCACGTCTCGACCCGGAGCCGTCCGTTGCTGATGTATACCCTCACCGGATCGAACACTTCATCACCATATTTCTCTGCTTTACGGAACTTCCAGAGCACCTGGCTGTTCTCCGCGGAAGCCAGGACGATCCTGATAGCCTCGACCATGATCGACGCTCGTTCCTGGGAGTATTGAACCAGGCTGCCCAGGTTCACCATCATCGTCGGGCCCTGCTTCAGCCACGAGGCAAGCTCCGGGTCCTGCTCCTCAACGGTCGCGGCATCTGCCACGACGGGGCCGCAGAACCTCGTCGTGTCGGGGACCACCTCAAGGGGCAAATTAGCTTCGGGGAACGTTGCGATGATTGCAGGGACTCCTGGGACACCGAAGCCCGGCTGGATTGGATTCTTCACCCCGCGCCCCTTGAGATACTTCTGCATAGCGACGATGCGAGGATTGGTCAAGAGCCCGAAAATCATGCGTATCTGCAGCCAGATGTTGGAGGGCACGAGGTTCCAAGGAACGGGGTATGGGTATCCCGATGCGAGGCTGGGAATCTGGTTAGCTAGAGGGTCTGTGAAAATGAATGAGAGTTGTGCTCACGCAGGGTATTTCCAAAAGCCGGCGCCCCATGGTTGATCCATGGCAAAAAGCTCATTTGCCGTGTTTGGGCTCAGAAATGTGAATCGCCGGTTGACGTTGGCCACCAAGTCCCCAGCGGGCGCGAAGACAGCATCCAGGACAATAATGGCGGGATCAACCTCCTCGACGATCTCCAGAAGGCGCTTGTAGATCGCGTAGTGCTCCTCGGGCTCCCAAGAGGTCGAGATGACTCCGTAGTCTCTTAGTGTCTTCTTCAGTCCACGGAACGCAGGAGGCGAGATCAGGTAGTCAAAGTTCTTCCATTCTCGCAGGACAGCATTCGTCATGTCCAGCCCCGGCAGTTCATGAAATTCAATGGGCCGGGTGTTTCCCTCGGCGGCCGAGGAGATGCGGTTCAGCTTCTCACGGAGCTTGGGAAACGAGGCGAAGTGAATCTCAACGGAAGGGTGCTTCTCCAGAAGCGACGTGGTCGCCGCCAGGTGCACATTGGACAGTCCGCTGGCTTCGGTAGTGATGAAGAGAGCGGTGTTGTTCCGGCCAGGCAGGACAGGTCCAGCTGGTTGTGTCCCTCCTCTAGACAGGAAGACGTAGAGGATCGATAGGCCCAGGACTATCGGTGCCAATAGGAACACTCGATTCTTGACAGCCATTTTGGCGGTTCCTTACGTCAAAAGAAGGTAATTGAAAAGCCAATCGCTCCAGAACGAACGGTGCTTCGCCATTGTGCTACAGGCGAATGCTTAAGAGGGATACAGGGAGAGCCCACTTTCCATAAATGGAACGAGCCGTTGGTTGCTGAACTTCTGAATGGGATCATGCCATTGGTATGATGCCATCCCTGGCTGTGGAGAGCTATGCCCTGGTCCTTGTTGGAAGTTGAGACAGTCTGTCAGCTTATGGAGGCGCTACTGTACAAGGACGCAGGGATAGCATCACGCCAACCCACGACCGTCGGCATCATTTCATATTCTGTTGGCTCTAGACCAGGTACCCCCAGAGAATAACATTGCATTGCTGCATAAGGCAATTGTCACTACTTTGTAATATCGTGGTGGTGTGGTTGGTGTTAGGGGTAGCTACTGCACAGCTGAAAAGGAGTCAAATGCAGAGGTGAGCCGGGGAACCATGCCGGCGAACGAATTGCAATGCTGGACATGAGGTTCGTTCGGAGAGATCCTTCTTTGCTACGGTAACATCTCGCCAAGGAGAATTCCCAACGTTGCTTTGCAGAGCCGACACCTTTAAATGTGCCCTGGTCGATCTCCTCCTCGCGCTATTGTGCGTGCAAATCGATTTACCCTAAACAGTCGAGTTTTGCGACGGCATCGACTGTTTCAACGGACGTTACCTGCAATATCATAGACACCAGGCGACCGGTGAATCACGGGGTTACCTATTTGCCATCGCCTTGAAGCAATTTGAGGTTCCAAAATACAAGACCCAAGGATCCAAATAGCAATGCGAAGATGAACAGGCGCGTGTCTGGTGTTGGTGGATTTGGGAAGATGGATGGATGCTTTAGTGGCTCAGATTCTCATCAGGCGCCGGCATTTAGGGGAGAAGTGCCGCTATAGGGGTTTCGGCAACTAAGTTACAGGGGGGCGCGGCAGAAGAAGGCCCCTAATTTAGCTCCCGCACGACTGTCAGATCTCGTGACATCTTCAATCGTCTTGACTTCGCCAGTTGTGATGCCCAACTCGCAGCCCAGCTCCTTTGCTGCACCTCACCTCTGGCGCATTCTAAATTATCCAATATCCCCTCAACGCCTACGCTTCTAGTCAATTTTGCAATCACTTCTGAAGCTGTCCACAGTCCCACCCGCGATATGGCCCCTCAAACCATCGTTCAGTATGAGGATATTCCTGATGATTTACGCCAGACCGGAGATGATATAGTGCTTGCGTACAGATCTTACACATGGGGTCGAGTACCAGTATCTGGTATGAAGCAAGACGATGATAATTCGCATGAAGCACTGATGACGGAAATCAAAGAGGTCCGTCAAAACCATCAAATTTCTCGACCCATCGCAAGTAATCCAAGGTGCTTATCGTCTAACATATCATTATTTTAGGAACTCTGGAAACTTGCATTCAATCCTTCCAACGAATCGACGTGGAATCCTCTGCTCCCAGTTCCCAAGGCCAACCTTCCCGACACACCAAAACACAAAGATCTCCGAGTTTCGTGCGGCTTCTTGTCCAACCACGCGCCGCCCTCCACGTGCCAAGCACGCATGAGTGCCAGAAATAAGATAAAACCTCGAATTCACGAAACCCGCCGTCAAGGCGAGCGCGTATACGTGCAGCCTCGCCCCCGCCACCGGAGGCCGGATGAGATCGAGTACTTTTGGGCTGACGAGAGAGGGAAAGGCGTCAACCTGAAGATTACCAACCTGTATACGTCTGGCACACCGGAACTGATTGAAAAGGTCAAGATGATGGCTATTGCGCAGAGGGATGAGAAGGTTATGCAACACGCTATCCAGTATAACAAGGAGCTGGCAGCCTACTGGCTGAGGTGCCGCTTGGCCAGAGCTTTGCAAGAACGATTTCCCGAAATCCCAGTTCAGCAACGGGTGTCTAATCCCACGAGGGCTGACTTTGAAGAGTTTATCCGACCAATGATTCTGCGTGCTCTTATTCCGGAGGACGAATTGAAGAAAATCAAGGATGAACATCATGCGTTGTTCGAAGAACTAGCAGACGGTTCCTAGGAATATAGCTTCACCGCATATTCGTCTGATTTCTTAAGATTAATAACCAAATGAGCCCTCTTCCACCATAAAAGAGGGGAACGATAGTTATTCCATATCTATCGCCAGAGAATAAGAGAGGGCTATATACTTATCTGCTCAACTAGCAAAAGCCTTGATTAAATTCGGGTTGAGGATTAGGTTATTGTTTTCACCGTAGAATAATCGGCATCGAGTGAAATTATTTAACATAGGAGACACTGAAAAGACAAGTATCGTCCCATAAGCATTGTCCAGTGTCCCCAAACAAAAAGGGCTGGAAATGGAGAAAGAGGCTAGATAGTGACAGAGGAGAAAGAGGTTCCGGGTCTGGAGAACTTTAACAACTTCCCATAATGGTCATATTACTCAACATGGCTCTCAAAAGTGGGATTCACAAGGGCGAGGCTATAAAAGCCCATCAATGTCACAAATACTCTCCAAACAAGATATTCGATGCGACGAAGAGAGGTAGAGACAAATAATATGTAAACGATTAAATGGCGCGGGAGTTTCAGAGTAGCCGATAGTCGATAAGTAAGATATTTACAGAGAGCTAAATGTCGAAATCAGCCCGAGAACTAGAACCGTCATGAGATTTGAAAACACACAAAGATTGAGTCGTATGTCGAAGAAGAAACGAACGCATCGCGACCCTAGATGGAAGTCTGTTTTGGAAATGTTGCGAGCGAAGAGCAAGCGGCACCAACAAAGAAACACAACAGGGAGGACTGCAGGGAGATAAATCGGATGATTTGTATTTAAGGGAGCCTTGATATCATTGAAAACCGAGTTGGAAGAGATGTACATCACAATCTTGCAGTGAAGGTCAGTCTCTTGCTTTAAGTCAGAAGAGATCTCTCTATGCTCCACAGTGCAGCCTAGCCTCAATCATTCATCTGCTTAGTTTTGGATTTGACGACCTTCAATATATCGTGAAAGTCTCCAATTCCAAAAAGTGATGTAACTAATCAAGCTTGTCTTGAGTTGAGACGATGATGATTTAATACTAGCATATCTCTTGTGGCAGGAAAGTGTTGAACCTATTCCCCTTTTTTTCTCTCTCCATATGGACGATGATAACTGTACGTTATGGTGATCGGTTGACGGCATCGGTAGAACAAACCCACACCAAAAAAAGGACCAAGGAATTACTAGCCCAACGCGGGGAAAAAAAAACCGACAACGACAGGGTTCGAACCTGTGCGACCGAAGTCATGAGATTAGAGTATAAGCGACCGGAGTCAATTCAAGTCTCACCCATTAACCACTCTGGCACGTTGCCTGTTGGGCAGCTGATAACACATTCTTTGTATAAGTAAGATTCAACACTCTCTTTACGAAAGCAAGACCCCAACAGATAGCTTTGTTATCCACGAAGAAAATAAATATGGTACAGCGGCATTGATACCAATCTAAGCTTCCGGAATGTTTTAGAGGAGACAATCGAGATGTTCTAATACGCACTCACTCAATCACTGAATCATGTATTACCGACGAAACGTAAAGGAGCACCTCAGCTTCTACATTCGTGCATGTAAGTAAGGCTCCGCCAGATCATTTGCGTACAAACTCATCTAAATTCAAGCCGGAGATGTCGTCTTCCATCCCACTCACGTGCTCTCTAAGAGACCATTTCAAATCGCACTTGTGGAGTGAGGGGATCGAGTTGCGAGCATTGTTGCTCTTAATATAAACGTTTGGAAAGGGCATTCCGTGGAAGTAATCTCTCACTGATAAAAGACTCAGTCCTCGGTGTGGTGCTTCAGAGGGTTCAACTTTTGGAGAACCGACATCCAAGATAGGGAGAATGCCAATGGTATGCATTCCTTGGAGGAGCGCACCGAGATGGGACGATTGGCATTCGAAATTGCATCCGAGTGTACCGCGAATCAAACTATCTCGTAGACCTTCCAAGTACACCATCAATGCATCCAGGAGTTTTATTCGCTCGGCTTCTATGCCATCTTGATGAATTAGATTAATGCATTTGAGACATGAAGATGATCGATGCGAACTGCCTTACCAATGATGGAGGGTCGGATGGGGAGACCAATTGTGTCGAGCCGCTGACAAGCGGACTGAATGGCCACCTGGGTGCATTCTGCAAATATAGATGGCTCATCGAATACTGAGGATATTAGTATCCATCTAACCAAATCCTCGCAGATACAATCAGGAAGGTGCTTTGCTAGTAGACGGATCCATGATTTGACAATGAACCAAACAGCGTCTTCGCATTGTAGGTCATCCACCACTGCAGCAACATCTGCAAGGGTTGCCAGTCCAATTGCAATAGGGACCTTTTTTGTATGCCCGTGTATGATGTTCAGTACGATTTCAAAGGCTTCGGGAGTAAAAAATGGCTCAAACAACCAATGATGTAAACCATCCGTGCCTTCTGACTCCGTTTCCTTCCAAGGGCCGAGGAAGATTTTTTGCGCACGGCGCGAGGCAAGCACCAGATGTTTTTTGGACACTTTCATGCGCACCGTCTCGAGTGTGTCGTCTGCTGGCTGTTCCTCCGAATTGTTGTCCCCATTGGGTATCATTTCTTGGCCATCTGCTGATTGTTTCTCTGAGTTCTCGTCTTCATTGGGAATGGATTCCTGGCCGTCAGCTGCCTCATTGATGTATGGAAGAACGATCAGTGTGTCTCCGTCTTCATCGAAAACAAGCATTTTAGGTGGCTTTGCATCCATGGTAAGATCGAGTCGGCCTAAGGAAGCAGCGGTGGTTGTGAATGAGTGAGTGCGTAGAAGCCATACATGAGACCGAATAATGCAAAGTAATTGAAATCGCCAGGGCCGAGAAGTCGATGCTGTAAAGATGACGCGTCTTGGTGTTCTGGAGCTGTTCGTGAAGAGGGCGCGACGGGCGTGGTGGCACCAACGTCAGTGCTAAAATCTGTATGACAGCATCCTCCTCTTAGGCGCTAAGTTTCGGCCCCCAAGGAGGTCTTAGTGCGCTGCATTAAAAGACAGCTGAAACCATCCATCTAATCGCTAATTGGGTTCATGTTATACATATCAGGTTATCTTTATTTAGAAAAGGTACTTTAACGTCTTTGTTAATAAGTTGGACTTTTACTCGAGCTGATTTTTCCTTTATAGGTAGCTATGTGATCCTACTAGAAGTCAAATCTTTTGTGCCGGACGTGATGGCTCCCTAGTAGGATCCCTCATATCCATATCATACAAGGAACACGAAGTGGAAGTCTCACAGGAAGCATTTTTTGTTACATAGACTAATACAATCAGGATGTGTACTTCGAAGAACTGGATATTCAGTAGGCATGCGTCAAATAGAAACCTATTTTCGCTCTAAAAGTAGGGAAATTGGCCTGACTATCTTTTCGTATCAGCTCATCTGGATCCTAACTCTTCGCTAGATGCCTTAGACACTGCAAACATGAAATAGAGAACGGGGACTAGTCGGTGTAGTGCTAGCCTATACAGCGCTTTGAAACGTAGAAAGAACAGTGCACTTTTTCTTGTCTCAGGTTACCAATCATGAGGAAGTGACGGAATTTCCATTTCTGGTTGCGGACTTCGGGATTTGACCTGCGGAGCAAAGTTGAACCGGCCACAATGGGAACAAAGTTCCTTTTCATCGAAAATATGGCAGCACGCCATCCTGTCACGTCATAACTAATGATTCATGCTCGCGAACCATGTCTCTGGCTGCACGATTAGTAAGAGGAGGGGAACTGTTGCACCGCGCCGAGACAGGCCATATTAAACAACCAACATCCTCCATCTTGCAGTCTCAAAATCTTGACTTTGTGAACGGGATCCCTCTTCATCGGCAAACTACACCATGGCAGAATCGGCGGAGTTGCGGAAATATGACCTCGTGGTGCTGGGAGCAACAGGGTACACTGGAAAATTGACAGCACAATCCGTGGCGAAAAACTTCCCGGGCGACCTCAAGTGGGCGATTGCAGGAAGGTCAAAAACGAAGTTGCAAGAACTCGCTGCGGAATTGAGGGGGATAAGGCCAGATGGATCACATCCAGGTACGCCAGCTCCCGACCGAGTCTGATTGTACTTACTTTGCTAATGCCTCTATAGAAATTGAGATCGCTGATCTCGAGCAGGCGGATCAGGTAGATGCTGTGGTGCGACAAACCAAAGTACTCATCAGCATAGTGACATACTGGAGAGTTGGAGACGTCGTGGTTGAAGCATGTATCAAACACAAGACGGACTACGTTGACGCGTGAGTGAGTCGGCGGTCGGTCTCAGTCCCAAGCTAACCGGCCGAGCTTCCAGTGCAGGAGAACCTTCACATCTCCTGGGATGGATTGAAAAGTATCACGAAAAGGCCGAATCCCAAGGAACCGCAGTAAGCTCCTTTTGAACCAACAGATCAACGGAATGTCCACTGAGATGAGATAGCTTATACACGCCTCCTCGTTGTATAGCGGACCTCAAGATCTCCTAGCTTGGGCAGCCGCGCGAGAATTGAAACGGGTATTTGGAGTAGATACGAAAGAAGTCATTCTCGCTAATACAAAGCAAGAGTATGGACGGATTGATCTTCTTGCGTTTGAGGTATGGAGCTAATGCATATCTTTGACAGCCCGAATCCCAGCGGGGGCACTTTTGAAGGAATGATGCGCGGCGTATCCAAGAAGAAGGATGCCAAAGAACCTGCAGCCCCTCCTAATCCATGGATCGTATCACCCATCCACGGAACAGCAGTGCATCCCCAGGCAACCGGGCTACTCATCCGCGAGGATTCTGATCTCGGTCTGCTGTCGGAGTACGCCATGGCTCGACTTCAAAACCAAGCCATAGTTTATCGTACTTGGGGTCTTCTCCAGGCCGCGAACCAAGGACCAGGCCCAAACTTCCAGTACAACGAGTACGACAGTATTGATTTCAAGGTGGAAGGATTCTTTAAGATGCTTGAAGTCAAGGTAGTGACTACTTTGCTGTCCAACCTCCTGGGGCTGCGCTTGCTCAAGTTATTCATGCCAGCGCCAGGATCGGGCCCCGATGTCCGCAAAACAGCGACGCACCCCATTGAGATGAAGGCTCTGGCAATTGCAGACGGCAATGATGCGCAGCGAGCGACGGCTAGTTTCTCGTTCCCGTCTGGATCTTACCATACCACGGCACTGTTTCTGAGCCAGGCTGCAGCATCGTTGCTTTATTCCAAGTCCCTCGAGGGAGGTATAAAGGGAGGGTGTCTGACGCCTGCTATTCTGGGAGAGGATCTTGTGCAGAGGCTTAGGGCAGCGGGGGCGGTGATCGAGGTCTCGTCAAAGCAAAAGTGAAGCTACATATGTTAGTTAGTTTTGGAATAGAGACCGTATGATGGAATCATCTCAATTTATGTTTTGATTAAAATGAAAGTAAATCTTAGAAATTTATGTCGGTACTTCCGATTTCTCTAGTTGGAGGCACCTTCTAGTCTTCCTGGTAAAGTCCTCTTACTAAAACAATACTAGGAAACAGCTCTGTGTCATAAGCCCCGAGGAGCAAGCGCCCTTCGTGCGCGTTTCGCGCGAGTTTCGGCATATCTTCGTACAGCTCTACCGAGCACACCTTGCCTAGATTAGCTGGTAAGCCTTCATGATTTGTAGCAGCGGACCTAGAATTAAAGAAGAACCCTGGAAAATGTATGTTTTTGAATAAAGCTTGCAGGGGGGTCTCGGAAGCCTGTATTAGGCCCAAATGTTAAGTTTTTGGTGTTTTAGAATACGCTTTTAAACTATTTTCATACCAAATTTACCGATTTAGCTGCAAATTTAGCGGTAAGTTATGCAGCTTTATGTGGTTTCAGGGGTCAGGATGGTACAAGATGGAGATCTCATACCGATATTTCAGATACAAAATGTCCTTGCGCATCTGGGCCTATTATATGTAGCCATGCTGGTGCTTGTAATCCCGTTTTCGGTTTTAGTCCAATCTTGACAACGTAAATGAGGTTGTGGGTCAATCTTGAATAAAAATAAGCGGTTTGAATCCCCAAAAAGGGTCAAACTGCGCGCGTAGGATCTAAGTCTAAACGCATCGCCGCCGATCCCATCTCATCTTACACCGGTGTCGTGGCTTGGAGGGCATCAGCCGCCCCAGGAGGTGCCAGCTTCTGCGTGTTGTACCAAAATTCCCAGAAAAGATAAAAACCCAGGAACATTATAAAACCATATTGCCCTTCCCAGAATAATCAACAGTCTTTTCCATTCTCAACCTTTCAACTCAACACAAATTTCCTATTTGCTACGAAACGATGAGACTCTCGCTCTTCACCTCCCTGGCAATGTCTACCCTCGGGCTCGCAGCTAGTCTCGGTTTTGACTATACTGACGAGTATGCTCAGATCGGTAACAATACATACCATTACCTTAGAGCAGAACCAGAAAATCACAAGAAATATGCCGGGACGGCTTTCCTCGTCCATGGCTGGCCTGATATGGTCTACGGCTGGCACAACCAGATATCCCTCCTCACGTCCATGGGATACCGTGTCATTGCCCCCGATATGCTTGGATTCGGGCAGTCATCCCGTCCCGAGTCTGTTGAGCCCTACGCTCAAAAGAATGTTGTCAGTGACCTCGCCGAGCTTTTCCAGACTGTTCTGGATGATGGAGAAAAGGTGATCGTTGTCGGTCATGACTGGGGTGCTGTGACGGTCTGGGCTCTCGCTGTCCGCCATTCCCAATTATTCAGCGCCGTCATCAACTTGGCGGTTCCGCTCTTCACCCCCGCGCCCGAGTACGTGGATCTTGCCGACGCAATTGAGGCTGGACAGAGAACATCCCAGGGCTATATGCTCCAGTTGCGCCAGCCAGGAATGGAGGAGCGATTCCGAGGAGCTGATAAGTTCAGACAGATGCTCCGGGCTGTAAGCAATCTCCCTAAGCCTGGGCTGGTATTCTTCACTAGTGCTAATGTGTTGCCTATAGGTTTTTGAGGGAACGACTGCCGATGGCCAGCCTGGTGTCAACAACACGAACGGTTTCAACTTCGACCTCCTCGACCAGATGCAGGTGGCCCCTTTCCTGCCTCAGGACATGGAAGACATTTACGTCCGTGAGATGACCAGCCATTACGACGTGCCCGTCGGTCTCTTCAACCCCTACCGTACCGCAAGACTCGATTGGGAGGACGACATCGCTTGGCAGAACAATGGGGGCTCGTGGCAGATTGATATCCCGAGTCTGTTCATCTGTGGCCGGAAGGACCAATTCGTTCCGTGCCAAGCTGCCGAGGGCATGGAAAGGAACTTCAAGGACCTTCAAAAGTTTGAGGTTGACAGTGGCCATTGGATCCAGATCGAGGCCCATGAGAAGGTTAACGAGATTATACAGCACTGGATCGGTTCTCTCAAATGTCATAAGCAGTAAGCGATAGCAGTTGGAGATGGGAATAAAATAGCAATAAAATAGCCTTTTTCACCTGCTCGAATATCTCCCCTTGATAATCAACTATGTGTTTACTAGTAGTAATGTTGATATATAGGATCAAACCCTTCATGTAATCAAGTCGCGTACATAGCTTGATCTTAGGATTATCCTGCAAAGCTTCCAAGTTATAATGTCATTGGACAAGGAACGTTCAAGTCACGATGAAGCTGGCCAATCCAACAGCCGGTCGGGCTCCGATCGGGCTCCGCGAGAATGTCGTTCAACAGTCGTGAAGCCTCCCTGTCAAATGTCATCTCTAATGGACCCTGTCCGGAACCTTGCGGCACCCGAAAGTGCGAAGAAGTCCCACCGGTAGCCCTCAGTAGCCTTCGACCCATATCTGTGCTGTTCCGGCCGTTTGTCATGTTCCTCCCATTGTTTCGCGTTTAGTGATCTCGCATTTTCGGTATAAGCATCCGCGGGTTCAACCACCAGTCACCGCGCAAGCTTCCGATGGAGAATCGCCTTGCTGAAAGCGGAGACTCTGTGCAGCAGAGCACAACAACCGGTTCAGTAGCCCACAGAAAAGCAGTAGGTCGAATACAGAAACGTGATGAACTCTTTTCTGGAGGGTAAACACTCCCAGAGATCGTTGGCTGATAGATATAGTGCAATCCCTGTCGGAATCGCAAAGTATGTAAGCCTTTCCGGTATGCTTAATCCAGCCCATAGCATACTGACCGAACCTTTGAAGATTCGTTGTGATAAGAGCGACCCCTGTGGCAACTGCATAAAAAGCAAGTTGTGTTGCGTAACATCACCTCGTTTACAAAGGCCCAGGCGATCCAAGCCTTTGCCATCATCGCACTAGTAAGTCTCCTCGATGTTCATCATCCAAAGGAAATCTGGACTGATATCTGGTACGATGACCAAGTGAAGGCAAGATTGACAGTATTCAACAAAGAATTACGCAGATGGGGCAACTTATGGACTCTCTGGTGCATCATGATGGTGTACCCAAGATATCCGTAGAATCAAGCGCCTCTCCACATAACACTCAAGATCACCGAGAACCTCGAAACGACCAAAGTAGCAACAACATCGGTGTATCGCCCGTATCCGTTGGGGATCTGCAGGAGAAGCCACATATCAGGAGAGGAGCTTCATGCAGCAGCCAAGATGATAGCACCGTCGCTGTTGAGGGTCCCTCATCATTATCAGCACACTCTACGTTCGCCGTCGACTTCTTACACCGGGCTGCCAATTCTGATCGGGAAAATGGGCTGCACTTCGATACAAGAGGTCTTTTGGAGAGTCTTGGTCAAATTGTAGATGTGATTCAGAAGCAAACCCGATTCTCAGAGACAGAATGTGTTCCGAATGCTCGTCGACATGAAAGAGTTGATAGTGGCACTACGATGCCACAGATGGATGTCACTGCCGCAGTTATAAGACACGGACACGGTATGTATTAATTCCTATGCCACCGAGCAATATTTTACACACACCCATTGATATATGGCAAGGCGAATGCCACCACAATGACATATTAGAACTTACTGATGGCAGCAGATCAAGGGGGCGTCACCTGGGCCGTGTTCTCATTGATGCTAGGCTCGCGCAACTTATCAGATATGTGTTTGAAGATATACTTTTCAGATGATTACAGTGTGGCTGAGTATATCATTTTCAATACAGTTCTCTACTGTGAGTGATTTATCTATTTCTTTAAAATTGGCCTTCTCTTTTTTTTTTATTTTTTTTTTTTTTTTTTTACAAATATAAGCTTACTCTTGGTAGTTCTATGCCCTGTCTCAGATGAGCTCCAAGACAAGTTCTCCGACGCACGATATCTGTACGCTGAGAATATCAAGTCTGCGCTGACAACCCTTTCGTTGTACATCAACCCAACCAAGGACATGGTTCTTGCCTTGGTCCTAGGTGTTCGTAATCAGCACTTCACAACTCGTTTAAATGATTTCATCTAATAACTTCTTTTACCAACCCACCAGGCGGTATTTTCAATAGAAACCTCCAACCCACACCAGGCCTGTGTGTTGATAACCGCAGCATATCAAGCAGCCCAAGCTCTTGGATATCATACAAGACAGGGCGGAACAACTGAGGGCAGAGTGGACCTCAGTAACTCTGGAGTGATCTTCTGGGTAATTTACTGCCTTGAAAAGTCTTTGTCGCTCCGCCTTGGACGGTGTTCCATAATACAGAGATATGACATATCTCTTCCCCTTCCTGGGGATGACCAAGCTTCGCCAACAGCTATCATGAGATATTGCAAAGTCACCATTCAGCTCTCTGATCTCTCAGCTAGAGTGTACAGCAGCCTTTATTCACTGCAGTCGCTAAACGACACGGATCAAGTGAGGATATCGAAGGCCCTGGAATTGTATGAAGAGCTGAAGGGTATTAAACGCGAGCGAGAGAGTATAAAGGCAAGTAGACTAATGAATCCTTTGAACAACGTTCCGTTGAGCCTCCTCCCGCCCAAACGCACTCTATTAATACTGAAACAACACCATACCCCTAACCCCTGGCCTAAGAAAGAGACACAGGAATGACTACAGGGGAAAGAAGGCCAGAAAGCAGAGAACTACGCTAAAGCTCAAGATACTTACGTTTGATTTCAATAGGACCTTTTCCTTCAGAGTATTGAGGAAGTCTACGGAGATGACATGTCCCAGGTCATATACTTGGCCGATGAACTGCAGTACCTGTTGATTCTAACACTTGTTCATTGCGCGGTTCCACCACCAGCTGGCTCATCGACAGCATTCTCTGATGCTTGTATCAACTCTGCTAGAGCTACTTTGGACACGCATCAATTGTGTATGGCGTATGTGGGAACAAAGGGCAACCAATTACTCTCATCATATCTCAACTGGTACGTACAAGACACTCCTTTGTCTTAAATCCATGTATCATTGGACTCCGGAAGCTAAGTAGCGAAATCTCACTTTATCAGGGTGATTCTTTTCTCGCCTTTTATTTCATTCGTCGTGCTGTTCTGCCATGTTATTGAGACTGGAAACGCGGAAGATCTAACTCGAATGGGAAGTTTCGTTGGATCCATAGAGTCCCTTGAGCTAGGATCTGGCCAAATTGCCAATCATCACCGTCTTTTCGAGGTTCTCTACCAAGTTTCCAAGCGGTACAGTGAACTGAAAGCTACTACGACTTCCGCCCAGGCTCAGAACATCGAGTTGATTTCCGAAATGGACACCTATTTTAGCTATCTTGGCTACCATCCTAATCGAGAACCCACTATCAACTCTGAAGTACACAACAGTACGACTGCAGCAGCCCTGGTGGCCACGACTGTTGGGGCAGTCCTGCCTGCCATCGGTGATATGAGCATGCTCTTGGAAAACCCAAATTTAAATCCCGGAAGGGAGCAGAATTCACAGTTGGGGAATTGGTTTCCACTAAGCCAACAAATGATGACATTGCTTGACAACGACCCCTTTTTCGAGTCACCGGGTGCCTAGAGGCTAGTGTTTCTTTTTGGGGGGGAGGCGATGATGTTTGTGAGATTGTGCGACGTGCACGCATGTTCTAGGAATTTCATTTCTTACAACAATTTCAACACCTTCATGATGAGCCATGTGAAGCTCACCGATATTTTCGGAGCTTGAAGTAGTGGGTGCATATTTTAATTACTGGACCATTAGAAGACAACATAATGTAATATTCTGTCAATACCCTCTAATAACTCAATGTCCGAAATTATGACAAGCTGCCTTCTAGATAACTGCAGCTTTGTTCGTTCTCGTAGCTCTGCCAGTGGAATGTAAGACATAGGGTACATCCCGAATCTCACTTTGGCAAAGCGGTACACCAAATGTGGTCTCAAACGACTTTGTCTTAGCTAGTGCCTAAATTTAGCCAAGAAAATCGGAGATCTGCAAGTGTGATTATCAAATCAAATTCCTCGGCTGTCCGCGGCCTCCTAGCAAGCCTGGCTAATGTGGAAGCTCTTACGGAGAAGTATGGGCCCATTGAATACCTACGCAGAATTCCGTCCTGCGGAAATTCGGCACTAAATCAACACCGAAACTGCGATCTCGTATCATTGGGCCACAGGGAGTAAAGCTGTAGGCTAGATGGACCTAGTGATCCTTTCACTACTGTTTGTGATGACAGTCGCCCAGACCCTGACTAAAGGCAAGCATACAACCTTAACTAAATGACATGGATTGAAACCAGATCAACACTGGGTAGGGCTGCCCTTTACCACCAAAAAGACAGATACTATGGCAGAGTACCCAGATGTTGATGCCCGATTATGATTTGATGCGTATGATACTTCCGGCCAATGCCAAGGGATGCGGCAAATTAGTAGAGTTTTACAGAACGTGGCCTATTTCCGATTGGAAATACCGAAAGTCCTTTGACAATATGGCGATTTGTTCAAGGAAGATGTAGTGATCAAGGGAAGAACTTGCTTACGAGACCGGGGTTGTTCATATCCGACCCGGAAATCTCGCAGATTTGGGAAGCGAGTCATGGAGTTTCGGAACCTTGCGCGGTTGCCGGTCGAGAAAAGCGAGTCACTAGCAAATTGGCCCCTTACATTCACGTCATATTAATACTTGCTGTCTGTCATTGTTCTGTACCTATAATTTGGTCCAAAAACGACGTTCTTTCATCCCAAACACGCTCTGTACAACATTGCAGTGGCACCACCTTCTTTTACAGTTCAACAGCCATCGGAGTGGTCAAAAGCACAAATAGCCACGCGGTTTTGGCTGCCAATCGTCCCAAAATGGCATATTCGGACAAAGAGAAGGATGGAGACCCAGAATCTGCGGCGGATGGAAGCGGAAACGCGGTAGAACAGACCAATCCTGGCAACAGCTACTTTGTAAGTTCTAACTTTGGGCCCCCCATGTGAAACTTCAATGACTCTGACTCTGTCCCTAGAGGGTTTTTCGGTACGGTAGTTCTGCTGAACTCGGAATGCAAGCTCTGGCAACAATCTGTGCATTGGCATCTGGAGTGGGCATAGCCATGGTGAATCTGGTCTTCGGACAATTTATCACGGTGATTACGGATTATGTGACTGAGAAATCAACCCCCGACGAGTTTCGTCACGATTCCGCCAGGCTCGCGTAAGTCGCCTGGAGGATTTGGAAGAGATTCTGATTAGCCTGCTAATACATGCCGAATAGACTTTACTTCTTCATTATTGGCATCGGACGGCTTATTGTTTCCTACGGTTACAGCACTTTATTCACCATAGCCGCATATCGCGTCACTCGAAACATACGATATCTTTATCTCAAGTCTGCGCTCAGTCAAGAGATTGCCTACTTCGATGCCGGGACGAGCGGATCGATCGCAATGCAAGCCACATCCAACGGCAAACTCATACAGGGGGGCATCTCCGAGAAACTGGGCATGGTCTGCCAGGGGCTTTCGGCCTTTATCGCTGCCTTTGTCCTGGCGTTTGTTACGCAGTGGAAACTGACGCTCATCTGTTGCTGCATTGCGCCTGCTACACTGATTGTCATGGGTGTGAGTTCCACTTTCGAGGCTGCCATTGAGACCAAGATTCTCCATGTCACTGCACAAGGGGGTTCTTTTGTTGAAAGCATTTTGTCGACCGCTCGAACTGTCCAAGCTTTTGATCTACGTGAAAGGTTGATGAATGGGTTTGATAAGTATCTTCGAGATGCTCGGGCGCTCGGTGATAAGAAGAACCTTGTCTTCGGGTGCATGTTCTCCGCAGAATATTTCATTATCTTCGCTGGAATAGGCTTATGCTTCTGGCAAGCGATTGGCATGCTCGCCCGAGGGGAAGTTGAAAAACCTGGCGATGTTTTCATGTTAGTTTCCACTGTCCAATGGTGCTCGAGCGACTGAGAGATTTCAGCTACTAATTGTATCATAGAGTGCTTATGTCCGTGATTATCGGCTCGACAAGTTTGACCGCGATTGCTCCATACCTTATCGACTTCAGTCGTGCTGCATCCGCGGCTGCGGAGCTGTTCCGTCTGATCGACCGGACTTCAGTCATCGACCCCTTTAACGAAGGTGGAGAGCAGCCCACTGAGGTTGTCGGCAACATTGACCTACAGGGGGTTTCTTTCTCATATCCCATGCGACCCGGCGTTAAGGTGCTAGATGACTTCACTCTACACATCCCTGCTGGCAAAGTCACAGCTCTTGTTGGAGCTAGCGGGTCTGGCAAGAGTACGATCATAGGCCTGATTGAGCGATGGTATAATCCAGATGCTGGTACCATCTTGCTTGATGGCAAGCCTATTGACAAGTTAAACCTGGGGTGGTTACGAAAACACGCCAGACTTGTTCAGCAAGAGCCTGTCCTGTTCGCGGGCACCGTTTTTGACAATATTGCTAATGGTCTGGTCGGCACCAAGTGGCAGAATGAGTCAAGGGAGGAAAAGCTTGCCAGGGTAACAGAAGCTGCCAAGATTGCCTTTGCACATGATTTCATTTCGGCCCTCCCTAATGGCTATGATACCGTTATTGGAGAGCGTGGTGGCTTACTGTCTGGAGGCCAGAAGCAACGAGTTGCTATAGCTCGCAGTGTAGTGTCCCAACCTAGGATTCTCCTTTTGGATGAAGCTACCAGCGCTCTTGATCCTCATGCTGAGGAGGTTGTACAAGAAGCGCTGAATAATGTTTCCAAGGGCCGCACTACCATCACCATTGCTCACAAGCTGGCTACAATTCGCAATGCTGACAACATTGTTGTCATGGGAAAAGGTCTTATCATCGAACAGGGCACACATCATGACCTTCTGAGAGCAGATGGTGCATATAGCCGACTTGTGAAGGCCCAAGATCTGTCCGTGGCGGCTGATGCCCTCGCCGAATCCGAGTCTACGGATATTGGAACTGAGGAAGATGATGAGCATATGAATCTAGAGATGGCCAAGACGGAAACTCACTATTCGCTCGGAACTAACGAACGTATGAAATCACACTCAAGTCGGGATGATTACGACAACTGGAAACCATATGGTCTTCTTCACACAATATGGAGATTAGTGATTTCATCCCCCGAGTTGAAATGGGTTTACATCATTCTGTTTATTACCTGTCTGCTTTCAGGTAAGTATATTCGAATCCAGCTCTCTCCAGTGACGTCCATTTTCTGATTACTTCCTCAGCGGCATCATATCCCGGCCAAGCAATTCTCATGTCAAGATTCATCGAAGTCTTTAAGTTCACTGGCGATGAGATGCGGAAGAAGGGCAACTTCTTTTCCTTGATGTTTCTCGTTATAGCGTGCGGATGCCTTGTCGTCTACTTCGTCATGGGTTTCACATCCAACATTGTCGCCCAGGTAAGTCATTCATTCTAATGCGTCTCAACGGAATGGTATGTTAACCTGATTCTTTAGACTCTCAACCAGAAATATAGACGGCAGATTGTACATGATATGCTTCGACAAGATTTGCAGTTCTTTGACCGCCCAGAGAACACCACAGGTGCACTTACCAGTCGAACAGATTCCTATCCTTATGCAGTTTTTGAGCTCATGGGCTTCAATGTTGCCATGATCCTCACGGCAGTTATTGGTGTTCTTTCTTGTTGTGCAGTTGCTCTAGCATACGGATGGAAGTTAGGCCTCGTCATTATATTTGCAGGCCTTCCACCTATGCTATTGTCCGGTTATGCTCGTATCAGGATGGAGGCTGCAATGGACAGCAAGATATCCAAGAGGTTCTCTATGAGTGCCTCCATTGCTTCCGAAGCAGTCAATGCAATCCGAACTGTCTCCTCATTAGCAATCGAGGAATCTGTATTGGAGCGGTACACTTCAGAACTGGATCATGCCATCTCAGACTCAACCAAGCCAATCATGTCTATAATGGTCGTGTTTGCTTTTACACAAAGTGTTGAGTACTTTTTCCAGGCTTTAGGATTCTGGTTCGTTCTTCCTTTTCCTCCTTCCACCTTCCTTAGATTTTAGTTTCTATTCTATGACAGAGCTTGGTTGCATTCGCTAACAAAATTCGCAACAGGTATGGCTGCCGTTTGGTATCTTTCGGCGATCTAAATATGGTTAATTTCTTCACTGCCTTCCTGGCAGTGTTCTTCTCCGGCCAGCAAGCGTCAATTCTCTTCGGGTTCTCAAGCAGTATGTGTCCTCAAACCAAAACATCGAATTAAACGACCAGGCTCACTAACAGGAGAGCAGGCATGACCAAAGCAACAAATGCAGCCAATTACATCTTCTGGCTTGAGCAACTGAATCCTTTGATCACTGACACAGATCAGAACCGCAAAATTGGCCCAACCAACATAGAATCTCTTGACTTCCATAACGTTCAGTTTTCGTATCCCATGAGGCCTCATGCCCGTGTTTTGCGTGGCATTGATCTTAACGTGAGTATACCTAGACTATTTCCACTCTCTATGTCGCATCATTCTAACAACATCCGTGCTAGATCAAGAAAGGCCAATTCATTGCATTTGTGGGCGCATCCGGTTGTGGTAAGAGTACGATGATATCTATGCTGGAACGCTATTACGACCCCGTGAAGGGTCAGATTGTGGTGGATGGCACACCACTATGCGACATGAATCCTTGGAAGTATCGTGCAGATGTCGCTTTGGTCCAGCAGGAGCCGACCTTATATCCCGGGTCTATACGTCAAAACATCTCAATGGGTATACCGGCACGAGATGGCTCAGCGATCAAAGACGAAACTATCATTGCTGCTTGTAGGTCAGCAAATGCCTGGGACTTCATTTGCTCTCTTCCAGATGGCCTAGACACCCCTTGCGGAACGAATGGTCTTCAGATGTCAGGCGGGCAGCGGCAGCGTATCGCAATTGCCCGGGCGCTCATCAGAAACCCCAAGCTTCTTCTGCTTGATGAGGCGACTAGTGCCTTGGACACCCAGTCAGAGAGGATCGTGCAGGAGGCATTGAACGAGGCTGCAGCTACCGGAGACAGAACTACTATTGCCGTCGCTCATCGACTGTCTACTGTTAGACACGCTGACATGATTTTGGTCTTCCATGGAGGCAAGATTGCCGCTGCTGGCACTCATGAGGAGCTGGTAGCGACAAGTGAAATGTACCGGAAGATGTGTGAGGCCCAGAATCTTGATGGCTGAGATCACAACCCCTTCCTTTCCCTTCCTGTCTCTTGCCCTTTTTTGTTCGTTCATACACTGTCTTCTCAATAACTAAATCCTGTAATTATATTGAATCTGAATAGCATAGATAGACTAGAATCATTTTCCTTTGTTATTACTGTTATTGGTTGTGTGTGATAAGCTGTTCAGGTCAACGTTTCGCCACACCCGTGAGAGTGTCACTTGCGACGAATAAAGGTATAGAGAGCTGGTTGAGTGTTCTCGGTTTGAATAGGAACTAGCACAGCCGGCAGTCTATTTTGGCTTCATTGCCTCTGAGGATCCTGTGATGAAGTCTGAAATGCAGCGCGACGATCTCGCCAGACAAAAAGGGGTGATTGGATTTGAGATGGAATTGCCCACTTCGCTGCCCGCTCCACTCGCGTAAGTATAGCCGGGCTGCCGGATCCCGAATGAACCTTACTTGTGCAGATACCGGGCCGGCCGGGGTTTTGCAATAATTTTAGTAAATGCCCGAAACCCCGGACAGCCTCTTTGCGCTCTTCATACTGAACGCCAGGCAGCCATAGCATTCCAACGCGAAATGTACTGTAATACTTTGCTTCCTGTTACTATAGATGTTGAATAGAATAGTTATAACTGTAAATGGACTAAGCCTCAGTATTTTCTTAGCAAACCAACAGCAGTCCTAACAAGTAGAGAAACAACAAAGACCACACACAGATGCCCGTACAATAACGCTCCCAAAACATCATTTGTCAGATGATTGGTAATCAACACGGTCTGGTGGGGACTGGTAGTGGCCGGGAATCTTGGATGCTTTCTTTAATAAGCCGCGCTATGCTTGAGCTGCGTGTAGACCGAGCATGGCCTGTCAAATCGGCTACAAAGAGTTATCATCTTGTGTCAACATGAAGGTCCTTGTGATTGGAGGAACTGGCATGATAGGGGGCCACGCTGCCCTTCACTTACAGTCCGAAGGCCACAAAGTTACTATTGCAGGCCGCCGCCCCAGCAATGTTCCTGCTCTTTCGTCGATGCCTTTCATAAAAGGCGACTATGTTCATGAAGACTTCAGCAAAGACCAGCTTTCTGGGTTCAATGCCGTTGTCTTCACCGCTGGTGCCGACATGCGTCATGTCCCCGCAGACGTTGACCCAGAAACATACCTCCAGCAAGCAAACGGAACAGCCGTGCCCAAGGTGGCAGCACTCGCTCGTGACGCCGGCGTTGAGTACTTTGTCCACGTTGGCAGCGCCTACCCGCACATTCTACCGGACCAAGTCGAGAAGAATGCCTACATCCGGTCTCGCAAGTTGGCGTCCGAAGGCGTCGCCAGTCTTGCTACGCCCTCGTTCAAAGCCACGAGCCTGGACCCGCCCTTCGTGGTTGGGACTATTCCCGGCATGGACATTTCCATGTTCCAGGCCTATGTGAAGTATGCCGAGGGCCAAATTCCTCTGCCCCCCTTTGCACCACGAGGCGGTCTTAATTTCATATCGGCCCAGTCGCTGTCTGAGGCAATTTCAGGGGCGTTAAGAAACGCTGACGAGGTTGCCGGGCGGGCCGTTCTTATCGGGGACGAAAACCTCACGTATGCCGAGTATTTCGATAAGTTTTTCAAAGCAGTAGGCCGCGAGGTAGGACAGATTGAAGCCAAAGACGAGGAGCATCCCTTGTTGCCCCGATCCGCTCTATTCGCTGGTGACAAGGTTGTCAGGTATGCGATGGACCCTGAAGATGAGAAAATATTGGGAAGCTTTAGACGTAACGATATTGATCGAGCAATCCGTGAGATTGTCGAGCAGTATTGCTCTATTTGAAGCATACCGTTTGGAAATAATGATCATGCAAGAAATTAGCAAACTACGGTTCGGTTTAGTCGCCTTCTCTTCCTCTAGCCTGACACTATATTGTGACTACTCTCATTGTTAATTTCTTGTGATTTCTTCTCTCTCTCTCCATCCAAATCTTAGCTTCAGGCACCTTCAAAGAATCTACTCCGGGGCTTCGGCTCGTATGTCGGAGGCCGTGGTGGGTCGGCTGGCCGACTTCTCAACAAGCCTAGAACGAACGGGGGAACACGCGTTTGTGTAGAAGGGCCGCAGAGAAGCTCCAGAGAAATTGGAGACATCGAATTTATGGACCAGGTGGCCTAAGTTGACGAGGATCCTACAAAATTTCGGATCCTACTCGGCCCCATAAAGTTTTCACCCAGGCACACCAAGCGAGCTCTTCTTAGTACTTCATGGCCCTTTTCTTAGCCTTTTCTTCCTCCCACTCCCCCCTTTTCTTTGTTCATCCATACTCTGCTTTCGTAAGTCTGACATCTTCTTCGTGCCTATGACCGGTGCGGATGCTAACATGCGCTGATCAAGAACAATGACGGACACCTCTTCTACGAAAATCCCGACCGGCAGCGACCCTTCGAACGTATACAACAATGGTCAGGCTAGGTACAGAGGTACAGACGATGGTGGTTGTATGTTGGCCCCTACAAAAGATGTGGCAGACCAAGCGCTCGAAGCGATGGGTTACAAAGCCGAACTGATCCGGACACGTTCAACCTTGCACGTCGCCTTCATGTCCTTCGTGCTTGCTTCTGTTCCTTATGGGCTCGCAACAATGCTTGCGTATCCCATTATTGGAGGCGGCCCTGTGGCGGTCATATGGGGTTGGCTCGCTGTGTCAGCGATCATCTTCTGCGTGGCTGCATCGTTAGCTGAAATAACCAGTGTCTACCCAACAGCTGGCGGTAAGCCAAAAGCCCAGATATTCTGCCGTCATTGTTCATTTACGCCAACTTACATTCATGATGTCGCTAGGCGTCTACTACCAGACTTTCATGCTTGCCCCCTCTCGATGGCGACGTGTAGCCGCTTGGGTATGTGGCTGGTTCTATACTGTCGGGACTATATCTATTACTCTATCTGTAAATTTCGGAACAACTCTTTTCTTTGTGAGTTGTATCAACGTTTTTGAGACTGAGTCTGGTGTTGGAATATTCAACCCTCCAGATTGGCAATTGTATTTAGTCTTTGTCGGAATTACCTTGCTCTGTACTGCGGTCTCGTCTCTTGGTAATCGTTGGTTGCATATCCTTGACGTAAGATCTACCAATATGCCATGCCCCTTGCCATTCTTTAGGCAATTTCAAATGCTGACCCGGTGTCATAGACTGCTGCCATATTCTGGACCTTAGCGGGAGTTCTCGCAATTATTATCACGGTCCTAGTAATGGCAAAGGGCGGAAGACGGTCTGCTGACTTTGTGTTTACGCACTTTGAATCTAATTCTGGGTGGCCGGACGGATGGTCTTTCATGGTAGGACTCTTACACGCCGCATACGCCACGTCATCCACTGGTATGATCATTTCCATGTGCGAGGAAGTCAAGGAGCCTTCGACTCAAGTACCTAAGGCTATGCTTGCCACAGTCTGCATCAACACATTTGCCGGCTTGCTCTTCATGATCCCGCTCATGTTTGTCCTTCCGGATATCCAGGGTCTTCTGTCCTCTTCACAGCCCGTTCCCGTTATAATCAAAGCTGCTGTTGGGTCGCCTGGCGCTAGCATTGCCCTATGCCTCCCTCTCCTTGTGCTTGGAGTTATCTGCGGCATTGGTTGCACCACCGCTGCCAGCCGATGCACGTGGGCTTGTGCTAGAGATGGAGCAATCCCAGGATCTCGGTTGTGGATGCAAGTCCACCCCAGGCTTGGTGTTCCTCTAAACGCAATACTGCTTTGTACAGTGGTCCAGATCGTGCTTGGACTCATTTGGTTTGGGTCAACGCAGGCCTTTAATGCCTTTTCCGGTGTAGGTGTCATTACACTGACTGCGGCATATGCGAGCCCCATTGCTATCAGCTTGTTTACTGGCCGCAAGGCTGTGGAGAATGCTAAGTTCAGCCTTGGACGCTTTGGAGTCTTTGCTAATATCATCGCCCTCGGTATGTCTAATCGTATATCCCATCTACTCTAGTATGTTGTCTAATCTTTTCTTATTACGTCGTTGAAAAGCTTGGTCTGCCCTTGCACTTCCACTTTTCTGCATGCCATCTGCTGTTCCGGCGACTCCTCAAACAGTCAATTACGCACCCGCAGTTTTCTTGCTTGCTACTGGGGTATCAGCCTTCTGGTATTTTTGGCGAGGCCGGAGAACATATTCTGGCCCTCCTACTACGGATTAATTATACAATGGCTGGTTGATATTTGACGATATGGAGGACGACGTGTGGGATCAAAGGAAGGTTTCATCTATAATACCAAGAACAATTAGTGTAGATTTTCAACCCATAGCCCTAAAGTATACGCTCCATTAAAAAAAGGAACTGTGCTTGAAGGCCATAAAATGTACTTGATAGACGGCTCAAGGATGACCGGGGCACTCAGAACGGGGTTCGTAGTATCGATCAATCTTGAACACTTTTCACTCAGAGCAAATATCAATTCAATCATAGTTAGCGGCTATTTTATCTTGTTCATTTTGAAAACTCGATGCTTCAGACATCCAACGTGCCAATTCCCGGGGTAATTCTAATTGATACTATACAAGTGTTCTGTGCTGCCCGTTGTGCCCAGAGCTTGTTTTCCGAATGGAATAGTCTAACTGATGGATGTAGACATTTAATGTTGTGATGGGGGGATCCAGTCCATCATCTGTTGATTCATGGCAAACCAGTTAAGATTGGGAGCCCACCCATCAGCCCACCCATCTACAAATCCATCACCCGCACCCTGCAAAGGTGCCCCCCCATTCGGTAAGCTCGCAGGGAATAGCTGGCCCGGGCTACTAATGCCCGCGATCTGCAGCTCTTGGTCGGCGTGGTTACTCGCTTGGATTCCGACGGTGGAGAAACACGTTTCTATCTGTTGTTCAAGTTCACTGCCCTGTTGTTGCGGGGGCTCCAAAGGATCCTTTGGCTTGAGGTAGCCGTCCGCGGCGTTATAAAAGGCTTCGAAAAGACGATGGTGGCTTGCAAACCTCGAGTGCTCCGATGCCGGGCTGATCGAGTCCACAAACGCTTTTAGGCATGCCAAGTCATTCCTGTCCCTTTTCTGTATTACGTGACAGAAAAGGACAAAAAAGGGAATAAAAGGCAGGAAAATCAAGGTCCTGTCAGGTCCAAAATTAATATATACCTTGCATATTACTCGTCACATGAAACTCACCAATTCATGTAAGTCAACAGAAGTGGTGCCTGGTTGATGTCGACTTCATTGTGACGTGACAATGCTGCTCGGGCATGTAAGAGACATTCTTCGGTAAAGGATTGCTCAGATTCCTGTGTTGGTGGGGATGCGCGATGTATTAATGTTAGTATCGAAAGGTAGAGAACCTCATCTGAAGCAGAAATGAAATCCAAGAAATCTTTCGTTCTGTTCTGGTGCTTGGACAGATTTTGAAGAAGACGCTTCGGATCGAATTAGACATGTACTCTGTTGATTAAGTTGGAGCCGGGAGTTACTTACATTGTTCGTTATTGTTTCCTGTTGTATGCTCTTGGCCTCTTGGGAGAGCCCGTTCACTTTTTGACGTTTCGTTTCTTGGTCGGAGAGGAGGGCTTGATGAGAATACAGCTCTGTATAGATTCGCCCGGCGAGTCGAGCCACTTTTACTTGTAGCTGGCAGTAACGCATCGCTGGGCTTGGGAGCACTCCTTCTCCGCCAGGGAAGGGGATACTGATGTCCATGTCTGGTATTGTTGAACTACGTCCGAGACGAAGACTTAGAATCTTTTCGAAAAAGTAAATGACCCAGAACAACAGGCCGAAATGGTTTGGGGCGCCTAGTACGTCATCAGTGCCGGTTCGTCTTTGGTGGAACCCAAGCTGATGAGATGTCTGTTGCGCCCAGACAATCAAGGTCCAAGCTAGAGAAGGCTTTGCTATCTCCATAGAATAGATGGACTGGTGCCAGCTGATGAGTATCATGTAGAAAAGTCCGATGATTAACGAGCGACGGGGGAGCTTACAGTCAATGTGAGTGCCAGCACCATCCTGTGAGATCGTTGAACGAACAAGGGCAGCGCTGCCACTGAAGATTCAATATTCCTCGCGCATAACAAAGTGTAGTCTGTGGCCACGTCGTCTTGGCCTCCAATGCCTGGCCATGACTCGCTTCTTTCGTTGAGAAGATCTGCACGTATTATCATTAACATAACCGGCATCAAAATCTCCAAAATAATCTACCTACAGAACAGCATAAAGTTGACAATTAGGAAGTCCGCCTCGTCATGTTCCGGAGAAAAGTAGACATTCATACACAAATCTATGAGGCTGGGTGAAGGCAAGAGTGCGCAAAAGAATGTGTGCAGTAAGCTGTTTTGCGCTTATAGCCGCATACGTTCCGTCAGTGAGTCTTCATTACAGGTCTTGGGATATTGAAATGTGGCTTAACCTACCTTTAGCTTTTCCGATGACCTCCACGGCAACCTCAAGAGGGGGCATCTTATCCTTTTGTTGTGATGAAACTGTAAACACGCTCTTGGAGGGGAGGCAATCACCCGGGGAACGATGCTGTTTTTGAACAGTTTCCACCATATGGCTCAAAGTCTCCAAAAGACCATGGGCATCACTGCTCATACTGCCTCCCTGGTCTAAGCTGACGACCTTGTTCATAAAATCAACTGCAAATGATGAATGGGCAGATAGCGATGAATGGCCCTCAGAGTCGACATAGTTCGCATTTTGGCCGGTTTTCTGGCCATCATCTCCGCCATTTTTCGCGTTATTGATACCTCCATTAGGGGCGGATCGGTGTGCTTGTTGGGCGGCTAGAGAGTCATCACTCGTGTGGGACGGAGCGGATGCCGGGCTTCTCCCATCCAAATCGTTATGATACACCACTTGGTCAGAACTTCGCGAGGGCACATTTGAAGCTGGTGATTCTGAAGCTTCTGTTAGAGGCTGCGAAACTGAACTTCCGGCCATTGTCTGGATCAGCTGATCCAGCTGGTGAAGACGTTGGTCAATGGAAGTGATTTTTCCCACGCTGTCAACCGATGCTGCTGTCAACGACATACCTGAATGGAGCATTTTGTAGGGCGACTTACACTTGGTTGGTGATTGTTGGGCGAGGACGCTTGGGTCTTGCGTGGCGAGGCGAGAATGTACAGTCATCTCCAACGCGTAAGCAATTGGCGCAGGGAGCGCGCCGATTGCAGCGTATCTGATTCTCAATCATCAGCAGGCAGATAGGACATCAAAGAGAGGAGCGACTCCCTCACCTTGCGTCGAGCACAGGGGTCACACTACAGTCGGCAAAGTTGGATGTGAGTGATGGGAACTAACGGCCCGTTGCAGCAGATCAAACTCACAGCTTTGTTCCTGGTATTGGATGCGTAGAGCGAATCATCAGCGCCAGCGTTATCTGTCGCGTCTGTAGGGGGCATCATGGCCGTTCAAAAATGGAAACCTGGGTCTCTAGCCAGGGTCTATCAAAGCGCCGTGGACGCTATTGAGGGATTTTGAGTGCCGATACAAGTGCCGATTTCCCGTTGACCCTTAGTTGATTGGGGGTTAAGGAGGGAAAGGACGCCGTGCAGCATGAAATTGGAGTGAGGAGCGGCAAGTGTATCGCAAAATCGATGCCGGCGCCGAAGTTCGTGTGGGGGGACACCTTGCGGAGTTCCGGGTTTTCGCTGCAGTCCCGGAAAGCCGGGCTTGACTCCACTTGTCGGCGCTCTATGAATCATTACATCACAAGATAGCCGGATGCCGAAGAGCTTGGTGGAGGTGTGTCACATCACGCAGCCAGTTAGACCATACAGCATGCCCATATAAACTCTCCCAAGCTCCACTTTCGGATTTTATGTTGAGTGACATTGATAATTCTCGTGTCTTATCAGCTGAAACATCTACGTGGTCATCTTAATGTTGCAATACAACCTCGATCGAACAAACCAAAGTACACAGTGGGCTAAATAGGGAAGACAGAAAATGAATTCTACATCAGATAAGGGAATACAGTACCTTGTTCGGAGGATACCGAAAAGATGACAACTTCCACGATAGGGGCTGATAACCATCGAGCTAGAACCCGACCAACAACATTTATGAAAAGGCATGGGTATGTTTCGCCGTGCAACAACTCTATCTATCGTCGTCCGGGCTACAGTTTGAATCAAACTCGCGGTATATTGGTACAGAAGTTGGACATGTGTTTGGATGGGTGGGTTTTGCTTTTGCGGATACCGAAAATGCGAGTTGTGACATTAGGCTCAGGCAAGATGCTACGCTCGGACATCTTCGGGCTGCAAAGCTACTAAGGAAAGGAAAGATCTTCACATCGTCTTTGCGACAATTCGGGGGCTCGGATCACTGAGCTTTCCGATCACTGAATGCAAGATGCATATAAATTGTGCGTCGAGTGTGAGGATTTCTTTCTTGTCAACAATCAACACCTCCGCCATTAACCAGTCGCATCTCAATGGTTCTCCTCGACGGCTTGCCGGCGCTCTGCGTCCATTTAGCTTTTGACAATTTTGCCCAGACACTTGGTGTCACACTAGCATTGGTAGTTGCCTACCGATGCTTTGTGCTTCAGCGAGATGATCTTCCTGAGTTAAATCCTCGAAAGCCATATGAATTAACCGACCGCCGCCGCGTGCACGAATTTGTTCAGAACAGCAAGCAGCTGCTCGCCAAAGGCAGAGAGCTATATGCACATAAACCATATAAGCTTATGTCTGAATGGGGCTCGGTGGTCGTGCTACCACCCGAACAGATTGATGAATTGAAGAGCGATCCGAGGATGGACTTTGAAACTCCGACGACGGAAGTAAGAAGAAGAAACCAACGTTGGATAATCTTAACATCAAGAAGCTTACAAAAACCGTCTGTAGGATTCCCATGGATACATAAAGGGCTTTGATGCCTTCGATGCCGATCCCAGCATGACCCAAGTCGTCACAAAGTATTTGACCAAGGCTTTGAGTAAGCATCCTTTTGAATCCACTGAATGAAATGTCTCTAATGATAAATACCCGGCAGACAAGCTTACCGGTCCCATCTCACATGAGGCTGCTATTGCTACTAGAGAAGTGCTCGGAACTCATCCAGGTATGATTACAGCGAGGATTTAAACCACTTTGACCACACCTCTTTTCCACGTCAATGTATAGATCACGTCTAATGTAACCTCCTCTTAGACTGGCGTGAACTTCACCCCGCAAAAGATTTGCTTCAACTTGTTGCTCGCATGTCTACAAGGGTCTTTCTCGGTGAGGAGATGTGTCGGAACCACGAATGGATTGAGGCGTCGTCCCAGTATGCTGCTCTCGCATTCAGCGTTGGAGACAAGCTAAGAATCTACCCCCGGACCGTCCGGCCTCTGGTACACTGGTTCATGCCATCTTGTTGGGAGCTGAGACGCTCGCTGCGACGATGCCGGGAATCCTTAAAGCCATACATCAAGAAACGAAAATCTCTTGCGGGAGCAGTGGACGAACAGGGCAAGCCGTTAAAGTTTGACGACTCCATCGAATGGTTCGAGCGAGAACTGGGCCCCAACCATGATGCAGCCCTGAAGCAGGTAACACTCTCTGTAGTCGCTATTCACACCACGACCGATCTGCTCCTCCAGACTATGACCGATTTGGCACAGAATCCGGAGGTGTTACACGCAATCCGTGAGGAGGTGATACATGTGCTTGGATCTGAAGGGCTTAGCAAGATCTCGCTGCATGGCTTGAAGTTGATGGATAGCGCACTGAAAGAAAGCCAACGCCTCAGACCTACACTTCTCGGTCAGTCGTTTTTTCTTTACGTCAATTGTTCTAGGAGACTGTACTGACCAATTGTCAAGGCTCATTCCGTCGGCAAGCTACCAGCGATATCAAACTAAAGAATGGATTCGTCCTGAGGAAAGGAACCAGAGTTGTCGTTGATAACACTCACATGTGGCATCCAGATTACTACACTGACCCTCTCCGGTATGATGGCTTCCGTTTTTTCAACAAGCGTAACACGCCAGGGGAGGACAAGAACACACTGTTGGTTAGCACAAGCGCCAATCACCTCGGTTTCGGCCATGGTGTTCATGCTTGCCCTGGACGCTTCTTTGCCTCCAACGAGATCAAGATCGCGCTTTGCCATATCATACTCAAGTATGAGTGGCGTCTTCCAGACGGGTTCAAGCCGCAGCCACTCAATTTGGGAATGACTTATCTATCGGATCCCACCATCAGGATGAGCGTTAGGCCTCGCAAGCCTGAGATTGATATTGAAAGACTGACGAGCCAAACAGCGTAGACGTAATATCTCACCAGATATTCAGCGTTTACTAGATTGACTCAATATATCAACCATCACAAAAATAGTTTAGTGCAAGAGTCAGCAAATCTTCACTCTAAAATTGGATAAATATCATGGATTTTGGTCGTTATCACTAGCACATAGTAGGAAAGTCTTATGAATTACAAATACCTGTCTAATCGTCATAGATTCCTAATAATGTGTCGATTTATTGGTTGGAATATTATTGGCCGCAAGCAGAGAGATGTGAAGCCCAAAAATGATTAACAAATATTGACACTTTTCATGACTCCGCGAAATTGAACCTCTCTATGACAGAATTATGCTACCCAATAATGCGAGTATCGAGTTGCAACAAACTTCCCCTTACTATTCACGTAAATCCAAGCAATCTCGTACCAGAATCAGCTGCTCCTAGCGACGGGCAGAGCCTTTTACGGATATCGGATAAAGAGAAATACAAGACCCTAACCTTGGCTACTTAACTGGTACAAGAATCTCTCCGTAATGTGCTAAAACGAATTGCTACTTCTGTTCCTCACCTAGCGCTATGCAGGGCGTGAAAAGTCATCGGGTCATTGTCCATCAACCCCATCATCTGCTGACTGATTTGAAACCAAGAAGGTAGATGCATAGTCGGCTGATCGGCGTCTGCCATTTCTCTAGAGAAAGAAGCCATTGCCGGCTCGCCCACTGCCTCGCCCGTTGAACCCTGTTGACAGAAACCCATGGCGTTGAGGTAGCTGTCAATCTCATGGGTCTGTTGTATTTCGTCACTACACAGAGATGCACCAAAACTCTGCTTCAACTCGGTGTAGCGTAGAGCAACGTTGTAGAATACTTGGAAAAGGCGTTGGTGATTGCGAGCCGCAACAGAACTCGAAGTAAAGGACTCCAAAGACTTGACAAAGTCGCGCATGCGTTGCAAATCCTCCTGATCCCCAGTCTCTATAACATTGCAAAACAGGACAATGTAGGGCGTGAAAGGTCGCAGCATGATAAACCTAGGATGCGGTATGTTAAAGGAACACGTGGCTTTCCCATGACTATCTACCAAAACAAGGCCGCAAACTCACCAACTCATATATGAAGAAAAGAAACCAGACATCCTACTGGCAGTAACGACAGGGCATGTCTGGTGGCAAGCCAGGGCTTTGCGAGCAGAATCAATGCACTGTGTTGTAAGGCTTGCCGTTGGGCTGGAAGGCACTGTTTCAGTGCGGTAGATTAGAGTCTCGATGGAGTATAGTAAAACCTTGTCCGAATACAACATGAACTCAATTAGTTCAGACCATTCATTCTTTGGAGTGCAAAGACTCCATTCGCTCTGGAATATTCTGTTAAAATGAATGTGATAGTTGAGTGGTACAATAGGACGGCAGCTAGAAAAAGAATTTTAGCTGGACAGACTCACCATGGCGCCCTGTGATTCAGCTGATAGTCGATCAAGCTCCTGTGACAGCTCCTTGACAGGAAGCACCCCGTTGTTGCGTAGAACAGCCATGGCGGACGGTCCATAGAGGCTTTCATATATCTTACCGGTCAGCTTCGCAAGCTTGATCATGGATCGTGCGTAGTTCAGACCAGCTTGCCCCCCTGGCATGGGCAAAGAGATGTCGCCTTCGGGGATCCGAGAGCACCGCCCAAGACGGAGGCAAAGAGTCTTCTCGAGGAAGTATATGACCCAGAATAGCAGACCAGGCTCATTGGAGAGATCACAATAGTCCCCATTGTCAGGTCTTGCCAAATGGTAGCCAAGAGAATGGCACGCCTGATATGCAGCGGACACCAACAACCAAGCCCAGTGAGGCTTCAAAATCTCAATGGCATGTACTGCCTAGTAGTACCGATCAGCCCATGTGTATAATCAACCACACATTCTACAGACCCCTAAAGTTAGAGCAAGAACTAGCTCCATGCTTGGCCAGATGTGAAGATGAAGACTTAAGAGGGCCGTCTCTAGATTCTTTTGGCAGGAAGACTTGAACTCGGCCGTGTCCATTGATATGTTCGGAGGCTTCTGAATCATGATCTGATTGTCGAAAAAGTCTTGGCTACTCATTAGCGAATTAGAAGCATAATGGAAGAGTGTCGCCTACATGTGAGAGCAGCATTGATGATTATATAGTCGGCCACGGAGTAGTCGGATGCAAAGTATACCCTAAGGCAAATATCGGAAAGTGACTGTGAACGCAGGAATGTTTGTATAAAGAGAAACGTAACGTGATGGCTTTCTATGTACAACGAGATCAGAAGGACGACACAACGAAAACGAAAAAGAATGGGGACAAAATGCGCACTTACGCTGCGCCCCCCGTATGGCAGCCACTGACGCCTCAATGGGCGGCATTGCACAAGCTTTTGGGAATTGGTTGAGTTGTTGCACGCCCATATTAGGGTAGCAATTCGACATTGTTTGTGGAGCCTTGATGGCTTGAACAATCTGGTCAAGGTCGTCTAAAAGGTCCCGAGTGTCAAAGTTGTATCCACGATCTCGATCAACAACCGCGACCCTATCAAGGAAGCCAATGGCCATCTTCGAATGGGCGGATAGGGAGGTTGGACCCTCCACCATCACCAAAGAAGGCTCGTTCTCGTCTGCTGATCTAGCGAGCAGATTGTCGGATTCGGAATGAGTGATGTCGGGAGATGGTGGGCTGCTGATTTCAATTCGAGCGCGATGCCCAGGCACAGTTGGTTCTTGATACAAGGAGACGGCAGAGGATACTGCTGAATTGCTGGGGGAGGCATCTTCAGACAAGTCTGGGCCATGGCGCTGGATGTCCGGCGATTGGTCGGAGATGTTGGAGTTGGCGGATCGTGCATGCTCGAGTTGTCGTTCCAAGTAGCGGATTTTCGAGAGACTACACAATTTGTGCCATTAGCAGCCTAGACGGAACGGATGCGTCACGTTGAAAGTAGGACCTACTAGGCGACTGAATCAAGCTGTCGGTGTCTTCTTGGGCGTGCCACACGTGGGGACTTTGTGCATGCGATGCCTCGCTGCTGGCAATTCACGCAAGGCTGATTGCGGTCACATCGTACCTGTGGATAGAGAATCGAAAGAACGTAAGCGTCTACCTACAGAGCCCTTAGTGTAACGACAGAAACACATGTTCCACTACCTTTTTGATTCGGCAATTATCACACTAGGTCAGGGTGGAGTGATCATTGATTAGCTAGAGCTAGGCGCATCGAGCAAGCAGTCAGAGGGTTTCCAGTCTTACAGCTTTCGTTGCCGGGACAGCATCCGCCATGGACAAGGAGAGCCTCCCCGATAAGGCCAGCGGATATCGAACCAAGGTGAAGACCGATGCCCAGACAACGTGTAAGTCAGTACTTGCGACGTGGTTTGCAGGCTGGGGGTCACTATCGCGCGATAGGAGTGTTAGAGCAAGAGACATTGGAGCGGGTGCGAGGGGTTCCGGGAATTTAATGGTCTCGGGCTCCGAATCTTCGGGTCCCGAAATACCGGCGCTAATTGTGTTAGCGCAATGTCATCGTGCGGGCTTGTGGGGTAAGGCTGACGCTAATGCAGCGCTAGCAAAAGAGGTTAGCGCGACATCATCGTGATCCAACGTCATAATCCGGGTCACCTCATAGGACAACAAGAGATTGTACTGAGAATTTGAAGAAGTTACAGTTAGGGACGAGTGTGGCCCATATATTTACAGAACTCTCGAAAAAGGTTCTGAGGTTCTGAGTGCGCCAGCTCATTCATCACAGGGGTGTGCTATAGACGCGTTGATAAGGCAAAAACTTCGATACGATTCAAAATTGGCTAACGAAGGAGGAAATTGATTGGTCCATGACTGTGGAAAAAGACTTGGTTCATCTACGATTGGGAAAGATTAATCTTAGGGTGCAGCTTATTGGGGGTTTTCCCTGAAGAAGTCACACACTTTTACCCGTTAATGAATACGTACTGCAAGCACACTTTAGCTCACTATAGGGTAGGACTTATTTAGATCGCCGCTGTACCCCGCACAATTGATAAGCGAAGACGCGGTCCAGACCCATACCGTGCCGAGTTTCCGAGATGTAATGAATTCAGCTGTTGCATCAACTAAAAGCAGTTACCGGCAGTGTTTCGACAAGGCCTCATTGACTTTCAAAGCGTCTGGAACCCCACACAAACCCAGCAGTGCATCTTATCTCTTGGCAAAATCTGATCCTGGCTTGGTCTGGGCTGCGAGATTTCACCCTGGTTGCCACGCGCAAGATAACGATCGTGCTGGTGGCTGCTTCCATGTCCTGCTGGCGCGTTTGAGATAGGAATCTTCTACCACAACTGGATAGTGATCTTACAACAGGACGGAGCATCTGCGACGTGAAAAAGCATCCTAGCAAGTTCCTTTTGTCCAGCCAACCAGCGGAGAGGATTTCTTATCTCAGGTTTGTGGTGTAGTAGCTCCATCCACCTGGTATATATGTATGAATACCGCTCTGGTGATTTGGTTGAAGCCAACCTCCAAGTACTCTAATCTATTATTGAGGTCAAGTTTTCCTGCTTGAACGCTGTTCTGCCTTTATGCAAACTATGGCTCCGCAGCGACAAACTCCCCAGAGGCCACAAGATGACCCTTCTTTAGACCAAGACAAGTATAAAGAAGGAGGGAATGACATGGACAAAGACGGTGACCTGATACGCTCCATGAGCATTACAGAAGGCCAGGTCACATGTGTTCCAGACCCAGCCAGCCCCCACGGCTCCTTTCTAGAGGCTGCAAGGGCATGGCCGTATGCCATAGTCTGGTCTATTGTGTTCTCCAACACTCTAATTCTGTGAGAAGCGTCTTCACTCAATCATCTATTATTGGTATCCAAGTTTGTTCAACATTGACCCATGATCTTGTATCCATCATTAGAGTTGCATACTGCCCGGCGTGGATTGCCCAATTATACGCACTGCCGGCGTTCACTACGCGTTTCGGCTATGAATATCAGGGTCAATATGTCATTGATGCAAAATGGCAGGCGGCCCTAGCTGCCGCTTCGATGGGAGGCCAGTTCATCGGGGCTCCGGCGATCGCAATACTCATGGTAAGTGAAGAGATGTCCCTCGCCGATAATATCCTAATCGCCTCTATCTCTGACATGATGCAGGACAAATATGGTCGGAAGCCCGCCTTCATGGGCTGTCTTGTTGTGATCGCAAGTTTTACGTTTATACAGATCTTCAGCACGACCCTCCCTGTTCTCCTGACTGGCACAATACTTGTTGGCACCGCGCTGGGCTGCTTCGGCGTGTTGTCCTTGACGTACGCGATGGAGGTGGCACCGTTGCACTTGCGAGGTGTCCTTGGGGGAGTTTATAGCATTGGAATTGTCATTGGACCTTTGCTCTCGGTCGTGATCGCTCAGGGGGCCGTTCACATGAGCAGTGTCTGGGGATACCGGATGGGATTCGCTGTCCAGTGGGCTTGGCCGCTGTTTCTTCTCCCATCCGTCGCCTTTGCCCCGGAAAGGTAAGCAGCTCTCAACTTTGCCTGATTTCAAGGAGCTTGCCCTGATAAGCGTTATGATGCTAATACAAGAGTCAATGAAAGCCCGGTCTGGTTGATACGCCAAGGCCGTGCAGCTGATGCTGAAGCGGCCCTCAGGCGATTGGCAGTCTGGGATCTGGATGTTTTGCCCGATTTAGAGCGCATCGTAGCGTTGGATCTCCACGAACAGGCTCTTGAGGCTAGTTCCAGTTATCTGGATATCTTCAAGGGCACCAATCTCCGACGCACCTTGATCTCTGCGGTTAGCTACGCATCCATAGCGACTACTGGAAACACACTGACCAATAGTGGGGCTTATTTCATGCTGTGTACGTATTACTTGTTATTGCCCCTCTTTGATTGTATATCATAGGTGCCGATCAGGGCAGGAAGGGGCTGACCAAGAGCGATATGTAGTGGTTGGAGTGGATGCTAATACAGGGTTCTACTGGTCATTGGCCTGTAGCCTTGGTGCATTTCTTGGCTCTCTCCCAAGTTTGTGGATTCTTGCCAAGTACCGGAGACGATGGATCTACTTCTGGGCCCAGCTTTCTGGCGCAGTCTGTTTGCTTGCCATTGGCTTCATTCAGATCAATCCTCAGTACTACGAGACGTACAACAGTGTTTTCACACAGGGTGCTTTTATGGTCATCTGGAATCTCATTTACGGCGCAGCCATCGGCCCTCTGTCCACCGTCATCATGGGCGAGGTTCCTAGCAACGCTCTCAGGGCCAAGACAGTGGCGTTTGCAACGATGACCCAGGTGGCACTCATGGTGGTGGGCTTGACTATCAACCCTTACTTTCTGGATCCCGAACATGGCCATCTCCAGGGCTATGTCGGGTTTATCGCTGGGGGGAGCGAGCTCCTTTGGACAGTCTGGTCATTCTTCTGCTTGCCGGAAACGAGCCTCAGTGTCGAGAGATTGGATGAACTCTTTAATAATAAGGTTAGTGCGAGGCATTTTGTGGAATAAACACGCTGGCCGAGGAGGTAGCAATGTATTTACCGAGCGGTTGGATAGCGCGAAGAATATAGGACTTTGAGAGAGCGCAAAGGTAGATAGCAAATGGTGATTTCATTGCCAATTTTAGGCGCGTAGTTGATTGGTGCGTTGCGCAGAGAGCACCTCGGCAAGCAAAAAGAGGGTAAGACATGCCGTAACTACGTGCATTTGCTGCGGGAGGACACAGCTCAATCCGGGTCTCAAACGAGAGACTATCAAGCCGAAGTCCCGGGACGCCGCTATCCCGAAAGCCCGTGATAAGGGGCAACGTTGGCAAGGAAATCGTCAACGCTAGGGATAGATACCAGTGGGTGGGCCACGGGATTCTATACTGGACGACTCTTCAGAATGTATATGTACAGACAGACATTAAGACTAAGGTGAAGGCTTGACTGGTCAGTCCCTGGTAGTAACCATAAGAGGGCATTCTTAAACTTCATATTGAAACAAGCACAAACATCACACACTGGGCAGCAATGAGTTTCGTTGGCAAAATTTACGTGGTGACTGGCGCTGGGTCCGGCATTGGAAAAGCCACTGTGAAGAAGCTCCTTGACCAAGGGGCCACGGTGCACGCTCTTGATATCACAAAGATATCGGTGCACGAAAATACAGGCGGCCACCAAATTTCACACGAGAATGTCGACATCAGTTCACGCAACTCAGTCAAAGCAGCCCTGAACGAGATTTGGCAAGCTAAGAATGACAACCAATGGCTTGATGGGCTTGTTAATTGCGCGGGTGTCCTGCGCCCAACTGCGTACAATACCAGCACTGAGGAGGACAAAGTGTTTGACTTGCTGTGGAAGGTCAACGTCATGGGCGCATGGCACGTGACTACGGAGTTTCATGCTCGGCTGCAACATCTCCGTCAATCCGAAGGCACCCAGTATGCTAAAGCTACAGCGAGCATAGTCAATATTGGCTCGATGGCTTCAGTGCGAGGCATTCCTGGGATGGCGGCATACGTGGCTAGCAAGCACGCAGTACACGGGCTGACAAGAACTCTTGCCCAGGATCTCGGTCCCTCTGGGTACCGAGTTAACACAGTGGCGCCAGGGGCTGTCAATACGCCGATGATAGCAACGGAGCTTCGGGACGGCACTCATGAAACAGACAGGGCTTTTCGGGGTGCGTTCAAGACATCATCGGAGCCGGAGGAAATTGCTGATACCATTTTGTTTCTCTTGGGAGACGGATCGTCGTCGATTTCTGGGCAGCTCCTGGAAGTGAATGGTGGCTGGCCGTAGCAGATTTCCACGCCCTGTTTTATTTATAGGATCCTTTGATGAATTTATTCAATATTGTGTTGGGGGAAAAACGAACAACACCACAGCTGTTAGCGAGCTTGAAATGCAGACTGCTAATCATACCAAAATCTAACAACCTTCTACAACAGCTATAAAAAGGAAGTTTTGAGTTTGGTGTATATTCTTATTTGATCAAATGGATCATATTTATAGCTAGTCAATTGACTGATCGTAGCCGCTGTGAGGTTACAAAAGACGTATCTTTCGTAAGAAGGGATTTTTAAAAGCGAAAATAAGAAGGGGTAAAAAGCATGTCTTTTACTACGGATACGGAAAAATAGCTAATTTATCTAACCTGCCCGGATTGATAAGTGGGCCCCGACTCAGTAGATAGCGTAGGGAATGATCAATAATAATTTTGAGTCAATCAGTATTGTATATGTCGTAGAGAATGCTGTCGGTATTCATAGTGAATTTGAACGAATAGAGACATACCATCACAACGACAAAGCAGTTAATAAGGAAAGGTAAGATTCCTGTTTTTGCATGCAAGGATTCTTATCATCAATGTATAGAATCTTCCTACGGTTTGCGGGCCTTGATGATATTGTGCCTTGGAAATTTGAACAGTGTCTTGTATGCTTGTGTGAAGATGTCCGCTGTACATAATCCACTCTGCCTTTGATTGCGTGAAACGAGACCTAACTGAGATCAAACCAAATTTATATCTATGTTGCTGATAAGAGCCTCTATTCTACTAGCCTATCGAGGGGACTTTGCAAGAAAATGACCTCTGGAAGCGATGGCAACTCACTTCAAATCAAAACGGGACCAGTCTTCCAAGGCTTGTTCAGTCTCCTTCCGCCATTCTTGAAGACCCAATGTCCAAAATAATGGCTCTCTCACTTTCCCGGGAATATTGGAACCGTTCCACCAGGAAGGCGTATCCTTGGCTAGTGATTGGCCATACACATCAAGATTGCGTTGAACGTATTTCTTGGCAGCGGCAGACTTGGCCTCAAATGTAGTGGCCTTTTCATCTTTCAGTTTTCCAAGGAATCTTATAACCCAGTCGACCTGCAGCTCAAGAAAAGGCGGCCCGTTGGCGAGACCCGAAGGTGCCTGGGGCCCGTAGAGCATGAACATGTTGGGCAGCCCAGGGGCGACCATGCCCAAATAAGTCTGGATGGACGAGGACCAGCGCTCTTGCAGGCGCACGCCGTCTTTGCCATGAATGTTCATCTCATACAAACTCCCCGTGACTCCGTCGTAGCCGGTTGCCATAATCACCACATCCAAGTCGTAAGAGTGTGTAGCTCCCTCGACGGTGGCATTATCAGTGATGACCTCGGTGACGATGCCCGTTCTGGTGAATTCTCGGATGGCTTCCTTTTTGAGGCTCACCAGCTTGACATTCGGCCGATCGATCATCTCATAGTAATCCATCTCCAAGTTGGGTCTCTTGGTGCCGATCCACTGGAACTGCTGCAATGGGGCCATTATGTCCTTCTTCACCGGATCTGTTATGCGTGCACGAGTAGTCTTGGCCCAGTATTGGTAAAGCTCTGCGTTGGCGGCTTTATCATAGGTGTGCTCGGGATAGTTGCATGTCAGGATGGCGTAGCTGCCTCGAGCCCAGAGGTCGCTGTAAAACTGCTCGCGCTGCTCAGGTGTGTCCTGATGAAAGGAGCGAGTTGGAAGGTCGTACGCGTAGCCTGACTCATCCTTGGTTTTGGCGTGTGAGAAGAGTACATCGTAGGCATTCTTCTTCTCTTCAGACTCTGCGGCAGAAATAGCTCTCTGCCCCATAGGCAGTGCAGTTGGCGGGTTTCTCACAAAGACAGTCAGGTCCGCTCCAACATCTTCCTTAGCCAGCTCTTGGAGTATCTGAAGACCGGAAGCACCCTGGCCAACAATGCCCACCTTCTTGCCACGAAGGTCAAGATTAGATGGCCATCGACAGGGGTGTAAAATAGTCCCTTGATAGTTGTCCAGTCCTGGAAATTGTGGGATATACGGCTTATTGGTAGTTCCCGTTGCAAATATGGCGTACTTTGACGTGGTAATAATGCCATTATCCGTACTCATGGTCCAAGAATCCGAGGCAGCGTCGAACTTCGCCTCGATAACACGAGAATCAAATATGGCATCTCTGTGAAGGTCGAGAGCATTGCTCATTTGGGCAAAGTAATCACGAAGCTCGACATGACCAGGAAAGCGCTCCGTGAAGTTGAAGGAACGCCACGTTTCTGCAGGCTTGCTCAGTTGATACAAGGGCACTTCAGAGTCCACACGCGCTCCGGGATATTTGTTGAAGTGCCACACTCCACCAAAGTCGCTCCCGGCTTCGATTAGCTTGACGTTGTATCCAGCTTGACGTAGCCAATAAAGGGCGCTGCAGCCTCCAAAGCCACCACCGACAATGACAATGTCAGCCGTGATGGATCGTGTACCGTTTGAGTGTTGGTTTCCGAGAGTCATCTTTGGTTGATCGACCGCGTGGTACCGTCTAGAATGTTGGTTCTCTGGTAATGAGGTGAGATCTTTGGTCAAATAAATGTAGATGAAAGTGATGGACAGGTCTGATCTATATGTAAACGCATGGTTATGATCTGATACTATGGCATGTACGTTTGATACTCGGCTCGGAGGGTTCTCAATAGTCCGCAAAGTGAAGAATGGATTCCCTGGAAATACCATGCCAAATTTCTAATCATGCTCACACCTTTGAAACTTGGGACCACAGTTATTCGAGAACGTTGCTCAGCCTGATGCTAGAGCGGGTGCCGGCAGAGCATCATAATCCCGAGTGGCTACTGAACGAGGCCACGGTCAGATGCGCAGCGTTCACATAGGCCTAATGACGCTATTCCGTGGCAGAAATGATAGTAGGGGTGTAGAATAGGCAAAGCTCAAGTGGTGGAGTGGTGACACGCAGCCCCATTCCGGGGTTTCGGGATGCGAGATGCATATCGGGATTCTCGCTGCATGGCATCAAATCTCTTCTTCGTCGATCATTATCAAGGAAGCCGAAAGCCCGACATCCGAAAACCCGGAACAGCCGCAACATTTCGTCCTTCGCTTAGCCAAAGAACGGACAAACGCACACTTCCGAAACCCCAGTGTCATCTTCTCGGGTATTGCGGAATAGTAGAGCTATGGTCCATGTTGCATGAGAGGACGTCAAATCAGCCCAGCCCAGACACATATACAGCCCTCCTGGCAATGCTGTGTTAGCTTTTGAAGAAGTTGGCCTGATCCGGCAAGTTTCGTTATTCTAAAAATAGCTGAAGCATCAATTCATCGATTTCAAGATCCTTAGACTGTCGTCATGGCTTTGTCCGTTGATGAAGAGTTCATCACCGCTCTTGGGCCTTTCCTTCAAGCTCAACAGGGCGTCGCAAAACCAGCTCTTCACGATGTGAATGCCAGAAGAGCACGCTATGAAGCAATCGGTGGCCTAGAGCCAAAAATACCTGACAATGTGGCCTTTGAGATCATTACCGTCCCGGGGGATGGCAACTCTACCCTCAAATTATACCATTTTAAACTACGCGAGCAGCCGGATACACCACCTGCCGTCATACACTTTCATGGAGGAGGCTTTATAAGCCTTACTCCTGACATTGTGATCGAAAGGCTTGCCTCGATAGTGCGCGACACGGGCGTGCAAGCGTTTTCGGTGGATTACAGGCTCGCCCCTGAACACCCATATCCCGCTGCCTTCAACGATGGATGGTCCGCTCTGACATGGATCCGCGAGAATGCTCAGGCGCTCAACATAAACCCAGCACGCATTGCTGTCATGGGAGATAGCGCTGGAGGTGGTCTCGCTGCTGCTATAACTATTCAAGCACGCAATGTCCAACTCCATCCTCCTATTTCTTACCAGATTCTATGCTCGCCTATGCTTGACGACCGAACTCTGGGAGAAGTTCCCGGTGACTTCAAGCTTTGGGATGAAGAAGACAATCTGACCGGCTGGACTGCATATCTAGGCAAGCCCCCTGGTGGGGAAGATGTACCTGACACTGCAGCACCGGCCCGTGTCAAGGACGTCACTGGCCTGCCAAGACTGTATCTGGATACATCTCAGTTTGACTTGTTTGTCAAAGAGAATGTTGAATATGTGAAGAGGTTTATTGAAGCAGGAATTGAGGTGGAATGCCACGTTAGCCCGGGCCTCCCTCACGGTTTCGACGGCCTTTTGCCGAGCCATCGGGTGTCTCTGGCATATGAGGAGAATAGAAAACGAGTACTTAGACTTCTTTAGTCATGTTGGGTTTTGTATTCAACTGAAGAGATGATGAAGATTTATTTGATGTTTGAAGAACCATCAGTTAAACATGCTTATCGTTTCAGGATCTTGCTGATGAACGACCACTCTATGTTAGTTAGCCATCATAAGCCCGTACTAAAGACCAATGTGAGTCTTTTGGTACTATACACACAGTTCCCACAGCGGTTATAGCTCTGATAAAATTGTACCTGCCCAGCCTCTATCATTATGATTATGTCTTGCCATGGCGAGCGATAGGTGCGGACCTGAACTCTTTGTGTGGTGTTAAGATTAGTGATCGCTGTAAGCCAGACCTCGCGGCCAGCGGTTGCAATAGTCAACTGGCGGAGATCTGACCTAGCCTTTTACTGTCCAGACGTGTGGTCGATGTGTAGCCGAACGTCTTGCGTTACAACGAGACATCGCCGGAAGCTGGGCCTCGTGGCCAGTGCCTGCGATAGCCAGCTCATGAGGAGTTGACTTAGCTATCTTTTTCTTAGGAAAGCGATCTCTATGATTTTCTTCCCAGAATCTGTCTCTAAAAATGAAATTTCGATGTCGCTATGGTGGTTGAGCAGCATGAGTGATGGCTTGATTGTCTGTGGCGACGAAGGCAGCGATGTGTGACACTTGGATTGTTTGAGACGACGAAGGCAGCGATTTGCGAATTGTCGATACTATCGCAAGTTCAGATAGACTTGAGCTGTGCAGTTCATTCAGGCCAGTATTAGCAGCCTTTAATAGATAAAAATCAGTATCTTAAGGTTCATAAAAGGAGTCATACTGGCGAAAGAGTTACTGCCGGGTACAGCCTTTGGTATTAATAAACCATATGTACGATATAAGTATAGCTATTTTGGTTTTAAACCTTGGATACAGCCGGGTATAAGGCTCGTAGCCGTAAGGCTGAAGTTTATTGTGTTATAATACCTGGGTATGGTATCAAGTAATCAAATTACTGGTGTCTGGGAATTTCCCCCTTTTTTTTTCAGCAGCTGTACAGCTCCCTCACTTACTACTACGTGATGGCTCGATAAGGCTTGCATCAAAAGTTCAATAAGCTGTATTTATCGCTCATTGCCTGCATATTAGACGACTTCGTCCTAAATCCCGCGCTAAGGTGTCTGATTGCTGGGCTGATTGGCTGTCTATCATGACAGCCGGTAGCTGCAATCCTGACCTAGCCACAGGTTGCAAAAGCTTGGTCCGGCTCATAGCAAGAGGCTGTCTTGAGCGGCTAATTAGCTGCCTATTGTAACAGGCGCGTTAACCCTGTAGTGAGAGGTTGTCTTAAGATGTACTGTTTGGGAGAATGAGCTACGTGTCAAGTCTATTATTAACCCTGGATCTACCTACAACTTCCTCATACGACCTCCTCATACCCTCAAACTTCATCAGACCATCAACTATTTTAGGGAGTCCATTATAGCACGTTGTAATCAATATATTCAGCCTCTGCGGAGTGAAAAGTTGTATATATCATCCCTGTCTTACTGCAGCTGCTATGAATTCACTTCTACAGCTTGACAGCCTCCACAAAGATCTCAATTGTAGCACCTGGCCAAGCAATAGACGAAGCACCAATTGCCATGGTGGTGGGCCTGCTTTCTCCGCAAAATTTTTGGATATTGGCCAAATATTCCTGAAGCCTTTCCTGCGAATTGTCGAGAGTTAGGAAATGAACCTTGTAGACAGCCTCCCAACCCTTGTCGACGCCGGCAGCCTTGAGCACAGTCTCGACGTTTTCGAATGCTTGGCGAAACTCTTGACGAAAGTCCGAGGAAACCTCTCCAGACTCAACGTTGCCGACTTGTCCTGTGATATGGACTACGGTGGCACTGGCTGGGACCGTGATGGCGTTGGACAAATGGCCCTGCTCTGCAAGGGCTTGCTGCGCCCCGGGGACATTGAAGGAGCGGACACCCGCCTTGTTGAGGTATGTGCTATTGTATTCGATCGACATGGTGCTGATCTAGGGTAGTGGTAGGTGGTTTTGGTTTTATTTGGATGTAGAAGTTACAACTTTGGTATTCTGATTTTTGTTCAAGTTCTTTAGCGATTGATGGACAGTTATACCCTCATCGATGGCCATTACGTTATTTCATGTACACCTCCTTTTGCTCTGTTTTCTTACCAAGCATATCTACGGACTGGTAAGCATTCCGCACCACCGGAGTTACGCTACATATCGGCATCCGGAATGGCGATGGAGATCTCACTAGAGGGCATGGTATGACTTCATTCATTCATTATCAGTACACTCCACCTGAACAGAAGAACCTTGCAGACGAAAGGTGCATATCTCAAACGGTATGGTCCAGTGTGTGGGGAAGGCATGGAGCCACAGGGAGCCCATTCTAGAATCGCCCACGGGGGCCGCGGGGCGCCGATCTTTAGCCTATACCGGGGTTTCGGGGGATTCTGGAACGGAATCTCACGGCCAGGTACAATTTGGAATTGACCCTATCCCAAATTGGCTAAATTAGCCTTATCTTGGGCATTGGCTAAATTAGCCTTATCTTGGAGCATCAGTAGCCACGATGGATGCCGATGATCACACTGGGGAAGATAGGCGTGGTTAGGGACAAATGGAGGACGAAGCGAGGTTGCATCGGAGGACAGTGAGAAGACACTAAGACTTTGTCCTGAGAAAGGAGTAACGAAGTAAAGGATGGCAAGTCCCCATATGTTACTATCGCAAGAGAACATGGACTCAAGAATCTACTTAAGGAGAGTGCGATACCATTGATGCTTTCCAGTTTGATCGCTAAGAAGACTGACATTCCTCGCGAATTCAAGAATCCCTACTTTCATACTACTGATCAGCTACCAACGCATCCGACATGCCCTTCTCAACAGACGGATACCGATGGACCCCAGAAGAGGGTCTCAAGACTGGCGTTCCCACGGATGCTGTGATAGTGCCCCAGTCTCTCAACATCGATGCAGACACTGTATATGATGCCATAGTGGTTGGTGCCGGCTATGCTGGCCTGCGCGCCACGAGAGATCTCTCTCTCCAAGGTAGAATTCATCATCGTTTGTTTCTAGCTTCGTTCCTTAAAGCATTGGGAAGAGTTAGCTGGATCAGCATGGATGCTGACATTAAACTCTTTAGGCCACAAGGTACTCATTTTGGAGGGTAGAGATCGTATCGGGGGTAGAACCTGCTCGGTCAAAGCGGATGGATATGTCTACGAAGCGGGCGGTACCTGGGTGCATCGTAACCAAGCGCTGGTTTGGTCAGAGATTGTGCGCTATGGTTTTGAGAACCGCCTAAAAGACAGTCAAGAGTTTTACGAAGGCTCCCGTTGTCCAACAGCCATCCGAAATGACGCGGTCCACGAGGTTCCTTGGACTGACCAGGTGCGACCGACTTCAATCAATACTACCTTAGGTCCCATTACGTTATGATATACTGACCACCGAATAGACTTCAGCAACCGGATTCGCCAAGTTTTGTAACATTGATGGCCAAATGGGCAATTCTGTTTTTGGTCTTCACCAGCCAGCGGATTGGCTGCGCCATGAGGACTTTATCAAATGGGATAGCATGTCCTGCCAGGACCGCCTTGATCAAATTAAAGAGGACCTAAGTGCAGAGGAGATTGAAGGTATCATCCATCTATTGCTAGCCCTGAGCAAAGGACCCCTTACACGCCCATCTTACGGTGAAGTGCTAAGGTGGGTGGCGCTGAGTGGCGGTAATCTCGCTAGCATGGGTGAGCATACTGCCCGTTGGAAGCTGGCTGACGGACAGACGGCTTTGGCCCTGGCCATGTTCGACGACGCCTTGAAAACTGGAAACTTGGCGTATAGCTTTTCCTCCAATGTGTCGTCTGTAACGACGGAGGGTCATATCACAACCGTGACAACAACCGCTGGCCAGTCCTTCAAAACCTCGTCCGTGGTCGTGGCGGCTCCACTGAACTGCCTCGCCGATATACAATTTTCCCCTGCACTGGACCAGACCAAGGCTGAGGCTATAGCCCAAGGTCACACGAACCACGCGTACAAGGTGTGTGTTGAGGCCAAGGGTAAGCAGTGGAGAAACTGGATGGGCAATGCCTACCCGCATAAAGGTGTTCCTTTCCTTAATGGTGACGGGATTAACCCTTCGGGAAATTCCTACCTTATCTCGACTCCAGGCAATTATATAGATCCTCAAAACGAGATGGACAAGCTACTAGAGGGACTGCAATATCTGCACCCGGAATTGGAGGTCTTGCGCATAGTAAGTGAGCCCCCTGTCACCTCGATTTATCTACCATCACAACTAATCACCGAGTCACAACAGTTTGGAATGGATTACCACAGTCACCCTCTCTCCAAGGGCGGCTGGGCGGTTCATGGGCCAGGTTATGTTACAAAGTACCTGGAAAGCCTCCAGGCGCCGGCTGGCAATGTTTATTTTGCCAGTGCGGACTGGGCGGATGTCTGGAGGGGATTCATTGACGGAGCGCTTGAATCGGGAGCCAAAGCAGCTTGGAGTGCTCACAAGCAGCTGCGCAACGCGTCATCTTGATGATTCGTTGATGTCCAGACAATAGCGAGATTTTGTTGATGTAAGGACCAGCAGTAGGCTGTATTTTCGCACATCAAAGGATTCTGTTGAGCTTAGTGTCATCTATTGAGTAGTTACCTCGTGGTTTAATGAAAGTTCGTATAGCTGAAATCTCTTGATCGATGAAATCTCCAGCACAAATTATAGCACAAGGAGCTAGACCTCGGATTGATAGTTATTTGCGGGTATTGTGGCTGTATATAATGTACCGGCAAGCGTCTTGTTTATATCTCATACCCCGAAGCCGGCTATGAGCGTCAGATCCCTCTATGAGTTATGCGCTATAGGTAGTTGGTATAGTAACAACCTGATGCGCCTGAAGATAGCTTTCTGATCCGTGATACTGAGATTAGATTATGATGGGGATCTGATGCTTTTTGTCTTCGGCTTCATGGCTCTGATCTTGTAATCGTACTTTATCCCCTTATCACTATTCAGGTATCAAGCTGTTTGTGCCCACTTGATGCTCGCAATCCTCTTTATTTGGATTGATTGTTCCTGCAGCTACTGCAAGAGGGGCTAGTGGCGGCTACGGTTGAATGAACCCGAGGGTTGGCAATAGTCAGTGCTTGAATATCGCTTCATCGGTAGGTGACGATATTGCCTACTTAGCTGCTGATCCTAACGGACTTCTATATCGGTAAGTTCATAGCCATATTGATAGAGCCTGAATATTCTTTCGCGTTTTAAGGCGTGATAGAAGAGGTTCGAGAGTGTCAACTGCTTATTGAATTTCCAATTAAGGATAATGTTAGATCTCGTCCCTTGGGCTTATGCCATCAATTTATCTCGGTAGTTGGTCGATAAACCAAGTTCCTCCTGTCTGTACACCCCCGTAAGGTTCTCTATCTGAATCTGTCTACTTCTGACCGAGCTTGTAGCCTCCGCTGCACAGAACTTGGAAGGTCTTCTTGGGATCATGCTTAGCAGAAATCTCTCGGAGCCGCTTCAAGTTGTCCGGGGCATAGCTGCCGATGACATCGTCATCGGGGCCAGCATTGTTCATCCAAATATGTGGTTTGAGCACGCCACGCTTTTGGGCGGCAGCGCGCAGACGCTCGATGCATCGATTCCCCGTACTCAGCATGTATTCATCGTCGTCGCCCCGTATCCAAGCATTGTCAAGAAAAACAACTACTCGTTGTTAGTTATCTTTCCAACCATTCGACATTGGGCTTGGTCGTTGAGGGTACATACTCGTCTGATCCTCCTCGTCCCAACCGGGAGCCGTGCCTCCCCTCTTGTTGGAAATCCGAATGGTTCGTGCCGCAATTGGAGAAAAGTTCAAACATGCGATGGCCCCTTTGGTCTGGTTCGAGTCTGCGTAAGTCTCAAAGAAAATCTCGGCCGCCTCCTGTAGGTACGACAGATCTGTCTTGACCGTGATGTTGAGCATACTCGATCTATGACTATTAGTTCCCAGACATCTTCATCCATGATGGTTTCAAAGCACGCACCGAGTACTTTCAGAAAAATAGATGGGCGAATGCTCGTTTCCCTCTTCAATAACATCATGGGCAGCAAGCTCACTAGGCTTGCAGTTGCCGGCCTGTCCGCCAGGACTTAGATCATAGAAGCCATCGAATGCTTCAGGGTGACCGCCTCCAGGAACATTGCGATCCGCAGATAGGACGCATTGAATGTATTTGTGGCCGTTGAAGACTCCCCAACCTGCGAGCGTCTCCACGCCGGGATCAACGCCGATGCGCTGCATAGCAAAGTCGTAATACGCCGCGACCGTGTTGCGCTGTATCTCCGGACTATGCTCCCAGTAGATATTGCCTCCCCAGACCCCATTAGGGCAGGGAAATGTCTTCATGTCCAGGCGTGTGACAATGCCAAAGTTGTTGGAACCTCCCTTCAGAGCCCACCAAAGATCAGCATTGTCGTCTTGGTTACAGTTGAGAATATTCCCTCCGCTAGTGACAATTTCGAAGTTGACCACATTCTCGCTAGACCATCCGTATTTGTGAAACCAAGGGGAGTTTCCGCCTAGAAAGTATCAGCGAGCCAGGTCTTGATGATATCAAACATATGTGTCGGTAACCCACAGCCTGTGATCTGGCCTACACATCCCACTGGGGCCGAGTGGCCACCAGTAGTGATGAGTTTGAATTCATCTAGGTACTTGTACACATCCCGCCAGCGGTTGCCGGCGCCAATACTGACGACACCAGACTTCTCATTCAGCTCCAGCCTGTTCAGGCGGTCAGTGCTGATGAGTAGACCATCCTGTATTCCCGCCCAGCCTGGGTTTGGAGAGTGTCCTCCTCCCCGGATCGCAAACTTTTCTCCGAAAAACTCAAGTGCTTTGAGAATTGAAGCCACCTGGCCGGGAGAGGTTGGATGAAAGACAGCCGAGGCTTCTCTTCGGGCAAGGTATGACCTTGGAAAGAAATATAAGCCATGTGAGATCAGGAATTATCAATCATGAGAGCAAGGGTGGGGGATGAGCGTACCAATTCCCTTTGATCGACTGCGTGTAAGTCTCAGCACCGGGAAAGTCAACTTGATCCGGGTATAGCTGTGAGACCACAGACGCTACCACTTTACTGTTCTTTTTCGAGACCTCCTCCAAGATCACATTGCCCTGGGGTGCCTTAAGGCCAAGCCCAAGTAGGAACTCAGTTGTCTGCTCAATTGTGTGGCTCATTGTTGTTCAAGATTTCTCAGTGGTTAGTCAAGTGACTGTTTAGTCAAGTAATCAGAGTATGGATAAATCTATTTCTACATCGCATTATATATTGTATTTCCACCCTCGTGGTATCAACTCATCAACCAATGTGAAACCCGTTACCATTCGTCGTTGCCCAAAGTGAAGTTTCATTGTGGAGTAAGTCTTATCTTCTCGAACTGACGTATGGCTTCGGGCTCCGGAGACCAATTGATGTCCCGAAATCCCGGGCGATCAACCAACGCAAGTACGGAGGATCTTTAGTTCACTCCTACCTCAACTCCCCACTCCCGGATGCCGTTGAGCCGCTTCGTATTAAAATGTTTCATGCATGAATGTATCTAATATACCGATACCGATATGGTGGAAGCCCGCGGAACCCGAGCGAGGAATGGTACTACAATGGCCGCTATTTCGGGCTCTCAACCATACTCCATTTCCTATCATCTCAGTCCAAGTAGCAATGATAGTAAGCAATAAAAGTAAATCTTCGTTGGCTTCGTCTAAAAGCGAGTTCAAATAGTAGCTGCTGGACTGAGCATCAGGCATCCTCGGATCAGCGGTTCTTATCTTCGCCTACAAGGTCGCGAAACAAAGTCTCTACTTCCTGGCATTACTCTTTACCCACTGCTCTTAAATCAACCTCTCACACTAGCTTTATCTCAGCAGGTAAAGCTTGAAACCGGGAACCGTTTACACCTGCTACTTAGTATCCAGAGCACGGTCCTTGCCAAAATTACCACAAGTCGCCATTTCCTCCCACCATGCCAACCTCTTCGTCAGAGTACCGTGCAGAGGGTTCGCCCCTTCTCCAGGCAGGAGTGCGATGCTACAACGCACCCGGTGCCTCTGCGGACTTTGCAGAGTTTGCAAACCTTTCCAATGCAGTCACCGTCCCTGCTAATGCCACCATCGTTCATATCACTGGTCAAATTGGTCTTGACGACCAAGGCGTTCCTTTTAAAGACGCTCGCCAACAGCTCCACGCTGCATTTCTCAACGTTGAGAAGAACTTGATAGCAGCTGGAGCCAAGGATGGCTGGAAAAACGTTTATAAATGCGTTGCATACCATAGCCCCAACTTGAATGAGGAGCGACTTGGTATCTACGCTGGTCTGATCCGGGAGTTTTGCGGTGCCAATAGGCCTTCGCAGACATCTGTTACCGTCCCTGAGCTGTGGCAGGGCGCGTATGTCGAGATCACCGTTGAAGCAATAATTCCAGCGTAAGGCCAAACTACTTTATGGATATTGCATATGCTACATGGAGGACTGCAACTTGGCTGTATAGAATGCATTTAGATGTCGATCAAGGGGCCAGCATCTAAAAGCTCACAAGGGAGATATAGTCACAAATTCAGATTGAACCAAGGTCTTTGCACCACACTCATCGCGAGCCCCTTAACAAATTTTGAGCCAGTAGATGGCGGGGATACCGCCAAAACCACAAAGCCATAGTTCATCACATTTTCAATACATGTCCACTAGCAATCGATTTTTGGAGGCAAACTAACTCATACTCATATAGCTCACCATTCATTAGACCTCAACAGTGTGTCAACACCTTAACCACTCGTTTTACGCGGTTTTTGAGCTTTTCTCTAATTCTATTTTCCCTCCCTGGCAGCTTCACGTCCAAACGTGCTGTAATCAAGATTAATCAGACCCCAATGCCATCTTTGCAGCATGTTCCCCCGCCCTGATTCCGGAAAAGACACCATCAGCAATAGAAAGCCCGCTGATGTACGAGTTGGAGCATATCCCGACAGCGGTCCTTCCAGCTGCGTACAGCCTCTTAATCTTAGAACCATCCTTGCGGCAGACCAGTCCTGTTTCGCCATCAACAGTCAGACCTCCCAACGTGAGCCCGTGAGTGACTTGGATGCCGGTAGGCTGCGCTGAGATGTCGACTCCATAAAAGGGACCTTGGCTAAGCGGAGTGCAGTATTCGGCCGACTTGTGCATAGGATCCGTCTCTCCTTCGGCAATGGCTCGATTGTATGCAGAGGCTGTCTGGCAGAGGGCATCCGGAGATATGCCAAACTTGAGTGCCAAGCCTTCTAGAGTCGACGACTTCTTGTGTCCCCATAAGAGCGTGTGAAGTCTCTGAAGCTTGAGGGGCGACTGCGTTTGCTCGCCAAGCTGTGATTTGGCCTTGGCCCACTGGATCGAGTCGTAAATGGCAAATGCGGTGCTTTTGTGTTCGCGGATCATGCCGTCACTCATGGTCGCCCCGTAGATGTCTTCGCTAATAAATCGATTGCCGTCGCGTGACACCACGATGCCCTCGAGGAAAGCTGTTGGGGGATATAAGAAACGCCATGCGGACATGCTATTCATCTTGCCCACGGCACCACCAGCAGACTGGCCAAGACGAATGCCTGACCCATCATCACCTCGTGTGCCCAGAGGTGCTACTTGGGAGAACTCGGGGAGGTACTCTTGCCGCATCTTTTTGTTGAAAGCGAATCCGCCAGCAGCCAGGATGATGGCTGGTGCGTGGAGAGTGGAAGAAGTGCTTGATTTTTCCCAGATGGCTTCTGCTCGGTTCAAAAAGAGATCGGCTAACTCAGGTACCATTAGTTGAGAATTATGGCCCAGACGTGCGAGTCGTTTATGGCGGGAGAAATCACGTGTATCGGGCTCGATGGACCGTATGGCAACACCATTTGGATCCTGATCGAAGAGCAGGCGATCAACCCTGGTGGCAGGCTTGACGTGGACACCAAGCTTGAGAACACTCTGAAACATGGCTCGCCACAAAGCGGCACCGGACATGCCGGGGCTCTTCATTCGGTGGCCTCGAGGAGCGGGTTCGGCAGCTGTGTTGTAAGGCCAGGACTTTTCATTGCCTGAAAAGTACAGGTAATGCTTGTCGGTCGGATAACTAGTCTTCCATGGGCACAGCGAGGCTTCAAACTTCGCGCCGTGGCGCTCCATCCACTTGAGCCGTTGCGCGCTGCCATCGCAGAAAGTCTGCAGAGTCTTGTCATCAACAGTACCTGCCACCTCCTGCTTGAGGTAGTTGAACATGTTGGAGGGTGTATCATGTCCATAGCCTGCGGCCTTTTGCTGGTCGGTGCCTCCGCCCGCATAGACGACACCCCCGGACTGCGCTGATGCGCCTCCTCCATGGGCTGCGTCAAGCAGGATGACACTGGCGCCCTTCTCGGCCGCCGCAATACTTGCCGAAACACCAGCTATGCCTGCACCAACAACAATGACATCGGCGTCTCTGCGCGACCTGGCTGCATGTTGATTGGAAGTGGCGTAGCTGCGGATTGGTAAGACGCTGCCGTGGTGGAAAAGTGCAAAATTGATTTTGCGCATTGAGGACCGGCACCACATCGTTCTGACACAAGTCAAATGATACTTCTACCAGGTCAAAAAATATAATAATATGATTTTAGAAGCGAGTAGAGCGAATTAAGCTGGATTATTTGAGACACAGAAAGCAATGTGATAACCATATTTGGCGGTTGACTGGGAACCATTCTATTAAACAGAACAAGGATTGGACGCTCGTCATCCGCTCATCAACGCGAGTCGGTGACAGTAATCTAACAACTGCAAAGGCAAATTCAACGGAGGACAGAAGTACAGACACCCTTGTTGCTCAGCGGAAATAGAAAACCAAAGCCCGATTACGAGACAGTGTGCCGGAGTTGTTCGGAAGCCGTATGCCCGGGCCCGGGCAAGAGAGATTATAGCTCCGCGAAGCGGACTTGTTGAGGTTAGACTCATCACTTCTAGTGCCGAGTTACACGGTTGGGGTGCGGGTTCAAGAGACGCCATGTAGTGTAGGGGGTGCTAAAGACACGTTCGGTTTACCATGTATGTTCCACGGCCTTTAATAAGCAGTCGATCAACTGTGTAACATGGCAGCACTCATTTCTTTATATGAAGTGCTCTGCTTCACTCACCATTAAACTATGAAGCTAGGTTCCTTATTCGGTGACTTTCGCTCTGTTCGTCTCCTTTGACATTGTTTGTTTGCCTCGCAGGCCACTGCTCTTTCACTCTACCCCCATTCTCTTGTTATTGATCTTCTCAACACGAGGCTTGACTTTAGATGTAATGCGGACTACAAGTTTGCGACGATGTCAGCACATCTCTTTGGGTTCGACTTCAAAGTTACCCTGCTACGTACGACGGTTTTACTCCGCCACAAGTACTAGTGGAGATGGAGCTTATCAACGCACGTTCGACGAGGAGACTGACATGCTCATTGTCGGCTCCGGGGCTGGTGCGCTCACAGCATGCCTTCGTGGTGCTCAACTTGGACTTCGCACCATGGTGGTTGAGAAGGAAGAGACAGTGGGCGGCGCATCTGTTATTTCTGGGGGCGGCTTATGGATACCCTGCAACCCCGTCGCGAAGGCCCATGGCATCAAAGACACTGAGCAGGGAGCTCTAAAGTATTTCGAAAAGGCGGTGGGCGACGTAGGACCAGCTTCGTCTTTGGAGAAGAGGCAGGCGTATCTGTCTAATGGCCCACGCATGGTCTCATGGCTCCAGGAACAGGGCTTTGAGTTTCACTTCAGCAAAGGATATCCAGACTATTATCCATCTCTCCATGGTGCTTTTGGTAAAGGTGGCGGTCGCACCATAGAGTCAAAGGTGTTTAATGCCAAAAAGCTTGGGAAATGGCGGGCTCGGCTGCCCCCGAGCGATCTTCCGGTTGCCATATATACAAACGATGCCCCGTTGTTCAGTCGCCTCACTTCATCATTCGGTGCCTTTGTTGAGGCAACAATCAAGGTTTTGCCTCTTCTCGCAAAAATTATTGCTAGGCATGACTCCGCCAGCCTTGGCCGGGCTCTTGTGGCTCAACTGCTCCATCTCAATCTCAGGAGAAATCCAAATAGCGACATCCGTTTCAATACCAGACTGTCAAGACTTATCCAATCACCGGAAGGCAGCGTGATTGGGGCTGAGCTACTGACGCCCAAGGGTATCGTGACAGTTGGTGCAGCAAAGGGGGTTATTCTAGCTGCTGGAGGATTCGCACGCAACGAGGCGATGCGTCAACAATTCCTCCCGAAACCAGCTACCACCGAGTGGACCAGCTCTCCAAAGGGAGACACCGGCGATGCAATCCGAGAAGGCATTCGACTTGGAGCTGCTACGTCGCTCATGGATGATGCGTGGTGGGGGCCTACCATCATCGATCCGGTCAGCGGCAACGTCTCATTCGCTCTCATCGAACGCGCGAGACCACATTGTTTCATTGTGGACTCGACCGGTTCACGATTCATGAACGAAGCACAGTCCTATACGGATGCAGGCCATGATCAGTACAACAGGAACCAGACAGTCAAAGCGATTCCAGCCTGGCTCATTATGGACCAGTCCCATCGGGACAAGTACATTCTTGGCGGCCTCTTTGCAAGACAGAGACCTTCCAAGCAGATGCTCAAAGAAAAGAGAATATTCATAGCTTCGACTCTTGAGGAGCTTGCGAGTCAGATTGGGGTTGATTCTAATGGCCTGCGTGTCACTACTGACAAATATAATTCCATGTGCGTGCGAGGCGTTGACCTAGACTATGGCAAGGGATCGTCCGAATATGATCAGTTTTTTGGCGATCCAAAGTGTCAGCCCAATCCAAACCTTGGACCTGTGAAGAAAGGGCCGTTCTATGCGATCCAGATCTACCCGGGAGACTTGGGAACCAAAGGTGGACTCTTGACCGATGTGTCTCAGCGCGTCATGAAGCAGGACGGAACTCCCATTCCCGGCCTTTATGCCATCGGTAATACAGCAGCCAGCATCATGGGGCGGACGTATCTCGGAGCGGGATCGACCCTAGGACCAGCGATGACACATGCATATATTGCAGTCAACAAGATCAAGAATACTTAGATAAAGTTTTGTAGGAAATCTCACCCCTGTTGTCATATCTCTAAGTTGATGATAGACATGGCTTAATTCCACGAAAGTATATAAATCGAAATATACCCGAATGGACTAGATTAAGTAATGACCTTGTATCCGACCTCCCCGTAGAGGATCGACCCCATCCCCGACAGTCTCGTTTCGGGACTTATCCAACAGAACGAGTGCCAATCGAACCAGGTTCAGTACCCCTTTGTCTTGTACTCATATTCTCCCGTTCGGATGTTTGCTTCATCTTGAATCTAATTTGTTTTCTTTTTCATTTTCCTTGTTCAAATCTAACTAAGCTTGGTACTCCGCCGATTAGTTTCCCAGCTTTGTTCTACCATTCTGTTGTCTCCACCGCAATTCTTTGTTGCTCGATGTATTCACCATGGTCTCTTTTATGGACAGTGAGCATGGCTGAGAGCACATCAACAGCTTAGTAATAGAATTCGTGGATAATTTAGAGCTTCACAACAGAGACACGACAGAGAGTGAAAGCAGAATTTCGCGATAGACTTATATAAGGGCAGCACAAAAGCTCTCCTTGGTCCAGAAAATGGGTTTTGTTTACAACATCACATACACGCAACATCACATACACACAACCTCACATACACACAACCTCACATACACACAACTTTGTGCAAAACCACCCATTGGGCCATTCCTGCTGTCCCATTGAGCCATACACAGTCGTTACCATGTATCCGGATTGGCCCAGATCTGAAGCTGATCTGGTCCCCCTGCCACGCTGCGACGGTCCCAAGCTGGAGCCGTTCGACTTTAAGGGCCCGCAACAGATCCAGTTCCTCGAATACCTCGGAGAGGGTACGCATTCGCAAGTCCTCAAAGTGAAAATCCTGGGTCAGATATATGCATTGAAACTGGTAAGTCTCATCTAACGAATGGTAGGGCCTACGTATCTAATATCAATTGCCTGCAGTTTCGATTCTGCTGGGATGAAGATTGGTTGGGCCGCGGCCCGGACAATGAGGAGGATGATCTCGAAGCCAACACTGCTTTTTACAATTACTTGGAGCCCTTCAGCAGCGAATGCCGTGCTTTTGGCCGCCTCCGCGAAGCCGGTCATGAAGAGCTGGCGGTCAAGTGCTTCGGCTACGTGCTGCTCGACGAGGAACACGAACGTGCCATGCTGAGCCAGTTCAGCAACCTCGAGCTGAATGGCAGCTGTCCCGGATTCGACGACATGCGCTTGCGCTTCCTGGGCAGAGACGGTAGGCCGCCGCCCATCCGAGGCATCGTCAAAGAATTTGGCCCCGCCATGGAGAATATGCGCAACCTCGAGATGCGCAGGATCCTCCGCGACATGGTTGGATTGCAGCAGCTTGGCATTGTTTACATCGATATCGCGGACCGACAGATCATAGGCGGAAAGATCTCCGACTTCAGCACAGCATTGACCGTGCCGCATTATCTCTTGACCCCCGAACTCAATCCGCACCTGACTCCCGAGTGGATTTCTGCGATGGAGTATGAGGCCTTCCGGTTCAGTCTCCACGACTTCATAGATTTTAACGAGATGGCGAGGATCTGGAATGAAGAACACCCGGAGCAAAAGACCAAAATATCATTCAGGGCACTTCCTCGCGGCTATGGATGTGACGGATATAAGTTTAGAAGGACGCCGTCACGTGAAGCTGTTTATTCTTTGGTTGACCCAAGACTGTATGACTGGAAGGATTCCACCGTCGGTGAGAAGCCGAGGTCTATCAAGGGACAGGTCGGAACAAAGCAGAGCGGCTCCGGAAAGCATCCCCAAGGGATTTTCAGGTCTCGTCGACGGCTCCAGGCGAAGCCGCCCCGATGGCACTATGATTGCAGCCAGAAGACGGCGGCAGTCCTGAAATCTGACTCATTTAGTACCTCGATCCAATGGGTGTATAAAGATGGTCATATATTTCCTCAGAAGAAAACATCATATGTCTGACATGACGTATGATGTTTTGGCTGCTTAAGGCCCTGATTCAAGAGGTGAAATTTCCAATGCTGAGAAATAGAAATCTGTATAATTTATATAAAAATTGAAACTATACCTCTTTTTAGGAGGGATCGTTAGTATAAATTATATATTCTTTCTAAACCCTTATATAATCTATAGGAATTTGTATCTTTTCCTTTGAATAAAGATAGGGTAGTAATTAGGGGGTCTGAATACCTTAAAGTAGCCTAGATACTAAGGATTACTATATTTTCTACTGCTTTTAAATTATTATATAAAAAGTAGGAATTTTAAAATAAAAATAAAATTCTAATAATTATTAGTATTTTTATACTATAACCTTGAGAGGTTTAAAGCTGGATAATATTATTAGTAATAGAGGAAGCTGATAAAGATATAAGCTTACTAGGGCTAGTAGTTATAATAATAAAGCTAAGAGCTAAAGGGGCTTCTAATAATAGAATTACTTATATCCAGACCTTCTATTATAGTTATCTTAGTATTAAAATTAATAATAATAACTTAGATAACCCTGAGCTTCTTGCTTATCTTTACCTGGAGGAGGGAAGAAGAGAGATATAGTAGCTGTTTAAAGAGATCTCTAATAATAAATTTTATAACCTATTCTATATAAATAGACTGATTTTTTATTATTTCTATAGTTAGCTGGCTGTAAATATAATAGTAGCTGTATTATAAAGTTAAACTATTAAATAAAAGGTTATAATCTTCTTATAGATTATAGTATATAATGAGCCTTAACGGAATACTGTTTATAGGTTCTAAATTAGCTAGTTTTCTATATTTTGAATTATATAGAAGCTATTAAAGCCTATAGAAAATCTTTACTGGGTTTTTATATAGTTTCCTAATCTAACTTATTAATTATTATATATTAAGTTAAACCCGAAATATAGCTAATTTAATAGTATAATTAGAGCTATTAATAGAATATATATATAAACCTATATTCCTTATTATCTTTAGAAAAGATAGTAATCTCGGAAGTTATTAATCTTATAGAATATATTTATTATAGTAATATTTAATAGCCTCTTTTTATATATAATACTAGGTACTGAGGGGTCTTTTAATAACACCTTAATTATAGCCTAGGCTTTTACTAGAGGCTTTAAAATTCCTAATAATTAATTTTATTTTATAGATATAGGATTTAGTAAAAAGAAGGGAATTATTATACTATTTAGTAGCCTAATATATTATCTTCCTACTTAGAAGTAAGAAGGCTAGAGGCTAATAACTTTAAAAGAGCTATATAACTATCAGTATTTATAACTTTATATGATTATTAAGCAGATATTTAGTATATATAAAAGAAAATAGAAAATTATAAGAAATTCTATACCTGAATATTCCCTAGAAGATTAAATTAGTATTATTTTTATAATAATAGGACTATTTAATTTTATCTAACTAGGCAGATAGACTCTATAGGAGGCCTGGTATAATAATATTATAGCCCTTAATATTACTAACTTATATACCCTTAAATTTACTATAGAAAGATATAATAAAGTTATACTATATTATTTATTAGCTATAATATATAAGATACTCAGAAAATATATTTAGTAGTAATATCAGATATATATTTATACTATAAGGGGTATTTAGTTAGAGGATAAAGATAAGGAAATTAATAAGTAGGAAAGTAATTAGTTATATAGTAATAACCTTATAATTAGCCTTAGGCTATAAGAAGTTACTAGAGCTAGCTAGGCTAGAGAGGGTATAGGTTTCTTTATAATAACTTATATTTAATTAACTTTTAAAGAGATCTTTAATAAATATAGCTCTATCTTTATCTTTCTTAAGGGAATTCTATATTACTGGATTTATAGGATCCTTATAAAGCTACAGTATTAATTTTTTATAAAGCTCTTGCTTTTCCGGGCTATAATATTATAAGATACTATATACTACCTTCTCTAGGTTATCCGCTCTATTAAGCCTCCTCCCTACTGTAAAGTAAGATAATATTAAGCTAGCTAATAATATAATAGGGTTATTCTATAAAGAGATTTAATTTCCTTAAGCCTTCTTTCTTCTATTATTAAGAGAATTATTTAATATAACTATTAGAATACTTACAGGAGCCTTTCGTTTATAGAGGCTACTTATAGATATAGGTATTGAAAACTGTAAGATAGATAAAGGTATTAATAGTACCTGACTTAATAATAAACCTAACGAGGGCTCCAGTTTAGAGTTAATAGCTTCTGAAGTAATATTATCTTTAACTTCTTTATCTTTATTATTCCTAAAAGCCTTATTATCTGACTATCAGGTCTGAATTAAATCCTATATCCGCTCCTTGATCTAACTGTCTACTATTAATTTATATATCTTACTTTAAAGGTCTTGGATTATTATACTGCCCGGGGGGTTATTAGAGAAGATATTTATATATATATTATATATAATACTACTAACTTTATCTACTTTAGTTAAAATTATTATCCCTTAACTAATAGCCTTAAGGCTAAAAGCCCAGTAGTTTATTATCTCCTTCTATAATATATTATTTAGCTGTAGTTTCTCTGTTTCTTTATTATATTTAATACTGGACCTCTCTGAGAGAGGTTAGAATACCCTCTAAAGACTGTATATTTATTTAAATTAGTATAGAAGATACTTATATTACTAGTATTAGTAGTCTGTTTTATAATAGAACTATAGGATTATATGTTTGAGGGTATTTATTAGGTTTAGCTTTTACAGGCTATTAAGCTGGTTATTCTAATATAATTTATTAAGAAGAGTTAAGAATAATAAAATATTATCTCTTTACTATATAATACTTACTTCCTAACTAGAAGCTAGTATTATATATAGTATAGTTAAAGGGGGTATCTTATAGTTTATAATATAATACTATATTTATATAGGTATTACGAACTTTAATATATTAAGGTAGTAAAAGTAGTTAGAAGAGAAGATAACTTAGCTAATTCTGATTAGATATAGTATATTAATAAAGTCCTATAGTTTTATAAGCTAAAGTTGTACTCTTAGTATTATGGAGTAAAAGTAATTTTATCTCTTGAATCAGGGCCTAAAGATTATACGTGGTGTGTTGAAGGAGTAATCAAAATTTTAGTTTGTTGGTATTTTAGTTTATAGGAGCGTACTGTAGGAAATAGAGGTCAACTACGATTTTTCTTTGAAACTACAATCGACGTTCTAAGCAGGCTCGTCAGATGCAGAGGCGTGAAGAAGCTGTGGATTGTGCTATCTAAATGCGAAATGAGACATTACTCAACGCCGGAGCTGAAGCAAGAGCCCCAGTTAGCCTTGGACGAGAGCCGAAGGGTGGCTCGTGCGATATATTGCCGGGGTAATGTTTGGGGCTGTTTATTTTTACGAGAATCTAGCACAAAATGAAGAGCCAAAGAAAACCAGGGCAGGGGGCAAGTCTGGTATCATCGACTCACATGATTTCGTCATGGACGGAAGCCCCTATCCGCGCTTGGTTACCCGAATAGGTATGATTCTGCGCCAAATAGACCCGAGTTCCGTAATATTTATAGTTCAAAAAAGCTAAGAGAAAGGTAAGTTGACCTCATTGTTTCAATTTGATTATTTTTGCTTTGTAAGACTCAGCCAACTCGATGTAGATACACTTACAATGTGGTGGACTGATCATCAGCGACGAGTGAGTGTCGTGGATAATAGGTTACCGAGCGCAGCTGAACATAATTTGTGCGTAGTCTTGATACTCAATTATTGCTTTTACTTTCATAATAAAAAGGCAAATTGCACAGGTAGCCTCAAATCGTATATGTATTGAATATCTACCCTTTGATTGTAGCACTGCCGGAGAGATATTTCAAACAATGCGAAATATGTATATAGGGTAGTGTAAATACCTAATCTTTAGAACTGCAGGATCATCCTAGTCACCTCTGTGACTGGGATGCCGGATCCTCGGGCGGCTTTATATACCGTATCAAGAAATTCGGCTTTGTTGCCCCCAGTTATATCCGTTTTCCTGCACAAACCCATCTGCCGTGGCAGGGGAGAGAGTCGGGGCGCTAAGATTACGATTTTCTTTTTGAGATAATACGGTAGTCCCCAGATGCTATCCATAGGTCCATCATGGTTACACACATGCCCGTAGCGATGCTTGCCTCCCTGAAACCCAGAGCCACTGGACGCTCCACAGCGGATCCGACAGTAAATTAATTTGGGATCAATTGCCGGGAAGAGGCAAGTAAGTGACTGTGGTCTGCCCAGCAATCCTGCAAGAGTACTGACACTTCCACCACGATTTCGATACATCCACCGCGCTAAATCCCGTTTCAATTTGTATAGATACTTCATCAATCTCCTCTGCCGTATTGGAATTCATACTAAATTGCAACAGCCAGATCAGGCTTCCAGTAATTTACTGTTGTAATACACTGAATTAGTAGTTAATCACAACAGCTAAGTCGGGCTACAGAAGCTGGCTGTTACGCTGTACAGCTAACTTTTTGTTTAACTGTAATAGCCAGGCTATTGAGAAGTTGCTGGCGGTATGGAGGGAGATGTGGCTATGATAGAGAAAGAAAGTACCTGTACAAGCTGGCGATGAGAGTCACTGCTAAAAATATAGCTGAAAATGTACAAGACCGTGATGCTGGCAGGCCATTATAGGGGTAGGCAAAGCTGACGAAGCCGGGGTTTTACATGTATACGATCCGACTTACCTTCTTGAGACTGCTCGAGGCAGCAGCTGTTGATCGTATTCATTAGTATCGCGGCGGATGGGATCTGACTAACCTGCCCGAAGCAGCCCGAGGCTGTGGCCGTTGATCGTATTCATTATCGTCACGGCAAATAGGATCTGACTTACCTGCCCGAAGCAGCCCGAGGCTGTGACTATTGATCGCATTCATCAGCATCGCGGCGGATAGGATCAGACTCACCTGCTCGAGATAGCTTGGAGCTGTAGCTGTTGATTGTATTCATCGGTATCACGGCGGATAGGATCGAAATTACTTGCTCGAGGCTGCTCGAGACTACAGCTGTTGATTGTATTCATAAGGTTATAACAAGCGCGCGTACACTTCCTCACTATGCTACGAAACGCCTTCCTTGAACTTCATGATGGCATTATCGACGACGGGATGACCCGGGGCTAATTTTATCTCGACCAGTAGCTGATTGTTTGAGAATCCAGTAGCCAATAGCTATCGATGTGTGGAGCGACCTACCCTCATATAAATATGCAAAGCTGGAAGCTGCATCCAACCCCTGAAGGGGTTAGGTAACACCTTCTCTTTTCCAGCTTTGCCTAATTAACGTGGTGGATGTGTCAAAATCGTGGTGGATGTATCAGTGCACCCCTCTGGGATCACAAATGTTAGGGTCCGTATCACTATATCATAATTGGTCTTGATTTTTTTTTTGGGTATTGAGTACTCTATCATCCATACTGTAAACCCTGAATGAGGGTTCCAGTAACAGATGTAGATCAGTAAATCCAAGGTGGCAATAAGGAGACCTATCGCCATAATGTAGATCTACTTATTTGCTCGTACTAATATCCATGGAATATACGTACAGTTTACCTAGCATCATAGTGGAGATATGTAACAAAGTAACCTTTGTGATCCCTGAGACCTGTACTCGTCCTGCAACGGGAATGCGGTCTTCAAAGGATCAACTGTGAGACATGATTGAGGCACAGTTATTCTTACTACCCCCCGGTCAACCATGCTCTCGGTCTATATAAGATGAGCTTTTCTTGCAGTTGATAGAAAGGACCTCTTCATCTAAAGCATCTTCCTTTTTATACATCTTTCTCTTTTCTCATTTTTTTTCCACAACTCAATATTTCCTTTGTAAGGTTTTCTGTTAGCTGGTCAACAGCAATCTTTCATTCATTATGGTTTCCATCAAGCAACTTTCTGTTATTTCGACCCTCCTGTTTGGCCTCGGCCAACAGGTAGTGGCCGACTTTTCAGACGACAATGGGCTTGTCGCCCGTGGTGAGGACGAGCTCGAAGTCCGTTACGGCGAGGATCTCGAGGCGCGAGGTATCGACGGAGACCTCAGCGAGAGGGGGCTACCCCTTTACCCTCGTCCTCCGAAGATCGTGGTTACACCTCCCCCAAAGCCTAAGCGAAGCCTCAGTGAGAGGGGGTTACCCCTTTACCCTCGTCCTCCGAAGATCGTGGTTACGCCCCCACCTAAACCCAAGCGAAGCCTCGGCGAGAGGGGGCTACCCCTTTACCCTCGTCCTCCGAAGATCGTGGTTACACCTCCCCCTAAGCCCAAGCGCCGAAGCCTGTGAAGTGCCGAGGCAAGGCTTCTGGAGTGACGTTGGGGGAGCAGGAGTGTGGAAGGTATTGCCATCTTGATGATACCCGCTTGTACGATATGTCCCAGGAACTTGGATTATCTGTTTGGAACTGCTCTGGGAAACATCCCTATTCGGCGAGCTCCTGCCTTGTTAGTCATATGATTTTACGCTGCAATAGGCCTTGGAATGTTGCCGGGAGCGGTAAGGCCGAGCTCAATTCTTATATATAAAAACACAAAGTGGTATTGGGATTGAGATATGTATTATTTAGATTCTGAATATTTAGTGCTATCACTTTGATTTGCTGTCGCTTCCCTTTTATGATTCGTGTTTATGTTTTTACGCATGGTAATTGACTACTATATAGTATAGGATGGTAGCTTATTGCTATTACGTATCTAGCTTATGCACGTTATAACCAAGCTATCAGAACACAATATGTGTACATTCGTCAACAGATGCTTCATCAAGCGGTTGTCGGGAGTTTCTATTAAAAGCCGGCGATGTACGGCAAACTTCAAACTCGAAATTCCGTGTCGTCAAGCAAGAAAGATCTCTTTCCATGCTAGCCCTGGTTCGAGGCTATCATATAAAGCTGTTGCATGAAGCCAGCCGGTTCCTCTTCGCTCACTGATTCCATCACGTGTCTCGATACACATGACAAAGAAAAGGGCGGATTCACCAAATCGCTTCGGAACGTAGATTCCCCAATCCGCGGCACAGAGCAGGATGACTTCAAAGACCGTTTGATCGACAAAGAAGGCGTCCTCGTCATAGCCATCCATGAAAAGTTCGCCGCCATTGCATCCGCCACGGGTACCCAGGCTCGCGAGGCCACGGAGAACATCAACATTTCTCAGGTGGAAAAAGGCTGAGAGAGTTCAGAAGTTCAGAATTGTGTAGTCTTTGAATCGAGCAGCGATTTCTCGGCCGCGTGTGGAGGGCTCGGTGCGGTAGGTTGGAAACGGCAAGTTCAGACGAAAGGATTCAAACGGACGTCTTGATATAACACGGTCACAATTTCGACCCGGCGCAAGTCTTTTGCTGCCCGAAACGGTTGCCTTGTACCAGGTAATCCAATGACAATTTTCCAGCCAGGCATTGTCTAGGCGCTCCTGCTCGTACCTCTTGGTAAACGGTTTCCTTATGTCAGAGAAATTGAGATGGCCTATCCAGCCCAACCAAGAATAACTGGGGAATCCCTTCCGACGGCGCAGTGAAGTATGGCTGCTATAAAACAAAAGAAACTCGTCCAAGGCGTAAACAGGAAGGCCTTCCAAAAAGGGGGTGTTTTGCATATCTGCCCCCAACCGTCTCGTCATACCAGCAATGGCACGGCTCGCATCGCTTTGGTACGTCAATGCGCGCTGGCTGTAGAGAGCAATGAGCAATCTGAAGCCTTGGAGTGGTCCCGTCCTCATAATGCTGTCGAGAGTCCCGTCGGAGAGGGTTTCAACTGGAGACTGCTCCAAGTCTACTTGTACCATTGTTTCAGAGTACGCTCGGTGGAAGCAGCGAAAGTATACTTGGTCATTGACGAAATAAAGTGATCGGCGAGATAAAGCCTGTTCCTGCAACCTTTTCGTTTAAAACTTGGATGTTAATAGCGGAGAGTGTTTCTAAGAGGGATAGATGTAGCGAAGTACTCACGTCCAAGCTCGCGAATCGTATACTGTATCTTTCAAGAGATAGCAAGGATCCGTGTAGACAGCTAGTCGAAGCCCGGGCTTTATTTCAGCTATTGTTGTCTGTGACGTTCCGCGGCTTCCGGGGCCAACCCCCCGTAGGCCGGCGTTTGCATCCTTCCCACCGGCCGCTATGATACAAAGGATGGATTGCTCATAGATGAGATCCATGACGCCTGTGCCATCCTGTAGATCTTCGGGATCATTTTGCATAAGACACAGGGAATCCACCCATAAGTAACGCTCTCCGATCACTTGTGTCGTCGTGATGGCATCTTGGATGGTCTTGGGAATAAGATGCCAGGCCTGTCGCATCGCGCCGGGTTGCATCAGGCGATATCTGTTTGCCCTTGAAAGACGAAGACTGGGGACAGATCCCCAGACGTAGCTGAGCGTCACATACCGAGAAAACTCGCAGACTTCGACGAGACAATGCTGGTGAACATCAATCAAGCGCAGAACTTTCAACCCGGGGAAGATGTCTCCTAGCACGGCTTGTCGACGTCGTATAAAACCATAGCAAGAGGAATGGGCTTCTTCGCACTCTGATAACCAACCTCTCACTTTTCCAAAGTCAATCTGCGACTGCGAAATGGGCATGTAAAGGCCGGACGAGCTCGTATGGGTCGACTCAGATCTCAGCCTGACAAAAGACAGAACCGTTCCCCTAGAGATGCCTCTCGAGGCAAATCAGACGGAAAATGCCCCGGACTCGGGCGTGTGGGCGAGCCACCACAAGCCAACCTCGTCGCCGTCGTCTAGCGAGTAGTTCTCGGTCCGCTGGATTTCGAGCGTGGCAAACGTGACGAGCTTGCAGAGTGGGCAGTCTCGCAATCGCACCTCGCCCAAACGGCCGAGCTTGAGTATGGCCTTGGGTTTGAAGATGTTATTTTCAGCGAGGACGTTCTTACCGAAGGGTGGGTGGTCCTTGTCGAAGCCGAAGCCGCTACAGATACGGCACAGCCTACCCCGAATCGCCATTGGTTTGGTGCCCTTTGGGCCACTTGCTTTGTCTTCGGATTTCAGCCGGCCTCGGGTGTCAATGCGGTAGAGTTGGTGAAGTTTCCAGTGTATAACGATGAACGTTGTGAGTAAGAATATGCGACGCGCTATATAATGGGCAACCGCGGATAAGTAGGCAAGGATTTTCCTTTTGCCTAGTTGGCCCAATCTGTGACAGAAATGGATCCTTATGATCGCTTTAGCACGCGCTTTTGGGAGGGTGAGATTTTGATAAGACTGCGCCTCTAAGAGTATCAATCCACGCAAGGCAGATTTTCTGACACCTAGCAAGGCATCCAAACTAGACCACCTTTACAATAACACACATTACTTAGCCCAAGTCAGACGCAAGACGCCATAGGGTAACATCGCAAAGAGTACCTAAGAGTTCCTCACTGAAACCCCTCTCGCTCTGCCGTGCTGATCAGGTGACGATAACATTACAGAACTTGAGATTTTCGCTTGGTATTAGCAGTCCTGACCGAAACAGTCTATTAATGAAAAATATACCAATCGCGCTTGAGTTATCCAAACTATACTAAATATATATTTCTAGTAGACACTAGTTCTTCTTAGGAATAATAGGTAATACTATATAGTTCTTATAGTCTCTCCCAAAATGAATATGGTTAGAACCCTTAAAAACAGCCTCGGATCTACACATTGTTAGCTGTCAATACAGAGACTATAGTCATCGTGAACTCGCCTGTCTCTCGTATCATTGTGGGTAAAGAATCCAGTGCCAGCCAGATCTCGGGAGCCGATATCTAGGACAAGCTTTTCTCCCTTTTGCAAAACCACGTTGGTTGGCCAAATCTCCACATCCACTCCATACACCTCATTAGGAATGATAGGAAGCACACTAGAAGAACTGTACTCTCGATAAGGCAACCAAGATCTGTGTCGTCGATGTTCGGGATTCGTCTTTCTCAAGCTTGTCCGAAGGAAGCCCTTGGTAATTGGAGCTGCCTCTCCGGTCGTACCTGTATAGAAAACCTCGTTGCCAGTGGCATCTAGATGACGCAGGGACAAGAAAAGGTCAATATCGGAAGGAGTAGGCGTGGAGTTGTTGGGGCTAAGTGACACATTGAGGTGAACAACGATGTGGCCTGTGATTTCTGTCTCCTCCTCAAATGGCGCTGAAGTGAATGATACAAACTCATGTTCACTTTGTTCCGCAAATGCTTGATATGTGAGCTTGTGAGGGGCACTGTTATTTGGCTCAGCCCATTGTAAGAGATGGTTCGAGCTGAGAAACATCTCCCGGTACTGCGTTCTGGCAATCGGCCATTCGTTCTCCTTCCTGCGTTGAAACTGACTCTCAGCCTCTGGGTCGTTGTATCCTACATTGCCCTTGCGGATAATGAGGTCAACCGGTGGGAGCTTGCCCTTGACTTTCCAACCCTCTCGATCGTCGTCTTTAAGGAAAGCATCCAAAAAGCTCTCTTGAACCTTGACCTCTTCGGGGGAGTAAAAAGGCAGGTCATGTCTTCCTACTATGAATCGAAGATACTTGAGTTCGGACGCGGAATGCATGAATCCTTGAACGTTGCCGCGTAGATGCAATAAGATTCCTCCCCAGTTCGCAACGCTCAGCACCGGAACCTTGATGTCTTCCAAGTTGAGGTTGACGGATGCGAATCGCTCGCCGTCGGCAAAGCGATTCACGCGTGCAGAATCGATGAGTCTTGTTGAATTGCGAGAAAGCTCCTCATCCGATAACGGACCATCATTGGGGTCATCACCCCAGCCTCGTGCCTCTTTGCCAGGAAGGCCGTACTGAGAGGGGCCAATTTGTCTGTCCCAGATGAGGTCCAAGCCGCCGTTAGATAAAATACCTCCATGACGGCACGCGTCGCGATATACGTCAGAGGCAGCTTCCCAAGGGACAATAGCGGCAAGACCCTTGGGATGCCGGGCTGCGACGTGCCACTGAGTGATGCCATAGTAGCTGATACCTAAAAGGCCAACCTTACCGTTGCTCCACGGCTGCTCCGCTGCCCACTCAATAAGATCAACGAAGGCATCGATAGTTCCCCTAGATATTATGTCTAGATGGCCTGGCGACTGACCAGCACCAGGCTCATCGGCTCGAACAACCACGTAGCCTCTAGCAGTCCAGTGGCTAGGTGTTGGGGTCTCCCATACAGAGTGACTGGTTTTATGGGCAGCTGGTACCTCCGAGTAACTGTGAGGATTAAAGCTTGATGATAACTTAGCAGCAACTCAGTTGTTAAGCTTGAGCGGACTTTCCTACTTTTCATAATGTACATCTTTTCCATAAGCGCCGATAGTCGCAAGAACAGGATATTTGGCGTCTAGGTTCTCGGCTTTGGGGCGAAACACGTTGCATCGGATCATGCCACCTGCTTTGGTCTTGATACCCACGTTCTTTTCAAAGAGAAAAGAGTGAGATCCGGCTTCGACAGTGGAAATGTTGGTAGCTTCAGACATTTTCAAATGTTGTTAGGCTTTAAGCAATGTGCAGCTTTTTTTGCCTAGAAACCAGTCGCAAGCGAGGAACTCTATATATACACATACACTGAAGAGGCGAGAGTAAAGGAAGGAACTTCCAGCGCATCCGGGAAAGGGTAATGCAATTTGCCGAATATCGGGAAATGCTGCCTAAGGCGCCTCACTTGGTGCATAGAAAAACCAATTCACCTATCATATAATACAGTTAAACAGGCGTCCGGACTGGGCAGTGGGAATTTACCGTCGGCCAATGTAAAGGTTCGACCAAATGCCGATTGAGGGTCTGAATTCTTATGCTCGTGCGCTTGTTATGTAGCCCTAACGCATCTCAAGGAAACATTGAACTGTTACCGGCTTTTATGAAAACCTCGCGTCGCTAACTTATCTCTTTAGCCTAGCATTATTCAGTTCTTCCTTATAAGTGGACGTCTGTATGAATCTAACACTGGCTCTAGTTGCTGGCCATGGCGATTCCAGTGGTGCTTCGATTCAAGTGATCTATCGCGGTACTTCCGAAACGTGTTTTTCAAAGAGATTGCAGAACCTCTACCTTACGTTGCGTTTCTGGCAACCATATTGAATTCTACTAAGTGAGTTCCAAGTTTACCGGTGTAATAAATTCAGAGCCACGCCAGTCAAACCCCGTTAACCAGTCCTCATCAGCCAACACTACTGAGTTTGACCATTGAAGTCCTTGAAATGCATCAACGCACTCCGGAACGACGTCGTTCTGCATGAGATCCTGAAATTGAGACTCCGAGTTTAGGTGGCCGTTCCAGAATATTCCACCTGCATTGTCCAGATCACTTGTCTCTGTTGGGCATAGGTGCGCTTCTGGCCGTGTCTGATCTTCCGTTTCATCGAGGAAACCGAGCCCCAAGTCGTCAAAAAGAGTGCCGTTGTCGATTGAGCCATTCTTCCAAACGATTTCGTTGTGTCCCAGTATTGAGATTCTGGCTTGCTTAGGGATGCTTTTGTGTCGATTGAGTTCTGATGCATCCAATGCCATCGGTTCATCAGCAAGAGAATACGCCATACTTTGGTGGTGACAATAAAGTGCCGGGATGAAGGAAGCCTGTTGCGAGAAGACTCTGTTAGATGCATAATCACTAAAGAGGTTCACTTAGAAATGAGAGCTTACAAGTCTCGAAACAAGTCTCCATCGCTTGCTAATAGCTTGCATGACGGTCATGTTTTTCCTAATGTCATTCAACGTTCTTTGTCTTACTCCTTCTTTTCTGCACCAGAGAAACGGTATCTGAATTGCCGAGGAACAGTATGCAGCGTAACCAACAAACGCTGGAGCTTGCGAAATGGCGGGGTGGCTAGTTTCAAGAAGAGAAGATATAGAGCGCGCATGCATAAGAGCAGTTTGTGCCGATATCGCCTGAGAATAGCCATGCTCTTCTATTGGGATGCCAAGGGAGAGCAGGGGAACTATTGACGAATGGATTGCGCAGCCAATCATGTGGTATAGGATACCTATAAACACCCTTTGACTGAGAGTGATTGATGGCGCTGGCAAGACGGATGAGTCAAAGCCAAAGTCAGGATGGGCTTGGCGTTTCCATACTTTCAACTCGCTGTCGAGTTTTTGAATGTTGACGAGTTTGATATCGATATCAAGCTCATCATCGCATGCCATTCGACAAGCCGATGCCCTACCTATGTCAACAAGGCTGCCAATATATCTGGAATATGGGGACCACACCATAGGCTTCCGAGTTCGATAAGCTCAGCATAGAAGTTCGGTGTTCTGCCAGGATCGCACCGGGTAAACTGATGTTGAGGAATATTATCTTCTTCGAATAACTTGTCGTCGCTTGGAAGAGACACCTTTCGAAGTAACTGGATATCGGGCTCCGGAGATGTAGACCGAGTAACAAATTGCTTAATCAGAATGCAGGCCCAGAACCTCCTCCGACTCAACTCAGCCTTGATAGTGGTAGCTCCATTGTCACGCCCGTTTTCGAGTCCCAATAGACGCCAGGTGCACTGTGCATTGCTTTCAAATACCATCATACGCTGCCACTGGCCCCTACTATACCAGAAAAGGGCGAGGTTAATGAATGTGACGATATTTTCTTCGGCGGGGCGATCGGCTTGGGCAAAGACGCGCCGGCCTGCCTCTTCCGCCCAAGACTGGGCATCATCATGCAGACAAGGCTGCTGATCAACAAACCTACCGAGTTTTTAGAGTCTCGTACATCAATAATGCAGGCATGAGGGCATATATCGTACCTTGAACCGAGGGCGCAGACACCAAGAAGTATGTGCTGCTCGATGGATCCATCCAATATAGACTGGAGAAACGTAGGACGATGGAGAAGCAAGTTCGCGTTGTATATGTTGGTAAAATAATGATCAACCAGACTAGATACAAGATGTGAGGGAATATTGATGTTCTGATAGTTTAGTACACGAGTTGCAGAACTGTCAGAGGCCAGTTGTGGCAACCCTTGGCGGGACGCTGAGCCTCGATTTCGACGGCGTGTTCCTATCCATTGACAAGAACGACCGAGACGTAAGCACCTAGAGCATGTTGGTTTCTCCCCTGAGCAGCGAAGCTAGAGCAATAGTTTGTTTAGTACATGCTGATCAATGGCGTGGAAGACAGATAGCTCTTGTGTGGTGCCGAAGCTCACCTTGCTAAAATTGCACTGGCTACAAGCAGTCTTTGGCCGGCCTGCCATTGTCTACCCTGTTTAGTACGGCTTTTAAGAACCAAGAACCCTGGGCACGCAGGGCGAAAGGTGAATTTTGGTACTGGTCCAGATGCAGGAGAGGGCATAGGAAATGATTTCATGGCCGGAAGCCACGGATAATCGAGCCCCATTTGGCATGTACTGGTAATAAACGGCCAGGAACGACGGCCCTCGGCAAAGGTATCATCTTTAGGCTGCAACAACGAATCTTGATCTTTTCATCATGTAAAACCTCGTACATTACTCATAATGTCTCCCTCAAATAAAATTACGATACTCTTAATAAAGTTCGAAATTAAACATAAAGTTTATCCCACGAACAGGCAAAACGCGGGGTCCATGAGTACATGTAGACGGAGCATCCGCGGGCTTTCCATGGACGGACCAGGGAGTACATAACTGCGGTCCTCTGACTCAAGCTCACTATGGCCCACCGCTGTATAGGCTAAATCCGACGTCGTTTTGTCAAACCCGTGATCTTCCATACTATTGTCTCTAATAAAAAGCATGTTTAGCAGCTACTCCTGTTAGTGATGCCCAACTAAAACTGTATGTATGAAGTCTTGAACTTTGAAAACTGAAAAACTAGCTGTCAGTGACGACACATCTAGGCTTGATATCTTACCGTCATAGGGTTAGGTTTGGTTTAAAGTCAAACCAACGAAGAAAAATGCCATTGTCGTTGGCAAGATTCTTAATCATATCTGATAGTGGAATCTCCCAGTTATATTGGACACAGGGAACTCGTGGGTTTCATAGATAACCGCAAAATGTCGGCTGGGGGGATAGCATTTCCCGCATCGTGGTGACCAGCAACAAGTCGGCGAGGGTGAGAGAAGGGGTATATTGGCAATTGAATTAAAATATTGGGGGCACCCAGAGAGAAACAGAGGTCTTGTTTACACTTATACTTATTACTGTACATGTGTCAAAATGATATGTAGTGTCTATCATGCCAGTGTAAGCTCGGAAATGGCGTGGGTTCGGGAAATACGGGAAATACAGAATATGCAGATATAAACCAACAAAGATGCCAAGCCGACGGCGATTCCGTATAGACTTAATACATTATACCAAAATCGGGTTATTGAACCTGCTCTAGACATACCTAGCTAATGTTAGAAGAACGAGACGCTGAATTTCATATTGACTATTTTTGGATTGTGCACTGCACTGTAGGGTAAGCCTCTGTTGTGACGCCAAGGAGCGGAGGATCAGAAACAAAAGAAATTAATACCGGAAATATGCGGAAGTAGGTATATGGACATTGTGGGCACAATATGGGGAGACTTCCGTTTTCACCCCAGTCAAGCTGCTCGACCTTGTCATTTTCGGCAGCGAAGTAAACCAGTCGTGAGTCATGAGGCAAGAGTCAAACACGTGTGTGCACTTGGTAAGAAAACTATGTTTTTTGCTACTATCAACGCTAGGTACCTAGTGGTACTTGTTTATATGAAAGCACGGTAATATTTACTCAGACCTGAGACTAAGCTCAACGACGCTCTCAGGAGAAGCAGGATTGGAGTAGATGTTGGCGATCTCAAAGCCAGCTTCGGTGACAATGGCAGTCCACTCCTCGGTAGAGCGTTCGCGAGATTCGCCGAAGTGGCCCAGCATCATCATATCCATTGAGGTAGCAGGCACAGAGGGCTTCTCCTCAGACAAGACAATCTCATTAAGGAGGACACGTGAGTAGCCTGGGGTAAGAGCGGGCTTGAGGTTCTGCAGTATCCGGACTCCATCCTTGTCGCTCCAGTCGTGGAGGATGGAGTGCAGGAAGTAAACTCGAGCACTCTTCACGGGCTGAGGGGTGTAGAAATCATGGGCTTGAATCTCGAAAAGGTCCGTCTTCTCGACGCTGGCAACGACATCGGGCTGGTCTTGGAGGACAAGCTTTCCGGGAGCGGCATTGATGCCATTGGCGAATGACATGAGGTCGTGGCCACGGCCACCACCAACATCAACTACAAAGTTCTCACTCACAGCCTTGTCAAACCCCTCGGTGAGTCTCTCGGCAACGGGGTAGAATTGCCACCAGTCTAGTTGGCCGGCACGGTACACAGACATGAATGAAGCAAAGTAGTCGACAAAGGGGGGAGTAGCACCAAGCCAGTGGAAGAATGGGAGATCAGTCTTGTGAGCGGATTGGAACGGCCCATCAGTGAGGCCGGGAGGCTTGTAACTGGCAGCCTTGAAATGCTCTGGAAAGCCCTTGAAGGAGGTGGCGGCAGCTCGCTGGCAAAACAAGATGCTGTGCTGGTAGTTCTCGGCGGCCAGGGTCTTGGAGAGCTCGGTTGACTGCCACCCCTTGGACTTGGAGAACTTGACAATGCTGTTGGCGACGAAATGTCTCATCATGCGCACGAGAACGGGGGCAGTGATGCCAGTCTTCTCAGCCAGGGCGTCCGTGCTGATGCCCTCACCAGCATCACGAACATGCTGGAAAAGTTGGGTGTTGACAGCAATCTCCAGGCATCCGGACAACGAGTGCTACTAGATATTTAGTCATTCTCTCGCGAGCCAAAAGGGGAAGGTTTTAGTCACCTACCGTGGCGAAGTAGACGCGCTGGAGAAACTCGGAAGGAGTCTCGAGCTCGGCAAGGAGCTCTCGGTTGAGGCTTAGGAGAGTCTCACGAGAACCGATCTCGTTATTTGCTAGAGCAGTGGCAGCTGCCTGCATGCGCTCAACAATATCAGAGGGGGCCATACCGACGATTTTGTGCAAGTATCGGTTTAACAAACGAGGGATGAGACACGAACCCCGGCGAGATACAAATGTGGCGTCTTGGGCCTTTAACCATGCATAGATTACCCAAAACGAGCCAGCAAAGACTTTGTATGTGGTATTCCATTGTTTTACCGAGGTGGAACATTTGCCCATAATAAAGAAATGAACTGTATGCGGTTCCCTCGGCTCCTGCATATTATATTGGCCCTGGTCGGTACATGCTGCCGATGCTGCGAATCGTGATGTTTATTGAGTCAATGCCTGCCCGGACGACAGTTCCAACACCATGCCAGATCCATCACCGACCGCGTGTATGGCCAATTGACGTCCTACACTAGCCTTGTCAAAGTTCCCAATGGACCCAGTTCCATCTCCATTCTTGCCATCCATCGTCTGTCTTAGGCATAGCTGGTTGTCTGTTACCGCAATCAGCTCATTGTCTGACCCCAGTACGGTTAAAATTGGTGCTAGTTGGTGGGTTGGTCAGGTGCCAGTTGGTGATTGTTGGATTTGTTTGTCTGTCTGGTAGGGATGTGGCAACTAAATAGGTGGAGATGCTGTGCCGAGAATAGGTTTCACCCATAGCTTCAGCCTTGTCATGGGTATCATGCTGTTGGTGCCTAGCACAGAATGATTCGCAATCAAACACGGATCCGAGCAATTGCTGAACGTTCTGGTAAGTGGGCTCCCTGACTACTTTATGATGTGATTGTGTTGGCTGTGGTAACCTAGAACGTCTCACCCTAGGAGAGAACAGTGGATCATTGACCAGGGGTTTGACCTGAAGTTGGACCATTCAACCTGACCGACCACATTATCCTGGTCCGACCAGCTCGATCCACGAGTGAACGGCGGGTCAGTGAGATGGAACCAGTCTACCGGCACCAAGACATGCATGATGTCCCTCTCGCGGCCTGTGGCTGTGTCTAGGATTTTGGTTTTGATAGTGTTGCCAAATATCTTGTTGCATGAACGCAGCCCGAAAGTTTTCTTCTTGATCACATGATGACATCAACTTGACAGCACAAGACTACCAACACAGTTCTGTTCTTGACCCATTTGGGCTGGAACATGGCAATATGGGTCCTTTTCCTTTCTTTTTTCAAGCTCCATAATCCACCTGCAGCTACATGGGTGCAAGAAGTTGCTCCTTCGCCCTGAATATCTCCTGGGAAGAACCCGGGAGCCCGATGGCGAGCAGATTACTGGACTATATCATAGTACCTGTCCTATGATAGCTCAACAAGCAAAGATACCTCGAATCATATGGTAGATTCATGCTACAGTAGGTATGAAGACATAGATGAGTTACAATATCGTACAGTTTGCGTAATAACTACAGATCGTCAACGCTATTTCATCCTTTGTCCATCTGAAGCAAGCATTCTCCGGAGCCCTATTCATCCCGAGCTACTGTCTTCCGTGAGTCCGTATGCACGCAATCATAAGGGGTCGACCGCGATCGAGCGTCTATCCCCCTCTTACCAACACCCGAAATTTCCCAGAAAGCCCCTTGCTACTCTATTATTGTGGAATTCCCCGCCGAGTGTTTTTTTAAGGCACAGATGACAGATGAAGAAAAGGCCCCGCCTTTGTCAAATATGAACCGTTCGGACGCTCTTCCTGGCAACACATTCCCCATTTTGTTCCCAAGCCATTGCCATGGACACTTCCGAGGCTGTGACCGGCGGGTCTAAGCAGCTCGAGCTGAGTCTCGTCGCTTGGATCTTCACGAGCTTTGCTATTGTGACCGTCTTTGGTAAAATATATACGACGACATTTGTGCTTCGGCGGCCTGGCTGGGATGATTTGATGATTTTCTTGTCACTGGTAAGGATCTCTACATATACTACAATGAAGAAACAAGGAGCTCACGTTTTAGTAGCTGGCCAGTATTGTCGCCTCAGGTCTCATCCAAGCATCTGTCGATCTGGGTTTAGGAAAGCACACGGCAGAAGTAAAGGCTCAACCAGGGGGTTCAGCTGGAATGGTGATGACGAAGAAGCTTCAAGTCCTTGGGTATCGTGAGTTCACACCCATTCCTTCAGAGCGTGGACGCCGAAATGCTAACATGCAGAGGCACTTAGCATTCAATATCTTGGCCTATAGTCTTCCGAATGTCGCTATCTTGATCCTCATCGAACGAATAGTCGGATATACCGAAACCGTGTCTCGGGCATTCTTACGAGGGGTGGTGGTTGCCCAACTTATCCTCGCCTTTGTTTCGGTTATCGTCATTTTCGTCCAGTGCCAGCCAACGGCATATTCGTGGGACCAGACGATCGAAGGGGGTAAATGCTGGGACCCGAACGTGTTCAACTACACCTCCTATGTTGTCAGCGCAGTTACCGCCTTTACCGACCTAGTGCTCGCGGTGGTTCCTATCTCCGCGTTCTGGAGGCTCCAGATAAAACTTCACCAAAAGATTGAGATGGCTGTCATGCTTGGGCTCACTCTCATCTCTGCCATCTTCACAGTCGTCAAGGCAACATATCTGCCTTTGTTCAATGACCGAATTGATCCACGTAGGTCAAAATTTCACCTGACGGATTGGGCTCAACTGACGGTTCATAGTGTACAATGTTGTGATCTTGGTTGTCTGGGGTCTTATCGAGCAAAATGTCGTCATTATGGCGGCGAGCATTCCAACTCTTCGACCGTTATTCCGCCATATAAGGAAGAAGGGACCTTTCACGACCCCTACAAGCTATATCCGGAGCGGGAATAATACGAAGGAGCGAAGAACGTCGGTGTCGGAGCTGCCACTGGAACAGATGAAGGTCAATGTGGCTCGGGGAAGTAGGAGAAGCTTTGAAATGCACAACTCTTCAGAGGAGCTTCACGAGGAGGAGCGACCACAGGCCGCGACACGTTGGTAATGATAATTGTGCATGATTTTTGCCTCCCGAACAGGATGATGTCGGATTTATATAGACACACGCACCAATTGCAACATATGACTGACGTGTAACGCGCCTTACTTCCCAGCCAAGGCCTTTTCATTTGAGACTAGAGCCTATATGGTTTTGAACTTAGTGAGCTTTCCGCTGAGAGACCATTTTCAATTTCCAGCGTCAGTCTAATGGACAGAGTTTGCGCCTCCTGTTATTCAAACACTTCAGCCTCTGGCTGCTTTGACCTTTTGACTACCTGTACACTTGATGTTGTATTCTTTCCACTGGTGTGTAAAAATAGTTCAACCTCTTCGAACTCACAACATAGATACAAATGCTAATAACACGGTATCCGTGATAAGAATAGACAATAAATACTTCCCTTGTAAAGTAGCAAACAAGCAAACAGCTTGAGTGTCTTTCCCGCTCCTCCCCAAGTGTGGGGTCCTCCCACATGTCGATACCCCCTTAAAGGCGAAGGACTTGCGTATTGTTCTGGAGCCAATTGAATGAGTCGGAACGAAAATCGTCCTTTGTGATGAACGACTTATCCGACGTGAATTGCATGAGCATGTTGTCCTCGGTCCATTTCGGCCAGAATGGGTAAGCGCTTTGGCTCTCGTCATTGGGATTAAGATGATCAACAAAGTTGATGAAAGCTGCGCGGATACTTTTAGCAGCATAATTGTCCTTGATGCCGAAGAAAACTTGCAGGATATCGGCACCGTGGAATGTACCCAGGATAGGGGTTCCCCTATTGTAAGAGGAGATATAACCCCAGGTAGAGAGATCAGATCTAGCTTCTTGAACCCTAGTGAATAGCAGCCGTCTCGTGAGGGTGAAGAAAATGTCTCCGATTATAGAAGCCCGGCGCTTGAAGCCTGGGAAAATCTCATTCAGTAACCCGGTGCCGTAGGGACTATTGTCGGTAATTTGGTCGATGCCTTGTCCATAGGTGTCGATAAAACTCTCTAGTTCGTCCGCCGTCGCTTCGGAATAGTAATGCTGCTGGAGGTAATTGATAAGACCATCGGTAGTAGTGAGATTGGACTGAAAAAGGGCAAAGAGAGTGCCTTCGTCCTCCTGATTTCCAGCTATAAATGGTACGGGCGCGTATTTACCATTAGCAGCCAGGACCTCTGCACTGTTGAGTAAACTCTTGCCATCGGGGCGAGGGATGTAGTCCAAACCAAGGGCAGTGTATGACAGCATGCCGGGAGCCGCTGATACAGCGTTCAAGAATGTCGTATAGTCAACACTTCGCAAGCACTCTAAGGTGTCTGAAGCTTCGCTACAGCCAGCGTGAGTAACCACGCGGTCGTAGACAGCCTGAGCTTTGGCTGAGTCGATGGACTGTGCAGGAAGTATACCACCTGACGCAAGAATAGCGCCTCGGAAAAGGTCTTTCCCCTTGTAGATGATGTCGCCGTCGTAAAGGCTCATCTGATTGAAAACAGACCAGGCGCCTGCCGATTCGCCCCATATAGAGACTTTTTCGGGATCTCCCCCAAAGTAACCGATATTATCAGCTACCCATTCCAGCGCCATTCTCTGGTCGAGTAAGCCGAGATTTCCTGATCCATCTTTCAGGATCTCTTTTCCGGGGAGGAAGCCAAAGCCATTGACCCGGTAGTTGGCAACGACGAAAACAAATGGTTTGCCTATCTCAACCCCGTACTTGACGAGACCGCTGCCATCGTACATAGAAGACCAACCAAGCTTGGAGGGATATTAGAAAAAATACTAAAAAGGTGAGCGATAAGGGAACGCTCCGGCTATGACTTACCTGATAGCCGCCACCGTAGATGTAGAAAAGAACAGGAAGCCTTTCCACTTCGGTGGTGCCTTCAGGACGAGCAACAGTGATTGTTAGGCAATCCTCGCTTTGACCTGTGACGTTGTGTACGAACGGAAGATTGGCGATGCTTCCGATAGTCTGGAACAGGAAGTTGGAGCTTTCTGTTGACAGAACCATTTGAGGGCAAGCCCCGGCTGCTCCCGTGGCGTCAACGTCTCCTAGTTCCCTCTTAAGGCGCTGAGGGGCTTTCAAGCGGAGGGGTCCAATAGGTGGCTCTGCGAACGGAATACCGCTAAAGGACTCGACATTGTCTTTCACGTTGCCAACAATAGATGCACCCGGCACGTGGACTGTAGCGCGACCTGGCTCTGAGCCCTTGACCGAGCCCAGTAATCCAAGGAGTAGAATGTGGCTTAAGGCTTGGATCAACATGTTTGGTTTGCAAGTGATTGCTACGATGGGCAGACTTGGGCGTAAATATGCTTTGCGAGCGAGAATCAAGGTAGAGAATCGGAACAAGTATACTGGTCGAAAAGGAAGCAGTCCGGTTCTCACGTTTCGTCCCCCAAACACCTTTTTAAGAATTCATGATTCTGCCATATCTGCCAAAGTCCGACTGAAGCCGAGGCTGCGCTTGGTGCTTCTAGCTGAAGTGGAAAAGATCTGGCAGTTAGGAGCAGGTAGGTATCTGCCATCTTAGTTTCCAACCCCTTGCATGAATCGGCATTCATTATCTGGGCAGGAGCCAAAAATGCGGAGAGGTGGTCCACTTTGCAGGGATAGATTCGCTAAACTACATAAACAGTTTGCGGGGGAAGCGAACCTCCATACCGAGATTCAGGGCCAGATCGACGTCGAACAGAGCTTGCTATTCGTCGAGGAGCTGGATTGATTTCGGTCAAATTAATCGGGCGAACGGAAAGGCTGGGTTTTGAGATCTATTAAAGTTACATTGAGGATGAGTGAAACCTCATTTAAACTTGTTTAGCCGAGACGTAGATCTTAGCATGTGAACGCCGGAATTTAGGCTTGCTGTTGGTTGAGGAGCTGGATTGGATTTCGATCAAAGTAGTCGGACGAACGGAAAGGCCGACTTTGAGGCCTCTTGCACTTGCATTGATGATGGGTGAAACCTCATTTAAACTTGTTAAGCCGAGGCACAGATCGAAGCACATGAACGCCGGACTCCAGGCTTGGCTAAGAAAAGAAGACTGCTCGTAAACGAAAACGATCCGAAAACGCGGTGGTCAATACGAAAGCGAACTTTGTGAAGCCAATGCCCCTGAGGCATCAATGAGGTCTTGCTTGGAAAGACGTTAGCAGGACTAGCACACCAACAGGGATATGTTATCTGCTATGTTAGAACTTCGGGTGTCCGAAACTCCGCGCTCGAGAAACCGTATCCCGATAGTGCCGCTCTCAACGGCGGCTGAGGAGTTACACGGGTGCGCGTAGTAAACCATTACCTCAGATAAAGTTCCTCGCCGATATACCACACACCAGGTTTATGGTCGACTCGTCCTCTTAGGTAACTAGACCAGTGATTCTTAAAATATAGTTTTTCTTCTAACCAGTTTCTATTCACTATAAGTACTCAAAGTAGTACTAGATAAACTAAACAGGTTTCCGCATCTTGTACATGCTTGGGTTGAGGTCGATGAACAAATTGCACCTTCACGAGTATTCCGCACCACAATCCACCTCATATTTCTTCACCACCAGGCCGAAGCCAATCGAAAGTATCCAGTAGGTCAAAGTTAAAGTCCAGTTGCATGGGATATCCCCAGTCCACTGACTCCAACATCTCTCCCCCGACCCTCTCATCAGGGGCATTCAAGTGCTCGTCAAGCACTCTCTGAATAATCAATTTGGAATCAGCGCACAGGGTCCCATTCGGTGCCGATGGTCGCATCCAGTCCAGAAAAGCGACGACAAGGCTCAGCTTCTGAATGATGCTTGAGCGAGTCAACCGCGCGTCTTTGGGATGTGAGCGCTTGAATGTTGGGCGGAGAAGTTCCACACACAAAACACCAGCGGCGGGGACCGCATATGAGATGAACTAAGAGAAAGAAGGTTAGAAAACTTTTGGCTTCCAGGGGAGAAGAATACTAACCAGCCAACCAGCATGCCTTTGACGTTGACCAGCCGATCGATCTCTCTGGTTCAAGCAGAGAGTCATGGCCAGCATGTCAAAGCTCGTTATGAGCAAATCCCCTGAGTCCGGGTATCCGTGCCGAAGCAGAAGCCTTTGAATGAGAAATAGGCTCTGCACGTGCTCTAATCTGAGAAGTATCTTCCCGAAGCGTTGATCGTTCATCGAATCCGGCTGCTCGAGATCCTGTGGCGAGTACTTGAACCACGCTGGCAGCTGCTCGTCGAAAGCTGAGTGTTTTGCTTCGAGTGATCTATGAGGCAGAGTATTAGTTCATGTCTTGGTTGACGAGCAGCATGGAAGCGCCTTGAGCTTACAACAACTGATCAATCGTCACAAGGTTGGGATCTCCAAGAGCAATCTCAATCAACTCGTCGCGGATAAAAGATCCTAGGTACCGGGCCCGGATGAGTGTCGATGAATAAAGCCGCCCTTTGGTGTTCCACCCATTGGCGTCCAGAGCACGAACAGCCTGTTCAAACGCCATGGGATCTGCGGCCAGCTCCTCGTCCGAAAGATCCAGTGGCAGCGGCGTCTTGCAGAACCGGCGGCTGATCAGCGGGGGCCTCCCAGTGAAACAGACGAAGAGCTTGTCGCTGATGAATGTTTGCGCGAACAGGCGACGTTTATACTCTGAGCACAGCGAAGGTTTGAAATCCGCCGACCCCTGCTGGGCGTGCAGCCCGAGATATGTCGCCATGGTGACGTTGAGGCCATGGAGGAGCGAGGAGCAATACGTGCCATCGCCATCGACGACGGTATGCAAGGCCGATTGTCTGCGACAGATATCAACAAGTAAGTCGTTTCCATCGCAGAGATACCGGGATATTTCAATAATGTAATCCACAGAAGTACGACAAGTTTCATGGGACTCCTTACCGTCCTTCCAGGCTACTCGTCGAGTGAGCGGAGAGTCGACGGGATCGGACACGCGGTTCATGTGTAACCAGAGAATGCCGAGAGCTTCCCACCTGAGACTTGTTCCGCAGAACTGATCTAGAAACTCACTGGAACTGCTAGTGACATCTCGCCAAGGCTGTACAGTGTTGTGACAAAGGATTTCTGCGATAGAATTCAGCGCGACTGCCTCATCCTCGGCGGCAAATGTTTCGAATAGTGAGTTGATGGACGCGATGATGCGGTCCACTGCGATATGCATAAACCCAGTTGACGCAAACGAGGAATCCTTGAACACCATCTGCTCGTTGGCCTGTCCTGGCAGGGTCTGCAGCACATAAATGGCCATCTCTCTTATAGGAGCCGGTAGCTTCTCAAATGAAACGAACTGGCGCGTCAGGCGGTCGAGGCGACCATAAGTGGGCGTTGGCCCACTGGCGAGCGAGAGCGTGCCAATTGTTTCGTTCAAGACGCTGTTGTAGCTGATTTCCCCCAGGTACCCGGTGCCGATCCTCGTTGGGTTGTCTATCGGCGACTGTTGATATTGCGATATTGAGGACAGGGCCGAACCCGGCGTGTCTGGTTGTGATTGATTCCGCGACGGAACGCCAAGAGGCCGAGGAGTAGACTGTGAATACACGCACCGGGCGCTCTGCTCCCGTCTCTGGCATCTCAAGCATACTGGTCGCGTGTGATCGCACGCGACCTTTCGAGATCTACATGGGTCACAAGCAGCCTGACGGCCATTCCGGCGACGGTGGGAGTTGGATGCCATGAGCCGCGGTGAAAAGACTCTTCCCTTGTTGAGAGTACTGAAGTAGTAGGATTCGAAGGCTCGGTGATGACTCTTTGCTTCGCGTCCGAGTTCGGGTCTGACAAACGGCCGGGATCAGGATGGGACTGGTGATCGTGATTTGGCCAATAGAAACTTGGCATCCAACCACCTCAGCGAGCAGGCCTGTCTTACAGCGACTACAGCTTGAAATAGCGGATGGTTAGAACCTGAAGAGGCCTATATCCGGACCCACGTAATCCTTCCAAATGTTCAGCAAGGTTGACACCTGTTGGCAGCATGGAAGTACTGAACGTATTAATGTCTCTAAGGCTGTTCTGTTATTAAGATTGAGTTGAGATGGACCTTCATCATTGATTCCCGCTGTATCTACCGCCTTTTCGCGAAGAAACCTAAAACGATGTTCCAGACAACGCCCAATGTAAAGCCGAGCTGGCTATCAGCAAACTCCTTGGGCCTGTCGCCTACTTCTGCCATTTTGCAGCCCAGCTCAACAACTGCGGAGGGAAAGTGTTTCGATGAGCGAGCATAAGCAGCAACCAGGTCATTTCCGTTCGTGATGCCTCCTAGATCGAACCATTAGAAAAGACGTTTGGGGACAACTTCGAGTCCAGAGGAAGGGAAAAAGCTGCGTACCGCTTGACCAGAAATTTCCATCCTGGACCCATCTGTATCTCTCGCCAACAAATGTTGCTGTCGGATACATCTTCTTCAGTGCATCTTGTAAGCCTCTTGGGCCGCACACTGTCCGGCCGTCCAATAAGCCGGCAGCGCCACAGAGGTAAATGCCAGTACACACACTAAGGACGTCGGTATTTGGGCTCTTTGAGTGATTGAGAAGAAAATCCAGGATAGGCTGGTCCCATTTAGCTTCCGGGTCGGGGCCGGGAACTAGGACAATGTCGAGTTTCCCAGGCTGCACATCAGGGTGAGTGATGTCGTGTGTTGCTCGAACTGTCAAGTTGGACGACAGTGAAACCATCTTGTCGTTAGCCGCAGGCGCGGTAATGTAAAATATACTGACACTGGGAGCAATGTCTGCAATGTGCGAAGGTAGGAGTTTGAGGAGTGAAAGATACTCCTTGCTCATCATGTGCAGGACATCAACACAGGCGAGATCGAGAAGCTGCGTGTCTCCGGGTATGAATACCCCGAGTCGAATGCCCGTTTTGCTAGACATGTTGCAAGCCAACAAACAATAACCACGCTTCAAAATATTAAAAATGGATTATTGAGACCTGGATGTGAGATACAGAATTTCATTTTGTCCTCGTAGAAGGGCGAGACGGTTGGGCTTAAAGGGGCTCGTAGTCTCCGGAAAATCGGGTCTACGGGCCATCTTCCCTCCTGTCGCCGAATCCCTTCGGGTTGGATAAAAGGAAGCTAAGTATCGGTTAGAAGTCCTTCTACTGTATTTCAAAAGCTTAAAAGTATTTCTATTAATACTACCTCTTAGAACCTTTCCTTTATATTACTCTATTTATTCTTTTAGATAGCTATAGATAACTATAGTAATTTAATCTTAGATACTAGAAATATCTACTATATTAATTTACTTCTTTTTAATTTTATAATAATATTTATATCTAGTTTTTTCATATAAATAATTAATTAATATTTTTATTCTAAAACTAAATACTACTGAACCGACCTAGCTTATGCCCGGTCTGAGTACGGAAGACGCCTCTTCTTCTCCAGAGTTTCCTGCAAAAACGTCCGAAATGAAGTTGGCACAAAGTCGGCGTATAGCTCAGTGGAGGAGACATAGCCCAGGCGCTTTATGCCATCTGGACTGTTATCACAGTCGATGAAAGAAGAGTAGTAGTACTCAAGCCAACTCTTGCCGACGAAGAGGAAGTAGTCATCTGGACTACCTTCAAGCTTCGCGTTCAGGCCAGCAATCATATTTTTGAGCCCTTCCGCCGACACCTTGTGAAGAGTGATGAGCTTCCGTTGTTATGCAGGCCACGATGGAGATCAATAAAGAAAATGATATTTGGACATACATTTCTACGTTCAGGTTTTTCACCAGTCAGTTCTTCAGCGATGGCAAACATGTCATCAAACGAGAGGGCGGTGCCTGAGGCCATCACCCGCTTGTTGATAGTTCTTGGGTCAGTAATAATGCGGGCGACCAGACGACCGACATCCTGATTGTCGATAACATGGGTCTTTACAGTGCCGTCCCCAGGTACAAGATTCCTGATGAAGTCCGGTAGAGCAATAGCAAAATCTGTGAATCCTGATGGCACTTGAGGGATGAAGCCATTATACCACCATCCAACGTCGATAATAGTATAAGGAATGCTAGAGGCTACGAGCTCAGCATAAATTCGTTCTTTCTAAATATCAAGAGGTATTAATACCAGGATAAAGAGGTCGAAAGGGGAAGGTAAGATATCGCGTTGGGTATATACCTCTATTTGCACGCCACAAATACCGGATGGGGCAATAGCCATGGCGAAGGCGCTGGGAACAAAACGCTGGATATTGGCAAGCTTCGCAGCGCGGATAAGAGGAAGCTGGGAATCCAACGCATTAGGGGGCACTGAGGCAATGACAATATCCTGTCCCTCTAGAGCTTCAGCAATTTGAATATCTGACCCGTCGAGATCGACCGCGATAATTCTGATGCCTTTCGTAGCGAGCTTAATGTAAGATGCCTTGGACACAGATGATGGTCGCGCCAAGGCGGTAATTTCCTAGATGAATCGTTCAAAGTATCAGCATTCAGATATCTCGTTCCGGCTGGACCTCGAAGGTCGTGCAAAGCACACACAAACTTGGGCTCCTTGGAAGCGAGTAGTCCGTCTAGGATTAAGCCAGCATTTTCACCGGCAGCGCCAAGGACAGCGACCTTGATTGTTTCAACCGACATTATGATGTGATTCATATAAACTTATTTGGATCAGACCCCTATCGTGAGGTGAGGAGGCTACAACAAGCACCTCAGTCATTGGTCATGTGGAATGGTCACTACAGTTGGCAACATGGCTATATTTAAAGACCTCACGGGGACTTCAAGGACCCCGACAACGTCCGCAGTAACCCGGCGATATGCCTACAATGTGGTATTTGACGTAGTAGATGACAAATCCGGCGTCCTCTTGCACCTTTATCTGCCCCATTAGTGAGGCTAACCCCTTCCTGGTGAGAAACCGTAACAGCCTGAACGGCGCAATCAAGAAATTGCTTCACTTACTCTTCTTATCTGCGCCACCTTCTGCAGGTACCGAGTGCTCCATCAACAACTAGAAATGATTTGGACAGCCCGTTCACGGGCATTCGCTACGAAGGCACACATAAAGTTTCCTATCTGAATCGGATTTGTTTCCAGCAGCCTCTCTCCTATCAATGCTCAAAAGAACAACACAGATTCGCATCCCTAATATCATTATCCCGGAGGAAATAGCCCAAATATTAGAATAAAGAAGATATCAGATCTAACAAACTTAATATAATAAATCTCCTCAAGGAGGAAAATATCAGACTGAACCTGCAGCGAGATGGTATCATACCAAGGGTCCATTCGCTCGCTCTAGGGGAAGAAGGTAATGCAGGAGCATTTGATCGATCGCTGGATATCTCTGTTACTGCGGCCTATACATTCCGAGGCGCCCAGGATACTAGAGCTTGCTGGTATTGCGGGATTCAAGGGCATTACCCCCAGGATTGCCAGGAACTCAAAATAGATAAAGAAGTGGTTGGATGGTGCTCGCCAAGTCTGGGAAAACCAATGAAAACACTAGTCTAGATTCCTTTCAAATGCCTGTCACAAAATATCACAGTTTGAGAAGTAGAAACAAAATCAAATAAAAAATTAAGCTGTTACAAACTTGATGTGCTGGTCAACTCGCGCTCAAAAGGTTAATTTGTAGCCTCCTTTTCAGCCTCCTCAACGACTTCGGACATGCCCAAAACATCCTCACCCAAGATCACAAACTCCTTACTGTCCCTAGGAATATCCTTCTCAAGATAGTCAATCTCATCCTCAGGCTCATCCTCCTTCTTCGTAGCTGAAGCAATGTAGTAGCCTTCATGAATCAAGCAAACGCGGTAACCAGTCTTGGGACTGTACCGCTGTGTTTGGTAGATGGCAAAGAGAAGGGACTTTGCTGTCTTGCCAGTCTCCTTATCACGTACACCTCGGTGGAAGATGTAGTGGCGGATCCCTCCTGGAATGTTTGTAATCTCATCCAGAGCTGCAGACGTAGCCAGCTGGTCGAAGAGCTGAAGAGAGGGGGGAGAGGAATCGGACAAGAGTTGGACCTGCATCTTGACGACCGAAATACAGGTAAATGTAGAGTAGTGAAGAGAGAGATGGAAACAAAAACAGTAGTGAGTTTTGCGATTGCTGCCCTGGCGTGTGCGGCGCAAGAGCGAGGAGTGGTCTTCAGGAGTTTTGTTTACCTGAAGCACTCGCCGTACTCGAGTTTCTTGTCAAATGCTTCGTTTACACTCTGTAATGGTTATTAGGATTGGAATGATACGCAACAACGAGGGGAAGTTAACGACTTACGTAGCAAGTGGCGACGTCGTTCTGAACGCACAGATAGGAGTGGCCTCCAATATGCTTTGTTTTACACTTGTGTGCTCCCATATAACCCACGCTGTTTTGCGGGTGACACTTTCCTTTGTAGAGGGGTTTGACACGCTTGATATTTCCCTGGTTGGTGCACTTGATTGTTCCGGCTCGTCTGTAGAGGTCGGCCGCTCGGATCTCAACGTCCTCAATGTCCAGGTACTCGGGTTCCCGTTCGTAAAGGTAATCTCTCACTTCGTAGTTGTAGTGGCGGCGCTGGGCGAGAACGAGGTGCAAGGGGCTAATCGTGAGCAGGGCAGCGATGAAGATGGAAGAAAGTTGCATTTCGAAACAAGGTGAGGGGAGCCTCTTTTATATATAGGTGTGGGGAAGGATAGGCGGGGTCAGATCATGCAAGGCAGATGCATGTACTTTTTGGGGACACGGATAATGTGTTGGCTGGATTGCTGTAGTTGCTGAAGCACAAGCAACTTTGGTGACAGTTAAAGGTATTCTTATACCTCCTTATTCTTGGCATTCATACAGTCATTCATACACTCTCTACGAGGCAAAATCCGAGCAATCTTCCCAGATGCACACCGCTGTGTTTTTTTCTGGAAGGATTTTTGCACCTCTGACACACCCCCTAGAATAGGTGGCTTACAGCCCTTCGGAATCCGGTCATGGGTCATGGATCATAGACCATGCATAATAGATAATGCTAATGGATAATGGTAAGGGGCCTTGTGGCTGTTCATATTGCTGGAGATGAGAAAATGATGATGGGCTTCTTTGCTCTCGGCGACCTCTCAACGAGGGTAATTCCGATACTCCCCATTGACATGCTGTTACCATTGAGCACTCCGACCATCAAAACAATACAATACATTTCATATCAGGTAGTCATTGCGATTGATTTAGAAGCAGATTGAGACACTGGCTGCTTAGCTGTTGAACCAATTCTTGCCCCCCAAGCTATTCTCACCGTGTCTGTGCCTGGCTCGGCTGGACTGGACTACGCCGCAGGTCTCAAGCAGCTCGAATATTTTGTCCCCATCAGGTATGATAGTCCCCCTGGCCACCTTCAGCCTTATCTCGCTAAGAAATGAAGGATTGCGGTCAGCATTAGCAAAGTGTGACCCCGTATCACAGTGGGGCTTCCATACAGATGGAATGACTTTACGCCGTTCCCTGCCGCGCGTTTTCTTTTTTAAACTCATAGTCCTTGCTAGTATCTCCTTGAAGCTTCAAAAGTTGTAGCGGGGTAATTTCTCCACTTGTTTATGCTATACAAGGATATTAGAAGAGGCCAAATGAGGCCCTAGAACATCGAAGAATAGGTGCAATTCTGGTTACGGCAAAGTCCACCCTAGTAGAGTACTGATTAACCATACCTCAACATCCAGCGACCTTAGAAGGCTGGCAGGGCTACAAACAAGGTTCACGTTGGCCTAATTCTATCGGGCGAATCAATCCCCGGTTAGTTACTTGCTGTAGCTTTCAAGGAGACAAAGGAGGATCAGCAAGGAGCTTCTAGTAATGTTTTATCCATGAGTCCGAGGAAACCGATCAGCCCAATTAGAATATACAGCAATTATTGCAGCTGTACAAGGTGGCGAAAGCCACCGCACAATCCATCAGCTGACCCAAGCCGGCCGCCAAGCCTCGGTATTGGAGTGGTACGGGGAATGGGTCGCTTTGGCGATGCGACCTGAAGCAGGGGGACATTTTGGGCAGAAGTTCCAAGTTTTCGGAAAGAGCAAGGGTGGAAGGTATGGCGAGGTTGGCGATAAAAGACTTCAAGGCAACGGCCAGCACATACATATTGATAAAGGAGCTGCCAGACCGAACTATGTGGTGCCGCCAGACTGGGGAGGCAGCAATGACGTTTCCTTTACTATCGTTCGGTACTTGATGACTGTGACCACCCAGTTACTCAACACAAGAACAATCCTTCTGCTGCATTGCGTGTTACATTACAGCGTTACAGTGTCAAACAAAAGTCGTTATATGCACTACCTGGATCTCCACATAAACTCCATATTAAGGCTACCTAGTAGTTAAGCGAAGCAATCCATCCCAGTAAGCTGGGCTTGTTCCGACCCCCTGGTCGCCGTGTCCCTGTCTGTCGGACTCTGTCTATGTCCAGCAGTAAGCGACAGTGATGATCAACTCGTGGGAGCTTGGCCTCCTTGTTCGCTGTTGAGACAGGCGATCGCAATAGAGCTGACCTCCGTATCTATCCCTGCTACTACCCGCTGTGGTATATCTTACCTGTTGTAGAAAGGATGCCTAAAGTGTATGTCTAGTGGTATGAAAAGTCGAATGCTCTACGTATATGTCTGACTTCAGGCTAGGGTATATCCTAAAGAAATCCAGGGCAAGAACTCGGTTCTGCGTTTCTTATACGTAAAGCTCCACTATCCCTACTCCTAACGATCGTCTATAGCTATGTAATAGTAAGTCTGTCCTAGAAATTATTATGATTAATTAAACTCCAGGCTATGTTATTATACACCATCCAGGTTTATATTATAACACCGATATATAATCGGCAATTGGTGGATTCTTGTTCACTCTACCATTCCCTCAGTGACAATTGCGAGGTTTGGCCAAGTTCCACCGTTAGATTAAGCATAATTTATTCCCCAACTGATAAGACAAGGAATCCCTTCCAAATCCCAAAAGGGAACTCGTTAAGTTAACCATATCTATTCCTTCATACCGCGTTGTTGTTTATCGTCTATGGCTGGGCAGTTCAAAACGCAGTCTGATGCTGGGATGACTTCTTCTGGTAACCGCCTGCAGCACGGTCCCGTAATAGTCCGCGGGGATGTCCAGACTGGCGCCATATTCGAGCAGAAGGTCGACGACCTCGGTCTGATTACGTACCGCCGCAATGCTCAACGCTGTGCCGCTCATGGGGGCAACTCGGTTAATGAGGGCGCCCCTATCAAGCAGCAATTTCACGAGTTCTTTACGACCTCGGGTTGCCGCCAGGTGCAGTGGAAGAAACCCTTCTGAATCAGGTGTGTTTATCTCCGCGCCGTCTAAGATTAATCGCCGAGCAATATGCACCTCGTCAGCTGAGAGGGCTTCTACCAAGGTATACTGCTCGTCCCGGTGAGGATTCACCGAGTCTTTAAACTTCTTGTCTGTCAACTTCCTGATAGCTGATGTAGCCCAGGATTTGATAGCCGTGCGTACACTGTAGACTGAAACAGGTTCTGGCGTTGAACACGATTGGTCCCCAATTTGAGCTAACAGTTTGTGATCTCGTATGTTCTGAACCAGGTCGTGGAAAAGGATTTCGACAGGAGATCTGTCCGCCACAGTGAACTCCACGAACTTAACCCCAAGCTCTGCACCAAGGGCTACTCCCTCCTCTGTTGAAACCATTCTTGAATCTCCCATTTCAGGTATACTGCCCGCTAGTATTATGGGCATCGGTGGTATTCGGTGTTGGTGCCAAAACCGCCGGCTTGGATCGAGCTCTCTGCGCAGTCGCTCGATTAAGTCGTACTCTCCCCGCACTCTATTGAACGTGTTTCGGCTCGTAACACTATACACGAGCAGCACAGCATCAGCATCCCGGATGAACTCTTCAGATAACGGCTTAGAGCCGCCAGGTGGTGCGGAAAGGTTCTCCGACATGAATGCTTCTGTCTCCGTGTCGCCTTTTACTGTATTGCCCGCATCCTCTCCGACACCAGGTATGCTTTCATCGGCCTTTCGTCTTGAAAAGTGGTGATTACAATAAGTAGTTATTGCATCACCCTCGCCGACGCTGCCTAATGTCACAAGTAATAGCTTCATTGGTCTTCTGGGCGCGGGAGACGACATTTTGAAGGTACGTTTGATTTGCATCAATAACCAAACAACCTTCGACTGAGCTTGGCTGAACGCAAAATATATGTGCTCGGTTCATATCGTGGGACAACGAAGGGTTACCAGCCAACGAATGTCAGGGAACTTGGAATGACCTCAGACAAAACGGCTTGTACGATGAGGTGTCAATCATTGTTCCCACGCCTCGCTGACTGAATCCCTAAAGCTAATATTCAACACGCGGGGTTCCTCCAGTTTTGAACTTTGGGTTGCCATGATGACAGACACCGGTTTGGATGTGAAGACTGTTCGTGGCACCTAAAAATAGCCCGCTAACAGGGGACGACTAGGCTTAGCGGACATGTTGTACTCCGTACAGGCCTGATTGTCACAGTGGCCATCCAGCGCGGCCTCGTATTATGGTACATGCCTTCATTGACAAAACAGCTTGGCTTAACAAACACGAGAGATCAGGCAACCGTTCGCCTAAGCAGGCAGACATTTACGTACCCCGCCAACACACGGCCTTTGTAAATAGAAACGAAATGCTGACTCAAACCTGCCAATAAATAAAAAAAATATCATGATTCTGGCACATATGTGCCGTGGTCCACCTGACCAACTCTTTCTTCCCAGCCAACTGCACTGGCCATCCAAGCCACCGACCAAGTTTTGTGGCTTCATGTATATTGTGGCTGTGCCGAGGCCACAGACCAGTGGCGCAACCTGGGGTCATTACTTGCCTACCTACCCTAGAGCACCTTTTCACCCTCGTAAATGACTACATGTTGGGACTCATTAAGTGAGCCCAAGTCCGTTCTCAGGTACTACTTGCCTTCGGGAGATTCCTTTAATCTTATCAAAATACGCCAGGCTGAATTCATTATCAAATTGGTAAGTAAATACTGGTATCGGGGTTTGGTAATTTTATAGATTCAATTATAAGGTAAATTCAACAGCGGAGCGATCAGATAGTCAAGGCCTGAGCTTTAACCAGTCATTCTAAATGTTCCGCGATATAACCAGACGAGCCTTATAATGTTCCTGATTTAGGCTCTCTCATGGCGTTGAACTTTCCACTGAGTCAGATCTCTGTAGTCACATCACGCCTGCGCCCCCACAGACACAGTGACGGCTGTATGAGGGGACGCGTAAATCACCTTACCCATGCTTCTAAACTGGACAAGGCCGTTGTTCGCGTCTCTCCATTTGTTATTTAAGCGCTTCTTGTTCACATGTATACTTTACTGGGGATTTGATAATTCAGATGAAAGCGGCTCAGTGCTAGAATTTGGGGTCCACTCAACACTACCATCTATAACATGAATAAGGCTCAAGGCTAAGACTGTGATTATCCAGGGCCTACAAAATCTAATCATAGGGTATTTTCCTTATTATTCTTGTATTCGAAAAAGAAGAGTCACCATACGTATCTAAAAGTTTTCCAGGCTATTATTTCCATCATACACATACCTACACATTATCTTGCGGATGTAAGATCGTTCAAATCTCAATATATTTAATAATCACGGATCGGCGTTAATTCAAACTATGGCATTCCGAATCACTATCACTTCCCCGTTCTGGTCTCATATTTGACCTCCATAACAGTGTCTACCATCACATTAAGAGGGTCGGAATATTTTGGATAGGCCTGATCAAATGTTTGAGGGGACTGCATCTTTAATAAGTCCTGGAGAATACTTTCCACATCTTCAAGTCCTTCCTGGATCAGATTCACCCGAAAAATCCGGAAGGTCTTTCGGTCCCTCGTTTGCGGTATTCTACTCGAAAATTGGCTCTCCAAATAGGTTAGGTAGTCCCTCTTGTAACCTGAAGAGCCTGGTATGCGTGAAGAAGTGAAATCAGGAAAGCAATCCGTCACTGGAATACGCACCAGTATATCGTCAAGGTGATCCACGTGAGTCAATACGAGCACTAGGCGGGTGTTTGTCAACCGGGGGGAATTTGCAATGCGACTAAATAAAGAAAGTTCTTCCGTCACGCGAACGACATCCTTAACCTCACACAGCACTTTTGAATAGGACGTCACGTCAGCCGTGAAAATCACCACCGAAGTATTCGGGAACGCATGAATCCATCTCTCCCTCTGTGATCTAGTACCGCCCACATCGCAGATCAGGAAGGACCTATACTTGTAGTGCATAGGGAATTCGTGAATGCCTGTGGTCCTGACATACACCTGGAGGATATCCTGCGTGGTCGCCCTATCAGCCAAGTTCGGGATTCGGTTTGCCAGCTGTTTGATGTTGGCGGGTTGCCTGCGGTGCGACCAGGAAAATAAATCCAGAAAAACCTCGTCTTTCCAAAGGGAGGAGATGGCCGGTTCCACGTTTTGTAATTCGGAGCGCCCGTGACTGCGTAGACTCGCAATGTGATGCTTGTTAATGTCTGGGTATTCTAGAAGGGTGCCATCTTCTTTCATAAAATCCAACGCCATCAGAGTTTCATGAACCACATGTGCCCGTATATTGTCTGCCCAGTCGGCACGTTCCTCGCTGGTAGGTTCCCCATCAAGGAGATATTGGATGCGTTTTAGTAATGTGGTCTTCCCCGATTGTGATGCCCCAAGTATCAGTATTTTGTCGTCCGGCTTTTGTTCCACAAGATGGGGTTGTTTCTGAGGCATGGGAGGCATGGGTTTACGCCGCGAGCGCCATGGAGTAATCTCTAACCAGCTTCCAGGATGAAATCTTTGCCCGGATCGCACTGGAGGAGAGACTTTCGAGCGTATGGGCCTGCGGCCATTGCTCCAATCACTATTTGTGGATTCTCCCGACTCTTCCTGGATGGGCCCTAGCAGCCTTTCAGATCTGTTCTCGGATATTGCTTCCTCTGCATCGAATGAACCATCTGGACGGCTAGCTTTGATTGCCTGTCTCAAATGTGATCTATGAGCAGTTTGATAAACCCTGGAGCCCAAAACGATAGCATCAAAGTCGAATTGAATGCTCAGAGCGTTTGTATTATCTGAATCAATACTCGTCTTACTGTCAGCGAGCCCTGCAATCGAGGACGTGCAGTCTCTGGCTGAAGCCAGTATAGCTTGGCTGTCGTCTTGCCCAACCTTGAACTTTTGCTCAGCCCACGTATTGCTAAGAGCTCGTTAGTTCAACATTCGTGGAGTTCAATAGTCTGGACGAGACTTGCCACTGTATGGCCTGGAGAAAGAGATTCAGCGCGTTTACCTGGCGGTCGACCAGGCTTAAATAGACATCTATGTCCTTCTCGTTCCACATGTATTGTAACTTATTCTGGGTATGGGAAGAGTCACAGTCTGAAACTATTTCAAATTTGTCAAGGTATTTGCCCAGAGCCAAGATGAGAGGACAAAAGCTGTCTAGCGAGGCCTCTATCTGCGAGGCTAGCTCAAGATACCGTGATTCATTAAGGAAGGTGGACGACTTCCACTGCGTCAATTGGCCAACTGCTGCCTGGATAATATAAAGCTGGCCAACTAAGGTGGTGATCTGGAAAGGCGCATGATGATAGCGGCTCCTGAGGTCGCTCAGTTTTCGAATGCTCTTCGCGACGACATCGCCGATGGAAACGACCGATCCGATCAAGCCAACAATTGCAATGGGATCCATCGTGACTGGTGACCAAACGCATAGGTCGCAGTGGAATTCAAATGAGGAATACTCCTGGGAATATGCCTGAGATGTGAAGAGTTTTACACATTCTCAGCTGTCAGCCCAGGGTGGCTGAGCGGGGTATAAGAACAGCCAAGGCATTCAATATATTCCCTCTCCTCAATTGTTTCCCCGATGGCAGTAGACGACTTAGATAAGCTCAGCATGCCATCACATGCAACATGGTAAGCGCCATGTCTGGTGGTGTTGTTGTGGCGGTTTGTAATTCGCCAGCGCAACAGCAACCATAACAAAGTGCAATAATTCGTCAGACATTCCCAAAACAAACTCGCCGATTATCTACGAATTGCACATTCTCACACCTGTTCCCATCGTCAATTTGTATGTTCTAATAAAAATGACTTGTCTAATACGTATCTTACAAATTTCCCAACCTATCGTACCTTTCAACAAATATTCTCAATCTTGTGAAGACTCGAGACAATCTTATCCTGTCCTCTCAACACTATATGGCTTACCACCCTCTAGCCACTCTCTCCATATGTATGATCGACTCTTGGGTTCTCTGGTTTGGCCAATCTCCCCGGCCAGCTTGGAACAAAGGCCCAGAGAAAGACCATCCCAAAAGCGGCAATCCCAAGAGCCCATCCACCATGGAGGCCCTCGATATATGCGTGTCTCACTCCTTCGAGGTCCTGGCCCTGGTACGCATCTTTTATTCCTTCAGCGCCAGCGGCGAGAACGGCATGAGGGTCAATACTAGGAACATAGTTGGGGAGTTTCTGCAATAGGAGGTTGTTCAGAATGGCATCGGAAACAGCCACGCCCCAGCCACCTGCAAGGAGCATGAAAACTGCAAGAGCAAGAACATAGTGTCAGTATGGGGTTGACGGCTCTGCGATTGATAGGTGAGTGTGGGAACTCACAGGAGACAGTGGCCACTGCGATCGATACATCTTCAGCGCGACTTGATACGGTAGCTACAAGGTTTGGAGTTTGTACCCCGAGGCCTGTACCGACTCCGTATAAGATCTGGTATCCAATGATGGGACCTAGGCCTGTGTTGATATCACACGTGTAAATGAGGCCACCGGCGATGGTAGAGATGAGGCCTGAGGCAATCAAAAACGGCTGGTAGAATTGAAGCTTGCCGATTGCGATTGATGCGACCATAGTAGAGACAGCTGAGTTGTGTGAGATGTGATTAGTATAAGGGCTGAACGCAGACATTTATGCGTACTTACCCGTGGACAAAATAGATGGGATCATCTTGATACCGCTCTGTACAGGGCTGTCGCCCTGAATGGCTTGAAAGTAGATGGGGAGATTGTACTGCAGTGCAATGTTTGCCGCGTTAAGACTATTCTCATGTAAGTGAACCAGTCGAGAGCATGTATCAGCAGGGACTTACAAAAAAATCAGACCAGAGCAACCGCCAATGGACCTTAGGCGTAGCAATCGATAGACAATAAGAGCTCGATCACCTTGGAACCACTCATTAATAGCGAAGAGAGCCAGGAGCACCACGCAACCGACAAGAAGCCCAATGACCTCGGAGGAGTTCCAAGGCTTTGCCACACCGCCCCATTGCACGGCGAGGAAGAAACAGAGGACACCCGAGAACATGAGAACAAGTCCTACGGGGTCGAAGTTCTTCAAAATCTCTTTCAAGGATACCTGATGGCTTAGTTTAGCGCGCGCCGGGGTTCTGAAGAATACTGCCATACAGCCCATGGTGATTCCACCGATGGGCAGATTGATATAAAAGCACCAGCGCCACGACACGCCAGATGTAAAGGCACCACCAAGGAGAGGTCCCGCGACGCTGGCAACGGTGAAGACGGAACCCATCAGCCCGACCACGGTTGGTTGCACGCTGGGTGGCACGACAAATGCTGATATGGTGTAGCCTCCGCCTGCGACGCCTGCGGCTCCGGCGCCCTGGATGGCACGGCCGATGATGAGGGCTGTGCTCGACGGGGCAAGGGCACAGACTAGGCTGCCGACTTCGAAGATAGCGATGGCTAAGATGTAAACAATTCGCAAGGAGAAGTACTTGTAGGCTTTCCCCCATGCCGCAATGAATGTAGCCAATGTTAGGAAGAAGGCGCTGTGCGAGAGACCGGTCGTGTTAGCGATCGCCACCAATAGTTTGGATTTAAAACACAAATTTCCATTTTTTTTGTAGGCAGGGTAAGGAGCTTCAGGAGTACATGAGAGGGAGTTCAATACATACCTTCCATACCAGCCGGCGTCGGCCATACTGTTGAATTCGGTCGTGATTTTCGGGATGGCAGTGCCCACGATGCTCTTTACCAAGTATTAGATCTATGGAAGCTATTATATTCGGAGCTTTGGCTTACCATGTCAAGGGCAATCTGCGGCAGGAAGATTGTTAGTGAGCCAAGGGCATTATAGGTTGGAATCACTTACCAAAAAAGTGGCTAGCATCAAACTCAAGACCACGATACTGCGAACCAAGATAGAAGGGTAGACTATCTCTTCACCCCTCTCGGCTGGGTCGTCTTTCTGGCTCGTCGTGGCATCATCGCTGCTTGGTTTCTCCCACTTCGCAGGGGGGTGGCTTGGTGCTGCTTCGTTGGTGGTTTCCATCTTTGACAACATAAAAGGGAAAACGAAAGAACGATAATGTACAATTAACTTGAATAGGCAAATAATGCTATAGTAACAGTGTATGAGACACTCTCCAAAAGATCTCGAGAAGGAAATGGCGAGTCTTTATAAACCAGCCTCAGCACAGGAAACTCGATTAGGAATGACTTGTCTCATTGGCCAGATGCCCCTGTATACCCAGAATTATTTCATCCCAATTGGGAAAAACTTCTCTCATTGGTCCAGCGGGGGACAATTATCGAAGTGTGGAGAAGAGCGGTGTTAGACACAGTCATTTGATCCCTTCATCCTTGTCAGGTTTTCAGTTATGGCGGCCGAGATTAGAGTCGAGGTAATTTGGAAGTTCGGATTCAAGTGGGGTGTGCCAACAAATAGCTACAATTATTCTTTCCTCGGGGACATGGGGCCTATGAAGAAGCAAGTTGTTAAGTCACCCCAAACAGATGAACATAATGTATAAATTCTGTCGGGCATTGCTTACACCATCACTTTCGGATCGCCGGGCAGAGACATTAGCTCCAGCATCAGAAACGCCAAATCGTAGCGTCCTCAATAGATCCGATCACTAGTTGTTGCGCGTCTGGTGAGAAGGTAATGGATACTACATCGCCTTGACTAGGCAATATCCATGTCTCATCAAACTTGTCTCCGCGCACGTTCTTCACCCATATGGCAACCCCAGACCGCGGTCTCGCTTGAATTGTTGCCAGGAATGTTCCGTCAGATGAGAACGCAGCCATGTTTGGCTCCTGACCCCATAGTTGCTGGATCTCCTCATACGACCCGAGTATGTTTTTGCGTAGAAGAACTACTTTATCATCCTCGCTCATCATAGCCAATAGGCTGTGATCCGCCGAGAAACTTATCACATCCCCCGATAGCTGCTGGAATTGCTCAAACGTAGTTCTGCTAGGAGACCGCCAAATGGTGGAACCAATGGAGTCAACGGCATGTGCTGCAAACTGTCGCCCATCCGGAGAGACCATAATGTACTTAACACGTTTTTCAAGCTTTGTCGACAACAGGGATAACAATTCGTCTCTGGCGGATAAGTGAAACGCACGTATATGAGGCTCATATTTGCTTGTTGTATTACAGCCCAGTACGAGTGTTGTCGAATCCTGCGAGAGGGCCCAAGCATCGAAGTAGAGTTCGTCAGCTCGCAATGGCTGCGTGTGTTTGGATTCATAGTGTCCCTTTCTCTTTCGCCACAGTTCAAGCGAATGATTGCCGCCAAGTTTACGCGTCAGCGCAACGATTCGCCGGTCAGTCACTGCCATGCATTCTATGAACTGCCAGGCAGGATTTCTTAGGGTATCCATGTCGTTGAACTGCCCATCTTCTCCCATGGTATAGGTGTGAATCGCGTACTTCGTACATACGGCGAGAGTTTTCCCGTCTGGGCTGTAAGCGGTGGATACTATCGCGCCGTCGTGTCTATCGCCTACCCTTAGAGCTTGGGCACGCGGGTTTCTGAGTTTCTCGGAGGTCTGATTTGCATTCGTGGCGCAAGGAGAAGAGCCAATCTTTTTCTGCTGAAACTCAAAACCCTCTTCAGGGGGGGGCTTTCCATCGTTCGGCGGCTCTGGGCGGACACCAATCCAAGTGTTGGCTGAAACGTCCGCAAGTAAGCTTACTCTTGGCGTGTTAGATTTAGACGTGCCCGAGGCTTTGATGAACGAATCTGTTTTCACGTTGATGCCACTTGACGCAGTTGGCCACTCTGCCGAGGCCTCAACAGTCGAATTTTCAGCTCCCAGATTGAGGTCTTCAACCGGAACCACAATTTCCTCATGCAAATCTGCTGAGATAGATGAAGCTAGATTTAACCACGGGTGAGATAAGGCTTTTGCCGCGCTTGGTCGTTGTTTTGGTGAGGCGTGCATTGCGCTGCTAACAAATGCATTGCACTCCGCACTGAGAGATTCCTCGAAGGGAAACGCGGAACCTTGGACAACATAGGCATACAAGTCCCGCGGAGCACCGAATGGTGTGCGCCCGGTGGCCATTCTAAACGCAATGGCGCCGACTGCCCAGATGTCTACCGCAAGAGGGAAGAGCCGTTCGGTATTGTCCGCCATGTCAGCTGGTGTGAAGATTCCACGGACTTCGGGCGCCTGGTATGTCTCGGTCCCTACGCCTGTGCGCAGGACAGTTGTCTCGATCTGCTTAGTCGTACCAAAGTCGGAAATCTTAACCCACCAATTTGGGCCGGCATGCTGAACGAGGATGTTCTATATTGCTCCAGTCAGTCCCTTGTGGGTTTTAACCATTCATCCAAATCCGCTCTGTGAAACGAACTGACATTTGGTTTCAAATCTCGGTGGGCAAACTTATTCCTGTGCATAATCTCAAGTCCCTCCAGGAGCTGGAGAACTATCAAACTAGCCTCGGCCTCTGGAAGAGGATTCTTCAGATATCTCGACAAGTCGCCACGAGGGAGGTACTCCATGGTAATATAGAGATAATCCAGACTATCGTACCACCCAAATGACTGAACGAAGCAATGCCGATACTATGAAAGGGTCAGCAAATATTCAAACTGGTGGGTGTGTAGGCTGGAAGCACCAATTCGTGAGAGAACTTCATAATAGCAGAGAGTTCCCCCGACAGGGCCTTGGCAGAAACGGACATGGGGCTAAAGTTCTTATAGATTTGCTTTACGGCTCGCACTTGGCCAGCGCTGGGACCTGAAGTGCATCGCTCAAACCAGACGGTGCCAAAGGTGCCGTGGCCGAGGGCTTTGGCGTCGCCTCGCTCCCATTTTTCCTCGATTGCCATCCGCCGTACGCCTCTGGCGGGATCCGATATGTACTTGGTATGAACAATATACCCCGGTCTGATTGTGTATTGGAGCTCCCAGTCGCGGACTAGATCTGATATCAAATCCTCCATTTAACCGGGTTGCTTCTGTTGTGTAAGGTCTCAACTTCCATGTACGCTGAATAAAGTGACTCTACGAACAACGTGCTTATGTTAACGGGTAGAGACTTTGATTTTGGGCGCGTATGTACTGTGCCAGGTGGCTATGCTGCATGCACATGACGTGGAGTCGCCCAATTGGCGGAGAGCAAACCCCCCCTTGATGGATGCAAAGACCTCGTCATTGCATCCCATTTGCACCTTGCGGAAGCGGTAGCGCTCGTACACTTCTGTTAGGATTCAAGTCTCTTTAATCCAAGAGTCTGTTAGAAGGATGGACTAGTACATGAATCTGTTGAGTCGACTCCTGGGCTTAGACCGAGTAAAATGGGCAAACACTCTCCCTCAGTCTTAATAAATATGGGCGAAGGGTCGTTATTACCAGAGTATCTTTCGATTTTGAATTGTAGGTTAGATCCCCATGAGCAGTGTAAATCTAGAACGTGGTTGGACGTCTTTGGCTGGGCGTCTAAAAGGCGTCACGTACTGGCTCGGCCTCCTCTTAACGGGCTGTTTGAGACACCGTCCAAGGACAATGAATGGGTCAGCGAGCCACGAGTAGATGTTCAACGTCGATTTATTTTATACTTTTATCATAATTAAATATTTAAAAACTCAGTACACGCATTGTCACGAGATGGTCTAGTTTCATGCTTCCTCGTTTGTCATAAAGGAAAATTCATGCCCAGCCGGGACCTCAGCTTTTATGGTAAGTCCATTCGTCGAAATGAAAGGGTATGTGGGAGCATCTGTTCTTAGAATAAGACTGCTATCTCCCATAGATGTCTAGAAGGCTCAGTATGCATGTGATGAATCCACGGAAAACAACATAGGATACTCTGCATGTGCGCCCAGCTATCAACAGCTAACAACTGAGTGATTTCCTTTATACGCTGTAGTAACCATGGCTGGTCTGATTCTTCCAAGACTGATATTCCACCCATGAAAAGTAGCCATAACAGAGGCCTCTTGTCTGGCTCATGCTGTCCTCGATTGACAATATCCCGTAAACGCCGAGCAACGAGGCGATATTTCAGAAATCTTCTACCTCCGGTTTGCAGAAATAAAGTAGTCAGAAAAGCGACCAGGCCAATGTGATATACCGAGTTCAAAAAGCCCTCCATGGGAGGACTACCCAATGAGCAAAATAGAACCAGGCGGTATCCGACTGATACAATGATCTCTTGCAGATCATCCGGATCTGCGTCAAAGCTGTCATCGTTATTGAACCAGCACGCAAGGCTATTGACATCTTGAATTATTTTCTGGAGATCTGGCCTTGCTTCTGCCAAGCATGGCTTAGAGAAGATAGAGCCCTCACCGACAAGGCCGAACTCTTTAGCAGCCTGAGCCCTGCGGTCCCTGAATAAAACAACTGAGGTCCCGTAGTGAAGTGCAAAGTCGATATCGGTTCTATTGAGTCTTAATATCAAGTTTATGTCATTTGAAGATTTGTAGTAGGACTCACTTGGCTATTTTCAAAGCAAGGGTACGGTCCTCTATCGTGCAGAGGCCACCGCGCAATTCCAGCATCTTCTGCAGCCCTCGTAGATGTATCCTTGCACTGGCTTCGTCTTCTTTGAATATATCTCGTATGACGAGGAAATTGACCACTGCCAGGTTCGAATTTGACAAGGCGTCTGCGGTATCAAGCTTCTCATTCACGAGGGCCACAGCTTGACCTAGATGGTACGTGGCCTCCCATGACACCGGCTCCCTGCCAAAAACAAAGGCGTTTAATATAGACATTAAAGCAAGAGAGCAGTGGTAGGCTAGAGGAAAGCAGTGAGTGCTTGCTCGTTCCAATCATTTCGAAGCGAATACTAACAGGTCTGATCCAAAAACATCATGCGAACCCAGTATAACTTGATGCGGTCTAGTGAGAGGCAGAGCTTCGAGGGATACACAGCCATTATAACAGATGTGAAGTCTGCATTCAACGGTAAGCTTTCTCATACTTTGAATAGTAAAGAGGTCATACACTGACATGTCTTGGCCACCTCGAGACTCCAAGGTGTGACGTCCATTGACAGAAGCGGGGGGAGAGACCGGCAAATGAGCATCGAATCAGTCATATCAAGGCAGCCATGCGATGATAAAGCGTTGTCTCGTCTGCCGCCATTTTCTTGCGAAGTTGACAGGCCAGTCTTGCCTCGAGCAGGTTTCAAACCCCGATGATGTGTCTTCCCGATATTCTTCTCCCTCATCGCATGACTGCGGGCAGCCCTCTTCGTAGATATATCCGACTTCGTGCCGTCAATGAATATGAATCCTTTGCCCATATTTCCCGCTTGCTCTCAACGCCGATGTCGAATTATCGTTGTCAAAATGGATTGGCTGGGCGTAAATCTTCCAATATGGGGCTGGGCTCGGAGAGTCGGAGTTAAGCTTACCAAATTCCATTCAGGCCCTTGCAATTGAAGGGCTCACCAGGCCTGGCCAATCAGAGTCACCCTCTCCATGACGAGCGATGATTTCAGCCAGCTGGCGGGCTCAGCCTTTTTCTTCCAACGTTTGAAGTGCACGCTTTCGGCATCATAAAAAGCAGGGCTCACACCACCGTCAATAACCGTGTGTATGAGGATGATCTCAGAGCATCGCAATATTAAGTGCATTCGCTACCATGGTGAACTCAGGTGCGTTACTGCACCTGGCTGACTGACAAGACAATCTCGTCAGGTGAGTGTCCATAACCTGACCTAAGTATTCATACGTGCATATATCGCCGAAGTTTGCACCTTTTCTTTTTACTCGCGTAGAAAGTACTTTTATCTCAGCCTTATTAATTGAAGATCAAGTTGACTTCAGCTTATAGTTATTATTGTGGTTGTTGTCGTGGTTTTTGTTGTGGTTGTTGTTGTGGGTAATGTCGGAATGCAAAGATTCCAAGTCAGGAGTAAGGTGCTGTACTTTGGTATGCCAAAGCCTGGAGACTCTTTTCCGCTCGACTGTTTGTTTATGCAGGTAACTTTTCATATCATTCCATACAGGTAGATATCGATCAATAAGAAGGGCATGAATTTGGGGAAAGAGCAAGCTCCAGCAATACCATCCTGGGTAGAGAATTAAGTGCAAAGCCTCCCGGAACGACAAGATGAAATGACAGGTCAGACGACTAGGACACCGCGAAAGCTCTCGACTGTTGGTTTCTTCATCTTTCGTGTGCTGCAGATTTCTCTCTCCTGCTTCACTATTTTGGAGACTTATGACCCACGGTGCGCCCGAAGAAAATCATTAACAACAGCGTTAAAAGCTGCGATTTCCGCTTCCAGTTCCTCAAGGTCCGAATCCGACCCGAGGATTTCCATCAATCCACCAGCATCCGTTGAGTCTGGAATTTCTCCCAGTGGTGCGAGATTCGAATCCGACCTAATATATTCCTTTAATTCATCATCATCCATTGAGTTTGTAATTTCTTCCAATGACGCATGGTCCGAATTCGGCCCAAGGGTATCCATTAATTCATCATCGTCCATCGAGCATAGAATTTCTTCCAGCGACGCGAGGTCTGGAACCGACCCAGAGTTATCCATTAATCGATCACCATCCGTCGATATTGGAATTGCTGAATTCAGATTGGGAGCAGCATCGCCTTGCTGCACTGAAACGCTCTGATCATTCCCCTGTTCATGAGTGTCATCCTCCAGAATGATCTGACTTTGGGAAAGTGTCGACATTTCTTGAGGGAGGGAGGCGTGAGCATGTGGAGGTCTTTTCTTCCCAACGTGCTTACGAGCAGTAGTCGCTACACCCATCGTGGATGGCGAAGGCATACTTCTCTTTGTTTGAGGAGCGATTAGGGAAGAATGATGTGTTGCGTCGGTTCGAATGGGAATTGAAAGAATGATGTATTGCAGCGGATTGAATTAGAGGGCATCAGGATATTTGTAGTGGACGGTTAGGACTCTTAGCTCACAGTATGACTCATTTACTAAAGTTAACCTTTCCGTGGCTTTGTTAACCTTTCACACTTTTTGAAAAAACTTCCTCTCGCAGGATCAGTCAGAGGCCAATCGATTTAGGCCGGCGGCGTTCCTCCCAAATGACGTCGGAACTGTGCCTGAGCGAAACTTAACCAAACCTTAGCATGCTGAGCCAAGAATTAATCCTGCAGCGTTTTACTAAGGTCATAAGTCAGAGACCAGCTTATTGATGTGGATGTTGGAGATGATTGTGTTCCAAGAATGGCTACAGAGGTAGTCATCCTCTAGCTACCCTAGAGTTGAAGGTCTCATATTAAGTTGGGGGAGAAGAACAAATGTCTGAATAATAATAATAATAAACTAGAAGAGGGATACAATCTTAATCACTCTGTTAATCTTCCTGTTAAACATAAGTAAGAGTGGACTCGGCAGGAGAGAGATAAGGTGGAGAAAGAAATAAAGGACTTTCTTCCACTATTAGTAGAACTGATTAAGTTGTTAAGATAATACTCTGAAATTTAATTCCCAGTCTAGCAGATAAGATCAAGCTAACTATAACTAGTTTTTAAGGTACTTGAAACTAGATAAATACCATATAAAATATAGTATCAAATATATAGTACTAGTTAAAAGGAAGGGTACTACTGCTTCATAGATCTCTAGCTAATACAACTTAAAAGGAGTACGGTATACTAGCCACTTATCCTATATCGCTAAGTCTAGTCAAAATGCTAAGATCAGTTTGACGCTCACTTATAGGGGGTAGTGAGGAATATCCACGAGTCCGTCCGCAACGTAGTTATAACAGTCTCCTGAGCAGCCTATATTTCCACCATTTGTAATAAGGAGCTTGGGCTCGCCCCCAGCGGCACTCGTATCCGGAGTCTGAATAATGCGAAGCTCGCGTGAATAAGCTGACCACTGCCCGACATTAACAGGCTTCCAACCCTTGGGGTCCACAGTATCTGTGTTGACAAAGATTTCCTCCCGGCTGTTTCCATTAGCAATGAAGATTCCCTTCCCCTCATTTCCGGGTTCAGGAGTCCAGATGACAAATGGACTGCCGTTGGGATTCAGGATTCCGTCATTAGGAACGATAGGCTGTGCAGTAGCAGACCCAAAGGCGAGAGGGTCTGTGGATACCTTGTAGTAAACAGGGCAACCACCAGTAAGAGGTCCACCGCAGTACTCAAACGTCATGACATATTTCTCGGAGACAGGGCTGTAGGCGACAGTTGCCATGCCAGGACGTTGATCAGTATCAGGGTAGGCGACATCGTCAACAGCATCGCTCCACTGGCGTAGATCCTTGGTTGTCTTGTGCGAGAGCTTCTGGTTGAACTTGGGGTCGACTTGGGTGGAATAATAACAAACAAGCTGGTCTTGATGCATCATGAGAAACGGCTCCCAAACGGCTTGATCACCCTTGGTGATAGTCTCGGGTCCAGGGCCGTAAACAATGTGGCTGACAAACTCCCAGTCTTTGCCTTGATTCTCACTGGCATAGAGGTCGATGTAGGCTTCGGTCAAATTGCGAGGTGTGGAAACGCCGGCGAGGAGAATCGTGCCTTTGCGGTATTCTCCAAAATCCTTGGGCAACTCGTAGAGAAAAGGCTGGTACCAGTTACCCCAGCCGTTGACCTGGTCCTCAACTCTAGCAAAGGGCTCATATGACGCACCGCCATCTGTAGACTTGTAGATGGGGAAGTAGGTCAATTCCACATCGGGGTCGTAGTCCTCCCACGACAGAAGAAGTGACTTGTCGGGTAGCTGCAGAGTTCGGCCATAGAGGGTTCGCCAGCTAGTAGCTTCCTTCTTGGGCTTAAAAATAGCATTGTTGTTGAAGTTGGACCAAGGCGTCACGGCTCTTGGTGCCAGTGAAGCTGCGAGACTCGCGGTAGTGAGAACCGCGGTCGCGAATAGGCGGCTAGAGATCATGGCGCAAGATGAATAGATAATCAGAAAACAGTGGTTGGTTTGCTTGATGGCTCTTGGAGAGTGATGTTTACTGAGACCGAGGCCGGGGAAGCCATATTTATAGATATTTCCATGGTGTTACGACAACAGCTTGCAGTGACAACGCAAACGTCGTCGTGCCTCGTATGATTGAACCAAAGCGCACGTATCACGCAGTTTCCCTCGATGCGCATAGACATTGACTTATTATTGGTGCGCAAGTTACTCCACGAAGTCGCTTCTTGCCCCCCTAATAGCTCTAAAGCTAGTTACTTCTCCTCTTACTCCAGACTACCCCATGCTGTAGTGAGGGGCAATCGGCGTAAAAGCCAATCAGAGACTACTATTTCCGATGGCGGGGGGAATGTGGGCAAAGCTCAAAACCGATGTTGTTGTATTCCGCCCCCTGCTGCCCCGTGCAATATTCCAATTCTTTAAACAGAAAGACCACTACTCACTCAATACGATGAAGCCCCTCAAAGCGTGCCATGAGTGCCGAAGAAGTAAGCGGAAATGCACCCGCCGAAGCGGCCAAGTCGGAGACTCGTGCGATCATTGCCAAGTCAAGAATCTCAAGTGCACAGCTTCCTTGGCCAATGTCCCGCCCCGAGGCCATGCCTTGCTACCAAACTTGAATCCCACACAGTATCAGGAGAATTCGATCGACGTGCCTGTTGACGTCGCTGCTCGCCTTGTTGATTACTACCTCACCAAGCTTCACAATCGACCTCATAGCTTGTTCCACCCAGCTACCCTAAAGCAGCAGGTACAAGACGGCTCTATCAAGAAAGCTCTACTGCTCTCCATCTGTAGTATGGGCGCCAGATTCGACACCGATGACGAGATTCGCTCTTTAGAAAACACGTATATTAACGAGTCTAGGCGATTGCTTTTGGCTGATTTGGAGAATATTTGTATCGAGAATGTGCAGACGTGCATCCTAATCGCTAATCTCTGCGCTGCCCATCTGAATCCGTCTTCTGAAGCCCTATTTTTCCGTAAGCGGTATCAACAGAACATTCTATTATGCTAAAAGCTTACCTTTCACAGGCATCGGCGTCAACCTATTGCAAATCATGGATGTTGGGACTTCTTCAGCGGCCAAGACATTGATAGACCGCGAGATAAGTATAAGGACGTGGTGGACGCTGTACATGGCTGATCGTTGGTCATCCTCTAGTCTTGGACTGGCACCTCAGATCCGAGACTCCTATATTGCCGTTGATCTTCCAATACATGAGCCCATCTTTGAGTCTCTCTCTCCAGAAGAGACTAAACTCAACGTCCCCTGGCAGCCAGGACTTTGGGCGCACAAGATTTCCCTTGTTCGCTTGTTCGGACCTATTAACGATCTCAACCATCGCAGTGTCTATGGAAACATTGACCCTGACGAGATCGAATCGACTGTTATGTCCCTCTCTAAATTGCTAGATGATTGGGAATGGACAATTCCTCCGAACGTCAGGATGAGTCCAGAGAATCTTGAGCGATATATTGAAGTTGGTCATGGGGGCGCCTTCATAGCTCTCCATTTAGGCTATCATCACTACGCGACGCTGCTATACTTTCGGTTCCTCGAGCCCGCGGCATCATCCTCGCCTCTGGCGGCGATATACCGTGCTAAATGCAAGTTCCACGCTTCATCATACAGCGACCTTGTGAAACTAGCTCGTCAGAAAGAAAACTGCGAAGTCATTTACCCAACTGTCGGTCACATGGCGGTAGTATCATCTTCGGTCCTACTCCATACACTTCTGTTCAGCGTGGAAGGGGATGTCCAACCTGCTCGGAATGCCCTGAAATCCAACTTTGAGGCGATTCTTGAACTACGGCGTTACTGGCCGAACACTGAGTCCATGGTACGTTGGTCCTGCGTGTGAAAGTGGATGAGACTGATGCTTGACAGATTCATCGACTTGTTACCTTTCAAAATTATTGTCTACTTTCCAACGATTACAGAACACATAAACTTGACGGGTGGATGCTACGTTTCTTAATACAGTACTCGCTTCCTCTTGGTGAAAAGGAAGTTGCACCAGTAATATCGGGCATGGATCTTGATATGAACAGTTTTTCAGCTCGTACTCAAGCCGTGACTGAACAGGGTAGATACACTGCATTTGATATTGAGGACTTGATGATAGATGGCATAAACATGTTTGCCGTTGACGAAAAGATTGGGAATTGAGACATGTAGTATCAGAGTAGGACAAAAGAAGGAGTTTGAAAACTTGATAAGTCATATATATAAAAAAAGCGTTTAACAACACCGAAAGTGTTTAGGATTCATCAGCTACTCAGAGATAGAGTAAAAGGTTACCTCGGCAATCATTGTCCTGGCTGGGACAGTAACAGAGATAGGAAAGCCGCCATAGTCAGGGTCCTCATTAGGCATCATGGCAAAACTGCCACTTCTCGTCTCATCTCCATTCAAGACACGCACCGTCCGTAGGCGGCCTGTTTCTTCATCATCAACAGCCTTTTCCTCGAATTTCAGGATCCCCGTGAACGTTGCATTCTGCAATGAACTCTTTGCGCTGACTTGGAATCCCCAGCCAATCAACAGGAACTTGCCATGCCCCCGATGAATAACCATGCCCGCTCCTGGTCCTGGCTTCCCAAAGACGAAACATCGGTCAATTGTGATGTCGTAATCACCCCAGCTCCGCTTCAGAGGGTGAGAAATATTGTCCGATGCGCCGTTTGGTATCTCGTCGAAACAAAAGCCAACTGATGACTTGGGTAGACGCTGGGCTTCAAGTACAATAGCTGACACTGACTTGAGGAGCCCGTAATGCTTGGTGAAGGGATTGTCGGCATGCTCTAGAGTGTCAACGCCAAAGGGAGCCACGCCCATCGCCGCATGGGATCCATAGGCAATCCACATACGCCGAGCGCCATAGTCATCGCGTCGCTGCTCCGGAACGAAGAGCGGCTGATTTCTATGTCGATATTTCGCACAGGACTTGTCGTAATCGTTGAGGTAGATATCAGGACCGAGGAAATCCAGGTTTGGCGCAAAGTGCATCCAGACATCCATGACATTGCTCACGGCACCGCCGGAAGGGTAATCCCCCGGCATGCCTCCCCCGCCCACGATGACTGGAAAGTCATTGTCTGTATCGTCCCCGGCGTAGTTCATCCACATGTTAGTATAGTGAGGAATTGGATACTGCGACTTGCCAGCTCCTGCGACTTGGTTGACGTAGAGAGCGTAGTGGTATGCCATGAACAGTTCATCGGTCCTTGGGCTGGATCCAAAAACAGTCTCCCAGTCGCCGCCTTCATGTTCTACAGGGCTGAAGTGTGCTAGGTTGTGCCTTTTTATATCGTCGTGGAGGTGTTCCCAGCTTGAAGTGAAGAATTCGATCAGCTCCCGTGGAACAGGTTGGCTAAAGGCCTTTTCGGCCATTTCAGACCCATCTCGAGAATCACCCAACAGGCCACTCTCATTCTCAACCTGAACCATGATCACAGTGGAGTGAGAGCGGTCCAAGTCCCGTAGATGCTCCATGAGCGCACCGAACGCTTTAGCATCAGCGTTGCGAGACTCTGGATGGAAGACTGATAGAACATCGGCAGTTTCAAGCCGACCGCCAGCTTTGCGTAGTTTCGCTCGAGGGAATCGCGTCGGGTTCTGCTTAACCCACGGCGGCACGTATGTCGAAAGCCCTAATCCCTGTCAGTCCTTGTGCGCCGCTGTATGGAATGGGAGAATCACCGTTTTTGAATGAGCCGAACCAGAGTAACACAAGATGCATCGAATGCTTCCGTGCTGCGAGAATAATCTCATCGAGAACAGAAAAGTCAAAAGCATCTTCTTCAGGCTCTATCATCTCCCAGGTTACGCAGCCCAGCAGAGTGTTGATGTTTGTATCGGCCATCTTTTGCCAGACTGGCTCCATGTACTCGACTGATGTCAATGAAGAGTTTTGGAGCTCGCCCCCTCGTATGAGGAACGGGCGCCCGTTGACTATGAGCTGCTTGGAATTCTCATTGCGCTGCAGATGAGGCATGTCGATGTTGAGCGATCTCATGTTGGAAGATGATTGATGCCCCGGTGAGATAATTACAAGATGCAATTCTGTTCAAGGTGTAAGGAAATACAAGCTGTAAGGGGTTTGGCACAGAACAGAGTGGTAGAATGAGTGGAAAATGGAATCTTGTCGCTACCGTAGCTCAATACTCCGCAGATCTCGATAAGCACAGTCCCGTGTTCTCATACTGACCGGAATTAGACTATTGTGATTGGTTGATAAGCCGAATGGGGTTATCCAAGGTTATTGCCATACTAAATTAGCTAACTCGGAATATCAGACTTCTGAGTGGCTGCAATCCCGCTTCCCAAGAGCGCGTGGCGTGATTATACGAGTAATAAGTGATGAAAGAAAGCAAGTGTCCGATGGGTCTAGAAATCTAGGCCCGTTCAATGAAAGTGGCTGATGTACCTCTGGATCTGGGGTAATCGAATAATGCGCCTGTTCTACTTCCCCAGGTTCAACCACATACCACAAACTTGCTGTGTTCAAATCTCGGGGCTTTAAGAAGGTGGCCTTTTCCCATAACATTTTCGAACAATGTTCACATTCAATTAGCTTCTACTTCTTTCTATGACATTGACCTTTTCTACTTACTTGACCATCATGTCTTCCGACAAGAACGACGCGTATTCCGTCTATCATGAAGAACAGCCTCATCTTGAAGTCCCGCCTGTCACATGGTACAAGCACGCCGGCCTACGTAGTCTATACATTCGATTGCCACTTCTCATGCTATGCGCTACAATCAACGGTATTAGTACAAACATGCTCTTCTGAGAAAAACGCAATCTAATGGATGAACTCTTCAGGATATGACGGAAGTCTGCTCAACGGTTTGCAGACTATTGAGAACTGGCGAGCTTGTATGTTTGATTGCTCGTTATTTTATTACATTGCGTGTATCAAGCGAATTTAACACTCATGACAGACTTTGGCCATCCTTCTGGCTCCACGCTTGGCTTGTATACTGCAATCGTTAATATTGGTGCTTTCAGCGCCCTATTCTTCTGTAAGTTCCGTTGCCTTGCTTATTATAGTATGTGAGCCAATATATTCCGTATAACAGCCCCTTATATTGCCGACCAGTTCGGACGTCGCATTGCAACTGCCTTGGGCTGCGTCACACTCCTTGTTGGTGTTGTTATTCAAGGTACGTCGAATTCAGGCTATCTTGGAACAGGAGCTGAATTACTATAGCGGTGCCATCTGTCAACGAGGGCATGTTTATCGGAGGTCGGTTTCTTGTCGGATTCGGATCCAACATCTCCATTGGTGCCGGGCCACTTCTGATCATGGAGCTGGCGTACCCTCAACATCGCGGACGGCTGACTGTCATGTACAACACCTTGTGGTACGTTGGATCAATCATCGCGGCATGGACGGTATTTGGGACGATTAAATACACCGGAGAAGCCTCGTGGCGTATCCCTGTTGCCCTTCAAGCTCTTATGCCAATGCTGCAATTGCTTGGAGTGTTTACCCTGCCCGAGAGTCCTCGTTGGCTTTGCTCTAAGGGCAGAAATGAAGAAGCTTTGAATATCTTGATCAAGGTGCGTATTAGATAACCTTGTCGCTCAGCTCCCTTTGTCAAGGTACTTACACCAGAATTTCAATAGTACCACGCGAACGGCGACACGAGCGACCCTTTTATTCAAGCTGAGTACACAGAGATTCAAGATACCATTCAACTCGAGACTCAAGCGGCTGAGAATGGCTGGATGGTTTTCTTGCAAACCCCTGGCAATCGCAAGCGTCTACTGCTCATCGTCTTGACCTCATTCTTTTCTCAATGTTCAGGTACGGAACCTGAAAGGCTGTGCATCGAACCACAAAACTGACATCTACAGGAAACGGTCTCGTATCTTACTATCTCCATGATATTCTGAACTCTGTTGGAATCCAAAAGCCCTATGACCAGTCCTTATTCAACGGCGGACTTCAGATCTGGTCTTTCCTTGTGGCAATTGGATTCTCCGTCTACTTTGTCGAAAAGTTAGGTCGCAGAATGCTCTTTCTCATTGCAGCTGTGGGTATGCTAGTGGTTTTCAGTGTGTGGACAGGGTAAAGTCCCTTGACATAACTCAACTTTTCACAGCGACTGACGTTTTAGTAGATGTTCCGCGGTATATGCCGATACAGGTAACACAGGTGCCGGAAGAGCCGTTCTGGCAATGATCTTCCTCTTCTACGGAGTCGCTGGCTTCGCATGGCCAGGCTTGACAGTTGCCTATTGCTCCGAGATCCTCCCGTACAGCATCCGCGCTAAAGGGTTGGCCATCTGCCTAGGTGTGACGGCTCTATCCGGTGTTCTAAACCAATACGTGAACCCCGTCGGCTTGGCCAAGCTAGCTTGGAAGTTTTACTTTGTCTACATTGTTATTTTGGTCATTGAGGTGGCTTGCATCTGGTTTTTGTTCGTTGAGACTAAAGGTCCGACGCTTGAGGAGATTGCTATTCTTTTTGATGGCAAGGGTGCAAAGGTCTCGAAAAAGCTAACCGAAGGCAGAAAGCAACAGACATTTGAGAAGAAGATCGAGGTTTAAGGCTGTAGCAGGACTGTCTAGACTACTAGACTTATACTAAGGTCCTTACGGATTATCTAGTCTCATAGCAAGGATTTTATCATTTTAAGCAAAAATTGTCTGATTAAACGCTCTGGGGGGGTGCAATGCCTTTGGACGTGACGTACTTGCGGCGCGAGCCTTGAGCGGGGGAGCTCGGACTATCGTCGTGCCTCTTTAGCTCTATCTTGACCAACTTCCCTCTGCCCTTTTTGTGGTCGTGTTCCATGCTGTCTGGAGATCTAGGTGTCTCTCAAGGAAGAGCAACTCCTCAACATAAGTTGTAATGTGATCTTATCTTAGCGGCTAAGCAGCTAGGCTATGAAACATAGCACTACACCCAGGCCCTGGGCAGCCTAAGCCTTATGGCAAACGACAGCCAGGGCAAAGAATATGTTGGTAGTGCTGGTCATGTGGTAGGTCGTACTAGTACATGCTGGATAATGTCTGCATGATCGAATGTCTTGACTAAGAACTTTGTTCTAGCCACCACAACAGGCGGCAGTCTGAGCGGTATTATATAATAGAGTTCTCTGAAAGGCCACTCGCCATATTCTCCTTTTGTCTTTGGAGGCTGAGGCTAGTTCTAGTGACCTATAACTCAAGTGAGTCCATGTCCCAGATCATCACTTGTTAAGTTGTAAGGATTCACTACAGCTCCTGTTCATAGTATCATAGAGAGAAAAGAAAGTAGAAGGGATTGGTCTACTAGGACAGAGCCTTCACAATAACACTTCCTAGCCCTTGGAATCTATGAAAGACAAGACAGGAGGAGCCATAAAACACAGGCGGAATCGGTCATTATGAGGTTATTACGAGCTATAATAATAACATATCGATCCCACTGATCCACTAGCAACCAGATGCAGTCGTAGATTGTCCTTGACGCACGAGGATGTCACCACGGTGACATTTCAAATGGATATACCTGCGCCCTGGGGTTAAAAGCCCATATATTAATAGTTAGCGAATGAATTGCCGCAAAGTATCCAGCAAGAGGGGAGATAATAACGCACAACAATATTTGTACCAACTAGACAGAGCTGAGGTAAAGTGGTATTTGGGTGTTATACTTACCTTTTCCATAAAGTTTATAATGAATATTCATACTCGTTGCGCTCTGTAGCTGTGTTCCGACAAACGGTGTTTATAGGCTATATACACCGCCTCTTATGCCAGCAGGGATGGTCTTCGTCAATGCGCGTAGTGCATTTCGTGTTTGTCTGATCGCCGTTCGGAATACTTCCGGTGCCTCCCCAGCAGACTTCCGACGGGATTGAAAGAGTGCCCGATCACGTCGTAATCTGTGGATGCCCTTCAGGATGAGAAATGTCTCAATCTTGGCACGGGGACTAAACACGATCCGACGCCGAGACCAGATTTCCGTTTTCCCGACTTCCAACTTGCCAAAAGCATAATACATACAGCTCAAGTCCACGCGGCTGATCTTGAAACAGCCCATACAGACTCTCGAGACTTTTTAGGTGCAAGGCCATTCTGTTAAATCGTCATCACTTAGAGAATCTCGAAGAGTTGCACGATGTCTTTCCGCGTTGTCATTGTGGGTGGTAGTGTGGCTGGCCTGGCATTGGCCAACATGCTTGAAAAGTTCAATATCGACTACGTCGTGTTGGAAGCGTATCCTGATATCGCTCCTCAGGTTGGAGCAAGTATTGGTTTATTGCCCAACGGTCTCCGCATCCTGGACCAGCTTGGCTGTTACGATGCCTATCGGGCAAAGGCGGAGGACCAAGTTTATCAGCACGCATACTTGAGAGAGCCGACCGGCAAGGCGTATGGCTATCAGCATGATCTTATGGCTATGTGGGAGAAGATGTGAGTTAAGCTTTTGCCTCTGAGGATCCTATAACTGAGGCTGATAGGACGGCAGGCTCGGGTATCCGATGATATTCATCGACAGACAAATGCTCATCCAGGTGCTCTACTCAAATCTAAATCACAGAGAGAGGGTTCTCACCTCCAAGCGGGTCATCTCTGTCGACATCCTGGAAGCTTCTGCTCAAGTTACAACGAAGGATGGTCAAGTCTTCAGCGGTGACATTGTCGTCGGAGCTGATGGTATTCACAGCACTGTGAGAAAGGAAATGTGGCGACACGCGCCTCCTGGCTATTTCCCCCATGACGAGTATTCTAGAGTCCCGGCTTCAACTCTTTGCATCTTTGGAATTTCTCACCGCCCTGATGCCTACCCTGGCGCCAGTCAGCACAACACCCTATCAGAAGGTCACAGTTACTTTGTCATGGCTGCGCCAGGCAATAGAGTTTACTGGTTCTTGTTTATGGAATTGAAGGAGACGCTTTATGGGGAGAACATTCCGAGGTCTGTCAAATAGCAGAATCGCTGGAAGTTCCATGACTAACATGACCTAGGTACACCAAAGACGACGAGGCCGAAATTGTGAAGCAGCATTTTGACGATTACATTCTTGACAATATGACCTTCAAAGACTTATACGACAAGCGTATTGTAACCACTTTGGCGCCGCTTCAGACTTATGTGTTTGAGAAGTGGCACTACAAAAGACTTGTAACCATCGGAGATTCCGCTCATAAAGTAAGTCGAATCACATTCGCATTCAAACATGAGAACTGCTGCCCCGGGGACGCTACAAGCATTCGTGCTAAGAAAAGTGTCTCTCTCAGGTCGATCCCGTCACGGGCCAGGGTGGAAATGGCGCCATTGAATCAGGGGCACTTCTAGTCAATGCCCTTCTCCGAAAGTTAGACACGAGTCCGAATGGTCTGAACGAGAAGCAGGTGGAAGAAGTATTCGCAGAGATACATACCGGTAGATTCGTAAGTGACGAGCGCCCCGCAAACTGACCGACTTGCAATGCCAACCATATGATATGTCCAGAATCGGGCCCAAGATGTCGTGCAGCAGGGTTACTGGCTTCAGAACGCCTTCACACAACGCTCAACGATGGGGAAACTCATTGCGCAATATTTCATGCCAGCTCTTGGGTCTTATGGAGTCCTTTACAGAGGTGTGGAATTTTGCTCTCCGGCAACCAGCTTGTCCAGGCTTGAAACCCCTCGACGTCCTCGGGCTGTCCCATTCGAAGACGAGCTGCCTGCAAAACCAGTGAAAAGTCTCAACCAGCTCAGCAAACTAGCATCTATCGCTATCACTATGTGCCTATGTGCTTTGGGCGCTGACCTATTGCACTTACCCAAGCGCCTTGATTTAGCCATTGACGCCTTATGCTCAATGAAAATATCAACGGCATCACTCTTACCGGTCATTACCTTTGTGGTCAAAATAGCCTCCCTCCTGGCGATGGCACTAGTTGAGTCCAACCGAGTTGGTAACAAGCTTACTTCATGGGTCCTGTAGGTTTCTCCCACATACATAGTCTTGGTGAATGTCTATACGAAGTCTTCTCTTGAGGTAGCACTAACTGAGAGACTAGAATTGCCATATTTGCCATTGTCAACAACTTCCTTGGTCCAGGCGCGTTAGGCCCGCTGGCCGCACTGTTTGCCCACTGGTCATGCGGCCTCATTGTCGGAAGACACGTGCCAGTTGAAGCTGCAAGAATGATCCTACCGATCGTCATAATCGGGTATATCCTTCCGGCTACTATCGCTATATCCAGGATGGATTCTACCTCAATCATGATCTGGAAGAATGCCCCCATCATCTGCTTCATGCTTGCAAGAAGTCTTTTGCCGCTTTCGAACCCTTCAGGATCACATATAGCTGATGACGAAAAGCTCAAGCTTGATATTGAAAGGGAAAGGACTCGCAATATGTTTACAAAAGCAGATTTGCCATATATTCGACTTGTCCACTACTCTGCTTTCCTCATGTCGGCGGCCACTCAACTGATCAACGTCTATCATCATGGTAGCCTGATAAGCTTGATATTAGCAGGAAAGAATGCTAGACTAGCGCTTCTGGGGTTTTCTAGGTACGATGATCTGGCTTTTACACTTTCGTCGCTGATGCTCGCGCTCGGAGCTGCGCCCTTGAGCCTGCGCCTGCGTGGGTACATCACGACAAGTCAGTCTTTTGCATCTGCCCTTTTAATCTGTTTGGGACTTCCGATCGTTGGTCCAACAGCCACGATCGCGGGTATGGCCATTTACCGAGAGTCCGTTCTCGCGGGATTTGGACAGTAGCCTAGATGTCCTACTAAGTAGCATATTGTCGTTCTTATGCCTACTATGCGGACATTGATGGATGGAAACGCTTCGAAACGACTGGTGGATTCAATCGTACCCAGGAGAAGGAGTAACTATACCAGTTGGTTCGAATGGTTCTAATAATTCCAACATAATTAACCGTCAATGCTTAAAAATGCTACTTACCGTGAAATAAATATCACTCGCAATACCGATTCAAAACGCCCTGTTCTTAACACGTCCTTAAATTATTCTGTTGAATATACCTGAGCTATCCACGGAATGACTAATGGTGAACAACGGGCTGGGAATGCATAAATCCGGACATCTGGCTAATCCACATCGTTCGCTAACCATTGAGTGTGCGAGAAGGCAAATAGGCATGTGTTATTCTCATCTCCCAGTCGAGCAACAAGGTCAAATGTATGTAGCCCCGTCTCCACAAACATCCCTACGACGATGAGCTCGGCCAACATTTCGCTCTCCCCAGGCCCAGGAAGATAGTCCACGTATGTGCCATTCGTGTGCCGTATAGACAATTGACCTATACCCATACTACCGCGAAACGCTCTCAGCGGAATGACATAAGATCTCGGTTCGTCGGGCTTGCCAACCGGATCAAGGCGGTTGACAGTTATATTGAAGGTTGCTTTCGCCAGCGCAGCCTCGAGATTCCTTATGTGTTCAGTTTTGGATGGCGGAAGGTGCCCGGACAAAAGGAAGAACAGGCGCCGATTTCTGTGGAAGGGTTAGCTGGCGGCCCAAACTGCTAGCATTCAGGGTAGTTGATCATACATAGTCGCGGGAAATGGAGCAATGTCGAATCCATCGGTGACGTAGATCTGCTCAGCTTTTGGTACTGGGCCGAAGGTGACATTATGATCCCAGGAAACTCTATCTCCAATCGCGGTGCTGCTGGTTATGCCAGCCTCACCCAAATACACTTGGTCAGTGGAGATAGGGCGAAGACCGACGGCAAGCGTGGCGGGGAGAGCCGTCAAAATTGGTAGAAATAACATGGTGAGCGGGTTGAAGATCAGGCGGAGGCGAAGGAAATAACAGGGATGTTAGGTTCTTATGGTTTTGTAAACGCCTAGAAGTGGCGCAGCCACTCATTATGGCACTTTGGTCTTCTATATCATGCATGAATACTTTTGTCGTCTCTGGATTACATGTGAAGATATAGAAAGAAATGATAAGAGTCCAGAGACTTGGAAAAAATCAGGGAATAGCAGTGAATTGAAACATCAGATTAAGTTAAAATAGACGTCTTCTCAGGTGGCTAAGGGAATGCCATGTGAATCTCGATTAGACACTGCTTCCAAAAGATGATGCACGTTGGCGTGATGAAACGAGACGTTCGGCCACTACCCTTTTAATCGCCCAGCCCAACCCACCTCAGTGATGGACTCGGCGGATGCTGAACATGGCATGCCTCTTCCGATAAGTTCCTATGCTATGTGCGAAATATAGAGCTTATCTTAGAGTAAGGTAGTTGGCATGCCATTAGGTTTCCCGTCCCACGCAGAAACGCTTCGTCGAAATCTTACCCGCTTCAGCCTTCGAGGGAGAAACGATTCTGCCTAGAGTTATGATTCAGAGCAGGAAGCTTAGCTGATGGCGATCCAGAGTCATAAAATAGAGAAATATAGACATATCTTGGCTAGTCTATTGAGCATCTAGGATATGATTCTTTGTTTAAGTGAGACACATTTTCTTATATCAAATCGGGAAGTCACCCAACCCTACCTCTCAATGGAAAGACCGCTCGGAGGACCATTGAGACGAGCAACGGCGAGCTAGTTTCTACTTATTTCCAGCTATTTCTTCTCGAAATTTTAGATTCGGATTACTCTGTCTGTATTCACTTTCTCCAGATTTCAGGGTCTGTTACATGGCCATTTGACCGAGATAAAACGCAGACTGGTCCAACGCATCGCATCAGCAACGATATCCTTTTGTTGGTACAAGGAGGGGGAACTTACTTTTTTTAGGTCCCAAACCATACAGTTCATGTCTCTTCCAATCATATCCATCAACTATCAGGTCAAGTCAACACATCCTGTCGGATCGAGGTTGTCCTACAACATTGACAGCAACTTAGGAGGGTGCTCCAAGTCAGGCTCAGCAACGTGCAGCCAGTAACCATTTCTTCTTACCTGTTGTGACTGATGCTCACGGTCAACACTTCCCGGGGCAGAATTTAGTACCGGGGAAGGTAACTCCCTCCAACAAGCTATTCCTCCAATACCTGGCTGAATCATTAAGGTCTTGTCTTTTCCCTGGACCTCAAACAGCTTGAGGTCAAATAAACTGTAGATGCCCCATTCCTGCCAGGATACTATAATTTCTGCAGTCGACGGGGCGATTCGGGTTAACAAAGAATCCAGCTTCGGAAGAAAGTATTCATAGATTGTTTCGCTTTCCTTCTGTCTCTGCTGGGGATGAAAGTTATGCCTCAACTGGATGCCAAATGATTTCTCACCCCGAATGACGGTTTGAATGCTATTCGAAGATATCGTAGAGCAGGAAATGTCACGGATGGATACTCTATACTGGAGACGTAGCAAGGCACGGTGGCAATGTGTCTGGAAAACGCTTCCTCAACTGTAAATTCTTCCAGTCTCCAAACGAGCTCAACCGATGTCATCATTGAAAGAACATTCAATGTTAGGAAGTTGTGTATGTCTTGGATTAGAGCTGAAGACGCGATGTGGATTGTGTTGGTGCGATACAAAACCTGCATACCTTCCCAGTATCTACAGTCAACGGTTTTAGTTTCATAGATTTGACAGATGGGAATGCGGGAGCTTACGCTTGTCGACAAGTTAATAGCCAACCCATGACGCCAATAAAACATTTGTCTGGCCATTTCCCTGGATGTTCGGCACAAAACCCTGTGGCTTGAAAACATTTGTCCAGCTGGGGCTCTCTCATTGTTGGAGCAAGAGCGCTTCCTCTTCTTCCGTGGGAGAGTTGATGATCAGGGTGGTGTCTGTGGCAAACGCAACTATACCACCTCCATCTTTCCGGCCTCCGTCTATCGCGGACATCGAATATTGATCCCGGACCTTCCAGATTTATAGAGATATTTGCATGCATATGATGATGATGTCGTTGCCGCTTATTCTTCAAGTCCCTTTTGTTAGATGTCAGCACCTTAAAAGGATGGCGGAAAGTAAGATCCATGTGGACTGTCTGATCGCCGAAAGCTTCCCGGAGAATCTGCTCGCGAACATCTGGACTCAACAAAAAGAACGGACTCTTGGATTTGCTCCACTGGCAGACGCGACTTTTGTTCAGGTCGGGCGAACTCTTGGGCGGGACTTGTCGGTCTATTGCCCCTTTCTCCTCTTGTCGGCGCTTCTTCTTAAATTTGTAGTCAAACCGAGTCTTGAGGTGGCATAGCGACCAACCCATTGTTACTTGTTGAATAGACGCAAAACCATCATGCATCTTCTGTGTTGGCCCATGCGTGGAGATGATGGATGAGGCCACCTCCCGCGCGAGGTCACGTGTCCCTTTCGATGTTACCTTGAGCTATCGAAGGATTTTCTCGATTCCTCTCCTCTAGGGTGCGAATCATAATAGTACCTGAAAGAGGGACCCTTGTGTCTTTTCCTTTCAAAGAATCCATCGTCAATATTGCGTGTAGAAATCTCAATTTATCACGATCATGCAACGCATCTTGATATATCTGACGCACGATATTCACCACAGCATTTTATTATTTAAGCCATCGAAAGATTTTGCTTTATTATAGTACTGATGAAAGGAGGGCGGAAACCTTCATTTATATTTTTCATGAAGCGGACACGTCTCTGAACGAAGGGGACCCCAAAGACTGGGATATGAAGATCGAGTAATGAGGCTAGAAAAATCACATGTGATCGGCATCTACTGGCTTCGCTAATAGAGAAGATGAAATATTGGTTTATGTCGTAGACGAATCTCCTCAAACTGCTTAGTCAATTGGGGAATGTCCACCAGAGTTCGCCACAGTTGTGCGTATGCATAGGTGGCGATGGAAGACGCAACACCAATCAATTGACGAGACTCTCAAGGGCTATTCAATTGGAGTCGTAGCTGGTTGAATCACGTCTGTAGGGAAAACGAATCCTCAGTTACCGTAAATATAAACAAGTGGTGACCAAGGCAATGACCAAGACAGTTGTCATCTCTCACGGCTAGGATAAGAATCTCAAACGTTCAAATGATCGCTTTATCTGAGGAAAAGCCCGGCGATTACCTGCGGCCGACGCTTGTAATCTGGTTCGATTTAACAAGGGATCAGAGGGACTAAAACATGTCCTAGTATTGACTATATCAAGATGTCGGGTCTAGTGTCTTAATTGCCGGTTTTTTTTTTCCTTTGTACTCAAACTCTCTCATCAATAAACATCTGCTAAGGGATTAAAAGGTCATGAGTTTCTAATTTCGGTGTGAAGACGGCATTTACGGGGCAAGGGGAGCTTCGTGTCTGGGGCTTGGAGCGGGGTATGAGCTGAACCAAGTACATACGGTGAGACCATGTCTCGAGATGCTGACTCACTCGCTTTCAAAGAACGGAGATCTTCTTCTTCTTCTTCTATTCACAATGGTTCAGATAGGTAAATGGCCAGTTTGCATATACAGAAGCATCGAGCATCACAAATGTGACATATGACAAAGAGAATGGGGTGGTTTCGCTTATCCCCTCCGTCAGCAGCTGCGTAATATACAGTGCGCTGTATCTGCCTGTAGACTGTGGGAACTAACTTGATCCCCACCCGTCTCACCCCACTTGAACCCTTTTCTGCCGTCTTGCTCCTTTCTCAATTTGTTACTCCCACACTCAAGCGTGTGTTGGATGATCACAACACAGCACCACCACGTTCAATTGCACAATCAAAGAGCCATATACCCGAGATGGACGCCTCACTGCTGAGTTTACCACCTGAGTTGCAGACCCGTATCCTATCTCAACTCATTGCAGACGGTGGCATCCAATCCGTTCACCCCCTTCTCTATACGTGCAAGCAGCTTCACTCCATCGCCCTCCCGCTCTCGGTGCAAGTCTTCAGGTTGAAACACAAATCATCAGACAGCACCCTACTTGATCGAACTCGGGCCTTGCAGTTCCTCCGGTACATCACCATCGTCAAGCCTGAGCTGGCCAAGCATGTCAGGACGCTCATCATACCCGAGTGGCTGTGGCCTCAGTTCGAAAGTCCTCTTGCAAAATCCGGCCCTACAAGTGAGGAGATGGAAGTTTACAAAGCCTGGATTACAAAGACATTGAGCCTGGATCCTGATGGCGGCGAAGGTTCCAACAGAGATCAAGCGCAATGGATTGCGGAGCTCGAAAAGGGGCATTCACAAGCAATATACGCCATGTTGGTCATTGTTTGCACTGGACTGAAAGACTTTTGCTTCGGAGCAAGTTCGGACCGGCCCTATTTCCACCGTATCCTCGAGCTGGCGGCGCGACAGCCGTCGACATCAACCGTTCACCAAGGCCAGCGAATCTCCAGCCCGCTTTCTAACGTGACCGAGATCTATCACGAGGCACGAAGCGGCCAAGTTGAGTGGGACTTCCAGCCGCAATGGTTGCTTCGGCTTCCTAGCCTGCGTTCATACGAATGCGTCATGGCCAGCATCGAGGATAAAGTCCAGGAAGCCATCGCCGAGGTCCCACCAGGGTCTTGTTCAATACAGCACATCTACCTTCGCAAATCCCGTGCCTCTGCAACGGCAATCACTCCATTCTTAGCAATATGCAAGTCGCTCCGATCATTCGAGTACATCAGGCAGGTGGACGGCGTGGTTTTTGATGAGATGATGCCTCTTGATCTCATGATTGCCCTGCGGCCACATGCCAAAACCCTCGAACATCTCCACGTCAATTTCGACGATGATCGGGACAAGAGAGGATGGGGCAGGCAAAAACATAAACTCTGCATGGGCTTTGAGCTCCGGACCCTAACTGCATTGAAGACATTGACTATCGGATACCAGCCTCTGACCGGCATGCTGGACAGCCAGCCCTACCCAGCATACGGCGAAGATGACGCTGAAGAGGTCCCTCTGGAAGCCGAGGGTTCGCCGCGATTAGTGGAATGTCTGCCAGAAAATCTTGAGCGACTGGAGATTCTGTCTTGCGGTGAGAAGATAATCGGACAGGTGGACGAGCTACTGCAAGTCATCTCGTCAGGTACCTCATTCGGACGCCTTACCTGCATCCGCCTGCTCTTTAACAATGAGACAATCGACTTGAGCGGAGTCGACTACAACAAGACCTCGCCCCGTGTGAAGATTGAGGTGGTTTCTCAGACTGCCAAGAACCGAGCATTCGACATGAGCCCGGGCTGTGTGCGTAGAGGCCAGAGCGTCAATGCCATTTGCTCACGACTCCAAGCACCCCATCTCGGGCTGCGTCAAGAGTGGTTGGATAATCGATGCTCAGACCAAGCGTGGGTGTCAGCCGATGGCGGTATCGTTGTTACGGAGCCAGATACCGGTATCTTGGTCACACTGGCATCATAGAGGAGGGATTAGGAGACAATGATGCTAGAGGACTCGAAATCGGAGCATTGGATCAGGGGCACGCGACGGAGGTAGATCCAACTAGTACCGGAGTTTGCCGTACCCAGTCGAGTGTATTGCATCAATAATCTGTTAGAGCACCTCGGGCTCTAGATTTCTTTTACACATTGCCGAAAACACGAATATACTGTTATTACGTTACACCTAGTGGAGCACTTATACCATTGTAATTTCTATACTAATTTGATATCTCCAGATTTAGTGGCACACCGATGTCTCTTCAGCTTGACCCTAAATCATGGAGGAGTGTCCTCCGTCCACCACAAGTCCATGTCCAGTGACGTAACGGGCCAGAGGGCTGCAGAGGAAGATGACAGCGTCAGAAATCTCCTCTGGGGTTGCAAGCCTTTTCATGGGATTCGAGTTGGTCAGCGAGGCTCCCAATTCCGCCGTGGCGTCAGGGTGAGACATGAAACCATCGGAGACTGTATATCCCGCCAGGAGAGAGTTGACACGAATTCCCTCAGCACCATGATCAACAGCTATCGAATGACAGTTAGTTAAAATCTCAATTATATATAAGGGGCATCAAGACATACCTGCTGATTTGGTCATTCCCAGCCGGCTCCAAGTAGTAGGAATGTAAGATCCGCTCATTGGCATAGCACCAAGCGCAGTAGCGGATGAGACATTGACAATGCAGCCACGCTCAGCAGACGCGGTTGTGCTTGTCAATCCCTTTACATCCTTGAGAGGTTGTTGAAGCATGGCCTTGATCTCCTCACGAGTGCAAAGAAAGCTTCCGCGTGCATTTGTGTTGCTCATTTTGTCCAACTCCTCAGTCGATACGGCTGCGAAAGGAATGAACTTTTGTGCAATATACTAAAGAGACATTTAGGTGTTAGAAGAGACAGAAGCTTGCGAAGAGTCAGTACAGAAGAATTAGACGAGACGTACCCCTGCGTTATTGACAGCATAGTCAATCTTGCCAAACTTCTCAACGGCCTTTTTAATCACATTGACGATGTCATCTTCCTGAGAAATGTCACCGACGACAACAAGAGTCTCAAAACTGGAATTTGTCGCGAGCTCCTTCGCCTTGGCAGCGGTTTCTTCCAGCTTCGCGTCGTTTCGAGCGGAAAGGACAAGACCTCTGACACCAGCAGCAGCAAAGCCGAGTGCAGTGGCGCGCCCGATACCCTGACCTGGATTTGATGTGTCAATATATATATACATTTCTTTCATTGTTCAGGATTTATGGCAGTCTTACTTGCGCCGGTTACCAGAGCGATTCCGGGGAGCTGGATAAGAGAGGAAGAGGTAGACATCGTGTATATAGTCTGCGAGTGGCTATTTTACTTTTGAGTGTAATGTTATAAGGTAGAATAGGTTGTTATGATATTCTGGAATCTTTCTTGATAAAATGTATGAATACAAACTGCTGGTAATGCTCACCATTTTATAGATTTATTCTCACAGCTTTAATCACAGCTCAAAGGTGATCTGCCGCTTATCTCGAGGTAAGACGCCCCACTAAACGCCGACAGTCTCCACTTACAGCCGCCTCGCTGAAATATCTGTCCCGACAACTTGCATGAAGTGGCTGAGGAATGGTTGGAAGTTGTCCCGTTGCTTTATAAGCTGATGATATTAAAACTCTTTCTTATTTGGTTTATACTTAACGCAAAATTAAATCCTGTCCGGTCGCCCAAGAGCAGAAAGTGGGTAGCTGCTCCCTGAAAGAGCTGTTCTATATCGCCCTATGTGGCGATGCCTAGATATCCGGCGCAAAGCTGGCACAAAGCGACGATGACGTGCCGTATTCCATACACCAACTGTGCAGATCTCTAATGAGCTCACCATGTTTTCCATTATCCAAACCTCCGCGAAGAGAAATCATTTTCTTAATACCGTCCATATGAGCGGTCCACTCACTGTGGTTGTCGAGATGCTACAACGTCATATGGATTAGCTTCAAGTCACCCTAATCTCGGTAGTGTGCTGGACGTAGTGAATACCTTGTTGTAGCTCATAGTCATGAATAGAACGGCAAGGATATCAGCTTCAGATATAACCGTACAGCCCTCTACGGCTTGTCGAATATTTTCTATGGCTGCGACCTTGAATTGAAGACAAGAGTCAGGGGGAAGCTTCCCTCTTGTGCATCCAAGCTGGGCCGCATACATGCGTGCGCCGAGATAAATGAGAGAAAACTTGACCGAGTCATTGTCCAGAAGTTCAGGATATAAGAACGAGAGATCAATAGCTCGCGGACGGGTTGTGCAGTATTGCGACCGTAAATTGAACAAAATAGGAACTGGTGGATGTCAGCATAGAGCACCAGATGGTAGTTAAGATGGGATCATATCTAGTTCAAACATACATGATTCTAGCAGATAGTTCACACTGCTGGCGGGACAAGGAATTATGAGCTCAACATCTAGGTGATGTATTACAAGGTCAGACGACCACGACATCCATAATTCCTATCATGTTTGGTCAGCCATTAATCATAATATGTAGGTAAGATGCAAGGCTCTCAGGATCACCCACTTTATCCTTCTGCACAGGGCAATGGCTCGTGGTCTCATCATCTTTGTGAGCCGCGGCCGTCAAAAGCCGCGACTCATGGAACCGCTTTTCGTGTCTTAAGAGGTGGCTCTCGTTGCGATGAGAGTAAATGCACTCTGCACCTTGTAGGAAGCAATTGTTGCAAGGCAACATGCGATTGCACTATGATGTCCCGTTAGTGTTTGCAGCTTCCCGATCACGGAGAAACGAACCTTCTTCTTTCGGCCACGACATCTGGTACAAGATAGCACTGCGCGATGCCTTTGAAAGACCGGATCGGTTACCATCACGCCGAACTTGGGGATATCCAGCAGGCAAAGGAGCGACTGCGGATTTGGGATGGTCCTTAAATCCGGGCGCAGGAGTTCGGATGGACATTTGTCAGCGCGGGTTTTATGGGTTTTATTCGGCTAAATCTCTTACCAGGGGTTGGTCTAAGATTAGAACAAGATCATTTATGCTGGATAAAACGAGAGTTTTTTTGAAGAGTAATATTATATTACCAAGTGCCTTGTTCTTTTTTTTCTACTTGAAGGTATGTGTCTCTATGGTGAGAGATAAGAGATTAATCTACCGTTACATTGATATCTGGGGAGGGTATTAGAATATCTTGATTCACATCATTCTGACCTATCTAGATAACCTACATATCCATGACCGTGGACGGCAATCTCGGGGCATAATCTCTAAATAAAATTGGATAGTCTAGGCGTTGAAGTTATTTTGGTGCAAAGAGCCTAAAAGTCTTTTCCTTTATTTTCTATCATACCAAATAAAGTTATTTTCCTACCGTGTATGTGCCTGAGATTGAGAGGTGGCTGTATATAGGGTAGCTTCGAGCTGGAGGTAGCCAAGATGCCTGGGGATTTTAATCAAGCTTTAGAAATGCTCAGTTAGGTTACGATCTAGATGTAGGCGTGGGATAAATAGATATCGAATAAATCAGTTAAGTCATCGCCGGAAAGCATTTGATCACTCTAATGACAGGCATTCCTTTGATTGTGTTATTTCCTGGATGTGCAATTAAGATGTAAAAAAGTGCTAATAGCATTTCCAAAACAGACGTCCACGTTAAACGGCAAAATATATGTATACACGCTGTTTTTGAGCATCAGATACGTTACTTAAATGCTAGTAGAAGGAATGCTTAAGTGGGTATCTAGGATACGATCCTACGATAATGCTATCAACTACGTTCTTTACTATTCGCCCCTCCTCAGCAAGATTTCTCCTCCCTCCATTGTTCGTCCAGCCTGTGGGACTTTCAAGATACCCTTCTCCACCAAGTCCTTGGCAAGCCGAGGCAAGATCCCGTCGCAGCCCTTTGCCACCAGGACATTCACCGTCACAGGTAGTAGCTCATCCTTTCCAGTGATGGAGCTGTTTGTAGCCGCCTCGCCGAGAGGGAATACGTTATCGGGCACCTCGCTGAAGACGCTAATTCGGCTCGTGCCGAACCCCGTGGCCGGTCCAGGCTCCTCAAAATACTCATTTCGAGGTGTGGGAGTTCCATCCATACCCGGATACAGGAGAATAGATTCCGAACACTGAGCCTCATCACTGGAACGTGGTAGCACCTCTTTGTTGAACCAATCCATGAAAGCAGTCTTGTTTTGCAGGGCAGCTTCGTAAGACCCTTCTGGCAGAGCCTCAGCCCATGCCCATCGGATCAGCGGGACAGGATTAACGAAAGGCCGTCGGCCGTCATAGGCGGCTGCGTAGTCGGCGTAAAAGGGATCACGGACCAGCTTGATCTGCTCAAGACCGATCAATGCTGCGTAGGTGTTACGAAGCATGGCATTCAATGGGTCGCCTCCCGGGCCTGTGGAGCTCCATGCAGAGTCCAGATCGAAGGCAGTTGGGCGGTCAGCGCCAACAAACGATGCCAAATCGTTGGCAAAGTTGGTTATCAGGGAATGGGCGCCATCAAAACCGTAGGTATACACCTTGCTTGGGTACTTGACAGCTGAGAAGGATTCGTATGAGGTATAGTTCGTTCCATAGAGCACCTTGTTGGCAACATCCCAAAGGGCAGGGTCTCGGACGATGAATCCAGCAGTATCAAGGGTCGTGCTCAGAGGCATTGCGCCGTCAAGTGTAACCAGTCCCTTGGATGGTCTGTTCCCGAATACACCTTGCGCCCCAGCTGGCCCTCGAATGGAGCCGCCTGTATCTGTGCCAATGGAAATATCAAGCCACTCATAGGCTCCAATAGAGGCACCGCCACCCGAGGATGAGGAGTAGGGATCATTATAGCCGTCTCCGCGAGGATTGAACGGGGAATGATAATCTACCCAGTCGCCCGTCGGTTGCTCACCGTTAGCAAACTGGGACATCTTGTTGTAACCAACAATGACAGCACCCGCGTCAACCAGGCTCTGAATGCAAGGCGCCGTTTTGGTTGCTGCTGGGTACAAACGCCACCAAGCCCGATTCCCGTTTGATTTTCGCATACCAGCAAGGTCATAGAGTTCTTTAACTCCAAGGCGAATGCCAGCAAGCGGCTTCTCTGGAGAGGGTGTGGAATATAAGCGCGAGGGTACGCCAATGGTGACGGCGTCAGAGGAGGGAACCTGCGCCGACAGTTGCTGAAATGAGTCACCCTTCGGACTTTGAAGTATACCTGCACTGAAAGCCCCAACAACGTCTCTGTAGAGGCGGAAAGTTTGGTATAGCTCTCCAGATGCAACATTGAGAAAGTAGGGGCCCGACGGAATAGCCGACTCTTTAGCAAGAGGGACGACTAGTGAGTCCTCAAACCCACCATACAAGGTTTGTTTTGAGGCAACGTTGTCTTGGGAGTTAGCGATAAAGATCACGGAGAGGAATTCTGAATTCCAAACATCATCTTTCGTCGACCAATTCCCAAATAATTCTCCCAGAGCAGACTGTGCGGTGTTATCGGCTACCACAGTGACAGGCGCAAAACCAAAGACTTGCAGAAGTGATGTGGAGTTTAGGGAACCGTCAAAAGCCCTCCCTTGGGGGAATGGTGACGCATAGTAATAGTTGTCCTTGATCTTGAATGACGCGCCTGTGCTGACAAGCTGTGAGGCTGCTGAGCTGACAAGGCCCAGGATCGCAAATCCCTTCATTAGTGGCGGATGAGGCTGCCGGATCTTATTGAAGAAGACAATCTCAACTGTTCTGAGAACAAACTTTATTAAGAAGATTTTTGAAAACTTTCAGTAATTCCAGGATTGCTGATCGAGTGCCATATAAACCACTTCAAACATGAGCAACTCCCGTCAAGGTCTAAAGAGCAGCGGGGCACCAGTCAAGGGTCCCTGAGCTTGAATGAAAGAAGGATTGTGCAGCCTGGTAGAAACGGCTCGATTTTATTGGATGGGCTACGAATCCCTACCCTTGTCAATTTCACTCCATAATTCAATCTCCGCCATTCTTTCCCTGGTTCTGTGTAGATAGAGTATAGAACAAACGGTGTAGCCTGTAGGAACGCTTGCTCTATGCGTATTGGCTTCCGCTTTATTTTAGGAAGGTCAGTCGTTTTCAGGCCCGCCAACAAACCATTAAACCGGGCACGAAGGTAGGGAATTTATAGTTATCCGGTGATGATCTGATCTGTAATGCGAATGACATTGGGCGTCCGTAGAGGATGATTAGATTAACAAGGGCGCCGTGAGAAATCTAAGCCTCTTCGGATTGTACAAGCGCTTGTGGCTCCAAGAGTAGGCCTAATATTGTCGAGCAAGTAAACATTATCAGGAAAATAAACATTGTTAAGCAAGTTAAATATTATCAAGCACGCAGAGGTTTGGGTGTTAACTTCCACTCTTGTAGGATCAACACCTTGTGCTACGAATGACCAGTAGAACTAAGAATAATTGTCAATTTCAGAGTATCTTTTAAAATCAATAGTACTCCGTAAGTACTTGAGATAACTTTAGGAATTAGAGGCGTTGCAACGGAATATCTGAACCGAGATGAGCTGGAGCTTTGACAGCCATGCAAGCAACATTCGCCCCTCGGGTTCATGGAGGCTTGAAGCTGCCATCGATGTCTGACTCGACAAGGAGATGAAGCAGAACGTCGCCTACTAGGAATACGAGTCAGGTCTTGTTGGATTGATGCGTTTGTTTGCGTTGAAGTGTCTCTTTCAATGCTCTCAGCCATTCCTCACCCGCCACTCACTTCTGTTTCTTTTCCCATTTCCGCCCCATTGTCTTTCGTCATCTAGTCCAAATTATTCCTCTGAATATCGTAGAAACTTTCACATCACCATACGATATTTCCAAATCCTCAAACCTTGATCTCACGACTCACTTGCCCCTTCGTTCGCCCCAGCCAAGGCGCAGGCCAACTCTGTCCAAGAGCTTGATCGTCAGTCATGGAAAACGAAGACTACCCCAGTCCGACGGGGCATAAGCGATTGCCTGATTTCTGCGTGGATGGCCAACGAGCATGCGAAAACTGCCACGAACCCGGAGCTTCAATGTTTTGCGCGAATTGCAAGGTGACGGACATCGGCAACATCTGCACAAGATACTGCTCTCAACACTGCCAGCAACAAGACTGGGAAAGGCACAAGAAGGTTTGTCACGACCGCCGTCGGCTCATACGCGCCGCTAGAGCTTTCGTTTTAATTTGGGACGAAGTCCAGGCACTCACCTACGACCGAGACTACAACTTCATTCGCTCAGACCAGGATCGCAGAGTCATTCATATAGGACGCCCGGACCATCGCAGCGCTCTTGATTATGGAGGATGGACTGGGGAGGCCATATTCCGCCCTTTTCTAGGTTCTGTGGTTCCAGCTAATGTCGATGATGATGTCCAGCGAGCCATCCTCCACAGAAACAAATGCACCGAAGTCGTTGATATTGGACGCCCTCTCATCGATTACATCTTAAAACGTACGTTTGTCTACTTTGTCCCCAAATCCCTAGATTTCTTTGGCCGAGCTAACAGTCATGCAGCGCTTTGTACTCAGATTCTAGTAGCAGACGTGGGGCCAAAGAACGTCGCCATGGTCACGGTTTCCAAGCAGGTATCGCCAATGTCCGACGCTCATGCTATCCTTTCTCTTGAGCTCGCAAGCGGCGAGAGATTCGCCCTCGATGTTTCCGGCTGTCAATACGGGTGGCAGGAAAGTATTTATACGTGGGATTGTTTTTTCCGCTACCGTGCAAACCTCGCCTCCTACGCAAGCCTTGACGAAGTCAGTCAAATCCTAGCACAGAGCATGGAACCATTGCGCCTTGCGCCGACTCACATTGGGCGAGCTTCATGCGAGCTTCGCCAGGAAATTGTTCAACAGGTAGCTGAGTCCATCAAGGCGTTCCTCAAGACGAAGCAGACGAGCGTCCGAAGCCTCATGTCCGCGGGGAATGATTCGTTTCCTGACAAAGTTGCAGATCTAACCTCCCACGCGACCGCCAAGATTCAGGAGAGCATTCATCACATGACAGTCAATCGAGGCGTGGGAAGATGGTACTTGGACATTGAAAATTGTGGGCTTAGAAGAATGGTCTTACGAGATGAGGAGCTCGCGCACAAGATGAAGAGGGTCTTTTTGACCAAGGAGGACATTGATTCCGTTCGACTCAAATACAAGGATGAGCCACAAGAGATCGCGGAGGAGAAACGAGTGGAGGAAGTGGCTCAACTTTGGAACGAACGCGCCAGGAAATATGGCTGTCTGTCTTAGCTTAGGTAGACTGAAGCTCTCATAACTCGAGGCTTTTTATACCTTTAGCAGCTGCGGAAAAATACGAGCCCATGTTAAATGCATAACCCCTCCTGTTCAAAGCGTGAGCTCACTAAATATCAATGTCCCCGTACCTCTAAAGCATGCATGTATCGAGCTGTTAGCACGATGCCGATCAACAGAAGACCGCTGCATACTACAAGCCGGTCTTCGCGGCTTTCGTCCGCTTCAGTTGTGGTTAGCGAAGGAATATGTCGGGTAGGTCAACTCGTCGAGTACTTACTGTCTTCAACCTTGGAGAGGACAAACATAACGAAGGCATTCACTGGAACTCTCATGGCCCCGTAAATCTTTGCCCGGTGTTCTTCTGGAACCAAAATACCTTTAACGTACGCGACTGCTGGGAAGTATATTCCGAGCGAAAGTTCAAACAGACATAGCGCCCAGAATCGGAAAATCGCCCGTTCAAGCATGACAGCGAGCAGAAGACCGGATGCGGCGAATGACAAGGCTATTTGGATCGCATGTGAAGAGGCTTGAAGTGAGTGGTTGCCGTTTCCCGTCTCAATTTCGAAGATATACGAGCCAAGGGTCATTGAACTCATAAATGACGCGAAAATTATCCCGAACGGGAGGCTAGCTGAGTTATTCGAGGCTTTGTCGGCTGAGATAAGAATTCCTGTCCAGGAAAATACCATGATGTACATTGACCCTTCGAGAAAAGCTGTCACGTAGGTCACAGTAAAGATTCTCGGCCCTTCCATGTCACGTTAGCCTGTATTTTCGCCAGGGTGAGAGGTGAGACAGAGAAGTACATAGTCGGGACAATGTTTCATCGGAGGGCACACGGGAACTTAGATTCCTTTGACCGTAATTCTCAGCCTGGAATATTCAGTTTAGCATAAGGATCAATATGGCAGACCGGAATGAGTGCATACCCATGTAGTTGAGATGAGATATGAAGCCGGCACAAGACAGAAAATACTGGCTATAAATGGCGACTTCTCAGAAGAAGTCAGTTTCACGAGAAGCTGAGATACCAGTCCACAAGCGATGGCAATGAAGCCATTGAGAACCGACATGGTTCCAAAAATGGAGTTCAATATCCCATCTTCGTCCCCAAACCCGAGCCTATTGCATCCGGCAATCATCCAAGCCTCAAAGGCCGTAAATAGAATGGTTGTGCCAAGACCGCTCAAAACCCTTCCAATGTAGAGTGTTTTTAGATTTGGAGACAGTATCAGCAGACAAGACACTGCGTATAAGAAGCAATATAACAAACATGCTCGTTTTCGACCGAACCTGTCGGCAAAGGTGCCAGCGAAGAATGCCCCGATTCCTGCACTTAGAAAACCTGTGATGAAAAGGGATGCGATTGTCGTCTCGGTGAGCTGGTGGGTGTTTCTATAAAGGCTGTATGTGAAAGATCCCTATATATGATTAGATACCCCGTCCAAATCATAGCACACTCTCATGATTTACCTGCAACCAATCCGCAGCAATGGCGAGGGAGTAGATCTGTAGGTATCTGGCGCGGAAAGTGGCGAGTTCATCACCAACAGTATCCAGCTCTTCATTTTCAACTTGTGTAATAATCAACAGCGGAGCACTTCTAGATTTGCTCCGGCAAAGGAATACAACAGCCAAAATGATCAACAGAGCCACCAGGGTCGGCGTGTAAGCATCCATAACGAGAGAAAGAGAGAAAAGCTGCCTGTTGAATACTGCGGCGGAATGGAAAATTTCTGTATTATAATGTCAGAAATTCAAGTCTTCATTCAATTAATAAAGGGAGAGCCTGGAGGGAGATTTTAGAGATGTCCTTCTACTTATTGCGGCGGCATCAATAGCCAAAGCTGGCTTTTAGACGTTGGTTCTATTGATCCACAGCCAGTTCTTCTAGACCGGGCAAATCAGTTAGTGTCAATTGAGTTCGTGCCCTACCGTCAATAAAATCAAAGGGAGAGAACGGGGATCTTTTGGAAGGAGCCGGCCATAGGTCAAAGTGGCGGCGGGGACAATAGCCTCCCTTGCTTGGGCTTGCCAAGGTTGGGTATCAGACCAAACTTGTATAAGGAGACCACACTCGTTTGCATATATGAGATGCTTTCGATTGTTTCATGAATTTCTTTTGTACGATTGCATTAAAAAAATATTCATCCCGTGTTTATTCTCATCTCTACCCAGGATGCCGTACATGACTGCACCAAGCAGGATAGCTGCATTGACGACGATTTTTGCTACAGTATTGCTTCTGATCAAGCTCGCTTCCAATTCATTTCTCCTGTCGGCGAGCGGTTTGACTAGTTCTCTAGCCAGTTCTCGGATAACTCGTCCAAATGTTCACATCTCCTTGCACGACAGGTTAGCACATGCCGAGAGGTTATGGCTTCAATCTACTCAAGATCGTCAGACAATGCTGGCAGAGGTGGGCGTGAACAAGCGATTTCCGGATGGATACATATATCCCTACAATATCTGGGATTTTGCCAGGCCGAGCTTCTTCTGCCCCCACGACCTGGAGAGAGTAGGCACTCTGGGCGACGGTGGGAAGGTCATCTGCGGGATGTCCCAATATGAGAACATATCACCCGGCCCCTCGTCTTCGAGAAACAGCGCCCCCGAACTCATCGTATATTCATTTGGTGTCAGCGATGACTCGTCTTTCGAGGCTGCACTACTCGAGCGTACCAATGCCAAAATCTGGGGCTATGACTTCAGCGTGGAGTCTTGGTCCGAAGAAATTTCGGAGGATCAATACGATCGAGCTTATTTCAAGAAAGCCGGTATTGGGAGGTCGGATGAGAATGCTAGCCCGCCAATGTATACGGTTCAAGACGTTATGAAGATGAATGGCCACTCTTACGTCGACATTATTAAGATGGATATTGAGGGGGCTGAGTTTAACGCGCTTACATCCCTAATTGAGTTCATCCAGAGCGAGGATAGTGATGGAAACATGCCATTTGGACAACTACTCCTAGAAATTCATTTCATGAGGGATCCTCAAGGGTTTAGCATTCCCAAAACCCTTCAATCTTGGGTGGATTGGTGGGAGTCGCTTGAGCAAATGGGTCTTCGGCCAGTGAATAATGAAGGTAATTGGATTGGGGACGCGCAGTTTGGAAGGCCAAGATTTATGGAGGTAAGACCTTTTCTCTTCTTTTCTCTTCTCTTGGATACGGCAATTGAAGAGGCATTGCTAATACACAGTTCAGTATACGTTCATCAACGCAGTAGACTATAAACGGAACAAGCTCTTACCAAGCCAGTGAAACATAATTTATCCTACCTTTCAGAAGAAATATCTCGATTCATTGATGCAATCGAAATCATTTACTGCCTAAATTGCTGTGATAGCTGTAGATTGTTAGCTCTAGATACAGCAGAATCTTAGGGATTCTTATTGAAGCCTCAATTCAGAATAGTGGCGTTGGCTAAAAGCCGCTTGGATCAAAGAATTACAATAGATATCACATCATGCTTCGTTGAATAGAGTTTAGCTAACTGTAGGAAAGTTCCTAGACCAGACACAATAAAGTTAGCACTAAGTACCTGATCACATCAATAGCAAAGGCTAAACGCCTTGCGTACTTCGCCAGCCACTGCCAATCTGACTTACTCGCAGAATACAATCTCCAGGCCAGAAAGCCTTGGACGGTGAGCTCGATGAACTATATTTGATCGGAGACCTTCTGTAGTAACCCCTCGACCTCGCCTCCGATTTGATCCTTGAGCCAATCTAGACCTTTCTCTGCAACCAGATCCCAAATTTCTTTCTCTTCGGTGAAATATTTCTTGAGAAAGGCGATTGTGCAAGCTGTAGCCAGAATATCGCCACTAATTTTATGATTGGCAACGGAGACCGGAAGATCGAGCTCGAGAAGAGAATGAAATTTGGGTTTTACGATTTCCTCGAAATATATGCTCCAGCCCCAGCAACCGCCAAAGTCTTGCAAAGCAATGAGGCTTTGAAGCTTGGAGTGGTTGGAATAAGCGCTGTCTGCCTTGCTGCCACCATTATCCATCGGCTGGCTGTTCCCAGCTTCCCCAGAGCTCGCTGGTGTGGCTTTCGGTTTCGAATGGGAAAAGGCTCCTGTGGACGAGGAACTGGGCGCCTTGCTGGATAACCCAACAGCTCTGCGTTTGCCAATCTGTGCGCAAAATCCCCTTTGGCTGGCGTTGCCCGAGACCTGCGCCCTGTCGCGGGGCATCGAACGTGAGCTGCAGGCGATGGGCCTCACATCAGTCGGCAACTGAGAAATTTCAATCTCACCAATCTCCTTCTCCAATCCAGCGAGGCCTCTACTTTGCGGCGGCTCCACGGCTACAAACGAGCACCATTTGCCCACGACCTGAAACTGCACTCCCAGTCGAACAGCCTCTCTTTTCGCCATATTGGAAAAGCCGGGACGGAATTGCTCTCTTAGCAGCGTCCCGCCATCGTCTCTGGCTACAGAAAGCCAACCTCGATTCTGTTCTAGATCCCTGATCTCCTTGCGAGCCGCCATCTGGTGGATAACGGACGCTTTCTCAGAAAGGTGGACAATGGGGATCTCTAACTCTAGGGGCCCTTGATGGCAAGATCCTTTCAAGATGACCGACTTTGGCTCGAGATTTTGATTTTGATTTTGATTTGACAGCAGAACATATGTTGTAGTTCGATTGAAGGGAAAGACCTGGGTGATTTGGCTTGGAACCTGAATATAGTCTGGGGCTGGTATTGCAGGCAAACTTACACGTTTTGGTTGAAGCGGTTGAGTAGGAGGACTTAAATCAGACTTCTCATCGCCCTTCGGGATCTGGGGGTCCGTTTCCCTTACAGTCTGGCTCTCTACCTCAACCCATTCTTCATCATCCTTGTAATGAACCAACAGGGAGTCTGAAACACTCTCGATGATTTCAAAGTCCTCGTCATTCTGGGCATCAACTTTGCCATATTTGATCTCAAGGCTGTAATCCTTTATATGGGGAAGTAGGGCACCCTTGAGCATCCGGATGACCTTCTTGTCCATCGTCTCCGAAACGTGGACAGTCTGCGCGAAGCCGTTGCCTGCCCGTGCAATTCCCTCAACTAGGGCAGAGCTCACATTTAACCCAACACCAAGACTGAAAACGCGTATATTCTGGTTGGACTTGGCCGTCCACTTGTGTATGAGGTCGAAAAGTTTGTCTTGGTCACTGATTCTGCCGTCAGTAAGAACAAACACCTCGAGGTTCATGTCGCTATGACGATGCTCGAAAGTGGCCTCAAGAGGATCAAAGATATTCGTTCCGCCGTAGCCAGCTTCAAAATCCTCTATGTGATACTTTGCTTCCTCGAAAGATTCCTTATCATAAGCTTTCGACCGCTCCCAGAGAAAGGTGTGGTTTGTACCGAAGCTGCAGATGTTGAATTTAACTCCAGCGGGTAGCGATCTGAGGAAAATATGAAGAGCAGCCACAAGGTTTTTTATTTCAGGCCTCATACTGCCGCTTCGATCGCAAAGAAACACAATCTCCGGCTTTATCGGGGCAAGATTGAACTTTGGGACAAGGGTCATCATGAGGGCTCTTTGATTGGGGATTGTTGGATGGGTTTCGAGGAATGCAGCAGGCTCAGCAAGGTTCGTAGCCACGATATCAATAACAACATCGATATCCAAGCCGACTGACAATTGAGTGAAGCTAGCAGATGCCTTGCTAAGAGCTGGCTCCGACTGCGGCGCGGTAGACAGTGTGCCGATGGCGACAGACATAGGATGGGATGGTGACTGAATGGATCTGATCACAGAGCCTCTTGGCATCTCGACATCGACTGTGATAGACATTCCACGCTCTTTGACCCCAGGAGCTCCTGTTTCCCAGGCAGCAGATCCATGACGGGGAGAAATCCGAGTGGGAATCGTGACGCGCAGCCCGTTGATCTCAGCATCATGCTTCAATTCCTCAAGGTACGTCAGCTCAACGCGCACTTCCCCGCCTGCAGGGAGGTTCCCAATAGTCGTGGAAAAAACATCAGAGGCCTTGCGGGATCGTTGAAACAAGACGGCGGTCTTGCCCTGGGCCTTGGCTTTGCCAAAGTCTGCCTGAGCCTCCCGTGATTCCTTCACTACACCCTTGATCACGCGATCACCCACGTAACAAGTGAAGCCAACGACAGACACCTCGCCGTGCAGGGGAAATATATACTTGACTTCCCGAGCCACCTGGCTCTGAGATGGATTGATAAAGGTTTGTGTGAGATTGGTCTTACATATCGAATCCAGGATTGTTGTGTGGATCTTGGCCTCAACTTGCGGGAGATATTTTGCTAAATCGTCACTGACAATGTAGCAACCGCCGGCTAGACTTGGTTTGGGAAGCATCGCAACAAACGCTCTGTTAACTCGTAGGAGATTTGCTGAAGTATAGAAGTAGACGAACGAGAGTGATGGAAGGTGATGCGATGGGCTACCGGAGATTGAGGCGCAATGAGCATCTATCAACAAATATCCATCCCTATGCTATCTCCTGTACTGGCCTAGAAGGCTCCCAATCGTGTAGTGCTGACTGTCCGCCTAAAGAGTCACACGCGGCGATCTTACAAGGGCCATTAGTATCGTACTTCCTAATAAGGCCCATGAGTGGTGTGTATTGATGACGAGGCCTAGTCGAGGATGACTCTTATGACTCTTATGAGTCAATTTGCTAGAAACCACATACCCCGCCCTCGTATTTACGCGTACCAAGGAACCGCCAACAACAAGCATATGGCCATGGAGTAGTATTACGTTTTAAAAGAATAAGGAACACGCAACATAGAATTTTTTATCACTGTATGACGCGAATGCCGTGCGCATTAGGACATTGGATGTTGAGATTTTCGTTGTTTATTTCATGCAGTATCAAATCCCAAAACCTGACATGTTTATTACTTACCTGGGCCTTTTTGTAGACAAATATTAGTCACGTCTTAGGGGAGCCCATTGCTGGCTAAGGGTTGCCCGAAAGATTAAGACCATTGATCATATACTCCATCTTCCCATAAGGCTTGAATGAAACAGGCATACTTGTTCAGGTCCTATTCTATTGAACCCCTATACATTCGCCTCGATGTCCGATGAATCTTGAGGACCGATGTTTTCACATACTGCAAAGCAGATTCGAATGCCTGATGATATGCACAGTCAAGAGTTACCACCTTTGCCGAAAAAATCAATTCATGTCCAGATGTCTTATCACTTAGCAAAGACTCAAGCGCCTGGATTTCTCTCTACTTTAAGCAGATATTTGATAGGGCGTGGATGATACTTAGACCAAGAACGGCTTGAGAGGGCGTTTATTTACCGACCATAAGCCGATATATTCCTCTCCGGGTTCGGATTTCTCGTTTCAAGGTGTACGTTCCTGAAGAAGAGCCGACAAGGGCAAAGCCGGTGGTGAACGCACCTGAGCATCCACTTCAGCGTATTCGCCAACGTATTCTCAGATTTATGCTCGTAACGAGCCTACCCAATTATCTACATTGCTACAAGACTCTAACCTAAATCTCCGGTCTCAAAACTTCTGGACTCTTTGGCCAGGAAAGTTACCCTGGTAAGTAACGTTACATGAAGCAATACTTTATCATCATGTGTTGTAACTCGCTTAGCACACGATGAGGATTTCCATCTTCGTCTTCGCGAACGACACCGCTTTCACGTACACCATACGGCATGGGCGCTCTATAACCACAAAACCTGGCGGAGAGACAATTGGAGCCTCCCCATGTAGAGTGTTGCAGTGGGATCGGGGCTGAATCGATATTGTATATCCTCCAGGGTCGGACGTTCACAGACAGGTTTGGTAGGGTTGAGGTTGAATCAATATTTCCAGGGGACTGGACGTTGACAGGCACCACGATATCAGCTTTTGTTTTAGCGAGCTCTGTGAACACGAACAGTCTTAGCGATGCTACTCAAGCTGAACTGTGATTGGCTTGGGATGCTATTGCATGATCATGGGTATCATGCCTGGGATCAAGCCAACTGTGGGTCGTGCAGCTCGCACTGAAGTCTACATTGGGCAAAATTTCTGGACAATCCGGCTGTCCTTCAATATACAGATGATAGAATAATGTAAGAGATTTATAGAAATATGTGAATGATGATAATGTCTGACTGAATTTGGAAGTAAGGTTGTATTCCATACCTTGACTGTTTACGCACTGAGCTCTTCAATTATAAAAGAGCAAGACGCCACTCTGCAATGGCTTGTAATTTGATTCAACAAGCTCCCTTCAACGACAGTTTATAGCTCTACTAAATAACTTTTCCCACCAGCATCATGTTGCTCTGCCCAACTATCCTTCTTCTCTTCGCCCTTCCTTTCTCCTCGGCCAATGAGTGTATCAAATACTCATGCAGTGCCTGTGCTTGCTATGAATGGGAAAACCCCTCCCCAACCGTCACTGTTGAGCCCTCCCCGACGCCTACGGGTCCTGCTAATCTCATCATCAATGGCGGGTGGGAGTCGTTTGATGGTGGAGGCATTGCTCCGTGGATCTCGAAGCAGGGCACAGGTGGCTCCAGGCCTTGGAACGACGACGATGAGCCATATATGCCTCCATACATTCCATATCATTCCCGCAGCGGTAAATGGGTTCTGTAAGGCGATTCTCCATTGATGAAAGAAGAGACAAACTGATTTGCCTGTTAAATAGCATCATGGCAAACCCCACAGACTGGCAGGGAAACGTTATAGAGGAAACCATGTCCCAAACGGTCAGCCTGGTGAGCGGGACCGAGTACCGCTTCGAGGCTTACTACAGTCTTTTGTTCCTCCCCAAGACAACGACTACGTGCCGCTTTTGGGCGTCAATTGATGGGGTTGAGAAGGGGGGAGTGACTGTCGGCAACAGCGATCTTGGAGACCCCTATAATTTCGACTTGATCGCCTTTCCATACACACCTTCGACTACTGGAGACAGCACAGTGAGCATACAATTCAAGTGCAATGATGCTACTTTCGAGGAAGGAGGTGTTATAGGCGTGGACGATATCAGCCTGACTGAAGTAACCACCTCATGATCTGAAAGATTGTTTGCCCAGATTATGTGCCCACCTTCTGGGTCGCTGGCTTTTCTGTTCCCAATTTTTCTCATGGGTTGAACTGATTTTATCCATCAGACTAATGGGGAGTGCGTCCTGGGGTATTGGATGTTGCATGCTACCCCTTGATCTTGTGCGCTGAGCTTGTGCGCTGGACTAAGATCTTCCGTTGTGGAAGCTATTCATCTAACTTGGTCTGAAACTTTTTATTGCTGCAATTGGATTTTGAGAATGTATAGATCCTCGGCGAACTTTACATGGAGATAGTTGTGTCCTGCTTCAATTATGCGCTGCAATGTGTTATGCCCCCATGTGAAAACTGCTATCATTGAGCAGGAGCTCCAAGCTCCAAGCCGATGATCTATATCAGGCCCTTGCAACTCCATGTTATTGTCAAGATTGACCCAGATTCACTTTCTACAATAAAAAGCGTCTTCCCGTCTGGGCCACCCCATGTCATATTAGTACTTCCATAACCATATTTTTGTGTAGAGATGCGGGCTTTTGGCAATCCCCGTTTGTCGTGGACATATATAGTCCCAAGGGTCGAATGAGCAACGAAGATATTTCCCTCCTCATCCGTAGCCATTCCATCAGGCCCACCAACACCCCCATATATCGAGAAGCGTCCAGTTCTCTGCACGCTTCCGTCGCCATACAATGGTGCCAGCCAGACGCTGTTATCTCTAGTCATAGCCACAAATAGTGTAGTTTCGGTCGCATCGAGGACAAGGCCGTTGGGAGAGGGACAATTTCGAAGCAGAATATCGGTTCTACCATCTAGCTGGATGCGATAGACTCTTCCGGTAGGATCCTGTAGGCCAGACATGCCTTGATCCGTAAATATGATACTACCGCTGCGGGTAATAACCAGATCATTGGGACCCTTGAGACGCTCTCCGTTGAATCGATTCATAACTGTTGATATTTTCTTAGTGATGGTATCCAAGGCCAAAACACCCTGTTTGAAATCCGCAATGATAATCTGTTGGCGTTGTTCATGCCAAGCAAGGCCATTCGGTTCACCGTCATACTCGACAACTAAACTCCACTCTTTCGTAAGTAGGTCGACTGTGAAAATCCGGCCATAGGGAATATCAGTGAGATAGAGCAAATTCCCTCTCACGAGGGGTCCTTCCAAAAAGCTGTCCAGCGAGCGGCCTCTCTTCTGGTTTTGAGAATGCTCGGATAGGCCGAAGTGCCGGAATTTCGAGGGAAGAGTCGTCAATTCTTGGGCGTTGACTGTTGGAGGTGGCTGATACCAAGCATCGAGTCCAAACGACATGATTATGACAACTGCCACCGGAGACGAGCAGGATATCGGTATTAGTGTCTGGCTGTATCTGGACAGCTGAAGATGTAACCTAATCAAGGTCATATGCGTTCTCCACGCTTTTACTATTATGATGCTCAGGGATAACTGTTAACTTCGCGCGGGCCAATTCCGTTAGCCCCTGGCTCAAAGAGGCTACATCTCGGGTGGTGTGGTGGTAATGGAGAATCTCCGCCACCGCGACTCGTCCCACGGGGAATATCCGTCCTGGGGTTCGGACATTGCCGCTCTACTTGACTGGAAGAGAGGCACAATCTCAATTTACCCCGTGGGGGCTACATTCACTGGAGCGGTGTGTGATGGAGCCCTTCGAGTTACCCCAGATCTTATAGTTATAAAAAGCATATAAATTAAGGGGTCAGCTCCTTAATCTACTAACACTTCACCAGCTTCTCTCCTCCCTCTGGAACAGCATACTGCAACAAGACCTATCTTGATAAGCTATCAGAATCTCTACAATGAGTGGTGACAATGACACAGAAAAACCCTGCGGAATACTCGAGGTTGAGGACAGCAGAATTTCCAAGCTAGATGGAGATATGGTACCTCCAATGCCAGATCCAGATGCTGAGAGACGCCTCGTACGCAAACTGGATCGCACGATTCTCCCCTGGATTATGCTGCTCTACTTGTTATCGTACCTCGACAGGTAAGTTTCATTCACGTTGTGTTTTCCAGAATCCGTTATTTTGTCTCGAAGCAGTCAACTAACTTCCTTGATTCAATTCTAGAGCCAATATGGGAAATGCTCGAAACATCGGTCTCGCAACGGATATCGGCCTCGGTAGTACGATGTATCAGGTCGCCTCAGCCTCATTCTATATTGGGACGGTTATCTTCGGAACAGTGGGAGGTCTCATGCTCAAAGTATTCAAGCCATCGACCTGGCTCGGACTTTGTGCTATTGGCTGGGGCGCAACAAGCACCTTACAAGCCGCCTGTACCAACCCAGGTGGTCTAATTGCCGTTCGGTTCTTTCTTGGTGCATTCGAAGCGTCATTTGCACCTGGATGTGCCTTGTATCTCAGCTTCTGGTACCTGAAATCTGAGCTCTCTCTGCGTATTGCTGCATATGCTGGGATGAGCGCCGTTAGTGGCGTCTTATCCGGGCTGATTGCATACGGAGTCGGTCTCGCCCAGGGCAAGATGGCTATAACTGCCTGGCAGACGTTGTTCATCGTGGAAGGGCTGCCCACTGTCGTCGTTGGTGTTCTCACACTCTGGATACTACCTGGACGCCCCGAGTCTGAGAGATCTCATTGGTTCACTGAAGCGGAACATGAGATCATTCTGAGCCGACGTAATAGGTTCACCAAAAATGCTGACACTGGAATCAATATGGAACAAGTGAAGAAGTAAGTCATTCACCCAAACTCTCAGGTTGACAATCAAGCATACTGAGATAATGTACAGTGCATTCAAAGACTACCGGCTATACCTATTCTGCCTAATTTATTCTGGGCTTTCTCTATCTTTGGCCGTTGCCGCTGTTTTTCTTCCTACCATCGTGGAGGATCTCGGCTATCACTCTGTTACGGCCAATCTCATGACCGCCCCCGTTTATGGCACAGCTTACGCTTGCCTCCTCATTACTGCCACCTTGTCCGACCGATTCCGTATACGGGGTGCCCCTATTGCCCTCGGTGGTTTGATTTCTGGAATAGGGTATCTATTACTGGGACTGCTGAGACAAGGAAACGCACGTTATGCTTGCTGCTTCCTAGCAGTTACTGTGAGTTTACCTTCGCATTTCACAGATTTCCAAGACTAATGAGGATATTATAGGGAACTTACATGGCTTTCCCAATCGTTTTAACCTGGATCACGTCGACATTTGCGGGTGATACCAAGGCTGGCGTTGGTGTCGGAATAGTTATTGCTGTCACTCACGCGATTGGAGTTGCTGCTTCTACAATCTATCCAAAGCAAGACGCACCCTACTATCTAACTGGAAACGCAGTATCCAGTGCACTTGCTCTCGCGACCACCGTCTCAGCTATAGCTATGAGCATTTTGCTTTATCGGGAGAACCAAAAGCGAGACCGTCGCTATGGGAAGCCAGAAGCCCGTGCTCCTGTCGACATGGGTGGTGATGCTGACAAGGCCCAGGACTATAGATACGATATCTAAGGTCAGGAAGTATCAGGTTGTGATTAAGATGATGTATTCATAATTCATGGTAGTTTAGTTTCTTAGCCTGTGATTAGAAAGCTTACACAGCTGCACATTCATCTGTTGCCAGGTATCCCATATTCCATCAACCAGTTTTTCAATTTCGGTATGGTCAATATAATTGGGATGTCATCTCGAACAGCCAAGCAGATACGGTACATCATTTATGTACCTACCTCGTGACTATCATATGGGAGTAACTAAATACGCACACATCAATTTTTGAATACGAATACATGGCATTAAGCCTAGTGATGACTCGATATAGGTAAGCACCCAATATGGAACTTCAGTCAGTGTGCCTTACCACCAAAACTTAAGAGTGCCTAACCGATATTTTCAGACCTCACCCATTGGTCATATACCCCTGCTAGACGCTCACCAGCATGAAGTGCTTCCATATTGGCAAGGTTTACGTGAATAACAGCTAGTGATGAAGGATTGCCCCTTGTCTGATGCTTAAATCACAATTGTTACCCTCCTCCCACAAAACCATAGAGGCACAACCAAGTCTCTGGGGCCTTGCCATTGATCATCCACTTCTACATTGAAAGATCTAGCAACAGAGAAACGATGGCACAGGATGAGGCAGTTACTACGGTGTGTCCGCCACCATACGATCCGACAGTCCAGCCATCTCCAAAACCTCAACGGCACCGACGCCGGCCGCGCGTTCCTCAGGCTTACGGTTTCGTTGACTGCATCAAACGAACTCTAGGAGCACTCTTAGACATATCAATCATCGCCGTCAGTGTAAGACTCTCAGTCATGTGGCCGGGCATAGCTGGCTTCAGTGTGCCAGGAACACTAGGGGTAATTCTCCTTCCTAAATGATCCCTTTCCCATATCAGCCCTTCCACTCATACGCCATGTAAGAACGACACATGGAACCAAGTTAACGCTGGACAGGGCATCATTGCCTTGATACTTGATGTATCCGACGTAGTAGGAACCTTGGATCGATCGAGACGAATTGCCAGACCCTCCGCCCCGTTGACCTTCAGCATGGACCTAATTATCTTTATAATTTTCATAGCTGGTATTGCTGTCTTCATGCTAATGGATTACCAATTCGGTGTGAATGAGAGTCGAAAGCCTCTAAGCTTGCAACAAGACAGAATGCAGTGTGTTTGGACGATGGTCCCAGGCGCGTTAGTTTGCTCTCCCAGCCACAGAGCTCCCATAACCAGTTGCTGACCATTTTACGGTATAGATGTTTGCGAGTAATATTTCTTATATGGGGTTGTTTCGATCGCAAAGCCCGGCGCAAGGAAGTCCGACCCATTCAGGCTCCTGTCGCGCTTGAAACCCTTCCGTCCAGCCAACCACCCAGATACTCACTTGTCGACGGTGGGCAGCCACAAAGCACATTGACTCCTCGACCGGCCTTTACTGCTCAACCCAATCCGCCAGGGCCCCGAACTACGATGCCCCCGGATTACAATTAATACTCGATTCCTTCGGTGGTGTCATTCAATATCCTAGTCAAGACACGGGTTAATGTATCAAGTAAATTTGTTCCTAGTCGATTTATGTTTGGAAAATTACGTTATCATTGCCGAGTAAATCTTCGGAGCAATACACCTATGTTCTCGTCATAATTACTTCTTAATATTACAAATAAATTAATACTCTTTGAAAGTCTATATGCTTCCCCGAGGCACCTAATTATAAGCAGTACACTGAATCTCATCCAACGCGAGCGAATTCTTTCTATTCACGCCGGGATTCTGAGGACTCTCGGCAGTAATCCAGATCCTCGACGTCCCATCCGCAGGCGTGGTGAAATCGAAGCTACCTCTGAGCCACACCCCGGTATCCGCGTCACTCTCCGGATACCGGTTTCCAATAACGGTATTGCCCTGCCAGATGCGCACGTAGGGAACGTAATTCGTGTCCCCCCTTCTTACGGAGTAGTACTTGTCCCACTTCCACCAGTACGTGCAGAAGAAGCGGGTGTTCCCGCAGGTCTGGATGTCTTGGTACATCTCCAGATACTGGGGGTAGTCAAAGTTGCGGGTGTTGAATTTGAAGTTGGTCCCGGCGTAACCACCGGGGCTAACCGTAGTCAGGACGTTGTTGCTACCGCTAAGCCTCCATGGGCGAAAGGAGCCTGTTTCGAAGTCTCCGTTCTTGATGGGCGTTACACTATCACATGTGGGTTGGGGTTGGCTGGATGTGGTTGTTGACGGCACAGTCGATGAAGGGGTGGAAGATTCAGGTGTTGTGGATGTAGCCTCTGGTGTTGACGTGGGTGAGAGCTCGCTTGTGGAAGAACTAGCAACTGGTGTAGATGAGACCTCGGTGCTAGAGATGGGAGTCACGGATGGTGTGGTTGAGGTGCTGCTGGCTATGGCACTGGAGTCTGGTGCAGATGGCGTTTCAGTGCTTGAAATCGGGGTTGGGGTTCCGGGCGTAGAAGCGACAGAGCTAGCATCTGAGGCAGATGGGGTCTCCGTGCTTGAAACGGGAGTCGATGATTCAGTCGGAGGGGTTGAAGTAGGGGTTGAAGGAGTGCTGATTTCCGATGCAGATGGTGTCTCTATGGTTGAGGCTGGAGTCTCAGATGTAGATGGGGTTGAAATATCAGTCGTTGGAGTCGTTGATGAAACTGGACTCTCACTTGCAGATGGGATTGAAATCTCTGTCCCTGGAGTCGTTGATACAATCGGTGTACTAGGCGTTGTAGTCTGAGATGTCGGCGTAGTGGCCTCGCTTGTTGCTGGAGTTGAGATGCCGGCCTCAGGTGTTGATGTGCCCGATGGGGTCGCGGTATCAGAGCTGGGCGTTGAAGGCGTTGACAGGCTTTCTTGACTGCTGCTTGGCGTGGTCGATTCAGTAGCAGAAGGAGTTGCCGGTGTGGATGGCGAAACAGAATCGGACGTGCTGGGAGTCGAAGACGAGATGACAGTAGAGAGAGTCGTTGGAGTCGAAAGAGTGACGCTGATATGGCTAGTGGTCGGAGTGGCGCTGATGGCCGAGTCCAACGGTGTGGAGATGGTGGAAAGAGTGGATGAACGGACGCATTTTCGTCTGCCTGCGCTGGCTACCGAGCTGAAGAGAAGGGCAAGTAGAAGAGAGCGGGTGAGGTGCGGCGCCATCTTGATCTTGGTGCTCCCCCTGACTAAACGAGTGAATACAGAGATGAAGAGAGTCAAGCAAGAGAGGGCAGTCAAGAAGGAGGCCTGCCTTTTACATTTTCCGCCAGTCCAGCTTTTCAATTATGATCTGCATCCTGCAGGAGTAACTATTGAGGCGAATCGGTGATGGCTAACTCATCATTGGTGGGCTCCATTATCGGTTCTCCCAACATCTCGGGTCGAGACCTGATCGTTGACGCTAGAGATCATCTCGGCTAGTTACTTTAATAGTCTGCCACGCTCTGGAGGCACATCCGGGATAGCCTTGCTTTGAAACAGGCGCCGCCTCTCAATAGTTTAATGACCACACCACCACACTTCGGCGCGGCCAAGCCGTCATCCCCACCAGTTGAAGTTGTCAATGAGGACAAGCAGCTTTCAATAGGTTCATGATGAATTAAAGAACGCAGGAACCTGGGCCTAACTCACGACAAGGTTAGTGTTGTAGGGATTGAGCTTCTGGTCCGGCCAGGTACATGTAGTACGACACCCACACACCAGATAGTTAGAACGCAATCATCAGAACCGTTGAGAGGGCTACAGAAAGTGGATATTGCAGCGGCCGTTGAAGTGGTACGGCTAAGGCTGAATATAATCAATAATACTGGCATCGGCCCCGTCTGGCCTGATTGAAGTTCACGCAAGTGTTCGCTGCCTCTGTCATGACAGCCGGCATTGGGTGTTTCCCCTCTTCGCTCATGCATGTATCTGGTGAACTTTTCCTCTCTAGAATGCATCGGATCTCATTGTCTAATTCATTAGCGACAAAATGCAGAGTTGAGGTATGTTTTCCTTCAAAATCCTGAAAGCCGATCGTGAGAACACTGTCATCTTTCTTGTTCGCTATGTCCTCGCATGAGCCCCAAGTTCCCCAACCTCGTTAGTCAATGAAGCCTGATGTGTTTGCGGTGCTGTATTGGGCCGAGGACAAGGCGTTGCAGATAACATGCTTGCTGTGTTCTGACCAAAATGGGGAAATCGAAACTACAGCATACAATTATCTTAAATTTCTCAATATTCTTCACAGTTATCGAATTCAGGAAGACTAGTTCTCAGCGCAAGCTTTCCTCGCCTGCAGTGTGATGTGTGGCAATGATCAGACAAAGACGAGGTACTTGATAGCTTTGGAGCTCTCCAGCCTCGACGATGATTGAAGAATCCCGCACAGCTTCTAGGTATTCATCACATGCTACGTCCATGAGCGGCAAAGTATAAGTTTTACTAGGTAACACTTTTTGCGTTTAGTTTCATGCTTTATTTACATTTAAGTTACGTGGATATATGACGAGGCAAACAAGTCATGCGACTAGATAATATCTAACTAAATATTGAAGAAGGGTCACAAAGTAGCGTCCTGCAATGGATGCGCCCGTGTGAAAATAGACTACAGTTCACCCTTGCGAGGGCGAAGTCCAAGAAATCCAACTCTATGCAATGCAGTCGATCTGGACCAAATTTGGAGGCACGCCGTGGCTACCGTGGAAGCAGAGACGGTAACCTCCTCGGCACATGGGGCTCGAATATTCCCGCGCAGCTCATAAGATTGAACTTTGACGTGAGAATTGGAGCCGGCGTGAGAATCGGGCGCTCAGTCGTCAATGTTGTAAGGCCGTGGCAGGGCCATGTCGACCGCAATGCAGTCGGTAAGTCGTCCGTTGTGTGGCATCCAGCGACACCGGGCTCGCCTCCATTCACGGCTCTCTGTGGGTGTAGCCAGACACCCCACGCAGTGCTGTTCTTCTATTTATCCGCTGAGGGAGCAGTATCCTCAATCAGTGGCGGTAATCCAGTAGAAGAAGGCAGCGCTGCCCAATGCCAGCAGAATGGTGAGGATGCTGGCACCAGCCCGATCACCGGCGGTGATGGGCTCGAAATTTCTCGCGCTCGGGTCCTTACTCTTCTCGCCAGCATTCGGATTGCCCTTGGACGTGCCGCCCGTCTTGTTCGTCGTAGGCTCGTCCACATCATCAATCAGCAATGACGAGACCGCCGCCAAGACATTCATGGCCTCTCCAGCGCCACTCGTGTGATCCGTCGATACGGGGTAGAATTTCCGCTCCGACCAGTAGAACCCGCACGCGCGGCCCGTATCCCCTCCCGTGCACTGGCTGATGGCGGCCTCAGTGGACTTGCGCAGTACGTCCTTGATCGTGTCGTGGGTGTGTGGCGCGACCTGGCCGACGGTGGACATCCAGCGGTGGAGGTATCCCTTAAACGAGAGCATGTCAGGGGTGCAGCTGCCCTTGTTGGGCTCGCAGCTGGCTTCGTATGCGACATTCTCGGGGAAGAATCGTTTCAGAACCGCCTCGAGGAGCTTGTCCAGTCTTGTCTTCCACTTCTCGTCCTTGGTCTGCATTGGAGCAATTAGCGCATTGACAACGCCAAGTCAAGCAAGGCGAAACTTACAAAAGAATACATGAATGCAGACCCCTGCAAGAGGACGGCAGCATTGTAGGAAAAGGTCTGCTTGTCAATGTCGGTACAGTTGTGTTCAACATGGCCTCCGTCGTATACATTCCATGTGTCATGATCGATGTATTTCACGGCCCACAGCCAATCCCAGGTCTTCTCAGCATGCTCAGCGTATGTCGCGTTGTCGGTATATCGAGCCAGTCGGGCACCCATGTTGAAAAAGATACCGTTGGAAATGGCTAGGAGGGGACAGGAGGGGTTAGCAAGGCAATGGCGGACAACGGAATGCCAGTCCAAGTGTTGGGATACCACTCACTATTCTTGTAATTGTACCCAGTGTTAGTCGGAGGAATCTGCCAGCGCATTCCTCCATTGCACTCGGAGTCATGACGCTTGGGCTGAACCTGGGTATTCCATACAGCCTGTGCCAACTCGAGCCATTGATACTGATCCGCGGGCGGATCGGGAAATTTGTTTTCGGCAGCGAGCAAGGCAGACATGCCCCAGAAGCCCTGGTCATCGTTGCCCAGCGAAAGAGTGTGGTTCTCGGGCATGTAGTCGCCGTTGTCGCCAGTCTGATGCAGCATGCCCTGGGTCACAACAGCATTGTAGCTGGTGTCGCCCGTCAGCTTCCAGTAGTCGATGTAGGTTCCCATCATGGCGCCGCCCTGCCACCAGTAGTAGTCGCCCTTGTGCTCGGTCGGCGGTCCAGGAAGAATACCGGGGATCATGCCAGTCTGGTTGCCGGTGTACTGAAGCATCAGGTCGTAAGCGAGGGTTCGTGCGGATTGCTTGATCTCGTCTGCGACAGATATGTTAGATTGAAGGTAACCAAGAAAAGCAGCCGATCGGATTCTTGGAAAATATTACCTTTTGTGCCGATTTTATAATACTGTGCTGCGACGCGGATATCGAGAAAGAGCGACATGCACAGCACAAGCAGGCCCTTTGGCAGGGTGCCAAGCGATCGTGGTGGACTCATTTTTGGTGGGTTGTGTGCGGGTGATTTTAGGTTGGCGATGGGCTCGATTCACCACGATCCAATTCAGTGGGGTTTCCGCAGCGGTATCGAAGGAAACGCTGCGAATCAGCCGCTTTTCGTCGTCGAGGGAGCGAGTGATGGAGATGTCCTCCAGTGGCGGAGGATAATACAGAGCGAGAGACACAAGCACGCAGAAGCAGAAACGAGAGCGAAGGATGGAGAAGAAGAAGAGACGGCCGGTGGATACGAACGGCAAGAGGATGGATGGAACGTCTTATTTAGCAGCATGACGAGGGAGGAATTCGCCAAGGGACGGGACGGTGCAGCAGCGGCAGGGAGGAACAAACCTACCTACAGGCTTTGGGTTCTCCCGCTCTCCCAGTCGAGACCAGAGTCAGCGTATGTCTGACCACGCCGCCAAGCCACAGGCCCTCCCAGTCTCCATATGGCTGGCTGGTACTGTCTTGCCTGAGTCTCGTCTGCTGTCTGATTGTCTGCGGGGGCCGGGCGTATGACGTGTGACCCATCAAAACAAACACGGTTTCTTGATGTCACCCGCACCCACAATACGAGGGCATTGCAAGTATTATTGGTACCAGGCCCCTCCAGCCATGGCGCCGACGTCGATCAGTGGCCCATGCCCGCTCTGATCGGGGTCGTCGGAGGTGATGGGAAACGAGCATGCGATCAGTGGGGAGGCGGATGGATGATGGAAGATGGAAGGATGGAACATTTGGAAGGTTGAGGAATTGTCGCTCAACTGCTTCCGCCAGCATTCCAGCGAGTCCAGGCACAGCTCAGAGCTTCATGCCACTGACGCTTGGCGATAAATGCCCGCCGCCAGTGCAGTAGCAACAACTACAGTGCCTACAAACAGGGATCGCCTCCGCGGCGGCGTATCAGTGATAAGGGACCTGCGATTCTCAGCATCGGTTCTCGGCTGCATGGTTTGTTTCACATGATGCCACATGTCGGCGGAAAGAAAAGGAAAATATGAGGCGGTCCTATGCCAGCAATGGATTGGGATCATCCTCAAAATCCGTCTGGTCCTCCAATTTCCTCATCAAACACCAGTCGCCAGGTCTGTCAGATTGTTTGAGGCTGTGCAGCAGAGAGGGCATTTGATTGCTAATTCAGTGCCCACCCACATGCCATCCAGCCCTGCCGCCCGCCAAAAAATCCCGCCCTCCAACAAGGTTAAATCAAGCATGATCGGAACACGGGGCCTTTCCTCCAGTCACGCTCCCACCCGACAGCCATCATTCCATACCTTCTTCGTAGCGCACACACTATTTAGCCGTAGGTACAGCAGGTACAGCAGACACCAATGACGAGGTGATGCCGAGGTGCAGCATTCATTCTCATGTTCAGCCGCTGGGCGATTCGCCTGCCACCCTGATTATCGCACCGTATTCTCTGCGACAACGTGTTTGACCCTGCTTAGCCACCGCATTATTGTCGGCGTACACAAGCGCCATCTCGGAAGCACCAGCCCAGACCTGAGTCTTCCCCTCAGTTCCAGCCCGCCCATTTGACCCGACTCCTCAAGCATCAGCGTAAACGGCCCATCCAGCGTATCGACTGCGTATGCCATCAAATCAATAGACACTGTACGCTGAGCCAAGTCCAAGGCCTCATGTCTGTCGGCCCCTGCTAGCGGCTTGGCCTCTCCAGGAGTCCAGAAGCTCCAGAAGGTCAGCCAAGCCGGAGTCGGCATCTGTCAGCTTGGTCTTATCCATCGCATGGATGCCCCAGTTCACGCCATACCATTGCTATTGTTTGGCCTGCATTGTTACTCCACCAGTAGCACAGAGCCAAGAGAGCCTGCTCATATTGCCGATTACATAATATACAGACAGAACCATCTGGCGTGCCCTCGGAAAATTATCAAGTAGATCACGACGGTGGTTAGGTGAAGCCATGCATATCCGCTACAATTGAATATCATCAGTAAATCCATTTCTATTAGGCCAGTGGCGATGAAAAAAAAACCCTATCTAGTTACTTCCAAAACCGTCTTTCCTTGACTAAACCGTCTTTCTTTATCGGCTCATATCCTGTTCCCCGAAGCGCTCGGTTATCGTTTCATCTCTTGTCGATCACAACATCTTGACTCGGTGCACTGATGTCCCTGTCTGTATGCGTACCGCATCCCTGCACCTATTACTTTTGAAGATTCTAATAACGATGGATTTCTATTTTCTATTTTCTAGAACTTCCCGGAATATATCGAGCGCTCTAACATAATGAAGTTGGTTAGTTCCCGTGCCATCTGTTCAATTGCCGAGAGTCTAGGGTAGGTGGATCAAGGGAGCACCGTTGCTCTCCGCATTCAAGCCAATAGAGAGCGTGTTTACAAGAATTAATTTTGTGTTGACATAACCCAAATACGTTACTTAATTAATTGAAAGTAACACACAATGCATGTCTAAAAACACACCTAGAACAGACTAGATAATGGGTTGTGGCTGTACCATTATGGGGCTCTGGAAACGACGGGTATATGACACCTGCAAAGACCGAGCTTTCAGGGATCGTTCACGATCGACAACCAGTGCTCCCAAAATCGTATCCTGCGACCAGATGCGGACCCCTAATCAACTTACTCGTCCGATTGAGGCTGTGTAAACATTAATCTTACAACGACTCACCGCACAAGCTTGACATTTTTAGAAGGAGACAACTCCTTCCGCCCACATCTGCTGATGTCTTGGGCCAAGGGGTGGACTTGGCTCACGACCGTGAGCATGAACTGCTCCTTCCTGGACACTAGGGCTTTTTTATTTAACTTAGAAATGATCAGCAAATGATCTTCAAGTGTGCACGAATTTAGCTTGCTTCAGGTCTCTTGGCTAACAGAGAATCATATAAGCTTACCGACTATCCATTGGCAACCTCTCAGTCTCCACAGACTTGAAATTAATCTATTGCTCTTGAAATTACGAGAGTGGGAGAATGAATGGGCAATATTCTCTACCTGTACCTACCCGTGGATGAGCGAAAAAATGATGCTAGGTTTGAAAGTTTCCCCTGAACTCTGGAGGCTTCAGTTCCTGGAAACGACTCACCGCATAGAGTTTAGAACCTAAGAGATCATACATACATCGAGGAGTTGTATTCGCATTGCTAGAAATCACCGTTGCAAGGAAGTTATGTATTGCTGAAAGCTCCAATAGAACTAAGACTTGACCTAACCACTTCCCCATGAATTTGAGTTTTGTGTTTGCGGAAGCATCTCGACATATATGGACCGAATGAGTCTAAAGATAATTCAAGAGTGTCAGATTACGAAAATGGCGGAAAGAGTATCATTGAAGAGTGTTCCTCCTGAACAACAAGAGAGAGAAGGACGAAAGGTAAAATGGAATGTGGCAAGCTTGTTAGGATTAAAACCAAACTTTGGATGCAATGTGTTGGATTCTGACGTCTAAATTTCTGATCGCGATTTATGAGCTCAGTTTATCAATGGTGTTCGAGCTGCGACTTGAAATTAATCAACTGTATCGATATGTGTGGAGCGAACTCTATCCTCTCAAAACGATGGGAAAATGCAGCGGCTCAACGTATGTAGATATTGTCTATTGTCATTCTATGAAAATACTATGCGAGCAGAATCTTGACCTGCGTGTTCTGATACGCCCTCGGAGGGCTGTTTATAAATCCAAGAAAAGAGTAAAGAAAGCACACGCCAGGGCCATCATGCCAACGCTGTTCACCGTAGCGCCATTATCATTAATAACATTAGTTTGACTGCCACCCGTATTATTATCTCCATCTCCGCCTGGCTTGTTGGTAGTCGAGTCTCCGCCTCCACTATTATTACCGCTGTTGTTGCTCTCGTCATTGGATGAATTGGTCGTCGACATACTCGTCGAGTTGGCATTCTCCCACGTCTTGTTGTACGAGTATCCCGGGTTCTCGATGATCGTATCATTGACTTGTGAGCCAGGCCCGTTGGTCGAGTTGCGCACGCAGACGGACTTGTCGCCGCCGGCAAACTTGGCTGCCGTTTTCCACAGCACAGAAATGTCACGCACCATGTCCCCCGTCCAGAACAGCCGGCAGTTTGCAGCCTCGTAGACGAACTGACGGGGCATATCTGGGCTCTTGGGCAGGATCGAATCAAGCATGTTGACTCCGGCGGCCCGCGTGTCCACGAACCACGGCGCGTCGCTGAGCAGCCCGGGAAGGTTGGTGATATCATTAGCGGTAACACCGATCTTGCCGAGGAAGGTGTTGAACTTGCTGCCAGAGAGGCTGCGTATATTTTTGATCGTGTCCGTGGTGCCGCTGATGTAAGAGAAGGTCCTGTCATTGCTTCCTCTGGTGCCGCCCACGCCCTGCATCGGTCCGCTCTGGGGAATTCCGCCGACGACGACCGTCTTGACGGAAGCATCGGTCTTCATCATCGCCGCGAACGTGTGGCAGGTGCTGGCGCAGTACCCGTCGGTGAGCAAGATGATATCGTCAGCTTTCCAGGGCTGCTCGTAGTTGATACTGTTGTCGCCGTAGTTGGCAATGAAGAACCCAAGCTCGTCCGCGATGGCTTTGCTCGAGTAGTCGTATTGCGCATTATTTGTGAAATTGTCCTCCGTATTACTGCTTTTGACGGGGCCAAAGAAGTCGTTATACGACTGCCACTGCGTCCCTCCCGTTGTTCTGGTGAATCCCTTGTTGAGAAACCCCGAATTGTTGTAGAAATTACGAACAGGGTGGACGATATTGTTGTCCAGCACATTATCCTTATTCTCGATGAGACCAGTTATTAGAGTTCCATATGTCTTCAGCTCGGGTATAGCACGAGCTCGAAATAATGGAGTTGGCTGGATCCGAGGGAAGAACTGACGGAACACGTCAAAGGCGAGGAAAATGGTGCCACCGCCGTTGCCAGACAAGTCGATGACGATCTTGGTGGCATTGGCACTCTTGGCCTGCTTGATAAACGACTTGACAGTCTCGCTGAAAGTTGCCGCGTTTGCGAGACTGTTGGCAGCAAAGTTGGGGATGCTCAGCACACTGATCGACTCATCCTCGAGCACATACCCAGACACGGTTCCTCCAACAGAGAAGTTGGACTGCACCACCACGGGATTTCTTGGGTAACTTCTGTATGGGAGGTTGGAGCGAGGACTGCCGGGGGCGCCTTCAACTTCGGTGATTTTGATCGACTCGGGGATGATGTTGTTCACGGACAGACTTTTGACACTTGAGGTTTTCTCGTTGGTGACCCTTCCCTTCTTGATTCCCTTCGCGCTGGTGTACGAGTAGTCGGTGAGGTTGATGGATGCTCCAGCCTTGTACGCCCACTCGAAACTGGTCCCGTTCTTGAATTTCCCCTGTATCGACTTGCCATTGTATATGGTCGTGGACTGGAAGTAGTCGTAGGCAATCGAGCTGTCGCCGCTGGTGCCTGTTCGGGAGAATTGGTTCGCAGAGTTCACCATCAACTGGTTCCATTCGGCATGCGGGTCAATCAGGCCCATGGCGGCGGTCGTGCGCTCCAGATATGATCGTAGATAGGA